GCATCTGGCAACTGGCCCGCGAGCTCTGTCAAGCATGCATCTCACACGCCGGTGCGTTGCGCGAACAACCACAACCCCCCCTTCCACCTCCCTTGCTTCTGTGCCCTGCCCAACTGACTGACTCTTTCTTTCTTTGGCTTTCCCCAGTGCAAATTCGAGGCACGGAGTGACGAGTGACGAGTGACGACTTGACAATCACTACTTGCTAACTACTAGCCTGCTGCTCCTTTTGTGCTCCGCAAAGGACGAATGGGCCATGGACCAGCAATTGTACAAAAGCGCCTTGCTCGCTCTTCGTCGCCCCCCGACTCCTCCAACATGCTCTCCCTTTGACTTGCTCCCCATCACCGGCCGACTTGGCTTTGTTTGCTCGATTTTGTCTTCAGCTCGGTTTCTGCTGCCGCCTTGTTTGCCCCCTTACGCTACTGCTGTATAATCGACCTACCAACTTTGCCCCAGCCCCAGCTCGAGCTCAAGCTGCAGCTCCTCGTTATTTTTGAGAATTCGACCCCACTAGACGTTTGTTGTCACTTACTTAAGTACACAAATTCAAGCGCCACCATCTGCCATCTTGTTGTCCCTAGAGGCTAGAGCTCGCGAGATTGAGTTAGAGCCAAGTGTGTCCACCGGCCCCAGGTACCCGTCCGTGCCAGACTTTGGACGTCTCGATCGCGCGACTCGAACTGTTCTCAACCAACCAATTTTGACCGTTGACTTCAGTGCCCCCGGCCCCCGCCTCTTGTCTTTATAAGTGACAGCAGCTGGAGCAAGAAACAACAAGCAACCTCAAATACACCTCGCAAACAAAAACTCTGCCGAGAACAACAAGGCCTAGCATTACCCGCGGCCGTCTGCTACTCTGGGGTCTACGCTCACGCAGTCCGGATTCGCCGAACCAACGGCAGCTACGGTTGCATCTTCTGCAGGGTCCGTCCTGACCTCGCAGTGCTGTTGCACTCGGACACGCGATCTCAACATCCGAGCCGCCTTGTACTCGTTCAGTCTTTCCAAATTGCGACAGCGACTCACCTTGTGTAGCCTCGTTCCAACGCGCCGGTGCCGATTCATCTCGCCTCATCCGTTCACGCCAGCAATACATCAGCTTCCGTGCCCAGACAGTCCGATACTAGCGGCAACACTTGCTCTCTGGCCGGCCATTCGGCAGTCGCTCTCTTTCTCTTTCTCTCTCTCGGGCTTCCTCTCCTTGTCACATCGCCTTCGACCTCTGGACCAGTAATCTATCTTGCTCTTGTTGATTGGGCACGCCAACCCTGGGTTGCACCAACTACGCTTCGTCATTACTGTGAGTCACGGTCGCTTGTTTTCACACTGGCATTTGCCAGCACATTCGCTTGTTCGAGTCGCTTGCCTTGGGACTCGACCCATGTCTCACCGTTTGGCCTTCCCCCCCCCCGGTCCATGTTTCGATGTTGGTGCAGTATATAGAGCCACAGCTCGGGTCTCTTGCGCCTCCTGCACCAGTGTAGGCATTTGCAGACGGTGTCTAACCAGTTTATAGCAGTGTATACCACAACCTGTGCTGTCCATCGCAACCATTTCCATGGCACGACAAGCATCTATCGTTTGCAACATGGGTCGCGGCGCCTATGATACGACTGGTGTCCCTAAGCCACCACCAAGGCCCCAACCTCGATAAAACGTCTTTGCTATCCGGCTGTTGATGGAACAACGGCTCGATCCAAAGCATTCGACCCATTGGCCCTGTGGGTCGTGGACTCTGTTCCTAGGATATGGCGATATCTATTCACACTTCCGAGGCTTTTTAATTCTCAGTGCTTACGGCATCATACTAGCACGACTACTTTAATCTACGGTTTCTTTCTGTCAGTCGACTTGTACACAACACGGCTCAGAGCCACACATCGCTTATCAGCAGCGAGTATACCACCAAAAGTTTTTCGCGGGGATCTTTGTTTTTATTTTTGCGGCCACACGCTCAGCACATGCATGGGGAAATTGTTTCGAGTTTTGGGCTTTCCAATATATGGGCTCAATGCGCGGCGCTCAAAAACTATAGACGGGTTGCTTTTGGGATTTCGATTTTGTCTGTTCTTTTCTTTTCTTTTTTTCCTTTTTCCTTTTCTCTCTTTGCTTTTGGCGAGGGCGAGGGTCTTGTCTCGTCATATCTCGAGCCTGCCAGGATTTGAGACAAAGACTGTGTCTCAATGGTGTCCACTCCACTGGAATGAAGATCTGAGCATATTGTGACATGTCTTGAATCACGACCTGGGTGGTGCAGCCAGACGTGGCCGGACAAGAAGCACCTCACGCTCGACCAGGTGCTACGAGATGAGATCAAAGACCCGTATTGGGTCACCACTACTAGGCTGGGGATACAAAGACCGCGGTTCGGGGACAAATATCGCATAGACTTTTGGATTTTTTTCTTTTTGTTTTCTTTCAGCTGCTTGTTTCTTTTTCATCCTGGGGATACTCTGTCTGCCGCCTCGTGTACAGATTTCTTGTTTTTGCGTTTGTCGCCTAGCTCTTGTGTCGCAGGCCTTTCGGCTTGGCTTTCCTTTCCCTTTCCTGCTCGACTTCGCCTTGCTGTTTTGCGTTCTGGTTCGCGACACCTCGCGGTGGTAAGCAACTCGGGGTCAACGCAGCGTCACATCTTGACACCACGTACCATTTTACCTTGTGCAAGACTACCACCACCATCACCATCATCACCACCAAGGCGAGACTGAAAAGAAGCACGAGAGTCGGCTTGGAACATGAACGGCTCTGGGCAGGACTCAGGACACATAGACGGATGGATGGATGGACGATACCCCCCCCTTCCTTGCCCTTTTTTTTTTCCTTTTCTACGCAAAACACCGTGTATAGTACTCGCCGCAAGAGACTAGTTGTGTCATTTAGAGATGTATAGCGACAACGGGACGCGAATTAGACGAGAGCCGGGTTCCTGTTTACCCTTTTTGGCCTGTTAGAATAGAAACGGACGGAGCTCACGCTTCTGGTTCTGAAACATGCACTTCAATATACCGCCACCGTCTGGCCTGCAGAGTGCTCGTCCTCGTCGATCAAGTAAAACATGGCGCAGACGCTCGCGGGTCTCTCCCAAACAACTGGGACAGCCGTCGAATGTAGGTACACGGATGCATGCATGCAATCTACTCGACGCCCTTTTTCCCAGGAGGGAGGCCAGCAAGATGACGGCTGCAGCCCTGCCCTGCCCTGGGCCAAGCAAGGTCAGGTCCTACGGATGCCGTCGATGCAGGATGCAAAAACGCAAAATACAGATGCTGGCATAGATGCGAGTGCAAATCCGGCGCAGGTTTCTACTCTGCCCACCTTGTTCGGCCGAGACACGACGCCGGCATGCAGGGCACGGCACGACTGCGCTGCCGGCACCAGCAAGGAAGGGGCGCGTGCAGTGAGGGCCAGAGCAAGACAAGCAAAGCAAGCTGGCAAAAGTGGCTAGGCAAAGGGACGTCGCCCGTCTGCTTTGTGTAGGGCGGACGGCGGATGGCGGATGGCGGACGGCGGACGGCGCACAGCGCACAACGGACGAGAAAAGAGACAACGAGCCGGATGGGACGGAGGCGTGGCCCTCGGTTCATCTTGCCCCATTCCAAGTCGAATGTCTGGGTCGACGGGCCACTGGGTCGTCTGTTGTTCGGCTATTGTGCTCCCGTGCGGGCGTGCGTCGGCGACGGTGCGCGACGCAGGCTGGCTGGCCTGGCGGGTTGGGCCGAGGGACGAAACAAGAGAGGCAGATGGAGTGAGCGAGCGAGTGGGCGAGAGAGAGAGAGAGAGAGAGAGAGACGGACCCGACTTCGCAAGGTTGAACGAATTCGGGGCGGGCGCGGGCGTGTGTTCAAGAAATCAATGGGCCACGCCCCCTTTTCTTGGATCCTGGCCCGGATGGGATGGAGAAAAGCAAGAGGAAACGAGGCCGAGGCCGAGGCCAACAAGATGAACGGGGAACGAGACCGGCCGGCGCTCGCAGACGTGGCGAGCGAGGCAGGGTCATGCGTGTTGTCGTGTTGTCGCGTCGTGTTGAAACCGGCCGAGGACGAGGAAAAGGAAGACGACGTGCGGGTTGCAGGAGGGCCTGGTCACGGGCCGGCTCTGCAGCTGCAGCTGCGGGAGGCCAGTGGCCCCTCTTGCCCCCCCGAAGAAGCAAAAAGAGACGAGTCGCACCTGAAAGCTGACCAGAGAAGACAATGGCATGTTGCATGTTGGTTGTGGACGCACAACTCTGTCGTCTAGTTTGATCAGCGCCGCGATGCGTGTTGGCCAACGTCTCGTAGTGCTCTGTCCCTCGGCCTGACCACTTTGACAGGACCGCCGCCGACGGTTGACAGCCCGTCCCGTCCGTCTACTTGCGCTCCGCAGGGTCAACGTGGCGGCGCCGTGGTCGTCAAGGTCAAACAGAAGAGAGAAGCGTGTTTCATCGCGCGCAGCGGCAGCGAGTGCTCGAGGTTCGCGGCTGCGCTCACAGCTCCGGATAACTATACACACCCTCCCCTGCGAGCCGAACAAGAACAAGCACGTGCAGAGGACTGCTGTCGGCAACCTCAACACCACGGGTCGAGGGAGGCAACCGCACTCACCTCCCCTTCAGCGCCATGTCCCGCCGGACCGTCTCCCAAAGCGCCATGTCCGGCTCCGCGAGGCCAATCTCGACGGCGCCGTCCTCGGCCTCACCTCTCCCCACGGTCCGTAACCGGCCCTCTCGTGATTGTGCCTCCCTCCCAGTGCGCCTGTGCTGTGCGCAGCGTAGACGCGCTGGGATACGCGAGGACCTGCGCCGGCCGCCGGCACCACGCGCTCCCGGGGGCCGGCCGGCGAGATGGAGATGGCGCGGTTGAGCAGCTGCTGCTTCTGCTGCGGCGGCGGTTCGTGGATGCCGACGTGGATGCCGACAGAGCGTGACTTGGCGGCGGCGCAGAGGCCCCGGACAAGGGCAGACGCGGACTGCGGTTGGGCGAGGGCCAGCGATTCCTGCGCGCCGTGGGCGATGTAGTCGGATGCTTCGGGGAGGCAGGGGACCCGGGCATGGACTGCGTGAGCGACTGCGTCTCCCGTCTGCTCAGCCCCTCGTCGTCGTCGCCGCCGTCATCATCACCGTTGTCGTCGTCGTCGTCGTCGTCGTCGTCGTCGTCTCCCCGACACAGCTTCCGTCGTGCACATGTCTCGCCAGTCCGTGGACGGAGCACCTCGACCGCGGTGCGACGTGCGTCGTGTCAATCTCGCCACGGCGTCTCGCTCTCGGCCCTCGCCCGCTTGGTGCCGTCTCCTGCGAGCCCGGTTCTCGACTCGGCCACCCGCCTCCTCCTCTCACGTACCTTTGCTCCGCCGGCGGCTGCCTTGAAAAGCAGTCTCACACACTGGTCGAGATTGGCCTTGATCGAGGCCGTGGAGCAGATCTGACCGACTGCCTGGGCTTCTGGCCAGACAAGGAGCACGATGCGGTACGTACGACAGACTGGGACGGGGTTACGCGAACCGCCATCGCCGTGGTGAACTAGGCCGTGCGTGAAAAAAACAAAAGGGCAAGTTTACCCACAGATTGATGGCGCGAGGTCCGCAGTCGACAAGTGGTAGCAGAAGTAGAAGTAGTAGCAGCAGCAGTAGCAGTAGCAGTAACCCACCCCGTCTCGTCATCCATCGGCCCGTCCGTCCGACATCGCAATTCGGTCATCAACTTCTATGCTCCCGCTTGTCCACGCCGTGACTCTCCTACAAACAGCACATCACATCAATCAGTCTGGGTCCACGGTTTCATTATCCGCGTCAATTGTGCTGCTACCAATTCTTTACCCGCAGTCTGCAGTGGAGGAAGGAAAAAAAAAAGGCAAAGAGAGAAAAACGCAAAAAAAGAAAAAAAAAATGCTTGGAGCCTCCCAACCCAATCAACCCTTCCTACGCCGTTTGCACGTGAAAACGCCGGGCTATCAAGAAAAAAAAAGAAATCAACGGCACACCATCAGAAACGATAAAGCAGAAGAAACAGCAGCAGCAGCAGCAGCAACCACAACAGTACCGAGACAAATCATACACGGCGCTGGGTATCTGTCAAAAAGCCCGGATGACCATCGCAGAAAACCTTTTGCAGCCCTTCCTCTGGCCATTTCCCTCCTCCCCTCGTGCTCCATCACGTTGCTACTTGGGATTGGAGCCGTCCAAAGCAACGTATGCTTGCTGGAGGGCCTTGGACTCTCGTCCGTCCCTCTCCAGCACCACCACCCAGTCTCGAAGTTGGATGTTCTTCCCCTTCTCCTTGTCCTCTCGCCATGTGCCCAGTCTGTTGCGCCCCTCGGTTGTCATGGCCAGGTTTGCAGACGGCGTCGCCCCGGCCGTGCCGTTGATTCCCTTGCCACCTCCGGGCGCTGCCCTGGTGGGCGTGCTGGCGCCGCTCCCTCCGCGGCCTACGTTCATCCAGTCGTACGTCTTGGCGCCCTTCTTCTTGCCAAAAAGACTGCTCTTGCCACCCAGCCCTGCGAACATGCTGCTCGTCAAGTTTTGGTTCGCGTGGCTGTTTGCCTCTGCTGCCTTGAGTGCCTGGTTCTTCTTCATCTCCTTCTTCGTCATTGGCTTGTCACCTTCGGGCGCCACCGAGCCCGGCGTTCCTGGCGCAACACTGCCAGACCGTGATGGCGTGACTCCGTCTCCTACCCCGTCCTTGCGTTTTTGGCGTCGGCGTAGACGGGCTTCCTCCCACTCGCGTTCCTGCCTTGCCAGCTCTCTCATCGTCACCGTCATGAAAGACGATATCTTGGCCAGCTTCTTTGGCGGCTTGGCGCCGTTTCCCGGGACAGCTTCGTCGGCAGAGCCTGTCATGCATCAATCAGTCTTGGCCACGATACACACGACAAAAGCAGGGAAGAGCCAAAAAAAAAAAAAGACAAAGGACTAGACAACAACTCACGTTTCAAGGGTGCAGTGTCGGATGGGACTGCAACGCCCTCCTCACCCTCTTCTGCCGCTGGTGCACCGTCTGCTGCACCCAGAGGTTCTGCGTTCATGGGCGCCGCCGCCGCCGCCCATTGCTCGGGAATTTCGCCGTGTGACGTCTTCTGCCTGTTTACGGCAACAACATCCGCGTCCTCCACCATCTCGCGTATCCGCTGCTTTGTGGCGATCGACAGTAATGCCAGCTGATCCACCAGATAGGAGTCGTGGGGAATGTAAGATCCAGTAGTGTGTACCAGCGTTGAATCGGGACCCGGGTCGACCTTGACCGTGACTTTGGGAGTTGGGAACTGTTCAGGCAAACGCATCTTGCCCATTGTTTGTGCGTTGTTCTTCGAGTCTAAATTGAGCCCGATGTGGTTGTCTTTCGCAATCTTTTCTGCCCTGCGATGGAGAATGGCAACCAAAAGAAAGGGATCGTTAATCTCCTGCGTCCGTTGAACGGCCAGCCACATGGATGACTCGGCCCAGGCCTGTTCGGCCGCCTTGACAGCGAGCTTCTTCTGATCTTGTTCCGACACGTTTTCGGCAGGTTGGTTCGCCGGACCAGCCCCGTAAAACGAAGATTTGCCTCCCGCCGCATGTTGAGCAAACCCGGTCCTGGCTTCCGAGTTTGCGTCCATGGCGCTGGAGTAGAGCTCAGACATGTACTGCTCTTCTGCCCGCAAATCGATTCCAGTGCCCGCCAGCGAATCCGTGACATCGTACTCGTAGTCCTTGGTCGGTCTCTCGGCCGGCCGTTGGGGAGGACCCATCACATTGGGCAATGGCGCTGGCGATGCCATTGCTTGCGGGATCGGCGCCATTGCTGCGTTGGTGTACTGGGGCATCGATATCGGCGGAGGCTGCGGCGTATGTAAGGGAGGCGTGCTGGCGCCCGCACGCGCGTCGGGAAGATTCAAGGCGGCCGATGCAGTGTGGCCGTTTGTATACGGAGTGTTGTACCCAGAAGACATTGGCGTCGTTTGTGAGAACGTCGGCGACGCCGCATTCGGAGGCGGGCTTCCTGCAGCGCCCGGGCTGGCAGCATAGGGCGATAGGATATACGGAGAGCCTGGCTGGGAAGCTGGGCCGCCATCGGTCCTGACTCTCTTGTTCGGTGGCAAGGCAAAGCCTGGCTGCGAGCCGGACGGTGACGGGCTGTGTTGCGGCGGCGAAAAGGACCGGGGCGGGACCTGCGACTGGGACTGAGCCATGGTGGGTGATCAGCCGCCGAGCTGTGAAGCACGGCGACAGATGCAGGCGGCGAGGACACGGCCCTGCACGGCGAAGGTGTTGATGCTCTTAGCAGGCACGGAAGCCTGTCACAAAAGACGTGGATCCTCCCATCCGACGCGCAGAACCCGCCAGGCACTCCAGAGCGGTAAATCAATCAGTCCTGGGTGGAAATAACAATTCTCAATGGCTCGCGCGGTGTTGCGAGCGGAGTGGCGAGGCCGGTAGGGTCGTGGGAGTGAGGTTATCTGTTGCGGTGCTCGCCAGAGTCGAAGGACGGGCAATCGAGAGATCGGGGGTTGCGGAAATTTAAAGCCACGTGACCTACCCACTGACCACATCTCTTGGGCGCGTCCGTCGAGCAGCCGCGCGCGCTTGCCTCGTCTGACGGTTCCCGATGTTTTCCCGGCTCCAGTAGATCGAGCACGCCTTGCGCTCCAACATCTCGAACTCGTAGGTGTCCTGCAAGACGCTGCTCGCGCATAAACACCTTGCTTCCACCTCAGCAGCTAGGCCGCGTCGTACACATGCGATTGTTGCACCCCCTCTCCCCGTTTGGACCGGACTCTTGATCAAGACACCCGCTGTCGCCCATGCGAAAACGACTCCAGGCTCAAAGCTCGCCCGCTCGTCGCTACCATGACTTCAAAACGAAAAGCGTCGGCAATGACTGCGGCCGCGGCCGAAGAACCAGTCGATCCTTCCGACGAACTCATGTTTCTTTGCCTTGGTGGCGGTAACGAAGTCGGCCGATCATGCCACATTATTCAATACAAGGGAAAAACAGTCATGGTAAAGAGCTAGTTGTCGCATTGATACACGAGGGCGCCTCTCGAAGCTGACTCCTTGCCCTCCTCTACAGCTCGACGCAGGTCAACACCCTGCGTACGATGGCCTTGCAGCTCTCCCTTTCTACGATGATTTCGATCTCAGCACCGTCGATGTGCTCCTCATCAGCCAGTAAGTCCTTCCGCCCTTGACGTCCACCACTGCGGTTTTGGATGTGATACAGACACGAGCTTGGTATTCAACACTGCGATGGGCGGACATGTTGCGTACTATTTTGTTTGATTTTTTTTTCTTCCCCAGGGGAGAGAAATTGTGCCTGTCATGATACTATGCGCCCGTGTACCATATGAACTGAATACAATATGTCTTGTACCCTCGTTTCGCCTCTGTTTGCTCCTTGCCTGTGATGACGCCGGTCGTTAGCCATGCTTGAGAGACCGCCAGGAGTCAGCAATACGGATGTTTACTCACAAGCTAACGATACACTCTCAATAGTTTCCACGTCGACCATGCTGCCTCACTGCCTTACGTCCTCGCCAAGACAAACTTTCGCGGCCGCGTCTTCATGACGCATCCGACCAAGGCCATCTACAAATGGCTTATCCAAGACAGCGTCCGAGTGGGCAACACGTCTTCAAATTCCACGACGCAGCCGGTATACACGGAGCAAGACCACCTGAATACCTTTGCGCAAATAGAGGCCATCGACTACCACACCACCCACACCATCTCTTCTATCCGGATCACCCCGTATCCCGCCGGCCACGTGCTGGGCGCAGCCATGTTCCTCATCGAGATTGCTGGGCTCAACATCTTCTTCACCGGCGACTACTCTCGCGAGCAAGACCGGCACTTGGTCTCTGCCGAGGTCCCCAAGGACGTTAAAATCGACGTCCTCATTACCGAGTCGACGTACGGCATCGCGTCTCACGTTCCTCGGCTGGAGCGCGAGCAAGCCCTGATGAAATCCATCACGGGTATTCTAAACAGAGGCGGCCGCGCGCTACTACCCGTCTTTGCACTCGGAAGGGCACAGGAGCTCCTCCTCATCCTGGATGAATACTGGGGGAAGCACCCCGAGTTCCAAAAATACCCCATCTACTATGCGAGCAATCTCGCCAGAAAATGCATGGTTGTCTACCAAACATACGTCGGCGCCATGAACGACAACATCAAGCGCCTCTTCCGAGAGCGCATGGCCGAGGCCGAAGCCAGCGGAGACGGTGCTGGCCAAGGTGGACCGTGGGACTTCAAGTACATCCGATCGCTCAAAAACCTCGACCGCTTCGACGACGTCGGCGGCTGCGTCATGCTCGCCAGTCCGGGTATGCTTCAAAGCGGCGTGAGCAGAGAGCTCTTTGAGAGATGGGCGCCCAGCGAGAAGAACGGCGTCATCATCACCGGTTACAGCGTCGAGGGGACAATGGCCCGGCAAATCATGCAGGAGCCGGACCAGATCCCGGCCGTCATGTCTCGTAACCTCGCCGCAGGGCGGAGAGGACCCGGCGGAGAACCGGAGAGGGTGCTCATCCCCCGGCGGTGCAGCGTCGCCGAGTACTCGTTTGCCGCACACGTCGATGGCGTCGAGAACCGAGAGTTCATCGAAGAGGTGGCCGCACCAATTGTCGTGCGTTTCTCCCCCTTTCCTCCTATTCCCATGCCGCATACAGACACCACCACCACCCTCCAAAGCCAGTACTAACGATGGGGAAAAAACACAGATCCTCGTCCACGGCGAGCAACACAACATGATGCGCCTCAAATCCAAACTGCTCTCGCTCAACGCCTCCAAAACGACCAAGGTAAAAGTCTACTCGCCCCGCAACTGCGAAGAACTCCGCATCCCCTTCAAAGCCGATAAAATGGCCAAGGTGGTTGGCAAACTCGCCTCGATCCCGCCCCCTCAAGACGTCGACGTCGACAGCTCCTCGGCGCCCCTCGTCACCGGCGTCCTCGTCCAGAACGACTTCAAGCTCTCCCTCATGGCCCCCGAAGACCTGCGCGAGTACGCAGGCCTCAACACAACCACCATCACCTGCAAACAGCGCCTCACCCTCAGCGCCGCCGGCATCGACCTCATCAAGTGGGCGCTGGAGGGCACGTTTGGCGCCGTCGAAGAACTGCCCGAGATGCGACGGGCCCAGAGGGCCAACGGCACCGGCACCGGCACCGGCGTCAAGAACAGCACGGGCACGGGAGACGAGGACGAGGACGACGAGGAAGAGTACAAGCCCGAAGAAGCAGCAGACGAGGAAGTCGCCGCCCTGGTGGCCGCATACCTGGTCATGGGCTGCGTGACCGTGCGGTACCGCACCAACGGCGAAGTCGAGCTCGAATGGCAAGGCAACATGCTCAACGACGGCATCGCCGACTCCGTCATGGCCGTCCTGTTCAGCGTCGAGTCGTCCCCCGCGGCCGTCAAACGCTCGTCGAAACTGCACTCCCACGCGCACGCGCACGAGTCCGCCGCCAACGGCAACGGGACGAACCCCCACGCCCACCCCTCGGCGGAGGACCGCCTCGAGCGGCTGCTCTGGTTCCTCGAGGCCCAGTTCGGCGCAGATAACGTGGCGCCCGTCGAGACGCCCCGCCTCCCGCCGTCCCAATCCCAGGATGGATCCATGGACGTGGACGGCGACAGCACAGACCTGGAGGCGCGCGCAAAGGAGGAGATTGAGCGCCTGCACAAGATTGGGATCCCCGTGCCAGGCGTCTCCATCAAGGTGGACAAGATGCTGGCCATGGTCTGGCTGGAAGACCTCGAGGTGGAGTGTACGAATAAGGTGTTTGCGGACAGGGTGAGGGCCGTGGTGGAGCGCGCCGTTGAGGTTTCGGCGCCGCTTTGGGGCTGACTTTTTTTTTACTCTTCATTTTTTTGTGTATTCCTCCGTCTCGTTCTCTCTCCCCTTGCCGGCGCCCTGGGAAAATGTATAAACAAGACAAGCAAGACAAGCAAGACAAACAAGACAAACAAGACAAACAGACCAATTAAATGGCCCCCTTCTTCTCTTCCCCCCTCTCTCCGCCTGCAGTAAGCGACATGACGGGATGAGTGACTGGTTGGAAACGGAAATGGAAATTGATCTGAAACCCGGCGGCAAACGCAAAAGCCGGACAATACCATCGGAAAGGCGAACCAGCATTGTGCCAATATCGCGTCTGCAGCCGTTGTGATTATAAGCTTTCAAAAAGGATAATCTATTCCGATTTTTCTTTGTTACACAGCGCTACGTACGTGGGTCTACAAATCTGAGCACAAAAGAAATAAAAAGAAAAAGAAGGCATGACGTTGATCGCGTGCTGGCCGTCTTCATCCCAAAAACTCCTTCAGTTCCTCACTATCTTCCAGCACTGTGTTGAACGAAAACGGCGCAAACGGCCATCCTCCAAACTCGGCAAACTTTGAGAAGGACTCGACCCATGCCAGTCGGAGAGAGTGCAACATGGCACTGGTGCCTTCCATGCAAACCAAGATGGCAATTGCTACGGGGCTTGTTAGTGACGGTATCCAAAGGCGCGGCACACAGACCAAGGCTTACTTAGGAAGAACCAGAGGAAGAAGCCGACGACAATCATGACCACGCCGGTGACACCTGGAGCTTTGAGCGTAGGACCGAGCGTCATGTCCCAGAGCACAATGCTGAGCTGCTGGTGAGCGAGCGACAGGGCCCACAGACGGAGGTATGAGGCTGTGTGAGAAACGCAGTTCAGGCAGAATTCTGCAAATCATTAGTCGGCGTGTGAGAAGAGAAGAAAAGGCATGCGACGTAGACCAACGTACCAATGGTGTGAATCACTTGATGAATCATGACCTCGCCAAATTCAAACTCGCCGTGCTCTTCGTCGATATTCTGCGAGATCATAGCTACGCCCTCGCCGTCGTCGTCAAAACTATTGCCGTGGCCGTTAACCAGGCCTTGGTTCTCGTCGTCGCCATCCAATGCACTAACACGGGACGTCTCGCCAATACCGCGATAGCCCTTGGCGCGAGCCCTGTTGTGCTCCCAACGGAGGTAGAATGGCTTGAGGAACAGAAGAATAGGGACCTGAGCAAAGGCGAGGAGGAGGAGCATGATCTGGACGGCGGCTTGCCCTTTGTAGAGCGGAACGTCCAGTTTTCCGGGCCGCAGGAACATGTAGATGAGCATGTTCAAGAGGCCGGGTGGCTGCCCGCCAATGGCAGGGTCGGGGTTGGTCCAATCGACAGTCCACTTGTAAACGATGCAAATGACCAGGTAACCGAATATGGACTGGAAGAAAATCATGCCGGGGACAAAGTTGCCCCAGATATCGATTGGCTTTCTGAAATGTTTGGCATTGATGTAAGAGAAACAGAGCGAGTAGGTCATGTGAGCCCAGCCGAGAATGATGCTCATCTTCATTTTGTAGCTGTTGCTGAAGAGGAGTGTGTTTTCTGTACCGTGCCAGGCCCAGTCAAGGCCAAAGGGATACCGGTAGCCCTCATCATTGAGCTTTGCCTCGATAGTCTGGCCCGGCTGCCAGCCATTGGGCTTCTCGTACTCCCAGGCGCTGGGAAAGAGCGTCATGGACTTCGAGAAGACGTCGTTGTAGATCAGACCGGTGAAGACGGAGAACACAGCCATCACCAGGGCAATGTATCGACCGTAAAATATCATTGCAAAGAGTTCAAAGGACACCTTTTTCAGTGACTTTTCCCAATAAATCATGGCAAGAGCAGCCGACAGCATGATGATGGCGTGGCCAAAATCACCAAACATGACGGCAAAGAGGAACGGAAAGGTGACGAAGACGGGTATGGCCGGGTTGACCTCCTGATAAGTTGCAGTACCATAGGCGTTAACAATGGTTTGGAATCCCTCGGTGAACTTGTTGGTCTTCAGATATGTCGGAGGCGTCTTGTTGGTCCGAATCTCATTGATGATTGAGGGAACAGAGAGGCCAGCTCGGTTAGTGACATCCTGAAGAGTCGATCGAATCAAAGGCATGTCGTGGGTGGGACACCAGGCTTCAGCAATCAAGGTTCGACGGGCACGGTCGTAGGAAAACAGGTTGAGGGTGCTGTAGACCGCCTTCTCCTTCGCAATGAGAATCATCCACGCGGAAAGGGACTGAGAGATCTGGTTCAACTCGGCTTCCAGAGTGGCCTGGGTGTTTCGAAGGACGTTCTGGACATCCTGCAGTCGGTTGTTAACCTCGTGGACTTGGTCGCGTCGAAGGTCACTGTTCTCATCGACGCTGTAGACCTCGGCACCCAAGGATTCGGAAATCTTTCGAATCTTGGCCAGGATCTCCTTGCCGTGGGCGAAGATTACAAAGACATTCTTGTTGATAGACTCGTTGTTGGTGGGGTCGATGAGAGGCTCAGGAATCTCGGACTGGTTCATGTACAGGTTGCCACGAAGTGTTCGCCAAAGAATTCGCTCAAAGGCAGCAACACGATCTCTGGTAATGACGCCAGCTACGAATCCAATGTTCATGCCGGAAAAGGATCGCTCCACTTCAGGGGCGCTGTGGTGCTGCTCCATGTCCTGGAGAAGCGGAGCATCATCGTTGTCCACTGAAGCGCGGATCTCATCGACATTGCCGTGGGCGCGATCGAAGAAGCTTCCGGCCTCTCGCAAAACCCACCTCCATTCAGTAAGATCGCCTTCCCGCTTCTTCAGAGTCTCGTAGCTGTCATTCAAAGCAAAAATTCGTTGCTCGAGCTTCTGGCTTCGCTCTGCAAGTTCATCAATCTCGGACGTTGATGGGGAGGCGAGTCTTTCCGTGTCCAAATCGAGCTTGCGAAGAGAAATCCCGGCCTTTCCCATTTGAGCATGGAAATACCCTAAGTCTCGTCAGCATACTACGTCGGACCTAAAAATTGAAGATTTCACCATGGCGTACGCAGCTGTCGCTCCACATTGTCAAGTCGTCGGATCTCTTGCGTAAAGGTTCGCTGGAAGGCGCTCACGTCCTCGTTGAGCTATACAATGACAAACATGTTAGTCACTTCTCCAATCGCTTCAATCTTTGCGCCGCAAATGAGGACGCCAGAGAGAGAAGGAGGGAAACCTTACATCTCGGAACTGGCACAGCCCGAGCTCACCAAGCGCAGTGACGACCTCGCGACCGATTTCGTTGGAGACGTATAACTGAACCATGCTCATATCCGCCGAGCGGAACGGCGTGTCCTGTTTGGGGGCCATGGTGACGACCTCAAGCACCGAAGACACGTTGGCAGAGGAGGGCCTTGAAGCTTGTCGTCCGCCTCGTGTACAAAAGGGAAGCCCAGTGTTCGTCACAGCGCAGGAGCTGGGCTGCGGACAGGGGAGGGACCGGCGTTGTTCCGATCGCAGTCACGTGTCATCGGTGGCACCGCGACGTCACTTTAGCAGGTTCCACAGGGCACACGTTGTGTGTTCAGAGCATTGTAACTACATCATGTAATTTATCAAGCGATGAAGCAAACCAAACGAAGAAGGAATAGTGGCGGAAGAACGCAGAATCCTTGATTGGGAAAGCCGGTGCCTGTTCATTACTTTGTCAACTGCGGTACTCATTCAGACGCAGCTTCAATCAGCTAACGCATGGCGGCGCGTCACTCTTTCACCGTCCAACAAGTTTCTCCTATTTCTCTCGTCTTTCCATGTTTTCCGAGGTGAAAATTGAAAATTTCCTCATTGACTTAAATCGTTGCCCTTGCATGCTTTACCGGGCTTTCATGACAAAGAAATTCATTAAAAACCGAAATTTTTATTTCATACATAAATGTCCTTTTGCTTCACGGTTGCCGGAGTAAGAGAAAAAAAAAAGGTATCGAGTTCCAGTATGCGTTTCGTCCATCGATAGTGACATGCTGTTCTTGTGCCGTGAAACAACCTCAAAATGCCCAAACGTACAAAAGTCCGAGTTGGGATGCTGTATGCCTTTGCTATGCTGATGATGGTAGACAGGAGAAGAAAAAGTGAGAACCAAAGTGGAAGCTGTCGGGGTGATGCAAAAAAAGAAGAAAAAAACAAGGCCAATTACACTCGTCGTCCAAACATAAATGAACCATACATTCCACCAACTTCTGCTGTTGCGACGGGTACCTTTCTCATACCCCAGCTTTCCGCACCCATCTTCCACCATCGCCAGCCATTGTCTCGCATAGAGCCCTCCAGATCCATGCGCACCAGCCAATACCGGCTGCCAAACTCCTTGGCAACCCAGCCCACTCGCTGGAGGTTCTTGTTTAGCTTGGCAGCACGCTCGTAAGCCCGTTCCGCAATCTCAATGACGCGGAGCGGAGCAGATGCAGGCGCAAGCAGGGTGCTCGCGCTGCCAATAATCGTTTCAATGTCGCAAATGTCGAGGAATTTGAGATTGTGCTGAAGCCATTCCTGGCCGCTGCAGAACAACTTGTGGATATCTCCCATTTCCAAACCGCGACCGACGGCAAGTTCCTCGAGTGTCTGGGCAAGGCGACTGAGTTCGGGAATGTGAGAGGAGTGCATTCTGCTGCCACGCAAGCTGAGAGACTTGAGGGTCTTGGGCAAGCGCGGAAGCAGGCCATCAATGTCTTCCTTCCCGAGTAGCAGGTGGTTAGCCGGATCGGTAGCCAAGCTCAAGAAGACGAGCGAATCTTTGGTGGATGGATGCGACGTGACGAAATTGACCACGCATTCGGCGGACAGCTCCTTGCACTTAGCAAGGTTCAGATGCGTCAGTCGCGCAGTGTGAGGGATCCTTTCCAGAGCCTCATCAGTAATGCGCGTGCCGGCGACGTCCAGATGGGTGAGTTTGCTCAACCGAGGCAGAATCGTTTCGAAAACTGTCGACGGGAGTCCGAGGCACCTGTGGAAGGAGAGTCTGGTAATGGAGAGCTCGCTGGGCCAAGTGTCCTCAAGAAGTGTGTTGAAAGAGTTTTTGAAGACTGTGGATGAGCAGCCGCAAAAGTCCAGCGCCCGCAAGTTAGGCAAGTCGAAGAACAACTTTCGAAGGACAGGAGGTCCGAGATCACAGTCAATGTACTCTTGGGCTAGGAACTCCTGCAGGTAAGGAGTCAGTTCCAGACACTGAGCGAGGGTGTCTGCCGTGAGATTCTGCGTCTTGGCGCGTTCGCTGGCGGTGGAAAAATGCATCGAGGGGTTGAAGTGGCTAAAGTCAAGTCGCCGAACAATGGTGGCCAGTGCAGGATACCCGGTAATGGTATTCAGGAACTTGCGGAAAATCCGCGAGTGAGGAATCGTGATGTGGCGGTAGAGCGTTGTGAGCGTAGTGGCATGAATAGACCGAGATGTGAGGAGTAACGCCATCAAGTCCGTATTGCGCGTGGTCAGTCCGTTGGGCGGAATCTCGACCACCAGGAGGTCAATAATGGAGCCCAGAACCTCGCTGGGAAGCCTCTCGAGGGGAGCATCACCAACGGCATAGCTGCCGGTGAGCTGCCTCGCGATCGGGGCCGGAGACGTGGGCGGCGACTCCCAGCTCATGCACAGCCTGCGCAAATCATCGAAGCTCCGGCTCGCCTTCTTGCCTCTGAGGGTAATTTCCCGCCACCCTTTGAAGCTGTCTGGCGGGTACCAGAAGCCATGAAGCCTGCTGTGCGGCTGGGTCAAGGGCGCCTGGAAAAGAGGCTGCTGAGAAAGCTCAGAGGTGGGAGACTCGTCGAAGACATCCTCAGGAGCCTCGATGTAGGACGAGACTTTGGATCGCGTAAAGGTCTGGACAAGCCCGTCATCGTTTTCCCGGACAGAGGAGAATGAAGATCGCGAAGCCGTGTCTGAAGGAGAGAGCGCGCCAGCCATGCTGGACTTGACCAGGACGGACGGATCGAAGTCGAGCACACGGCGGTGCCCGGCTCCGCTGGGTACGGCCATATAACAGACTGGAACACAGTCTGGTGGCGAGTGGCCCCTTGGGCGGGTTGATTTGCTGGGAATTTTCGTCGCACAGAAGGCGTGCCGCGGAGTGCAGCTGCGACTTGTCGTACCGCTCGAGTCAGCGAAGGCGAGGAACGGCGTGTCGAGAAGCGTCTCGGCGGCGGCTTTTGTCGGCTGACTCGCCAACGAGGTCACGACTCACGACTCACGACTCACAAGAGATGCGGCGTTGAGATGGCGAGGACAATGGCCCGGGAAGAGTAACAATCTGGCGCCTTAAATACCCAGGAAAGTCGGGAGCAAGCCGGCGGGTCCCCGAAATAGAGTAATTTATGAGAAGAGGTTGAAATAAATTTCGGTGGCTTCCAGGTGGGTTCGAGTCAAGAGGGTGTTTGGGTTAGTATAAGTCTGGAAACGAGGCCTTGCCAGTAGGCTGCTCTTGGCCTGGCTCAGCCGTCACCCACGCACCCACGCCCACCACCAACAACAAACTCGACGCCAGCAGCTCCGGCGCACACGCCACAGCCTTTGTCAGGCGCCGCACGTCCTGCCGGCCGATGCAGGCCTTCGCCTCGCGCAGAGTCGGCGGCTTCGTGGGCGCTGATTCGCGCGGCACGCCCACACAGCACAAGAGACAGGAGGTGCGATCCCGGGGACCCTGACCGAAGGCATTGCAGACCTCTGCTAGCGTCATACCCTTGGCCTCAAAACGGAGGGATTGAGTAATGGAAATAGACGACTGGGGCGCCCGAGGGCCTTTCCAAGGGTCATGTGAGCACCGCGCTCTGGGAGCGCAGCCAACCGCGCGCCGTCCTTGGGACATGCCATGGCATTCCACGGAGTCGCAGGCGCGGGCTCCGACTCCGACGTTGGCTGAGGTTGCAACGAAGCAATTCATTTTCGCGTCCTGAGTTGCCATGTTTGAAGTCGGAGCTCAAGTCGGAGCTCCCTGCTCCTGCCTCAGCGCCGGGGTCCGGCGGCTTGCACCGTTCCTGCCGCCTCGGTGTTCCACAGTCTTCTTTGGGAATTCCATCCGGCAGTCGGCAATTTGCATCCATCATCCATGTCTCCTCCCAACAAGTCCCTGCAACGCTGCAACGCTGCAAACCGGGCATTGACAGGAAATATCACTGGCGTCCAGCTGCATCTAACTGCGACCCCAGACTGTCAACGTGTTTCTCGCCTCCACCATCAACGCCCGGGGACGAGCCAAATGCCGCACACCACCTGCGCCCACGATTTCGTGCCATCAGCACCTCCCCACCGACTCCTCCTCAAGCCAGCCCTCCTTTAGCTTTGGTCGGCGGCGAGAGGTTTGGATGTGGTAATGAAAACTGCCCGTGGCCATGGGGCATGGGCCTTCACCACGTCTCTCACTTTGCACGCACAGTCGCGCACGCCGCAAGCTGTTTGGCTGCACCCCTCCGTGCTCGCTTCTCGTCACCGTCTCGTCATGGCACTGCTGTGCTGTGCCAAATTGTTTTGCAGCCGGCAGTGTCCTCGTGACCTGCTCGTGTGCTCTGGTCCGGGCGGCTCACCGGGACCCCTTGGGGGCTTACGGGGTACGCCGTTAGTCGATGAGACAATCATCTGCTGTGTGGTGCGCAATACGTATCGCGCCTCATTTCAGACCCAATTGCAGAGCATCGGCCATAAATCCCAGTTCCCCCGGCACCGATGGTCGGTGAGACATGAGGACATGCGTCTGCCCCGTCGCGACGTGCAAAATTCGGTCTTCACTTCACTCGGAATTGCAGAGCATCGGCCACGAATCCCATGCTGTCCCGTTACCCTGTCCTACAGTCTGGGAACCCTGTTGTGTAACCAAAAACACCTGGCCAAGCAGCCGAGCCGTTAGCGAAGGGGTCAAATGGATATGGAGGCTCTCCGACTTGGGAGTGAGTCGAATGTTGCCACAAAACGGGGACTCATATCATGGCAGTACACTACGTTACACTCGGTTGCTTACTCAATGATGGCGAGTTGCCACAACTCGGCACATCTTTCGCGGAGTAGCCTGCCCCTGCTTCTGCGTTTATGGGAGCTGAAGAGCCGAGGGAGGTGCACGCCTACTCTGGAGCCTGGACTTGTCTCGCCTCGTATCACAGATTGGCTACAAATGCTGATCCCGTTGTCCCAATAAGTTCGTCTTGTTTAAAGCACAAATCTTCTAGGCGCCTTGGTGGCCGCAGACGCCTCCGCCGAAAGCGGGATCCCCAAACCCGAAGCCGACCGCCCGCGACCTGGCGGTTTGTGGGGTAAAGGGATTACCAGAATCGTAATCGAGCCGTGGACTAGTCAATCGCAACGCGAAGTTTCTGTCTCCCGGTCAGGTGCGCAGGTCGACTAGCATTCTGTTCTAAGTAGCTCGGTACCCAGGCACGGCGATGGTGGACAGAGACCAGGCCAATGTTGATACCGAAACTCGGATACAACAGCGTGGCCACACGCCGAACTTGCTGTATCAAGGGCCAGCTCTCTGGAATTGCAGAGTGGCAACACATGCAGGTTCCTACACACACTCCGAGCACACGCAGGTGTGCTGCAATACGGGGAACCTCAGGTTCTGGATCAGGGCCTGCCTGCCTACGTACTTGGGCAGGCACACCGTACCACGGACATGGACGAGCTCCGAAAAAGCAACAAGTTACTCCGCCATCTCTTGTCCAGTCTTTGAAAGAAGAAGACAATAAACAAAAGGTGTTTGGCCCAACAGAGCCCAGGATCTGAATGGAGACATCCGTTCCATGAACGGAGACTGCGAGATTGCCGTGTGCTCGGTTTGTCGGTTTTCTCTAAGAGGAGGCCGAAGTGGCAAATCTTCTTGTCCCAACAGGCACAAGAGGAGTCATTGAGGAGAGACAGCTATGTGGTCCAGCAGGACCAGTGCACATCAGGCGACGACAGGCGCACCCGCAACCCTCACAGCTTTTCGTGGTGTGATTATGTTTAAAGATCCGCGCCCCAAAGCCTTTACTCGCCAGCCTACGCCGTGTTGCCTAGCCTACTTATTTCTCAGTTCGGATCACTGCCTTGATCTGCCTGCCACCCGACTATTCAAGCCAGCCTAGGATAGTTCCAGCGTCCAATGGCGATTTGCCAGGTGCCCATCATCTTGTCGAGCGGTGTATGGCGTGAATAAACATGTGTCAATGTTTCCCCTGCAGGGAGCATATACAGTAGTGACGTCCCTGTAGTGCCACCATGCAAGAACAAGAACCTGGTATGTCATGGTCCATGTTATGAGGATGGATGGAGTCGTCTTTCAACTTCGACGCAGATACAGGGATGGAGCCTGATATTGCCACATAGACCAATCGACAATTTACGGAGCACTACACAGCGCACGAAGCTTGGCATCACACCTGGTCCAGTGGCCGTATACTCGCAACATTTACGCTAACAAAGCCACATTACCAGATACTTGTTTCCTCTCCCCGCTGAGGGGGGAATGTATGCCACTCTTTTACGTGACGGTTTTCATGACTGACGTAATGAGCAGCGAATGCGGAGAGCACAGTGACATTTTGGATGCGATTTACCAAAGGAACCTTTGTCTCTTGCGCATCCACCAGCCACGTAGGGCCATCCAGAAGCAGGTGACGCACAGGATGGAGATAGTTCCCAGCGGCAGTGTGGCACGTTTTCGGGCACTCCTCTGGGTCTTGCAACCTGCACAGCATCAAATTCAGACGCCCCTAGCGGCGAAATCTACAGTAATACCAAACAAACATGAATGAGCAGAGATACCGCGGTTTGGTTCTGATCCAGATGTGCTGTAGGGTAGCCTCAAGCTGTCGCTCTGTAAGCACGTCGTCTTCGCGACATCACGTGACATGGTCTGACGCCTGGAGGCCGAGGCTCCATTTTCCCAAGGACCTATTGACAAGCCAATCGGGGGAAGGCGGCCCAGCCGCCTGAAGATTGTGCGTCAACTGGCTGGTCAACTGGTCAAGTCCCAGGTGCCAGCCGCCGCTGTCTGCATCCCGCTGGGTCGCCCAGCCAAAACCTCGGCCTCACTTGCTTCCCCTCCACGTCTGTGGTTAGGAATGGTGTGTAGTTGTATGCCTCTTCTCGGACCAGCTTTCGCATGGGCCTCAGAATGATATAGAATTGTACCTCTTTCATCTATTTTCTCGTCATTATTTCCACCTGCGCGCCTCCCACTCGAGGAAACACGCTGCGTCGTCGCTCGACCCGCAATCGCCATCACGGCCACAGCCCGAGCCCGAACCCAACGACCTTCCTCACATCTGGACGACAACCACATGCCGCCATTACTCCCTTGCCCTCAGTACAGCTGCAGAACAGACTAGACGCATATATACAAGATGAAGCCGGCCAAACCTGTGGCGGCAGACACGGCATCGCATCGAAGATCACAGCCCGCTCGCCAGGCACGAACCAATCCTTCACGGAGCTCCGCCAAAGCTGGTAGAGCCGGTGACGGTAGAGGCCCTGTCAACGGCCATCCCTTGGGCAACCAGCCCATCGAGATATTCCCTGCCATTACCCATTTTGCTGATACAATCTCGGCCCTCCCCAAGGAGCTTGTGCGGCACTTCACCCTCCTCAAGGAAGTCGACGCCAAGATTTTCGCTCCCCAAGAACAGCTCTTCCAGCTGGTCGCCGCCATCTCCAACTCGTCCCTGTCCGAAGTCAGAGCCAACAATGACGCCCCAGGTACGGCGCAACCATCGTCCGCCCCCATGAGCACGCAGAATAGCTCCAGCGGCATGCCTTTGAATCTCGCCCGTGCCTCCTCAGCTCCGTCGCTCAACGACGCCAGTGCCGCGCCCACCAGCGTCTTCGACTCGTCCAACATTCCGCGCCGACAGCTCTTCCGGCAGACGGCATTCAAGGTCCAAGAGATGCTGGTCTCGCTGGAAGAAAAGAACCACGTGCTCTCCACCGCGAACGAGGCACTGTCACGACAGCTTGCGCGAGCCGAAGATGTGTGGCCCTATTTGGAAAACGAATTCAGTAACGAGGCGAAATGGGGCAGCACCACGCACTGGGCCTATCCCGAGAATCGAACTGGTAGCAAAGTGTCTCACGCCGAGAGGGCTCGCCGCGACGGTGCTGCGGCAATCTCAGCCGCCGCCCAGGCACTCGCGGAGGAAGCGGCCGCTAGAAGTGACGCCCGAAAGCAAGCTGTGCAAGCAAAAAGGGGCCTGAAGAATCAGCAGCAAGACTCTGACGCCGACGATCTAGAGGCTCGCCAGAAGGAGCCGCCCAAGAAGGCCACAGCCAAGTCCCGGAAGGCCGTCGCGGCCGATACAAACACCACGGGATTGGGCATTTCAGCTTCGACTGCCAATGGCAACCCGCCCCCAAAGAGGAGGAAAGTAGAGAAAACGATCAACGGGGGCAACGCGGCCACTGGAGGCTCCATGAGCACCGTGCTTGGTGCAAATGCCCCAAAGCCAAAGGCTGGCAGCCCCAGAGGGACTCCCGGGCCGGAGGGGGCCAAGAAACGTAAAGCCTTGCCAACGGGCAGTGGACAGGCGAAAAAGAAGTATGTGTCTGACGCTCGTTTAGCATCGCGTGGGCTGGTATTGTGTGTCCGTTTTAACTAATATACATGCTAGGAACGGCATGTCACCCTCGGTCACGTCGTCTCCCATGATGGGAACAATCCCCGATGCGAAAGCGCCGAGTCGAGCATCGCCGCCTCCGACCACCAGCGCGCCTCGCCCAGCATCGTCCCGTGCCCGACAGAACTCGATACAGTCCAATGTTGACAATGGAAAAGCCCGACCGACGTCGTCGGCCGCGAACAAACCCAATGGCAACGGCAGCCAAGACACAGCTGAAATGGCCTCAGTCGCAGCATTTCCTCGAGCTGCGCAGGAAGCAAAACCAGCCAAGGAAGCCAGCAGTGCACCCGCCAAGACGGAACCTGTCAAGAAGGAAAGCGACCGGCCCGAGGCGTCCAGCAACTCTACGCCCACCCTGGCGAAAAAGGACACCAAACCAGACGAGCCCGACGGGAAAAGCGAGCCTGTCCCCCCACAGGCGACCTCGGCCGCGGTCACTACGAAAAGCGGCAGAGCGAGCAAACCGTCGACACCGGCATTGTCCACGTTCCAGGACGCAGCTCGCTCGCGACCGTCACGAAGCACCGAGGCCGGGGCCAGGAAGGGCCACAAGAAGAGCGGATCCGTGGCACAAGTGGCCCTCATACAGCAGGCTGCCGCCGACACCGACGCCAGCAGCAGCATGCAGGGAGACGACGAAGACGGCGACATTGACGCCGACGAACCGACGTATTGCTACTGCAACAGCGTTAGTTATGGCGAGATGGTGGCCTGCGACGCCGACGACTGCAAGCGCGAATGGTTCCACCTCGCCTGCGTAGGGCTCAAGGTTGCCCCCGGATCGAAGAGTAAGTGCAGGCCTTTTGATTCCAGTCCCCCGTCGCCGTCCCCCCTCCCCCCTCCCCCAAAAGCATGCCTGCCTGCCTGCCTGCCTGGGTTCTAACGCGCTGGCCAGCGAAATGGTACTGCGAGGACTGCAAGGACCGCCTGAAAATGGGGACCAAGAAGTCTGGCGGGCGCTAGTCCCTCGGAGTCGCGTCTTGTTGGTGCCGTCGTAGCCGACCTGTGTTTGTATACCATCTTGTTTGTAGTTGTCCGTGGGTTCTGGCGTATATCTGGGCAAATTGCGTGGGAGCAGCGTGCGTTTGTGTCGTGCACGACGTCGACGGACTGGATACGGTGCCGCCAGGTGGGTTGGCAATGCATTACGATTTTTCTTTTTTCTTCTTTTTCTGTACGGCCATTTCTTGCAAGTAGATCATACCGAGCGGGTGCTGGGGTGGTTCGTACGTACGGCTCGAGGCGGTGGTGTTTATTGTGTACGAGCATGTTTTATACACCCGTCTGCCTACTACGTAGTGTGTATAGCCCGGCGCATACGCCGGCCAGTGCATTCAAATCAACCGTGGAATACCATGGTGTCGAAACGAAACCAAGTGATTTCACGCAACTGCTCTATATTGTAGAACTGAAAAAAAAAGCATTGACGCGCCATGCGGTTCCGCAAGAGGATTCCTAGGCAAAGCAGGGGGGTATATACACCATACGTGTGCACAATCGTTATTCTACCAGGCGTCGGCTCTTGGCCTTGACCAGGGTGCTCGTCTCGTCCCTCTCGTTTTGCTTCCGCCGCCACTGCCACTCCAACATGACCCAGATGAAGTGCTGGAGATCAAAGTCTGGCCACAGACAGTCGATGAAGACGATCTGCGTGTCCTGGTGGCACTGCCAGAGCATGAAGTCGCTGAGGCGCTCGACGCCGCTGGTCCGCACGAAGAGCTCCAGCGGCGGGTCGGCAGCCGTGTACATGTGCTCGTTGAGGGTGTCGGTGGTGATGGACTCTGGACTGGGGAGGTGCTTGGTCGAGGAGGAGCGGAGGCTGGGCGAGGGCGAGTCCGGGGGCAGCGTGGTCGACGACGAGTCGCCGGCGTCTTCGTCCATGTCCACGAGGTTGGATTCGTCGGCGACGTCGTCGTCGGCGTCGGGGATGGTGGGGAGGGGCTCTTTGCCGTCGAGCTGGGTGGACAGGATCTTTTGGCGGATGCGCGAGGGCGAGAAGGGGGTGCTCTTGGGCGGCGAAGGGCTGAGGGAGTCTTGGACGGTGTTGCGGATGGCAGTGGTGATTTCGGCCCGCGACGTGTACGGGAAGCAGATGTTGAGGACGGCTCTTCAGATCGGACGGGTTAGCCCACGTTCTTGTCCGGCAGCGGCAGCGACATACCTGTCGTTGTGCTTGGTCCTGGCGACGGCTCTATCGACGACCTGGAGGACGTCCTCGCGGATCATGTCCCGCTGCCCGAGGACGCGCACGCAGGCGCCGTAGCGGTCCAGGATGTCGCCGTACGTGGTGAGCTGCTCCAGCTTGACCTTGGCCAGCTGCATGAGCCCTTCGACCTCGTGCTTGGGCCGGTTGTAGTTCTCGACGCTGAAGGCATAGACGGTGATGACCTTGACGCCGCACTTGTAGCAGATTTCCATGATCTGCGGGGCGCAAAGAATGCGTCAACCACGCGCCGGCCAACGGTTAACCGTGGCTCGCTCGCGGAGAAGAGAGATGGGTCGTGGGCTGAACGTACCCTGGCAAGAGCCTCGAAGCCGCGATGGTGCCCCTCGATCGTCTCCATCCTGTGACTCCTGGCGTACCGCCGGTTCCCGTCCATTTCAAAGGCCACATGTTGCGGCACCGGACCCTGGCGCAGGGCCCCGATCAGAAGTTCTCGGAGACGACGCAGTGCCCATTCTCCAGGAGGGGACTCGAGAATCAGACGGCGCAGTAGGGAGACGGCGTCTGACATGTCTGGCGGTGGAGGCGAACGGGGAAGAAGAGGCAAGAAGAGGGTCGAGATCCGGAAGGGAGGGCACTATCACAGACTCCTAGAAACAGCAACGCGACATGATGGCTCGGAGCAAGAGACGACGACAAGGCCCAAGTTTTATGGTGGTTGGTGGTTGGTGGTTGGCGGCGAGGAGCAACGGATGCACAGGGATCCAGGAGTCGAGTCGTCCAGGGGTCCAGCGCCTGGCTTTTCAGTGGTCAGGCAGGGGCTGAAGCCCAGCGAACTCCAGTGACGTGGTGCCTGACAGGACGACGCCACCAGCCAAAGTGGAGCGGTCAGCTGGTGGCCCTACTGACCAGGTCCCGAGCACGACTTGCGGCTCCGGGGCACCATTTCCGACAGCGTATGATTGGAACTTGGAGCTTGTGTGTAGATGCAGAGATGGACGATCTACTCGCAGGCACGCACGAACACAATGACGGGTATCGTAACGTGGCGTGGCTTTGGCCTTTCCCCCTTGGCGTCGACCCTGCCAATTGAGGACATGTGGCAGTGGCCCCAGGGCGCTGAGCATCCACACGTGCGCCATGCAGCGCCGCAATTGCGCTGCCGAGTGCCTGGGCTCCAGCGGGTGTGGCCCCCTCCGAGTGCCAGCAACTTCTAAAGTTACGGGTCGTCGTCGCCGCCGCAGCCGCGTTTCGTGCACTGCATCGTGGCGAGGCATTACGCAAGACACGCCAAGGCTTCGGCTCTCTACTTACGTCGACATCGTGCCGCAGCATCGGACGGTTCATTCCTGACTCGGGTGACTCATGCCGCCGCGAGTGCGTGACGCCTCCCGCGCTCTCGTACACTTTGCTTCCAACTTCGGGGCAGATGTCTTCTTACTAGTTAGTCACTCTGTTGATCAGTCCGACTGTTCAGCAATCGAAGCGCCGAGACACGACGCTAGCTGGAGCCAGCATCTGCCACGCTCCTTGTGATGAGCATCTTGACAAGGGGTGCTCGGCGCTCGACGCTCGACGACGTCACGACCGACCGAGGGCGACGTCTGGGCTCTGGAACGAGCAGCAGCCCGAGCAAAACTCGGCAAAATACAGATGAGCACTGGCAACAACGACAACCATGCCCCAACGCTCTGTAGCCACTGAATAAACCTCAATCAATCATGGCCGCTTTTATCAGCCTGGAAACCCCGCCGTCAGAATCTGCCCCACGTCGATCCGTCCATGATGACAGTCCTCTCTACACATGCAGTCGACATGGATCCCGCCCAAAGCGACAACCTGGGGTTTTGCAAGTGCCCGGGAGCTTACCAAAGTGGCGTCGGACAAGATGCTCCCGAGCACCAGCTCACCGTAACAACGTCCTCGTCGTGGCGACGAGAGCCATTTCCCCCCCAACCCCCCCAAACGAGCTGTCGAGCCGCCGAGTTGCTTGCCTTCTCAGATAAGCTCTCGCTTCTTTCTTGAATCCCCGCGCAATCTTCACTCACGCCCTGCGTTTCGTCGCCCCGTTTTCGGTCCAATTGCGGTGACGCGATTGACCCGTTGCCTCCCGAACCCGGTCCGACATGGTTGTCTTCGACGGCCACGAGTACCTTACTGAAGAGGAGAGGCGCCTGAAGGAGGATCGCGAGCGAACAAAATACTGGAAGAAATGGGGACCCTACGTTGCCGAGCGTCAATGGGCCACGGGTACGCAATTGCTGGCTGCCGAGATGCTGTGTTGCCATGGTATACTGATGAGCTTCTAGTGCGAGAGGATTACAGCGCAGATGGAGATGCCTGGAGTCGTAAGCCCTTCCCACGACTGCTTTTTCCTCTATATATTGAAATCCCTAACCATCTGATCTAGACTTCCCCCATGAGCACGCCCGATCCCGCGCCTTCCGATGGGGGGAAGACGGCATTGCTGGCGTCTCCGATACGCACGGCCTCCAGAATATCGCCTTCAGCTTTTGGAATGAAGAAGAGTGCGTGTCCCTGTTTGGCAGAGTCGCAAGACAACGTAGAAGGGAATGTTGGAAAACTAACCATTCTTGCAGCGATTTTCTCAAAGAACGACTATTCGGTCTATCCAACCCCCAAGGAAACCATGGCGAGAGCATCAAGGAAGCCCACTTTCACGTAGACAATACTCCTGTAAGGGATCCTTTCCTTCTTTTCTTTCCTCTCCCCCCCCTTTTTTTTTAAAATTATATATTATATAGCTTGAAAAATCAGATAGCCCCGAGGCTGACCTTCTCCCCAGACAGTAAGACGCCCACGATAACTTTCAATTCACGTCGAACTAACCAGCCAGCACTCGTACATGAAATTCCTTTACAAGTATCCTCAAAACAAGTTCCCATACCAGGACCTGATAGAAGAGAATGGCCGGAGAGGCAAGGAAGATGAGGAGTATCAAATCATCGACACCGGTGTCTTTGACGAAAACAGATATTGGGACATCTTCATTGAGACCGCCAAGGAATCTGACGATCCTGACGAGCTACTGTTTCGAGTCACCGCTTGGAACCGGGGCCCTGATCCAGCACCTCTCCACATCATTCCTATCGTGTGGTTTCGCAACACGTGGAGCTGGGGTCACGAATCTCAGGACAAAAGGCCGTCCATTGCTGCACATTCTGACCTGTCCGTCAAATCAAACCACTATAGTCTTGGGGACCGATACCTGCACTACTCTCCATCTCCGGGAGTAGGATCAAGTGGCGAGGATGTGATGCCTCTGTGGATGTTTACGGAAAATGACACAAACTATGAACTTTTGTACAAGCAAAAGAACCAGCAACCTTATGTGAAGGACGCGTTTCATAGATATGTTGTCGATGGCGAAAAGGCAGCCATCAACCCCACTCGGACTGGCACCAAGTCCTCTGCCTGGTTCAACTTCAACGAGGATGGCGGCGTAAACCCCGGTGAATGCGCAGGTATGGCGAAAACAACACGGCCTCCCTGTAAAGTTTCGCAAAGCTGACGACAGCTCTCACAGTCGTCCGGTTCCGTTTCAGCAAGAAGGACATGACATACCTTGATGAAGAAGAATTTGACGACGTCATTGAGAAACGACGTGAAGAAGCAGATGAATTTTATTATCGAATCAGCCCCCTGCCCATGACTGACGACCTACGAAATGTCCAACGACAAGCCTTTTCAGGAATGATGTGGACGAAGCAGCATTACCACTTCATCTGGGACCAATGGGCCAAGGGCGATCCATGGACGCCGCCGCCGCCTCCTGATCGATTGGGTGTTCGGAATTCTCAATGGAAACACATGCATTGCGATGATATCCTGTCAATGCCCGATTCCTGGGAGTATCCCTTCTTCGCCGCGTGGGACAGCGCATTCCACTGCATACCCTTGGCCATGATCGATCCTGACTTTGCCAAGAAGCAGCTGGATCTATTTACTCGAGAGTGGTACTGCCACCCAAATGGGCAGCTCCCAGCGTAAGAAAAACCTACAATGCTGCCGGTTGGCACAGTCGCTGACAACAACTTCTCCTTGCAGATATGAGTGGAACTTTGGCGATGTGAATCCTCCGGTTCACGCGTGGGCGACATTCAGAACATTCAAAATCGAGAGAAAAATGTATGGACGTCAAGACCTTGACTTTTTGGAGAGAGTCTTTCAAAAGCTGTTGCTCAATTTCACCTGGTGGGTGAATCGCAAGGACGCTGATGGCAAAAATGTTTTTGAGGGCGGCTTCCTCGGCCTTGACAATATCGGTCTGTTCAATCGGTCAGAACCTTTGCCAACGGGAGGCGTGCTGGAGCAAGCAGATAGCACGGGGTGGATGGCGTTTTACTGCTTGTCCATGCTCAACATTGCGCTCGAACTAGCCAAGCACCGACGCATTTACGAGGACATTGCCTCAAAGTTCTTTGAGCACTTCATCCTCATCAGCGACGCCATGACTTTCAGGACCGGCCAGAAAGATGAAAAGTCTCTCTGGAACGAGGAGGATGGCTTCTACTACGACGCCATCTCCTGGGGCGGCCCTTGGATCCAGCAGCTGCCGGTGCGGTCTCTCGTCGGTCTCATTCCCCTGTACGCAACCACGACCTTGGAACCGGAGCTTTTGAACAAGCTCCCGACGTTCCGCAAGCGGGTGGAATGGTTTGTTCAGCATCGAGAGGACATGGCCGAGAGAAACATGGCGAGCATCCGGAAGAGGGGAAAGGGCGACAGGTTACTCCTCTCCATTGTAAGCAAAGACAGGTTGGAGAAGATCCTCAAGCACATGCTGGACGAGGACGAATTCTTCAGCGACCACGGGATCAGATCCCTGTCCAAATACCACAAGGACAAACCTTTCTCCATGGAGGTCAATGGGCAACAATTCAAGGTCGGGTACGTCCCGGGCGATTCAGACACGGGATTGTTTGGCGGGAACAGTAACTGGCGAGGGCCCATCTGGCTCTGTGTCAACTTCCTGCTGGTCGAGTCCCTTCAGCGGTATTACCTTTTCTACGGGCCCGAGTTCCAGGTCGAGTGCCCGACCCGAAGTGGCGACTACATGCACTTGGGCAAAGTGGCAGAGGAAATCCAGCATCGTCTCCAACACCTCTTTGCCCGCACCGACGACGGAAGGCGCAGGATCAACGCCGGGGACGACCGTCTCGACTTTGACGAGCACTGGAAGGACTACCTCTGGTTCCATGAATTCTTCGACGGCGACAGCGGCCGGGGCCTGGGCGCCACGCATCAATGCGGCTGGACTGGTCTCATTGCCAGAATGATCCACGACACTGGGTAGGCTGATGTTTTTCTTTTCTTCTCTGCGTCAGAGCACGAAGCTAACAAGAAACCGCAGCACAAACTGCCGCCTTCCCCAAACGCCGCGGACACCCTCCGCCGCCATGGCCCACTACTTTGACGACATGTTCCAGCGCAGCCTCGATCTCGGCACACCCCGGTCCCCTGGCATGCGACGGATCCGCCGCTCGTCAACGGCCCGGTCCATCGGCGCGCGGAGCGACTTTACCAACGGGGTCGATGATGACGCGCATTCGCTCAGTAACTCGGTGCTTCAAGATGATGCGGAAAGGGTCCGGGAGAAGCTGGAGGCAGATTTGCATTTGCATCGGTACATATCGGATCAGCTGGAGCGATACAAGGATGAAGGCCTGAAGGGGGCCCACGCAGACGAGTATGAGACCAAGGCTTAGACGTGACAGAAGAGAAGATGATGAAGTGGCTCGGTACGATGCAAGAAATACGTGAATGAACAGTTGCATCGGACGAGGTCCCTGTAGGCGTCGTCCATGGCGGCCCGCGCGGCCAAAACGTTGTGTGAGCACGAGCATGTCATTTTCCTGGGCCCTACCTGTCTGTCCTCCCGGCCTGAGCATGGCCTCGTAGAAACGGCGCCACTGGGCTGGATGTAAATGCACCAAATCACGGGGCAGCAGGCTGTATGTAGCAGGGCGGCAAGCGGGCAGACTGACGACCACGCCGTGCCATGGAGTCGACGTCGACGGGCCGCAGGGAGCGTGAGATCGGCGGAACATGACGTGCTTGGTGGCGGAATCTCCATGGGTTTTTTTACGGACGGACCTGTGGTCGGTGCGAGATCAACCATCACAAGGGGACCGACGTAGAGTAGTGTATAGTGCTTCTATTCACCGCACCTCGCCGGGGCGTCACGCCAAGCCCGTCGGGTGCGGCGGTTTCCCCTTTCCCTTTGACGTTTAAGCGTACATACATGGTAGGATGCCTGCGTCGGTTTCCTCCAGACGAGGAGGCGCAGCGAGCGGGCGGGCGGACGGGACGGGACGGACGGAGCAAGAAACAAACGTCTGGGGGAGGGGGTGTGGACAACTAGGAAAGATGCAAGACAAGCGAGACAAGCAAGACGGGTGTTTGTATGATGCGCTAGCGGGTGTATTTAGTCTACAGAGTGTCGGTGAGGAGCTTGTTCATCTTGGCGATGCGCGAAGAAACGCTCAGGTCGATGGTGCGGTCGCCGACCTCGACGACGAGGCCGCCGATGATGTCCGAGTTGACCTGGTTGGTGACCTTGAGCTTCTTGCCCTGCCCGACGTACGGGGACTTGGAGACGGCGGTCTCGAGGCGGGCGAGCGTCTTGCCGTCGAGGGGCTGGGCGTCACGATGCCCGCGTCAGCCGGCCGGGCGCAGGGCTGGGTCGGGGGTCCCGGGGGCGGACTTACCTGGGCGCTGGTGACCTTGAGCTCGAGCTCGCCGCGGGCGGCGCTCATGATGGCGGCGAACTTGTCGCAGACGCCCTTTAGGAGAGCGAGGCGGTTGTTCTCGGCGAGCGCGTCGAGGAAGTTCCTGACGGTGTCGCCGCCGGCGCCGGCCTGCCTGGCCAGCTCGGCGACGACGGCGGCCTTGTCCTCGGCGGCGAGGGCGGGAGCGGCCAGGATCTTGGACAGCTTGGCGTCCCTGTCGACGAGGGCGTTGAGGTTGCCGAGGGCCTTGGCGGTGGCATCGAGCGTGGAGGATTTGGCCGCGGCGGTGTACTAGTTGACGCGGGCGGATTAGCTGGCGGTGGTTTCGGCAGCCGGGCGACGCGCGAGGACAACGCGATTGGCGACCAGGGGGGGGGGTTCCGGCAGAGGCCGACTGGCCGTGTTGCGTACCAGAGCAGAGGCATACGTGCCATCGAGGCCGAACACTGCAATCGGGGGTTGGCTTTCGGCAGCGGCAGTGGCAGCGGCAGCAAAGCACCGCACGGGGGCTGCGTGCAGAGTCGCGGCCCGCCGGGGAGCCGCGGTGCGGGCGGCACGGAGAACTTGTCGAGAGAGCATGGCGAGGTTTCCGGACGGGAAATGGTCTGTTCGGAGGGGGGTTGGGGAGGCAGGGCGATATGACAATGTCGATGTCGGCGTTGGTGATGAAGTTCGGTGTCGGCAATTTTGGGATGTTGGTGCCTTACGGGCGAGGCACCCAGAGAATGCTGCCGACCCACTCTTGTCTGGGCTGAGCCGGCTGGTCCCGTCTTTGGTGCCGAGACACGGCTCAAGTCTACAATGCACACGACTTTAGTTTTGACGATGGTAACGACATGCTCGTATTCATGCTCACGTTATTGATTCGTGCTCTCACTATCTATGCGCCTGTGCGGGACCTCGTGCTCCTCGTAGCTGGAAGCGCGTGTGAGCTCATGCCAAGACGCCTTGTCCATCCTTGCCTGAAGGAGGGACGGAAAAAAAAAACACAGAACCCAAATAAAAGCAACAATACCAGTGTTCCCAAACGCCGCGCGACAAATTCTTCGTACAGGAAGAACTCAGTACAGGACTGAGTCCAACGTTCAGTCGCTCTTGAGCATGCTGTCGACAAGGTCGCCCAGAGGACCCCAGTAGTCTCTGCCGCTTGCTAGGCCGTGCTCGTCAACGAAGAGCACGTATTGCTTGAAGCTCGTGTTCAAGTGAGGCTCCAGGCCGAGCTCTCGAATCACGGGGTAGTGGTGGCAGTAGATGTGCGCGTACACGCGGTACATGCGCTTGAAGATTTGGCGGACAAGGGCCGGGAATGACTTGGGGAAGGGAACGCCTGGGCATCGCAATCGCAGTTAGTGCTTTGCCAGGCCGGTACGCGTGAGGCCGCAATACTCACCAATCTTGCTTGGAAGCACGGATTCGTTGTCGATATTGGACTGCACCCACGTCATGAGTTGCTCGATGTACGCCGGGGCGGCCATCTTGGTCGGCTTCTTATAATTTTCGTTGTCTTGCCAGAGGTATTCGAATCTGAAAACGTCAGCCGCCTCGCCTCATGACAACGACGCGCTCGGGGGCCCGTACTCGTCTGTTGCCTTCATCTCGGGGCAGGACTGGGGTGAGCAAAACTCGGTAATGGCTCCGTAGAGCAGGTTGATCTGGTTGTAGAAATCCACCACTGCGGCGCGACAGTCAGCACCCGGAACCATGATCCGCCGCGGCCAGGATGAATCGTCAGACACTCACTGTTGACGGCCAGCCACTCGTTCTCGTCCTCGCCTTCGGGCAGCTTGACCACCTTTCGCAAGCTACCTCCGCCCAACGTGACCTCGGCATACTGTCGGAGCTGGTAGCTGGTGGCGCCGCCGCCCTTGCCCACGCGGGGACGGAACTGATTCTTAGTCCGCTGGTTGCTAGCCGTGGTCTTCAAGTCAGCAATCATGGACTCGGTCGCGGGCATGGTTGGGGAGCCGGCATCATCCTCGTGGACGGCCATGATGGTGTTGTCCAGCGACAACATGGTCGTGACGGAATTGGGGCTCAGGTAACGGAACAAGGCGCTCGCCATGGTGATGAAGAGTCGCACGATGGCCTTTCGCGCTGTATGGAGGTGGGACTAACACGGTGGTCAAGAACTGGGCCATGGCGGCGGTTCTCTGCGTCGCTGAGGAAGGATAGAATGTTGCGAGCCTGGCGCGGGCATTCCAGCCGTTAGCGGGGCAATGAATGACCACGACGAAGACGGACAAAACGGCCTCCTGGGCCTCCTGGGCCTCGCTGGGTCGTCGGGGATTGTCACCTGGTCTGGTTCGGGAGCGAGTGCGGTCTCGGTCTATTACCATGCGGTAACGATGGTTGAGGCGTAGAGATGATGCTGGAACCGGGATAGTCGAGCGCGGTGATGTGGCTGACTGACTGACTTGTCTTGTCGCCGCAGTTGTTTACACGCTTCCTGATTGGGCATGGTTGCCAGGGACTGCGAGCGGTTGGCTGGGCCCCACCAGGACCACTGCGAGTCTGCGACTGCGGCACTGCCTCTGTCGGTGCGGCGCGGCGGTGAGCAGGCCAAGTTGTTGCTGCCTTGCTTGAATTCGGCGGCTGCGTTCACTGTTGATGGCGGACGTATGAGTCTGTCAGGTCGTGCCATGTTCATGGGCTGGCATACAGCGAGGTTGTGAGAGGCTGGAAATGTGTTTCTTCTTGGCATCAATCTGGTCCCATGAAGCGCTGTTGGATGAAACTTGTCCTAGCCTATACTGGTCGGTTGTGCTTAATAATGATAATGATAATACATCTTTGTTCGTACATCACCAGTGTCCTCGGTAGCCACGGCCACGATTTACGCCTCGTCCCCTGCCATCTGCCCTGCCGCCTCCTCTGCCTCCCCCTCTGCCTCCCCCTCTGCCTCCCCCTCTGCCGCCTCCTCGCCCTCCTCTGCCGCCGAAACCCCGGCGGTGGCCTTGGTATTCTGACGGGGGCGGCCCTTGATCTCGCCTCGCCTTTCTATCTTCTGCACTGGCATTCCAGAGATTCCTCAGCTCTAGGAGGCGGCAGAATGCCGCAGTCTGTGGATTTGTATACTCCTCAGGCTGCTCGTCTACAATCTCTGGAGTGCCAGGAACGTGTGGTGGAGCAGTGAGTTCAAAGTTTTCAGGGACCTCAAGCCTGCCCTTGCCGACTATGTTTTCTTCAACCCAGAAGCGTTCGGCCTCAATGAGGGGCAGGTAATGCTCTTCGCCCAGGTCAGGACATGGCTGAGCCCCCTTGTCGCCAATGTTGAGAGTGTTGTGGAAGACACGTGTGATGGCGAGCCACTCGGGGTCATATTCCAGCTGGTAGCGACGGTTTGACGATCTGGGGGGGTACGCTGCGAGGTCCGCTGGGTTGAATGGTTTGACTTCACATAGTTGGAGAAAGTGCCGTCCCGGCAGACACTTGTCCAAAGCTAAGAAACGGACTTGTTTGTTCTTGATGCCCAGGGGCACTGGTTGTCCAGGTCTATGATTGCCTTTAGGTTGTGGCTTTGCGAATGACGCGGGTAACTGTGCCCGAAGTTCCTCGGAAACTTGGTTTGTCTCTCCGGACGTGGAAGCCTCCGAAAATTTCTGCTCTTCATCGTTTTCAGCATCATCATCGTCGTCGTCACCACCCATACCCATACCCAAGTCAATCTCATCGGGGTTTGCTTCTTCCCCTGGCAGCGCGCTATGGTCTCCGCTCGCAACCGCGGACGGCCCAACTGGAGGGGCGTCTTGATACTGTTTGAGAGCCGCGAATTTTATGTGCATGTGTGCCGAGAACCAGTGGGGAGGACGCAGCCGATCCATGACATATTCGGCAGCAATACTTCCCAGCTGCCCACTCTGAGAGTCTCTTCGAAAGTCGGGCTTCTTGCGGAAGAGCCTTGCGGCGTCGCCGTGATTTTCAATGTGGCGCGGCCAATCGTGGCTAATGCCGATGTCGACCTGAGTTTGCAGCAGGAGAAGTTTTCGGACATCAACCTCTCTCACGTGGTAGAATGACTTGACGTCGTCGTCACTGAAGGGGAGTCGCTCGTGATGGGTTTTTTTGTAGTCGAATCCTTTCCAGATGCCGGACATGGCTGCAATGCGAATAGGCCCAAAGCGAACAACGTTTGCGGCGCCCATGTAGTAAATGTTGGGGGCTACCCATCCTCCGTAGAAGAGCTCCCAGAGGTGGGAACTTGCTTCGTGGTTGCCGCCAACAAAGATGGTGAGAAACGGCGCAGTGCGTTTGCCGGCGTAGTAGTCAGGAAAGTCGCCAAGTCGGCGGTACTTGACAGGACAGGACATGACGCTGAGGTCTGCAGCATTGCGCACGGCCTACAACATGTTGGTTGATTGCTCGAGTCCAGCGAGCAGGCGGAAGTAGAGTTGCGTTGCACCTACTTGGAAGTCGCCGCCAATGATGAGCAGGTCTACGCCATGCCAACCGCGAGCCCTGCAAGATTCAGCAACGGCCGCGTAGATGGCGTCGAGTGTGCCGTGCCCCTGGATTGGTTAGCGAGAGAGCGCTTGAACACGGCGTGGAGTGTAGACTCTAGTGGAGATACACTTACGCATCCTTCGACAGCTACCCGGACGCCGTGGGCCTCGATGGCGTTGGACGACATTTCTCTCCTGTAAACCGGCCTGTTTGTTGGATGGCGGCTTGTCGAAGCTGAGATGGCATTGTGGCTCCAGAATTCTCGAGTCTTGCCTCTGAGAGTGGCCCGTCTGTTGATTGGAGGCTCAGTGCCCGATTCGGTAGGAGCTTCCCGGGTGCTTGCTCTTCACCCTTCTTACCTTGCCAGTTGTGCGCCAATCACTTGGCGACTCTCGATTCTCAGCATTTTTGAGCCCGTGACGTTGACAAGGAGTCAGGGAGTCAGTCAGTCCTTTCGGTGAATGGCATCTCGATGACGGAAAAACGCCGGTACCCTTGGGCCTTGAATGTCGTTGACAAGGGGAAAGTGGGATGCCGAGACGTGGCGCATCGACAGGGTCTCATCGTCGCACTCGGCACAGACAACTTCGTCGCGACGTCTTGGTTCGGAAGCCCGCCGAGCTTTTCCGGCACTGACGGGCTCTACACAGTACGGAGTAACGGAGGGATGCTTTCTGGGCTGGGGAGAGTGAGAAATGCTCGATTGGCCCCGGGAAAAACGACGAAAATACGGAGTACTGCCCGTCTGGTCGTGCAAAGAGCTACGTACGTCATGAATAATAACAAGACTACTCCTTCGACTTTCCCATTCCGTTTTCTGGTTTATGAGATGACCCAGGCTGTCCCGGGCGCAGGGAGCCATTCGTCTTGTTCGTTTTGGCATCGCGCTGGAACCGAGACGGGGAGGAGACGCTCCAAGAGCCGGCGTCACAGAAATGACCAACGTCTACGGAACCTTTTCCGAGCCCATGATATCACCATGAGAGTCGCTGCGCGATTGGGTCTTTGTTTCTACTTATCTTTTAAGCTGCTCCACGGCGACATGTCTCGATAGTTTCGAAAGAATAACCTCCGGTCTTGCGGCTATACACAGTACACAACACTTTGAATACTAATTTCGATAACGGCAGCGTGTCCTTTGCAATGATCGCCACCACAAATATCCGCACCGAGGCTCTGGTGGTCCATAAACCAGGCGACGATTTTGTCATGCGACCCGTCATTCTTGACGAGGTCCGCTCGGATGAGGTCCTCGTGGAAATGAAGTACTCGGGCATCTGCCATACGGTGAGAGCTCCAGAAAATAAGCATAAAAATAGAGGAAGAAGAAAAAAAGACTTGGTGTGATTTGAGTAGGATGTTCTGTTCCAGACGGGCAAGATTCCCGGCCCCAAGTACCCAGCCATCTTTGGCCACGAGGGCGCCGGCATCATCAGAGCGCTTGGCAGCAACGTCCAGGACAAGTCTCTTCGGGTCGGAGACAACGTCCTTTTGTCCTTCAACGTCTGCGGCAAGTGCAAGCAGTGTCTCGCTGACAGGCCGTCCTGCTGCCACGTCCACTCCCCCGTGAACGCAGGCTCGGTTCGAGTGTCGGACGGAACGACGCCGGCAAGATTTGAGGACGGCGCTCCCGTGAGCAGCCAGTGTTTCGGCCAGTCTTCCTTCTCACGCATGTCAGTCGTCGCCGAGAGATGCGTCGTCAAGTGCCCTTATCCCGAGTCGCTGTCCTGCTACGCCCCTCTGGGCTGCGGGTTCCAAACGGGCGCTGGCACCCTGCTCAACGTGCTGAAGCCCGACAGGACCAAGTCTGTTGTCATCTTTGGTGTTGGCAGTGTTGGAATCGCTGCCTTGATGGCCGCCGCCTACCTCCAAGTGCGGCAACTCGTGGCCGTCGACGTGGTTGACGAAAAGCTGGCGTTTGCGAGGGAATTCGGCGCCACAGATGTGGTCAATCCCGCGGAACACGCGGATGAGGGGATCGAAGCCACCATCAAGCGAATCACAGACGGCGGTGCCGACTATGCGATTGATTGCACGGGGCGAATCCCCGTCATCGAATCGCTGTTTGGATGCCTGGCCCCAGGCGGGACCGCAACAACCGTCGGAGTGCCACCCCCAAACAGCGTCATCAGAATTGAGCCGCAGACTTTTCTGATGGAGAACAAGAGATATATCGGTGTGCTCGAAGGGGGTTCTCACCCCCAAAAGGTCAGTTGCTGCCATGGTGACTCTGTGGTTTGCACTCTGACGGGCTCATTGTGGGCGTAGTTCATCCCGCAGTTGATGGAGCTTCATCGACAGGGGCATTTTCCCGTTGAGAGATTATGCAAGGTATACTCGGTCAAGGACTTTGAAACGGCACTGAGTGACCTTGGCCAAGGAAAGGTGAGTTTGATTCTGTCTTTGAAAGACCAGGGCGGGTCGTCAGTGTGTGCTGAATGGACGCTGGTTGCTATAGGTGGTTAAGCCGGTCATTCATTGGGACTAGAGAAGCCGCCTTTGTTTGTTTCTTTCTACGGAAAAAGACAATCGGGGTAAGGAATCTCTCAAGCTCAGACGGGGGTCAGGTCTCTCTAGACCGCAGCCAGCACGCGGTTGTCAGCACCGAAGGTAGGCGTCGTAGGGGTCGGCGACTGGTGGATTCGGAGCTGTTGAACAGAGGTGGAGGGACGTGATCTGTCGAAGAGTCCAATTGGTCACCCGGGATGGAAGATGGAAGACGTGGCCAGCCGAGATGGTTGATTCGTAACTCGCACATTGGTATGCCGTGGTTGATGTCTTTGCCGTGTCTGTATTTCAGTACGATGTACGGAGTACACGGTTTTTCAATCCATCAAAAGCCACGAGATTTCGTGACCAACTCCTACCCATGAGAGGTTCTGATGAAGCGGAAATCAGACAACGCATGCATAGTTATCTCATGTTGACGCAGACACAGGCACACACAGGCACACACACACAGACACACACAAGTGTCCACACAACCTGGCAAGGGGATCGCGAATGAGGCTGCCAACACAGCTGCACGATCTTATGCGAAGAAATGTTGCATCACGTTTTCAGAGGGCCGAAGGACGGAACAATACGCTCGGGCTGATGGACATACCGCCATGCACTCTGGATACCAAGAACAGGAGTCTCGTGGCAGGTTTTTGTCGTACCCACGCCATTTCTCAGATGTCCGGGTGAAAGCCGAGAGGTGCAAAGTGTCCAGTGCCCGCGACAAGGGCCGTCGTTGGCCGACCCGAATCAACGCCATCCGCACTTCAGACGCCATGAGCAGAGATTGAGGGAGAGCCGCGCGGACCCTCATGTCGGCGAAGATGCTTGCTTCAGGGATTCTTGGCAAGGCAAGGAAGCCGCAGCGGAATCTTGGCCGAACCTCGTTCGTATCCGACTTTCGAGCTGCGCCCGCTCTGGCTCTCGACACGTAGCATGTCATGTTGGGTCCTAAGCCTCTTGTACGCGTAGACGTGCTCATTGCTCACAGGGGCTCCTCGTCCTGGAATTGCCTGGAACATGGCAGAACATGGCAGTCGAGGTCTGACGTATCCTTGGCGTCAACCGGGCCACGGCCGGGCGGAATGAGTGTCGTCGTACCTTTTGCTCCAAAGGAAGACGCTGCTCTGGCTCTGGCTAATTGGGGCGGCGAATCCATCAAGGGAACTGCGCGGCGCCGCCCCTCGTCACGTTGCGGCCGGGAAGACATGTGTTGTCGAGTCATCCATCGTGGACGAGGCCTGGTTGCTTTAAGCTTTTCTATGCGAAACCGAGCCTAATCACCCGGAGCCGGCGGCGACCTTGTCGCAACCCGGTTGCTGGCGGATCTGCGACAGCAGCGCGCGTTTTATCAAGTACTGCAGCTGCCCATTGCTCTATCAACATGAGACAACAGAGACCACGTCGGCCGTCGTGCTCTGCATTGGATGGCGAGAGGTTGTCTACAGAGACCTCCGTACTCCGTACGCGTGGGCCCAATTTGCCGCACGCCTCCACGCATCGCGGAGCCTCATTTAGATGACACCAGCAAGATTCTGGCTTCTGCATGGGCACCACCACCACGAGTCCTTGATTACCCACACTCACGGCCGGCGTCGGCGCGACGAATGTCATGCTGCTGGCTACGGATCCGCAACATGCATGGCTGCGTCTGCTCTTGATGAGTCTTGGGTAGATTAACATTCATGCGTGCGTACCGAGTACCGACAAGATCTTTTCGAATGCCAATTAAACATGAGTAAAGACATGAGTCGAGGATGCTGCTCTGAGGACACAGGCTGTAGCGGGAGGAAAGCAAGGCCAGCCAAGGCCAGCCAAGGCAAGGCAGAGCAAAGCGCAGAGAGAGAGAGACAGAGAACCGGGCGAGTTGCTGTCCAAGCCAGGTATAAAAGGAGGCTGTCGCCTCGATCTCGCTCTGTCTGGATCGTCCATGCCTCACACCTACCACCAGTATCTGATCCTGTCTTTGTTTTGGCCTTGGCCATCTACTACTTCTATACGTGCACCAATCTTCCACTCACTATGAAGTCTCATGCCCTGCTCATCAGCCTCCTGGCCGGGTCGGCCTTGGCCCTGCCGTCTGCTCCTCGGGCGCTGGGACGACGCTACGATGCCCAACAGGAACCTACTTTGCTTCCGCACGCACCTGCCGCGCAAGAATCCGGTGCCAGTAACAGCCAGGACGATCTCAAGCCACAGGTCGAGGCCCAACCGGAACCTACTTTGCTTCCACACGCACCTGCCGCGCAAGAATCCGTTGCCAGTAACGGCCAGGACGATCTCAAGCCGCAGGTCGACATACCCGAGGACTCGCAAAAATCTGGTGACGACACGTGCGACGAGTCGGTGGGTGCCGTGAAAGAGGGCACCTCCGACACAGAGGGGCTTCAAAAACATGAGCAGGAGGGCACGGGATTCCCAGCTCTCGAAACTAACCCAGAATCCGATGTCAAAATCAATAACCACCTCGGCGACTTCGAAACCCCTGATAAGCAGGCGGAAACGGGATCAACTACCGAAGCTACCCCACAATCTGTGCAAGAACCCGATCCCAATGGCAACGAGGTTTCGCAAGGCAATGTCGACAACAGCGAGGTCGACGACGACTCTGGAAGCTGCGACAATGACGACAGCGATGTCAGCGGCGATGGCATTGGCAACGGCAGCGGCGGCAGCGAGGGCTCTGACCAGGGAGAAGTGGCATCAAATCTCCCAACTAACCCAGAATCCATGCCAGAACCCGACACCAACGCCGACGAGGGCTCTGACAACCAGGGGGAAGTGGCATCAAATCTCCCAACCAAGCCAGAATCCACGCCAGAATCCAACACCAACGCCGACGAGGGCTCTGACAACCAGGGGGAAATGGCGTCGAATCTCCAAACCCCAGAATCCACGCCAGAATCCACGCCAGAACCCAACACCAACGCCGACGAGGTCGAGCATGACGAAAAAGGGGAAAGCTGCGATGATGACAACAACGTCGACGACAAAGACCAGATGTCCACAAGCAGCAGATCAAAGGATGAAATGAATAGCAACGGAGGCGCCAACTGCGACATCGGCAAGGGCATGTCTACCTACTTGGATTGCTTGGCGGACAGCGTGGTGATACCGCCTAGTGCGACTGTTGATAAACAGAAATGCAAGGACAGAATTCTGGGGAGAATCCAAATCACCCCGGGTTTGCAGGAGCAGAGTGCCGAGAATCAGCAGAAGTGGGTCGAAGAAAAGTTCCGTAAATGCGTCGGGGAGTACGATATAAAAAGGCGATGAAAAGGCACCGTTGACGACGGCATCATGGAACCAAGCAGGACACCCGGAAGGGGGCGTCCGACCGTCTGATTTCAGCGGGCCATCTTGGACCGACATGCAGATCCCGTCGAGGCAGAACGCGTTTTCTTTGTATGATTTTCTAGATGCAAAGCCGTAGCCGCAGGAGTCGGACTATCAATACACTCGTTTGCACTGAACTCGGCATCGGGCAGAATCCGCCATGTTCGTATTGTCCGTATCAGAAAAGTAGTCGAATAGGCGCTTCTTGCCGTGACCAACATGAGAGCAGACAGTCCCGGGCTTTGGCGAGAAATACTGGCAGCGGCATCGCAAGGCCATGGGGCACGACCAACTTGGGGGCTGGCATGCAAACTGTCCTTTCCTTTTGTTCTTCCCTTGAAACCCCCGCGCGCGTGTGGTATATCTTTACCTGCCCCTTTTCACGTCTCATGTCCAGCGGGCGTCGGTGGCACCAGGGTCTCGCAAGAAGCATCTTGACTCAGGAGCGTCCAGTCTGATGCCCCGGTGGAGCCTTTGTCCCCTCCTGGGTTTATCTGAAGATTGATCCCTTCGTTGGGATGAAGAAATCCGTGGTGCTCTCGAGACGTCCATTTTTTTCTTCTGGTTCGGCGGTGGCTGGAGCGGCCATCGCCTGCGCTTTTGGCATGCTTGGACCTGATTTTTTCCAACAGAAAGGGTGAGGTGTTCTCCCGTATCACCTGGAGGTTGGGTTCCAAGGACTCAGTGTCGCGTAGCATTCTATACCAGATCAGCACGTGTTGGAAGCTGCTTGGGGATCATGTAGACGTGCCTGTTCCGGCCTGATTCCGTCTCGGGATTTCACCTCGTGAAACGCATTTGCCCAGCCGACCCCTGTAATTGGTCAAGACTGGAGTCATGAGCATACAAACGGCCCTCTCTGGAAAAGTCTTGGCCAGGATGCGATGCAACGAGGTCGTGTCTTTGGCCAGTGTTGTCATGGAGGAAGGACGTCACAGTATTCTGGCCATCGTCCCAGTCAATGCTCTTTGTGAGCTTTAGTATGAGGCGACCAGGCGACTCATGACTTTGACCATCGTTTCCGCGAATCCTGCTCTGGTGCTCCTGATAGAGGTGTTGGACCTTGTCAAATTCAACGAGACTTGAGACAGCCCTACCACCTCAGGCGTGATGTCTGACAAACTCCTCGACATGGCTGATCAGGGCCGCAACAAATACCAACGCCCCGCCATGTGAGAACTAGATGCTTTCAAGTAATGTTCTTCAAGCTTGCGGATCGTCTGGCTCCTGCGCCCAGGATAAGAGTTGAAGTGCTACAGCGGAGACTCGCAAGGTCCCCATGTCCAAGGCCATCGACGGGATGCCAACGACTAGTTGCAGGAAATGGGCCAAGCTATCCATGTAGAGAGTTGAAGAGGTGGAAAGTACAAACGTTTCTTCGCCAACCAACGCAATTTTAGTCCTGGCTTTGCCGTCCACTGGTTTGCGCATCATCAGCCTCATCAGAGTCGGAGTCGTAATCGGAGTACGGAGTCCGAACTGAGACCGTCTAGCCATTCAGTCGGGTCCTTCGCACTACATGATAGAATCCTGTTGAGCTTGCCGCGTCCTTTTCTGTATAGTTCTCTTCCTCCCATAGGTCAGGGTCCATGCCCTGGACGAGCTTTTGCTTTTCTGCATCGCCGTGCTGCCGTATGAACTCTTTAATTTGCACGTTAATAAAGGCCTTCCGCTCTGCACAGAGACCAGAGTTTGACACAAACTCGTTAGCAAAACAGGTTTAGAGTGAAATACCAGAGCAACCGGGGTGGTGATGGATGCGCACTCTGCTCTGGACGGGCTGCGCGACATCGACGGCTTGACGGGGGAGTAGCTTGTGGCGATTCCATGGGAAGAGATCCTGACCCTCAAGGGCCAGAGTCATCACCTAGTGAGCTGGCAACGTCGAGCAGCATTTTGACTTGTGTCGTTAACCTCCTTGCCGTCTCGGTGATGCTGACATGAATTTTGATCAGTAGCTCCTCAGCGTCTTCAGGCTCAAGAGCTTGCAGGTAAGAGGCTAGTTTGATGATTTCTGTTGTGTGGACAACTGCCAGCGGTAGTGAAGTGAAATGCTCGATGCAAGCCGGTCAAGGTCTCTCGTAGCTCTCACTGAAGACGATCAGTTGACGTCACGTCACGTATGACGGGAAGACGGAAGCGTCGTGCGTATGGCTTCCTCGAGACCGTACTGAGGCACTAGTCCAACGCAGGAGTGCCTCCGTGAAAATGGTTTTGAAGTGGCGCTAGAGGTCTCCCATGGACAGACTGAGAAAAGCAACGAGCTTCTTGAGAGAGTCAATAACTTCAAAAGCTGTGTCTGCTTGTCCATCGTCGATAAATCTATTACACGTAGCAACGCTATTAACAATATGTTTTACGTGCAAGACTTGTTGGAAATTCTTCTGTTGTTGTCGCTTATGGACAATATTTCAACCAGTAGTTACGATGTCTTTGTCAAAGGCCTTGAGCACTTCCCTGAGAGCCTTGATCCTCTCTCTAGAGTCGGCGGCTCCTGAGTGAAGGGTGCTGTAGTGAACCTAATGCGGGTGAAGAAGGCTGCGGAAGATGCTGGAATAGAAGCTACAAGGCCTGTCTCAATTGTGTCCATGTACTATGTTTTTGTCTGGAGTATCGCATTTTTTTGAGAGGGCTTTCCGCGGTCTCTCTGCATTTTCGATTCCTGACGTCGTCTCATCCAGCGCCACTGGTGTTGGCCAAACAACTTCTGACTTCTCACTGACCACGTCAAAGGTGCGAGGGTTTTACAAGTGAAAATGTTGGTGAGAATGGACGGGGGGTTATCGTCAACAACGGCGGTGGCTCTGGAGTCGGTCGCCTTACAAATCCTGAACTCCATGCTGGAGTTGGAGTAGGCACCTCCATGGCAGTCGTAGATGTTTGCTAGCGACGGCCCCACATATTTTCATTTTACTGCTCCTTTTGTTAAGGCTGGCTTGTTCACTTTACTCTCGCAATTGTTCGCGTAATGCACCGACTCGAGTCAGACAGGGCTTGAGTTCATCGGCATCAACGTGCGTAATGTTTGCCAGCATGTCATACGAGTCCTGTTTGTACTATGGGTGATTGTAGTAGTGTTGATGTTGCTTTTCAAGGTGTAAGCTCATGCTTTGAAGGCTGGATGAGAGGATTTTGGTATACCATTATGCCCTGTTTCAAACACAGCACTTGAGCAGCTACCCGGCGTTGTATTCAGCAACCCTTGGATCGTGTGGATGGAGGTTGTCGTCGAGCCTCGCCATTGATGAGGATACGGGCTTGTAGATCCTACGAAAAGTCTGTCGAGTTAATTCTCGTTATTTTTTTCTCCACTCGGAATAGGACGATTCGATGGTTTTCGGATTCCAGACCATCGCCTGCTACCATCAAGCCGTTATTCCTTCACCGACTGCTGCAATGGTGGACAAGTATATTCTCCAATACTGCTTGGGTACTAGACGTAATCTACGCAATAAGATTGTAAGCATATATAGAAGCATGAGATGTAGTAAATACACTTTACTTTTCTGTAAGTTTCATTGGCTATTATCCAACGCAGCATGCCAAAGGAAAAGCTCCGACGTTGACGCCGCGACAGGGACCTATGGGCTGCTGTGCACGCGACAGGATGCATTTTGCAGCTGACATATCTCCATCACTCGTACTTGGCATCCCACGGAGGAGGGTTGACACACGCAGGTGCAAGAAGCTCTGACGTGCAAGGAATGGTTGTCAGTTGAAATAATTGATTCTAGGCGCCTGGAGATGTGGACGGTGCAAATGAAGCCTCCGACTGTACGGAGTACGGAGTAGGATCAGCCACAGCCACAGTGGCTTGTCTTGCCCCGCCACTGCCACACAAGGTGCTTGTCGTACTCGGAAAATATAATATGGCGGACTCCGAATCACTTGTTCAACGTCTTGTCGACATGGCTCCGACACGGCACTCAGCTTCTCATGTCTGATCGCTGTCAAATCATCGTGCAGTGACCCGGCTGCTGACGGTCCGTTTCCTCAACATCAGGAATCAGAACCTCGTGCGGGAGTTCTGGAAATCCCGTGCCAACGTGTGCCAACCTTTACTCCGTACGCGCGGGCATCTCAGCAAGTCTAATGCACTGGTCGACGGCAACGGGAACCAAGTCGTCGGCATCATTGACTGGGAAACAGCACCGAACAGCATGGTTCCCTCCGGCGGGGTTGTCAAACGCATCAAATCGACCAACATTGCGCTGCTCATCGCCGTACCTCGTGCCGTACCGACTCCCAGTCCGTGACCGCTGGCAACTTGCAGCGACAAACGTGTCGGGACGTCTCGGGCGTATAGCCCAACGTAGTGACGGCCCTTTTCCCAAGCCATGATGGTTTTCTTGAGAGTGGCACTAGGGTGTTAATCCTGACAATCTGGACATTGTGACGGTGCTGCAACCGATAGGAGAGACAACTTCATACACGGGGAGCCTGGCTTTTTCGGCATCTCAGCATTCGTAGCCAACGGACACGTGGACAGGATCCGCCGCAGCCCTCGTCTGACGACGGACCACCTGAAGCACCATGTTCTAGGAGCCGTGTCCGTTCAGTGCCCAGTCGTGGCCTCCGCCTTCTTGGTGTTGAGGGCCGCCTTGTCCCGACCACAAACAACGTGACGAGAAGACGGCACTGCAAGTGAAAAGGCTCGCCGCGCGCTAGACGGGAGAATCAAACAGAAACGTCTGGGAAGAAGGCAAGCTTTGAAAGGCGCACACAAAGTCAAACGCACAAGGGCATCTCAAATCCTGATACCCGGGCGCGGTGTGTGCAAACGGCATGCAAAACGCGTGCCCGCCGTTTGTACAATGTGAAGATATTTTTCCCAGCTGGAGCACATCAACCAGTCACCTGTGAATGAGCGGCGCAGGGGGCATCTAGCGAACATAATTAATGTGAGATGGGCAGCCGATCCACGTGTCGCATGGAGGCCACAGTCGGGCCATAACAACTACTCGGACCTGTCCTTTTGCTTGTGTTTTTGATATCCCCCATCTGTCTTGTCTTCCAGCTACAGGCGCATACGTCCGTCTACTTGTTGGCATCGGACGAGATTCCTGCCAAGACCCAGACTGATTCCAAGTTCCAACCGCTCCGCCAGCAGCAGTAGCAGCACCATCACCATCACCATCACCATCACCAGTGCCAAAGCACAAAGCCGTCAGCTCTGAAATGACAGAACAACCCATTGGCATCGGCTAACCGACTGGTAGTTGATTCCGGAGACCCCCGTCGGGCCAACGCACCCGTTCCTCTTGCCACCAGCCATGCAGCCGCCCAGGTGCAGGTTGTGTTCCCGCCTCAGCCGCAGGTTCATTGCCAGCCGGTTGAACCAGAACGGAAATGCTGGACGGCCGTACTACTCGTGCCGCCCATGCCACCAATTTCTCGGCTTCGCCGACTACCGGGGCAACCACCCCTGGAATCCGCTATGCCATTGTAAAGAGCCGAGTAGACGACAGGTCTCGAGCTCGGCCAAGGGCCGCAAGGTCCACTTTGTGTGCAGACTGGGCAGGTGTGATTTTTACGAAGAAGAAGTTGACGCAGACAGAAATCCCGTCACCCTGACTGATGAGCTTGTTGGACTATTCGCAAGCCTTATGTACATCTAGTCGGGGCAACGCATTTGTCCTTGGCGTACTCCGTACATCGAGCAAATCAAGCGAGGAGTGGTGCCCAGCTGTATGCCAAGTTGATGCTCTTGTCAAGCATCAAGACGTACTTGTCGACGTCCCATGGCCGCACGTTTGCCATCACTCCTTACCACTTAAGTCGAGGTCGTAGCTGGCGGGTAAAGGGGATGTCCGACTGGATTCTGCCGTTTTGCATTTCAAGGTGTAAACGACGATAACCGCGTCATTGTGCGCCAGATAGACCCATGTCTTGAAATAAAACAAGGTCATCGTCATATGCGCCGAGTCCTGATATAAGCGTTGCCGTTGTCCAAGTCGCAGTTCCACATACACAACAAAACAAAGGTATTTCCCGCGCCGCCTGAACGCCATGAATGATGCATGCATGCTCGCGCTGCACCGCCGGAAAAAAGGGGAACAGCTAATTCGCATGCAACACGTACTGGCCTGCGACCCTGGCCCTCTCCATCTTGGCCACGACAGACGGCATGTCCCTCTTCAGTCTGCCCAGCGCCTCGACGGCGCCTCTGAAGCCGGCCTCCACGTCGCCCTGTCTCTCCAGGCTGTCTACTCGTAGCGAACCCTCCTTGCTGGCCCCCAAAACGACCGCCGCCCTACGCGCCTCAACCGCCTCGTCGTCGTGGCGGACCGCGTCGCGAACGCGCGCCGCCTGCTCGTCCGCCGCCTTGCCGGGCACGGAGCGCTTCAGCGCGGCCACCTCCTCGAGCAGCTTTTCCTCCTGGGCGATGAGCTCCGCGACACGCTGGCGCTTGCGGGCGTCGAAGGGCTCGTAGGTGTCGCGCGTCGCGGGCAAGGGAGACAGGTACTCGGTCGAGGAGACGGGGAGGCCGTTTATAGACAGGTTTGGCGCGGCGAGGGTGAAGGTCTTGTCGATAAACTGGTCTTGGTAAGCTGGCGGGCCTCTTTTTGGTCATGAGCAGCGCAGCGCATGGGAGGAAGAGGGAGGGAGAGAGGTACCTCGTTGACTAGGGATTCGATTTGGTTCCGGAGCTCGTCTTCGCCTTGGCCCGGGACGAGGGGGAAGGCTTCGTTGATGCGGGCAGCTGCTGCGCTGCGTACCTTGGCTACGAGGTAGACGAGGTCCTCGGGGGATTGGAGCTCGATCTTGCGCTGGGCTTGGGAGGCGGCTGAGTCTTGGTCCATGACGGTGATGGTGGACGTGGGACTGTTGCTGCTGAGGATTGAGTACGGAGTTGTTTACTTTTGGGATACGGAGACGGAGTAGTGGGTGAGTGTAGGTTAGCTGATGGATGGGTGGGGCAAACAGCCGGCGACAACCAGTCGGGGCACGAATGGATGTGGGGTGGCGGCCCGCCCAATGGCACCTGCTAAGCTCGCTCCACGTCGTGTCGACCGACGGCCATTTCATTTCAACCCTTGGGGGGGTCTGGTCTGGGCCATGACGGGGGCCAGTCACTTTCATGTTGAAGAAAAGGGGACCTGCTGCATGTTGAATCACAGCAGCCAGATTCTATTCATGTGAACCCTACGTTGCGCAACCATCCGCTGTCTTATCCGGATATGATTCGGTCCTTGAATCTCCGTTGAGATGGGCGACCCACCCCAACCACGTCTCAGGTCTCGGGATTCACGTTGGGGCGCCGAGCGTTGACGATTCCGAGAGCATTGCTGCCACTCGCTACGAAGCAATTTCCCATCACATGCACTGGCAATGGCGCTGCCACTTCAACACTATAGTGAAGAGGAATTTTATCGATACAAACGCCTAGAAACACCCCGTGTGTGCTCTAGAAACCTAGTCTCCAGCCGGAGCCAACACACATAGTCTACCTAACCGAAGGCCAAAAAAAAAAAGAAAGAGGAACCAAGCATACAGAACGATGACTTGATAGAACGGACGAAACAAGAAGTAAACTCCGAACGCTCCCTGCACCGGAGAGCTTCATTCGTGGAACTACGGTTCCCCGGGGCTGGACCCTGCCCAAAATATCCGTAAAAGTCGTCATCGTACGTTTTACCCTCATCATGCGCCTTTGATGGCACGCCACTCACGAAAGTCATCGTGTACGCCGAGCTCAACCGTGCCATGATGGAAGTAGTGCCTTATGCATCACAGGGTCGCCTTCTGCCCTGTGTACCCAATATTGAACCAAGGGATTTTTGTTCTTTGAATGGGACGAGAAAAGAAAAACAAGACAGCAGTTGCGACGTCATTGGATTACGAGTTGAAAACATGCAATAAAAATGAGCTGGAGAATAGAAAGGAATAAAAGACGTAGCGGGTATTGCTAAAGAAGGGAAGGCTTGCGATGTGGAATCAGTGACCGGCTCCCATAAAGTATCAAGACCAGATATATGTCTGAGACCCAGGGTGCCAGGGCCATGCAATCAAACTTGGCGCGAGATGCAACCACGGTGCGTTAATGAGGTAGCATGTTTCGAGATTCTTCGTCGCTGAGAATGATTTCGTGGACCGGCTCACGCTGGTTCTCGAGCGGGACGTAGTCGCAGTCGACATAGGAGGGGAGGAATATTTCTAGAAGCACAAGGTTAATCACGGTGGTAGTAGCTTGCATTGGGCGAAGGTGAGTGGACCAACCTGGATTCCAGACGAATCCCTGACTGGAGGACAGGTAGGAAATCTGTGTTGGAGTTTAGCATAGCTTGTACGGTATGGAATCCAGTCTGGTTAACCTAGGAGGACAGCTTACCAAACGGGGTGGTCCGTCAGGGTCGCCAATATTGATAACAGTGCTCTCTTGTTTGGAGATGGCCGAGCCTGTGGTGGGTGTCAGTAAAGGAGGCGTGATGTTTGGGCGATGAGAACTGTAGCAACTCCGACCGACGGGGCACACAGGCCCAACTTGGCCAAGCCAAGACTTACTCAACAAACTGGGTCGTCGTGTGTGTAGCATCTTGGTATTGGGGCTCGACGACGGCGAAGGATGTGAAGGCGAGCTTGAATAAGAGCTCATGGATGAGCTACCGAGGGCCTTTGTCGAGGCGTGAAATGCGTCGGTTGAAGCCGAGGTCCGGGTTGTTGGAATGATGATGGATGATGACATGGCTCGAGCTGGCGGACAGAAGACCGAGATGCGAGGCAAGACGGGACGGTCAGACGAATGCTGGCAAACGACGCGGCGGGTATGTACAGTCGGGGATTAACAAGGATGGCAGCGGCGGTCGAAAACGGTGCTTGTTGAAAGAGGTGACAAGTCCGCAGTAGTCGAGATGAGGAGAGATGTGGGGGGCGAGATGACGGAGAGTTGAGGTCGGCTTGGTGGATTTGGTGTGGTGAGTCTGAGACCAAGTCCCAGGTACTCCTGTCCAGTCGTGCCGGATCGGGCTATGGGATGGGCAGTAACGTGGCGGCCCTGGTGGGTGACAGGTGATTGATGAGCGAGAGCCGCACCGGACTTTGAATGTTGCAGCCGGCCGAACGTTTGAATTCACGAGGCGCCGACTACGGAAAGACTAATAACAAGAGCGTGTGGATCGTCGAGGACTCGAGGCGAAGGCGCGAGAGTGAGTGAGGAGGCAAAAAGAGGCGGGGGGGCGGAGAGCCAAGGCAGACAGACAGGCTTGAGTGAATATGGATAGAAAGCCTGTCACGGAGTAACATATGAGTAGAGCAGAGTAGGGTACTCCGTACCTGGGAAGTAGGTCAGGGAAAAGGGAAGAGAAGAAAGGAGGGAAAAGAATAGGATGAGCGGAGATAGACGTGGGTGCAGGTAGGTGCAGGTGCAGGTGCTTGTTGATTGAGGCAATGAGCAACGAGTGATGGACTCGGAGAGCGACGCCTGGCGCCGCAGCCACAGCCGCAGTCGGAACAGACGGAGTCGAACTTTAAGCCAGTATCCAGGTACTCCGTACCTGCCCGAGTCTCTACATACTTAAGTATCTAGGTACCCGGTGCTACTCAAGTACTTAGAAACACTCCCACAGATACCCTGACGGCTTTGTTCTTTGATTGCGCGCTAATAGCTCGCTGAACCACGTGCTTAGGTGCCCAGTACTTGGTACGGTGCACTTGTGCACCAATCACCGGTCAATGGCTTCATGGATGATTCATAATTGCATAGCCGCAAAATTGCACAAATGAACAAATGACCGCCCAGCAACTGCCAAACTCCCTATGCATATAATGTCGATTGATCGCGCAATACTGTGGACACAGGACTTCACACCCAGTTCAGTCTGAGTCTCAAACTGGCTCCTACGGACGGGAACTCAGTACGGACCATGCAGTCTCACGAGCGAAAATGCCACCGAGCGCTACCCGGGTCGAGTCCATGGTTCGGACCCCATCAATCATCAATCATCACAGCTTGACGGGCAGCTTGAGCCCCTTTAGACCAGGTCTAACCTGCGGCATGGCATCACCGACAGCAGGCCATGTTCCAATTGCCATCCCGCTATATCCGAAATCTTTAGCGTACAGGCCCATATCAGTTGGTCCGTACCGTCGACTGGAATGGAGCCCGTTGAGCTTCCCCCCCCCCCCCCCGCGGAAGACGCCATCATCAGCTGGGAGCTACTAGTGAAGAACCACGAAGCTTACAACAAGCTCGAGCTCTTCTCCATTGTATGCTGATATTACAACCTGACATGCTGGCCCATGCGTCTTTATCTGGCGCGAGTGGCTATCGTGACGATGGATACTTGGTGGTGAAGCATGTCATTCTCGTTCGTGCCATCTCCGTATCGACGCCTCCGGCCGCCAACTTGACGACGCGCCCAAGTTGTTGCTTCGAGGAATGGCATGTGATGCCCCGCTTGACAGCACATAAGGCCTGCCTAATCTGCAGGCCCGAGCCACGTTGCACCACTCGGACCGTTCCCCCCATGCCATTCGGATGGCGGTCGTGGTTTGATGTAGACCAATCAATCTGAGTAAAGCCCTGAACGAAGACACTGTCACACGACGATGGACACCACAGCAAGATGGCACATATATTCTATATTATGGCTTTATCCGATGAGCGAGTCCAGAATCCAGATTATATGGTGGGCATGTACAACTCCAGACTACGTTGTCAGAAATGCTGTACTGCAGAGCTTCCATGTATTCTCGCAAATCCGTCGAGAGGCTTATTTTATCCTTCTGCTCCCTCACAGCCTGGGTATAGATGCTCCTGGATGAAATTTCGACAATCTTGCTTGGCCTCGTCAACGCCGATTCTGCCCTGTTGCATCAACATCCAGATGGCGTTGACAAGACGGCCTCGGCGCTCAGCGGCGTCCCATTCCTTGGGCCACAAGTACAAGTCGTTCTGTAACCCGGAGGCAATGAAAGCTGCGACATTCAAGTCAAAGCAAAACGCCCAGCTCATCATCTGGGATACACGAGCCCATACCAAAAGTCACCAGTCCGTACTATAGCCTGGGGCGAAAGAAAATACAGCACTCTTCACACCCGCTTCTGGTGCCTTTGCGGGGTTTCGCCCCTGCTTTTTTAGCACTCGTGCATCGTACGACGATGTAAAGAAGGTTCTCAGTACTCCGTACCATGACGGCTACATGACGAGCTTGAGCCGCATTAGCAACTCCCCTGTGTTGCACAGTGCGACTGTTTGGGACAGTTTGGGCAAACTTGATTTTCTGTCTAGGTATTCTAAAGCAGTAGGCTCTCTTTTGCTCTGTCAAAGCTAGCTTACCGTTGCTAACACTGAAGCAAAATCTAGTTCATCTATATTCTAGACATTTCTCTAGTTATATCCTGTCTTCCTTGTGCATGTCAGAGAGTTTGTACAAGTACTCGGTAACTTTCCAAATCCAATCTGATGGCCATGCAGCCCCAAAGGGTGCTGGCTGGTTGTGACTACTTACATGGAAGACGCGGCTAAATAGGAGATTTACACCGTCCTATATAGGCCGACATCAGCTCACTATCCTACCCTACACGATTGAAATCAGCGCCGCTTTTCCATAATATGTCGTCGTATTTGCAATAAAGAGTGAAATTACACAGCTATATAAATTATCATGGGCAGCACTACGATTACTACTGTTCCCGACCAGACGGATCTCGACAATACCTCTTTCTCACCATAGGCACGCCTACACGGACACAAAACTAACTAGCTTCAGGTTCTTCAGTCTCTTCAGGAGACGGATCGTCCTTCTCCTTTGGATGGGTGTCGGGTTCGTCAGACCCGGGACCCAACCTTGCTGCACCGCTCCTGAGGCTCATGGTATTCCTGTCACTGCTAGGGACAACGGTAAATTCACCCGAGTTCCCGTAAATGTCAAATATCCTGAACCAGGTATTAAATATGAAGCCATTGGGGTAAAGGTTGGTCGGCTCGTTGTCGAGCCTGAATCTGGTCAGGCACAGGGTATGCGCCTGCTCTCGGATGACGATGTCGGCCGTCTTGCCGCCCGGATATGACGACCCGTCGGCCCGGTGCGTGTAGCCTACCCTGACGGTGGTCCTCGGGCCCATGTCCCAGATGTAGCGAATGAACTTTCTGCCTCTGTTGGTGTAATGCCCGATTGAGTGCCGCATGCCATGGACGGCATAGGAAGCCGGCAGGTGGCCGAAGCGATCGACCTTTTTGAAGTTGTGGACGTTGCTCCTGAGGTAGTAATTGTCCTGGTCCCAATTGCTGGCGTTGGCCGTGTCGTACCTCTCGAACGAGACATTGCCCATGTGGTAGCTTACGGGCACGACGCCTCGCAGGGTTACGCGTGTGTCAAAGTTGCCGGTGCGGGTTGTGATGACAACATTGTTTGGCTGCCTGATACGGGCAGCAATGTCTTTGCTCTCGAACCTCGTCGTGGAAACCCAGTACCGCTGCGCTTGGTCGTTTGCACGAGGCTCACCTTCAGCCGCTTCAGGTTCCTTCTTGTCGGCCGCTTCGGGTTCCTCCTTGTCAGCCGCTTCGGGCTCCTCCTCGTCGGGGTCTTTGCGGCCGGGCGGCATGCTGTGCGAAAACTCGTTTTCTTGAGTCGTATAGGTCCATCCCCCGGTCAGCTTTTCGCTGGTGTTGTAATAGTCACACAGCTCAATTGATGACAACTCTGCAGCCGTCAAAGTGACTGGTTGCAGGGTGGTTGGATGGATTGCTCTGATGAGGATGTTGACCGCCACTTGCATGCGGCCGTTGCCAAAGAGGACGAGGTCATTTCCTCGGATGACGAGGTTGTTGACTTCCCACTGTCGAGACATGATGTATAATATAATACTGTGTGCTTTCAAAGGCAATATAATGAAACGGATGTCGACCCACGAGTGCCATCCCTGGCCTCTTGTTGGCATTCATGGCACTTTTATATCTATCCCATCAATGATCAGTTTGCATCAACTGGTGGCCATGTCGCCTTTGCGCGCAGGTTGTTCTGGTTGATTGCGCATTTTCGTTTTGTCCGTCACGTGCAGGCGACGGAAACATCCAGTCCAATGGCACGACTGCCCGCCTTCCCGTTTCACAGATTGGGAACCGTCTTAGGTATCATTGACTTCATCGATGTTGCTCAAGTCTCTGAAGCTGAACCGACTTTCCGACTACACTGCGACATGTTGTAGTATCGCTACACTGTGGCTTGGCGATTGGATAGCTGAAATGCACGAGTATGCATCTTCGTTACGGTCAAGTATTTCCTCGTATCGCGAAGAGCTGACAAAGCAGCAGTGTTTGGGTAGGCAACTCCGTCTTCACGCAAATACCGACCTGCTGGGAGCCGGATTAAGGAATATATTTTCCCGAGTGGCTGACTGAAACACGGCTATCAAGTACGGATATACGGAGTAGGCGTCGCACCAACGCTGCACAGGCTGGACCGTCCTGCACAAATGTACCTCACAAGAGAATCCGAACTCGGTTGCAACGGCAATTTCCCACCGTCTGTGGCAAATAATGCCGTGCCGGCTGCTGTGCCCCTCACGGTACGCCATACGACATGACCGGATGGCTCAGAATCCGACCGTCTCCGCTTCTAAATGTCGTTTCTGGAGACGCCGCTCAGTGAGGGAGAGAAGGAGGGGAGGAGGAGGGGATAACGTGAAAGCAAAGGCGATGCAGCGTATATATCGCATGGACCAAGAACAGTGGTGTAGATGTCAAGCCGAGACATTCTGCCTTGACGATATATCGCTATATACACTCCAATCCATCCAACCATACAACAAATTTTACCCGCAAAACTGTCGTGGTAGGCTTCAAAAATGATTTACTCTCAAGGGTTCAACTTTGGCAGTTTCGTGGAAAAGGGCGTGGACGCACGTACCGGTCAATACACCTGCACAATTGACCTGTATGAAGCTCCGACACAAGCCAGAAACTGCCCCCCGTTCAAGATATCTCTAAGCTTTAATCCCCTAAACACTGAAAATATCGGGTTTGGAGCAGGGTGGTCACTGAGTCTCCCCGCCTATGAGCATCGCCAAAGCAAGCCCACAGTCATTCTTTCAACCGGCGAGTCGTACCAAGTTACAGAATCATCTCAAGCGGTCGCGGTCAAGGATAAGAAGCTCGAGAGCTTTCAAATGAAAAAGCTGGCGTCTGATACCTACCAAATTTCTTACAAATCCGGCCAAGTTGAAATTTTGAAGAACCACTCAAACGCGTATAAAAGGTCCGTTTTGCACGAGGTTTACGCCTCGACTGGCCGCTCATTGGCTCTAGAATGGGACAGATCCGGTGACCAACCGCGTCTCTCTAAAGTCAAGCAAGGCTCTGAAGTGCTTCTGGAGATTGACTACCGGACTGCCAGCTCTCCTACCATAACACGGGCTCCAAAGACCCCGGAAGCGAGTACTTTCACCGTTGTGCTCAGGAACAATCAATTGGAAGAGCTCCGCTTACCCCTGGATGACACAACATCGTGGAGAATTCTCTACAACAGCTTTGGTCACATAAGACATGTTACAAGTCCCTCAGGTCTTGTGGAAGAGATCCAGTACAAGGAAGATGGCCACCACCTGCCCACCGGAGCGCCTTATCGAACAATCCCCTACGTCATCTCTCATACTGAGCGGCCTGGGAACGGGCAGGATGCCATCGTGACCAACTACACGTATTCTTCTCGCAACTTCCTTGGCTATAACGGCAGCCACAACTGGAATGATGGAGAAGACAACTTGTTCCGGAGCCCTTTTGATTACACGTATGACTCAACCGTCACGGTTCAAGGAGGATCTCGGACAAAGAACACGTACAACAAGTTTCATCTTCTTTTCCTTTCCGAAAGACAGAAAAGCACCAAGAAAGTCACACAGACCATCACGTATCATGCAAACGTGTCTGCCGCGTTCGATGTCCAACCTGCGCAGTATCAACTGCCCAAGAGAGTCGACACAAAGTACGAGGATACATCCAGCAAGGCGTCTCGTACTGAAACAAGTCACCATCAATTTGACGAATGGGGCAATCCGACTGAGGAAACGGAATCAAATGGCATCACCACTATTCGCGAGTACTATCCACCGAGCGGCGAGCAGGGGCCAGGTAATGTCGTGAGATGCCCAGCTGATCCCTTCGGGTTTAAGAGATACCTCAAAACGGAGACGGTTCGCCCGGGACCAAGCGACCACGTTGCGCCGCCACGCGTCGAAAGCTACACGTACTCCCAGGTGCCGGCAGCGACTGGCGGCAAGGCTTCGTATTTTGTCGTTGTCAAGCAGCGACAGAACTTGGGGACGGGTGCGGTCCTGACTACCACCGACTACGACTACGTGAACCAACCTACGGCCAGGGACCACGGGCGTCTGCGACGACAGATGGCTTGGGTTACACGGGAGCTCCCCATAGCCCAGGATTGGATATATTCCTATCCCAACAACAACCAGCTGTCGCAGACCATGACAACCAGAACATTTGATGGCTCAACTGTAGCTGAACAGACCGTCTACTCCTTATGGAGCGGGCTCACCGTGTCTTACAAGAACGAAGCAGACATTACCGAGCACTTTTACTATGATAAGATTGGCCGACAGATTAAAGCTGTCACGGCTCAAGGTACACCATTTGAAAGCGCGCAAGAAATCACGTACGCCGTTCTCGGGATTCCCAACGGAACCCAGCGCACCGTCACCGAGGCCACGGGCGTCAAGACCAGGTACACTAGCGACGGCCTGGAAAGACTCCATACTATCCATAAACAGGATGACATAACTCAGACTATGCGACTGGTCCAGCAGAGCAGATACAATGCACAGGGCCAAGAGACTGAGGTGGTTGAGCTGGATTGGTTGAGGACTGGAAACCAGGACAGACCAACTGAGCAACGAAGCACCAAATCCATCGAGTACGACGACTGGGGAAATGTCAGCAAGGTGACGGAAAGCAACGGCCTAGTCACTTTGACGGCCCAAGACCCTATTTCTTTGACAACAACCGAAGGCATAAGAGGGGAGGGCACGACAAGGACGGAAATCAACCTTTTCGGCAGCCCCAAGGTGATATCACTCCCCAAAAGCGACTCGGCCAGCACGCTCTACAGCAAGATAAGCTACGCGTACGACGGCTTCGGACGCTGTGTCAGCAAAACGGACCACCTTGGCCGAAGAACAGCATACGACTACGACCACTTTGACCGCATCAAAAAGACCACCTGGCCGAGTGGACGCGTCGTCGACACCCAGTACGCCGACCACACGACTGCCATCCTCCCCAAATCAATGCAAGTCAATGGCAGAAACATGGGGCAGCAGTCATTTGACGGCCTGGACCGCATTACTTCCAAGGTTGTCGGCGCCCGACGCACCCGTCAGACATACGAACATGTCGCACCCGAGCCAGTTCACATCACTAGCTCCAAGGGCGACCAGCTAAATCTTACGTACGAGTCAGCCTTGGACCACGCCCCTACCAGCGTGAGGAGTGTCGACACGGCGGACTCCTTCCAATACGATCATCGACTTGGTGCCCTGTCGGGGTTTAGCGGTTCCTACTCGACTCACACCCTGGAGCACTTTCCTTCGGGCCTGCTGTCCAAGGAAGTCATCAAGATAAAGGGTATAAACCAGCTCTCGGCAAGTTATACCTACTCCGTGGCCGGGAAGCTACAGTCGTACACGGACGTCCACGGGACGACAAGTGTGGTGGACTACGATGGACACGGCAGACCTGCACGCCTCACCCAGGGCAGAGTGGTCGTGTCCCTGACCTACAACAGTTCGAGCCGTGTCTCTGAGAGCCGCGTCGAGGACGAGGCCACAAGGACGGCAATAACGACGAAACTGGCCTACGACGACTTTGGCCGGGAGACGAAACGATCCGTCTACAGGGCCGGCACAACGCTGCTCTACCACCTGAGCCAGTCGTACAACGAAATTGGCCTGCTCAGCTCGCGCAAGAAAGAAAACGACCAGGGCGTCCTGCGCGAAGAATCTTTCCAGTACGACGTCCACAACCATCTCGTCAGGTACGACTGCAGCGGCAGTCAACCGCCGACAGATCACCAAGGTCGCCGGCTGCGATCCCAGCAGTTCACGTTTGACAACTACGACAACGTCACCCAGTGCTCGACCGTGTTTCAAGACGGCACCAACAACACGGCAATCTATTCCTTCAGCGACCAGGACCCCACACAGCTCGTCGGCATTGTCAACAGCAGCGCGGGCGACCCTGCCAGAGTAGAGCTCGAGTACGACGCAAACGGCTGCTTGACGCGAGACGAGCAAGGCCGCACGCTGCAGTACAACAGCACGAGCCGTCTGACCGCTGTGCTTGACGCCAACCGCCGGCCCCTCTGTCAGTACGAGTACGACGCCAGCGGGAAGCTCGCCTGCCAAATGGTCCCGGACCAGCCCGACACGCACTTCTTCTACCGCGGGGACTCTCTCATCGCCGTGAAGAGGGGTGACCGCCACGTCAGCTATGTGTCCAGCGGAGCGCAGTACTGGGCAGAAACAGCCACGCAGGGGGCAAGCTCCAAAACCAGCCTCTGGGCCGTGGACAGCCAGCAGTCGGTCCTGACGGCGGTGGACGGCGAGAACGCAGAGGTCCGGCACCAGGACTACACGCCCTACTGCTTCTCCAGCACCGGCGGCTCCGCGCCCTCTATAGGATTCAACGGGCAGTGGCGGGACCCCGTGACGGGCTGGTACCATCTTGGCAACGGATACCGCGTGTACAATCCCGTCCTGATGCGCTTCCATACCCCCGATCCCTGGAGTCCCTTTACCTCGGGAGAGGTGAACCCGTACGCGTACTGTCTCGGCGACCCCATCAACCGCGTCGATCCAAGCGGCCACTTTAGTCTCTTTGGGCTCAAGTTCGGATGGAAGGACCTGATTATGGCGGTGGTCGGTATCGCCGTCAGCATCGGCGTGGGCATCCTCACCGGCGGCGCCTCGTTTGCCATCCAAGTCGGCGTAGGTCTTGCCGCCGGCTTCCTCTCCGACGTCGTGTCCGGAGTAGTGGGTGACCTGGCGGACGGCAACAAACCTACGTGGAAGAGCGTCGGGCTGGACGCCCTCGGCGGCCTTCTCGGCGGGATAGGAGGCGCGGTAGGCGACACCGTGCTGAAGCAGGGCTTCAAGCAGGGCGTGAGGGCCGCCAAGGCCGGCTCGACGGCAGTCAAGACGGCCCTCGGCCGCGCAGGCTCCTACTCGGTCACGAAGCCCGTCGTCAGTGCGGCGGCCGGTTCGGCGGCCAAGAAGAGCATCTCCGCAACCGTCAAGAGCACCGTCAGAGGCATCGCCCGCGGCTTCATCCCTTCGCAGGCAGCGGCCCGAGGCGGCCTTCATCTGACCGGGCTTGGTGCCGAGGGTGCCGAACCGCCGGCCGACCAACAGCGTCCTGCTGGGGAATCGCCCGTCGGCGTCGGCGTCGGCAGTCGAGGGTCCACGGGGAGCAGCGGACCTGCGCAGGTGGGCAGTCAGTCCTACTATCTCAACAGGGGGTCCTCGATGGCGAGAGACATTATCCGACCTGCCATGAAGAACGGCGGCGGCCGGGCCTTGACGAGCGTCCTCAGGCCGCCGCAGCTTTCGCCGTGGTTATTGAGTGGGTATGGTGCTGATCCTGGCGCAGGACAGGCATTCGTCGCCAATCTGCTGAATCGTGATGTTAGGTTTGCCTATGAGTTGTCGGGGGGTGTGGTTTCCGAGCAGGACGATGATGACATTTGAGTTGCGGTACGAGATAGCTTACTAGTGCTTAGTGTTGACTTGTTCTCTAGTGTGCTTTGAATATGAATATCGCTGGTATAGGAACTCTGTCCCGGGAATTCGCGGTAGTGACATTGCGCAGCTCGTAAGCACGGCTACTCTCTGAGGCAAAACACACGATGTAGGTTGCTGGCTAGTCCACTTAGCGAGGTTACACATTCATCTGTGCATTTAGTTGGGTCATCTACCGCTACACAACTTTCAGGGCGGCCGCGACGACAATCAGGGCGACTTCGTCAGCGACGCTCCGGCCGAGGCCTCCGACCACTGGCCCCTAGGACGGGCGTCTGGCTCGTCGTGATACCAGTCCTGACCTCCCTGGGGAAGGGGAAAGAGACCCCATTCACACCTATATGGACTGGTTACTTGCCCGAGTAAGCTGCGTCAGGTGCAGCAGACTACTCGAGAGAGAGCTGTGGCTGACGTGATTTCTGGCTCTTGTAAAAACAACTTCACTCCCGAGCAGACCAAGCCGTGTGCGCGCTATCCTGTCCCTGATCCGACTTGGCTCTCTTGCAACTAGCTTCCACTGCATGTCTGCTTGCGAGCTTTATCTTTGCGCCGCTGCACATGTCAAAAAATGGCCAGCTATTATCCCGTACGGTCTGATCGTGTGGAAGCCAAAGTCGACGCAATATTCAAAACAAGTAATCTCAAACCTGGTACCGTGATAAGCCACTCATTCTCGGCCTAGCCGTATAATTTCGTCATCCCTTTCATGGACTGTCCTCGTTCGTGCTCACTGTTGACATTGACCTGATTTTGCAGTGCATTGGACGCGCACAGCAGACACCAAGCAGCGTGCATCATCGCATCGACTACCACCGCGAAATGAATGCTGAGTTGCCAAATAATCATGATAATATCAAGCTCATAGTGGCATTATAAGGAACTCCAGCTTTTTTACGTTACGTTCCAGGGTTAGTTCCTAGCCTCGCTCCTAGGTGAAGTTGCATGACTCGTCACGTGCGGCTTTGCCGTTTGAGCAAGTGGTCCATCCAACATACCATGACTAAGCATCCAAGCTCGCTTGCCAGGCACGGCGAGACTACGTTTGCCGTCGACGCCTACATGTGCATGTACGGATGCGCCCTCATAATCCAACTTCATCAAGCCCATTGCATCCCCCCCCGACAAACTTTGTTCATCTCGACGCCGTCTTCCCCACTGCGAGGTGACTGATTTCAGCGGCCTCACCGTCGACCGGATAACCGAACTGCGAATTCGACCGCTCTCTGGCCCCTGTTCGCGAACCCATCTCACACGTCGCCTTATTTCCTCGTCGCAGAGGTAGCTGCGTTGCTGCCACACAATGGGCGATATTGCGGTCGAGAGCCAGGTCAATCATGTGCCGCCGCACAAAAAGGCCGTCCCGTCAACGATCCCTACCGTCGACAACTTCGAGGGTCTTTCTACCGAGGGTGGCGATGACTACGCCTCACTGAAGAAGTTGCAGAGACAGCTAGAGTAAGCACGTTCGCGTCTCGGTCTTGATGCTCCTTGAGTTTTCGTATGCGTTCCTGCGATGACGACAGGAGGTATTGCTACAAAGCCTCGTTACTGACCATCTCTAGATATATCCAGCTACAAGAAGAGTACATCAAGGATGAGCAAAGGTACACATTGCTGCCTCCATCACCACGCCCACATTGCTCGCCGTGAAGCTGGCCAAGGTATCTGACACAGAATGCAGGAGCCTGAAGCGTGAGCTGGTACGAGCTCAGGAAGAAATCAAGCGCATCCAGAGTGTGCCGTTGGTCATTGGTCAATTCATGGAGGCCATCGATCAGAAGTATGTTTGTCCCGGAAATGCCCTCGTGAGAGTCGTCTCGCTGACCCGTGTTTTACTTTGCAGCACCGGCATCGTTCAGTCAAGTACTGGATCCAACTACGTCGTTCGGATTTTGTCTACCCTTGACCGCGAGTTGCTGAAACCTTCATCGTCTGTCGCACTGCATCGGCACTCAAATGCTCTCGTCGACATCCTGCCCCCTGAAGCCGACTCCTCCATTGCCATGCTCGGCGCGGACGAGAAACCGGACGTGACGTACGCCGATGTTGGTGGGCTGGACATGCAGAAGCAGGAGATTCGCGAGGCTGTCGAGCTGCCGTTGACGCACTTCGACCTCTACAAGCAAATCGGGATCAATCCTCCTCGTGGTGTTCTGTTGTACGGTCCTCCGGGGACAGGCAAGACCATGCTCGTCAAGGCCGTGGCCAACTCAACCACTGCCAGCTTCATCCGAGTTGTTGGCTCGGAATTCGTCCAGAAGTACCTCGGAGAGGGTCCCCGAATGGTCCGAGATGTCTTCCGAATGGCGCGCGAAAACTCGCCTGCCATCATCTTCATCGACGAAATCGACGCCATTGCCACGAAGCGTTTCGATGCCCAGACGGGCGCTGACCGTGAAGTGCAGCGTATTTTGCTTGAACTTCTCAACCAGATGGATGGGTTCGATCAGACATCCAACGTCAAGGTCATCATGGCCACCAACCGTGCCGACACTCTGGATCCCGCTTTGCTGCGTCCGGGCCGGCTGGACCGAAAGATTGAGTTCCCCTCGCTGCGAGACCGCCGCGAACGTCGCCTCATCTTCACCACTATTGCCAGCAAGATGTCCCTCGCCCCCGAGGTCGACCTCGACAGCTTGATTGTGCGCAACGACCCGCTTTCGGGCGCCATCATTGCTGCCATCATGCAGGAGGCTGGTCTGCGGGCGGTCCGCAAGAACCGGTACAACATCATCCAGAGCGACTTGGAGGATGCGTACTCTAGCCAGGTCAAGGGCACAAGCGACGACAACAAGTTTGACTTTTACAAGTGAGCACGTGTGCGGTGGCATGATTGTCAGTGCGGTGCCGGGGATACTGGCAACAATGCAATGCAAAATGCCCCGAAATACACGGCGAGAATAGGACAGTCGCGGCCCCGGGGGGGGGGGAGGGAGGAGCAGGAGGAGGCATGTCAACGGAAACGTTGCTGTTACCGGTAGATGCAACGGAGCTGAAAGCGCCATCCACCTTTCAGCCCTGCAGGATACCTGGCAAAATATTGTATTGTACTTTTAGTGCCACTCGTCGCGTCGAGCTACATGACACGTTTTGCGTTTTGTTGGCCACCGCAGCCCCCAGGGACGGACACTCCGTCTGAGAAGCCGTTCCATCCAGTCTGGGACGCGAGTCGTGACCAAAGTAAGCCACCACCAGCACAGCGCGTCTGTGCAACAGAAACCACCAGACTGTTCGCGCCTCTCGAGTCTCGACACCAACACCCGTCCCCGTATCACCAAACCTGCATTTGCACGGCTGGTCCTTTGCATTTCAAATTGCAGCATTCCTGCACCATGCCCGAGTACGACATGACACGTCAGGACCACGTCTCCGGTCTGCATACTCCGTACTCCGTACCGTAGTCTGTATGTACTTAATGTAGCCTCGGTCGTCGCGTCAGCGTCTAGAGCGAGCTGCGTGTTTTGCGTGAGCACGCCGAATTCGACGACGCCGTGCTCCGTGGCCTCGATGGGCCCAAACTGTTCTTTGTTTTTGTCTTCTTTGTTCTCTTGGACATCTGGCCGTGCTGACCTTTTCCGAGTGATGGCCCGGCCTACCGTCTATATTAGTTGCCTGCCTGCCTGCCTGCCTGCCCTGTACCTACCATTCATTCCCTAACCGTGTTGCGCCCGAGCGGGAAAAAAGACGTGACAAAACAAACACGAGGTGGACATTAGCCAAAAGTGAATTTTTCCAATTCGTCAAATCGACAGAATAAAAAAAAAAAACAAAGAACCAAAGACTAGACCTGTGTCTGCTGCGCAGCTCCACGTGGCTCCGACAAGTCCTCGACAAACAAGTGGGCTCTAGCAAAAACTTCCTGCACCATTCGCCATCAACCTCGAGGGTTGTCCGTATAATTAGGCCCCAAACTCCATTCGAAACGTCAAAGCAGTACAAGCTCGCATTATTATTACCCAGCTCGTCTCTGTTACGAGAACCCATGTTGAACGCCGATGCCATGCAGAACAAGATGAGAGACGCAATAGGCACGCGAAGCCATCTTCGTCTCTCTCTTGGGAAATGGGGTATCAGAAAAATCGCATCTATGCGGTGGCGCATTGCCATGGCGGGAGCAGTGGCTCGGTAATCGCAAGCTCGAGTCCATTCGCGAGGAAAAAGGTCCAGTCGTGGCGGGTGTCCTCGTCATGGGACATGGAAACGCATCCGAGTCCAACACGCGCCTTCTCAAAGATTGCTTAAGAATTCAACGCGACCCCAATCTCGAAGAGGAGTTGCACAAACTTGCCATGGAGCTCAATGAAGAAATCGGCCTGTCCAACAAGCTCCGCCAGTCCCCGAGCCTTTAGTGATGAAGCTCCCGGACCGCCACCCATACGTCTTGTGAAGGCACTTCCGCCAGTCAAGAAGCTGCTGCCAGACCGGTCGACTGCGGCAGGAGGAGGATCGAAAGCAAAGGAAGCTTGGGGCTGCTGTGGTTGAGCTCCACCCCCGTACATGACACTGCCAATAGGTGACGAGTTGGCTGTTGTGCGTTCCGCTTCAGCTTCGGCGAGCTGCTGGATCCAGGTGGCCAGATCCCGGAAAGCTGCCGAGATCATAGCAAACGTCTTCATCGCTAATCTCTCCCTGTGCGTACTGAGGGCTAAAAAGGCGTACACTCGCTTATGTCCTCGGGCATGTACATCTGGAATGCGGAAGATGTATGCTGTGGTAAAACCGGCCAGAGCATCGCCAAAGAAAATTGGCCCCCCTGTTGCTGCGGAGCCGGGGCTCTGGGTTGTGACAAAGGAAGGTGACGGATTGAGCAGCGGTGATGAGGCTGGTGTAGATGTTGGTGGAGGCCGGGGGAGGGTCTCAAACGACAGTGCGCGTAGGCATGACGCACGAATCAACGAGAAGGAATCAGCCAGGATGGGTTCATGGGTAGAGGTGTAGTTGACGTAGTGGAAGTGATATGGAGTTCGCTCTGATGACGTCGATGTGCTGGAACAAGACGTATTTCTAGAACTACTGGCTGTTGGCGCTGTCCGCCGCGACCGCACACGCCGTGTACTGGTTTCGCGATCACCATCTGTGTCACTCGACGTCTGCGAGTTAGGTGGCGAAGTCTGTCCGGCGGCCCCAAAAACCCTCTCGACAGGAGCCTTGGTGCGTAGAGTTGGGCCATGTGCCCCGGTGGCATAGTCCTCTGTGGCTGCGCCAGAGGCCTGTCGCCTTGGTAGCGTCATGGCACAGTTCTCACAAGGGCCTTGCTTCTTGGTGACTGTGTCATCATAGGTCCGCCTGAAGCTTGATTCCCGGCGGGGTTGCTGGAACACTGGACGTGGGCTTTCTGGCGGCGTCTCGAGTGCCGAAGAGTTGACTATGCAGTTTGTATCACCGGATGCTGTTGCGGAGCGGCGCAAGGCAGCACGCTGCGCGTGAGCATCATGCTCCGAGGCCGGTGCAGAACCGCTGCGTCCGATACCTAGATCCCTAAAGCCATCACCTAAGGCAACAGAAGACTGAGATTGCGGCGCGGATGTCGGACCGCCGGATCGTTTTCGAACGTCCCATTTCGCTTTGCTGGTTGCTGCACTTGTGGGATCGACTTCCTCGAAACACACAGAGCATGGGTTTCTGAGTCCCTCGGTGACCATCAACGGGGTTGGCCCATGGATGTCACAGTAGTGAGCAAGGCATAACTTGAAAGCAGTAGTTAGCTTTGTACCAATAGCCATGGTGAGTTTTGATGTGTCCACGTAAGTGCATCGCTTGAGCTGCTATCATGGACAGGATTGGGAAGAAGCCTGCTGAGTATAAGAGGCAGATTCAGAATTTGCCCGAGTGGTAACAAGACGAGATGTGGATATGTATCCATGGCAGGGTCAGAGTCTCATTTCAGTGGCAAATCACACACAAGTCAAGCAAGGACGCAGCTGACTCGGTCTGCAGCAGGGCTGATGGAGATTGCCCAGTCTCCTCAAAGAAGCAAACAAGCTCCAGGGCCAGGTTCGCAGAAGAAACACACAACAAGAGCCTCCATCCAGAACAACCGGACAACAGAGGCGGTGAGAGAAGATGGTGTGGAAGCGACATATTGGTGTCAAGGCGGGAGCAAGTCGACAAGTACAAGCTGCACGAACGCCGGCCGAGACGGAGCCCAAGGACAGCTACAAGGGAGCACACTACTCCGTAGTTGCAACAAGAGGAACAAAGGAGGGGAGCTGGAAGAAGAGGGCTTGGACGCTAGCAAGAGTTGGGGGGAGCGTGCAGGCTTCCTGCATGCTTCCTGCAGGCGTGATGTGTGGCGGCTTGCAGCAGCACAACCATGCACTGTCCGATATTTGTCGACTTGGACTGACGAGTGTAGGTGGGAGACTTACAATGTAGGTCATGACGCATCTAGAGATCGAGGGGTATATCTTATCGAGAGGAGTGGCAAGGTAGTATCTCGGTCTAGGAACACGCCGCGAGCAACGGAGAGGAGGGCGAGCCAACACCAACGTCGAGATGACCGCGGGACGATGCGGCGAGGGTGCCGAGATGATACAAGGGCCGACGCTGGCGAGGTAGCGATGCGACCACCGGGTCGGTGTGATGCTATCGACGGATATTACGCTGGCGCACGGCCTCGAGATCGCGAGGTGGCAGTGACAGTAGTCGTCGGAGTAGTATGCAATAGAAGAGTACAATTGACGAGCGACGAGCGACGAGCCTCGAGCTTGGAGCTTCGAACTTGAGCCGGTGATTAATTGAAATATGGGCGCTGCAAACGTGGTATGACCCGTCGCCGACTGTCGCGGGAGTTCTGTCCCGATGCGGGAGCCCGCGTGGTTGTTGGGCGGACGACTCTTTTGCAGGACGCGGCCCGAATACCTCAGTCGCCTTGTGTCGTGCGCTCAGCAGTCGGTGGTGTTAATGCTGCTTGTGCGAGGGCCTCGTCCAGAGGTGTCAGCTAGGAGCCTGTCGTGTTCCCTCGTCGGCTGCTGAGTGTCTGCCTGCGGATGGGGATGACGGCAGCCCGCAAGCGAGACGAGGATGAAGATGCAATGATGCAGGGGAGCGGATGTCACGGAGAACAAAAGTTTCCCCAATGTAGTCGGCGTGAGGGTGAAGGCGAGGGCGAGGCGAGGCCAGCAGACTCCGGGAAGGAGTGAGGCGAAGGCGGCGGGTCGTGGCTTCCCAGTCTGCGCAATTCGGGGTTTCTCGTCGAGATGCGGAATACACCAGACGCGAGTTGCTCCGTGACTCGCTCAGTCTGTCAACACAATGAAGGATTTCCGCAATACGACTGGTCGTGGATCGCCGTACAAGCAGCCGACCCGGCTTGATCGAGCGATGGAAAAGAAGAAACAACAGCTGTCGGGATATGGAAGACAGAGTACGGAGCACGCATACGCATACGCATACGTCTGCGAGCAAACGAATGTGAGCAGGGTCACGGACTGGCGATGTGGGCTCGCCAGTTCCTGATATAGTCCCACAAATCATGGATCTGCCCTTACGGTTTCGTCACAAGGCCAAGCGCTCCGACAAGCCTTCTAGAACGTAAAAGGCACTCCCACCACCCAGCGACCGCCATCCTGGCACGAAACACGCCCACCCGGGGGTCCTCTGCAGTGGGTGTTTGGCCTGGGCCAGGAATGAGTCGCGACCGCAGTTGGTCCGGGATGGTCGTCCATCACCCGTTCGTTAGCCTGGGGCAAAGCCAGCTCGACTTTTGGAGTATTGAGCGCCCCAATGCAGCTTGTGGCTGCTCTTGGGGCCTTGGGGGCGAGGAACCACCAGTGGATTAACGGCAGAGAGTCTAGGACCAGCTCGTCCGTTCGAGGACAGCTCAGTTATAGCAAGTCCGGATATAGAAAGCTTCCGAGGCACTCCGTACTGGTGGAACACCACCCCACAGCGCCTGGTCCGACTCCGACTCTCTCCCCTCGTCGAAGCAGCCTAACACAGAGCTCTGATTCAAATGCTGACATCAGACAGGCATTGATCGTCGAAGCCGACAATCCGAGCCCGCTGGTATTCTCCATCTTTGTTGCTGTGACGAAAAGAAGGGAACATCCCCGTACCGCGGAATAAGATAACCGCCCGCGCTTCGAAGCAGCGCACTCCAGGCTGCACAGTTCCCACGTTCGGGAACTGCCGGATTGGAAACGGAAATGGAAAGTTATTCATCCAAGTTTCTCAAGGATGTCTTGTCCAGACCTTGGCTCGAAGAGAGCAACGGAAACTGTACTTCAACTTGGCCTTTACGGGTGCGGTGCAGATTAGCACGAGGAATCAGAAATAAATCCCGGCTTTCGCCGAGGCAGCTACAAGCGTACGGAGTAACTAATTCTACCTCGTTACGATCAAAGCTGTTAGCCAAGACACAGTTGATGCGCGTGCCCGCATAGCAAAAGCAATCAAGTATCAAAAACACGCGCGCACATCGGGCTCGCCCACTCCGGAGGGCTTCTCCTGAAGACCGCCTGTTCTTATATCCTTCTCGAGCGAAACATTCAGGTCAGTGCTTGGTCGGCATCTTTGTGGAGAGCAATATGGCCCTACCATGCTGGCCCTCTACATGCCTTGTGGGCTGGCAACAACATCATAACATATAACGGACCGCGCCAATACTAACAGGGACTGGCCCTATCGAGCCCAACCCACACAGCAAGCAACACGCCGTACAAGGCAGGATGAAGATGGTCGCATGGAGCCCAGGTCATGGTCGTACTGCTGGTAATATGCACCAGAACCTGAGCAGAACCCAGTCAGATCCGTGCTAGCCACGTGGATGACTTGTGACACTCAAATCGCTCCCCATATGGAGTCACGTATGTGTGACTGTCATGCTCCACGGGGCAAGATGCGAGGATGATGGTCTCCTGGTTCTTGGAGGAGCTGCTTGTTAGAGACGAAGCTCGGGCTCGCTCACTAATTATTACACCACATTTCCGCTGTCACCGGAGTGATATAGAAAAAAACGACGGATGCGATTCGCCTGTGTTGGATTGGGTAGCCTTTTGGCATCAGTTTTCGGACCCCACGACCCCTACAAATATGACCGGTGAGAGGCATGCTTGTTGGATGTCACCCTTGTGTGAGATGCGGAGCATCCCGTTTGATTGATTCAACCGTCATTCGCTCACGTAGGATAGTCTTGATTGAAACCTAGCATTTTCGGACTTTCATGCGAACTAGAGCTGACGCCGCTCTCCGAACCGTCATTGATGGAAGTACTATGAGAAAGTTCAATCAGCATGGGCATCTGAGGTCGGCGAGCAAGCAGGTCGTGACCCTTGATTGACAAATTGCGATGGGCCGAGGACGACAATATCGCGATACGGAGTCAGTATCACCATTACGTACGGAGTACCATTACCGGTGTAACTCGGCTGTCAAGGCGGCCTGAAATCTGCACTACCAGAAAACCCGAGACAAGACGCCCCGGTCATATTGTTTGAGACACGCAATCGCACGAGGCCGGGTTTGTTATCGCGAAATCTGATCACGACCAGCAAGCGCTCGGTAGCGGCAATATGAGCTATATGCCTGATGGTTCCTGTTCGTATTTTTTCATGCTCTTCGTTACCGGGTAATTCTATGGATACACTCTCTTTTGGCCCATGCTTGTGCAACACGCTTTTGCTCCCATCAGGTCGCCAGGCTTCTCTTGGGTAAACTCACAATTACTACTACGCAGGGGGTCAAGGTCTAGATCATACCCTCGTGCACCACACAACGCACCGGGTACGCCAGGTGCGTAATTCCGCATGGACGAGAACGCACAAACCCATTTCCCTGAGACATTTATAAACCTGTAACTGCTACCCGTGCAAGTGCAGTGAGTGACATGGGATATTAACCGGAATGACACGGGAGCTTAGCCCTCAGCGTTGGGGAATTTTGCCCCTGCCGGCCATGAGGCGAAAAAGTCAAATCTACGGAGTACGTACCTGGAGAAGAAATAAGACGACGCTCTCGATGCTCCATTGTCACCGGCACACTCCGGCCATCTAGCCCTCTACGGGGTACCGAGTCATACATACTCCGTACGTACAACATAAACGACGGCGCGGTACTCCGTAATGAGCGCGCCTCGCCTCCAGGGTCAGGAAAGGACCAAATAAGAGACGATCCATGCTGTTATTACCCGACAGCTTTGGCATAACGGGCCCGACCCAGTCGTGCCAGTCTACCGGGGAAACAAGTCAATCCTACGTGGCTCGCCCGTGAAATAGAGTCGATCCCACATGCGGAGCAACGCCAGTGATGTAGCGCGATACTTCACATCTCGAATTACCTGGCAGTTGATTTGATACGACGACTGATGCGGAGTGGTTGAGAGGATTTGTGATGGGCCTGGGCGGTAAAGTTGCCCGATGTCGCGTGATATCTTTGTTGAAACAAAATTAAGTACTGCGTTGTTTTTGGACATCCTTGCAACTGGGTAAGTCATTGTGGAGCAATACTCCGTAATAGTTGATGGGTTTTATTGCCTCGTCCCCCGAGTTACATGTAAGTACATCCTCTCGCGTTTTATCCTCATCCCCTTTTCAGCCGCGCAAGGACCATACCAACATGCATGACGTGTATGTGTATATATGTTTGTGGAGGGGCATGGAGGCGTCACGATGCTAGTGCTAATTTTTCTTTGTCTTTTGAGAAGAGTCTGTCCGGCAGGCAACGGCTAAAAAGACGGTGAGGTCGAGTCTGTGTACTCCGTGGACCATAGTCGACTAGTAGTGCTGACGACTTTGCAAATTCCTAGTCCTAGCTTTACGAAGGATCCTCCATACCAAGCCATCTTGTCCCGGCTGCATTCGCATCTGAGTACCGACAATAGAAAGCGAGGTGGACAACTACTACTATTATTACTCCGTTCTCGGTGCACGATGCTGATTTCGGATCCCGTCATCTTGCATCTATGCACTCGGGTGGGTCCTCCTTCTTTGCACGCCGCGTTTCGACCGACATTCTCGAAGTCGTAAGTCGTCTTCGCTTCTGGGGAACCACCAAGGTATGACAAGCACTGTGATGCGCATGCCCTCCAGGAGCACATGGTTCAAGGGACCTGGCCAAAGGAAATGCCGCTTCCGGATTCTGGATGTCGGCACAAGACTCTGCCCATGCCTCGCGAATCGACAATCCCAGAGCCAGGGCCACTTCTCGCGCCACGCTGTTGCCCACAATCTTATATTGCTCCCTAGGGGTGCCTAGGATGACTTCATCATCCGGAAAGCCTTGGGCCCGACGGGCCTCCATGACGGAGAGACCTCGGTTCTCGTCCCAGTGCAGCTGACGACCATTCTTGCGGTCGCCTGCCGTTTGCTGGGTAGTAATGGCTCCAACAAGCTGGTTGGGGTACAGCCGCCCATATGCGGAAGACTGGCGGTCGCAACTGTTGGCTGAGGCATTCCTCTTATCCCTCTTCTTCGTCAAAAACACGCTTTTCTCTGCCGGCGTGAGGACACCGCGAGACGCGCTGCGAAAGTTCATCCCCCATGGCCGGTTTGGAATCAGCGATATTCGTGCCTTTAAGTCCATGGTATGCCTGTGAGCCAAGCGGTGGTCGGGGAAGGCGATACAAGTATCCGTCTGGCCGTTGTATATCTTGGGAAGGCCAGACATCACCTGCCTTGCTGTCCTAGGTTGGAACGGGGCCGCTCTTGGAAACTCGCGCTCCGCCAACGCATTGCCGGTGGAAAGCGTACCAAGTCTAGCAGACTTAGTACCTAGTGGATGCGAGTGCGTCTGCTGAGGCTTGTGAGGCAGCTTATATCTTGGTGCTGCAAAGCTAATAAAGACGCGCGAACGTCTCTGCGCTGATCCACATGATGACGAGTCGAGGTAGAACATCTGGGCCTGGTATCCGATACCAACGATTGCGCATATGAACTGGCTAGAGACATCCTGTTCCCTATTCTCTTTGTGCTGAACTATGCCAGGAACGTTTTCCAGCAGTCCGTACTTGGGTCGGTAGAGGTCGATACACGACGCAAAGGCCGCCACAAGGGACTGGTTCTTGCGCTGTTCGTCCGTGGTTTTGTCGTTTGTGAGCCGAGAGAAGCCGGGACATGGGCTGCCTCCAGAGATGAAGTCGACGCTGCCTATCGCAGGCACCGACTTGCAAAAGTTGCCGTCCAATGCCTCCTTTTGAAAGCCATCTATAGACCCGAGGTACGGACTCAGGAGCCGGGGATGGCTGCAGTTGGCCATGTAAGTATGCATCGCTTGGACGTCATGGTCGTTGGCCCAATTCATGCAAACAGCTCCTCCCTCTTCTAGACCCCTTCCAAAGTTGCCGCCGCCGCAGAAGAGGTCCAGTCCTCGCAGCTTGGGGATAACTGCACAAGGATCAAATCCCTGGCGTAGAGACGGGGGGGAACTGTGCACCGGAACGCACAACCCAGTGGGTGACAGCTGATGCGTGATGTAAAAGAAACCGCCGACTCCAGCTCGATTATAAGGCACCGGGATATTAGCATCAGGGGCAAAGAACCGAACGTGGCATTTTCCGACGATGCGATTCGGGCCGCATTCCATAGACTCGCTGCTATACACCAGTTCATTGCAAGCAGAAGAAACAGCAGTGGCGTCTACATCCCTTCGCCTAAGCAGCCTTCGGAAGCAGAGACGATGCCTTTTGTCCCGTGTGTATACGCTAATCAGTTCGCATGGCTGCGAAGTCGAGCTGTTCCTGTTCACATGGATGAGAAAAGTGTCGCCTGGCCAGTATTTGCTAGATTCAGATTCTCGGTGCCGGGGATCCAAGTGCGAGCATACTAGATCGGAGTCCTTCAAAGTCACCCATTTCCTCTCCTCGCTGATATATGTCTGGCGACAAAAGAATTCCAAGTTTGTCGTCGAGTCTCCTCCAAACTGGACACTATGAACACCCAAGAACTCGTCGTCTTGGATCTTGTTCTTCTCATGACACGAACAATGGTCAGAAAGAAACAGCTCATTCTTCCACGGATACTTCATCAGGCCGCAAAGAGTATCTAGAGGCCGGTAGTACCACAGCACCTCGAATAATTTGCCTCCATCCCTGCGTTTACACACCTTCTGGACTAGTGCAAACCAGCGATCGACGTCCGCGAAACCATTGGAGAGCTCACGTTTCCACATGGAACCCGAGTCGCCACTGTCTCTTTTGGTGGATATGGTGTCGCCGGGTTTGATGGCACGGATGATATCTTGCGGCGCCTCATCAACCAGCTCGCTGGTAGCTGGGCTGTGTGGTACGCAGGCACGCTCAAGCCCATGCTTGAGATTCGCGCCGTCTCTCAGCGTCGATGCCCTCGGTCCCAGCGGAAGCCCCTGCAGCCGATTCCCAAATGGGAGATGAGAGAAGAGTTGGTAAATATAGTCGGTAACGACGGTCGGCTGATCTGCAGCCGTCCCAGGCGACAGCTTGGGATACTTGGTCAAGTTCCATATCTCCGCCCAGATATCATGGCAGTCGGGCTCTTCCCCCGCAGAGAGTCTCTTGTTCTCTTTGTAAAGGAACTGGATATTCGCAACGACCGACGTGCGAAAGTCGCATGATGGGTGTAGAGCCAGCCAGTCCATCAACTCGGGAGCACCCCCATGCACTGAAAGCAGCCACTCCCCAAACACGCTCTTGAAGTGATGTATCGCCACCCTTGTCCGTCTTTGCTTCATGAAATACAGGAAGTCGGTGAAATGCTTGGACAGATTGGCGACCCAGAGGAACTGCTCAAAGAAGCGACGATACTCCTTGGCGGGCAAGCCGAGCTTGTAAAGCAGGCCGCTGCCCGCACAATACGGAGACTGCAGCCAAACCTGATCGCCCACACTGGGATATTGCAAGCCGTATTGCCCTACTGGAACGGCGCTCACCGGGACTCGTTTTACATACGTCTTGCTCTCTCCGTTGTTGCTTAAAACTCCGTCAAAGAAGAAGCTATGCTGGCCGCGTTTGGCATAGAGCTGGTGCAGGCACCGCATCTCACATGGATAACGTTCCGTGTCCACGTAAACGGCAAAGTTGTCCAGCTGCAGCTCGAAATGGCCAAGAGAGGATGAAGATTGAGGCTGCGGGTGTCCTGGCGACAGGCGGAAACACGCCAAGGCTTCCTCTTCAGACTTTACGGGAGCAGGTGGATGGAACGGCTCGTAGCAAGATCGAGGCGAGGACACGTGAAGGTCTGGAATCATCACCGCCAAGTTGGAAGTCCTCTCGGAAAAGGCGCTTATCGATGGCGAACTTGCTCGTGCTGTCTCTGACCGTTGCTGGGAATCCTCTTGACGAGGTGACGAGACATCCTCCAAAGTCCATACGCCACCCGTGGGAAGAGTTTCCCCCAAGAAACCTGTGGTGCGTCTAGATCCGCCAGGCTCGAATTCGGCCTCCATGGCGGCCGGTAAGGCTGCAAATAGTGAGGTTCAAGAGGACGCGTTTTCAAGAGTCGAAGTGCACTGACAGCATGAGACGCTTATCCTGTCTGCCGCGGCGGTGGTCGAAGGTTGAATCATTTGTTTGAAAGTACAAAATACACTATTCAAATGTTTGGAGTCTGAATGAAGGGGTTGAAAAGGTCACCCGTAGGCATTCACAGGCTGAACAAACGCAGGGTGAGCCAGAGGTGAACATGCTTCAACCGCAGCAACTCTCGGCAGAAACGACAAAGCTGGCCCCCGCAGAGCGTTTGAAGCCCAGCATGTAAAACAGGCGAGGCTACATCAAGCACAGGAGCCATGGGAGCGTAGCAATCGGAGCGGCTTGGGCTGCAGTGTCGAGAGAAAAGCGTACTTCACATACCGCGTGTAGCTCGTGAGAAGCTCACAAGGTTGACTTTAGGACATGAAAAGGAGCCAGCAACGAGGAAGAAGGTGCGCAAATACACTACATGCACTACCGCTAATCCAAGAAACGGAGCCTGTGAGAAAACTACGTGCGTTAATGGCAAAAACGACAACCCAGAGCAGCGATTCGGCGACGCCTACCCTCGCGGTTGAGCCGCAACAGACCCGACACGTTCGCCTACGTACGCGTCAGGAAATAGAATCGACGAGGAAAATAGGGAGCTAGGTGCACATCATGTTCAAAATTCTGCCCGAGTAACCGCTACAGGAAGCACCGATGAACAATGCAATCCCAAAACACCCTGCGCCAACAGCTGTGGATTTTCCACGCAAGCAAAGTCCCCGTCTATTGCCCCTTGGCGATGTCCAACGCTGAAGAGATAGTCCCATGACATCATAATTTCATAAAGCATTACATACCCCGTCGAGGCCCGAGGGTGCCATCTTATCGACGACGCCGAAACCTGCTGTTATAACCTGGCCCTCCCTTGGCCCCGTTATTCCTCAACTTGAGCCGATGGAAATTGGCGTGAGCGAGCTCGTTCACCTTCCTTGCTACTTTTTTAACGGGCCCCTCATTCGCGGCCAACTTTGCTGTTCTTTTCGATGATTTGAATGCTTCGTCGTTTTCAAAATCACTGCCTGATGCGACGTCCCCGATATCTGCGTCTGGACCATCGACAAGCTGCGTTTCTGGAATCATGTCCTCTCCAGCACCATCGCCGTCGCCGTCTTGGCCCGTGGGGATGTTGTTCGGCCTCCTTATCCGTGTTGGTTTGATGTTGACCTTGCGGGTTGTTCTCTTTTGTCCTTTCTTCTTGTATACTGGTAAGGGGTTGCCACTTTGATCGAGGCCGTCCTCGACGGGACTGTCGTACATGTTCTCATCGTCGAGGCCACCCAGCAATGCTGGTCGTTGACCATCTTGCACCACCTCCACCTCCACCTCCACGGCAGATGCTGCCGCGGGAGTAGGAGCTCGTCGTGTGCTCAGCGATGGAGACGTCGGTCCGCGAATATCCGCACTCCCATTCTCAGCCGCCCGAAGAGCATCCATGTCGTCGTCGTCGTCGAGAGCATCATCCTCTACTTTCCTCAGACTGGCCACGATTTCGCTCAACCCTCGAACGAGCGGCTTCCTCGGCAGTCGCAGTGGCGATGGGTCGGCAAACATGGCGTTCTCGTCGACGGCAGGCAGGGAATGCCTCTTTAAGAAAGCGGGCGTTTCGAACTGAAGCTTGGACACGGACGACGGCGTCTTGGCGTCTAGACTGCCGAGTCGTCGATCCTTGATTGGCGTCGCAAACGTGTTCAAGGCGTTTACTTTACTTGAGGACATGGGCGTTGTGCCTAGCTCGGTGATGCTTCCGGGGTCGCAGGCACCAGTCCGCCTGCTAGGCGTAGATTGGACGTTGGCACGGCTTCGACCCGGTGTGCCGGGCGGCCTGGGTGTGTTCTTCTTTGATGGCGTGCCGAGCTCCTTTTCAACCAAGAGGTCAAATAGGCCCAGGACGCGGCCGTCTCGCTGGGGAGTGGGACCGAGAGAGGTTACAGGTGCCGGGCTGAACAGCTTTCTCGATATAGCGGGTGTATTCATCAACTCTTGGTCGTGAGACTGTTGCTTGGATGGGGTCCCGACATGCTTGCTCCGTTTGCGTGGCGTCTGTGTAGGAATCGGATCCGGCTGGCGCTTGTTGGGTTTCGGTTCCGATTTTGCCGATGGTGGTTGCTTTCCAGACAGGATGTCACGGATTTTGTTGTAGTCTTTGTATTTACGTGCTGCCAATCATCCAACTGTTAGCGCATCCCCGTGGTATCGTTCAAGCCGTCCGTTGTGTGCCAAAGGAGCGACATACCAATGTCGGGATTGTCCTTGATGTCCTGCCGCCCCGGCTTGCTCCCGGCGTGTGCGTGTGCCCACTCGCTCTCCCAAGCTTTCAGCTCCGTCCTGAGATGCTTTGCTTTGTTTTCGTACCGAGACTTGGTCTTGCCGTCCATGGCCGCTTGCAAAGATGTGCTTTGCAAAGTTTCACAAGGGCGGGAGCATCGTGAGTGCGGGTTGCAGGCTGGAGCGCTGTCTGGTCGAGACTCTGGACATGAGTGTGGATCGCTGGCGCGTCGTGAAGACGCGTCTCAACGACGTCAGTTAGTTGGTAGAGTAAGCCATTAATAAGTCACTGGACCGCCTGGACGTCTAGCGCCCCATGGTGCTGAGGCCAGGCCCAAACCCCGCCGCATGATGGACCTTGGACCCCACCGTTGCCGCCGATTGCCCCCCGCCGCAGTCGGTCATGACAAGTTACAACCGTCGTCTTCGAAGCACGACTCGGATCCGGGATATCGTCTGGCAAGCAGTCATCCATCACATACTTGATCGCGAGGCCCTCGTCGCATCTCCGCGGAGCATGTCGCCATGGAGAAGGAGCACGAACAAAGCGCCGACCATGTCCGGCTCCTTGTCCTTCGAAGCACACTCAACGAAGTAGCTGCCAGGGAGGAGGACGCGGCCGAATGCTGCGTCATCTGCCTCGATGTCATCACCGAGCCATGCAAGGCACTGCCGTGTGGCCATCGCAACTTCGACTACATGTGCGTCTCGAGCTGGCTTTTTGAAACGCCGCGATGCCCCCTCTGCAAAGCCACCGTCGTCAAACTTGTACACGGCTCTGCTCAAGATCCCGTCACGACCTTACTGGGCCAAAAGCCCTCGACCAGCACCTGCACAACAGACACGACGAGGTCCGCGAGCACAGCCTACTATGCGCGTCGGGGGAGATCGGGGTGCAGAGGACAACGGGGCAGACGGTTTCGTAGCGGCGAGCGACCGACGACCCCGTCCAGCGCGGTCGCTGCTCGTCGCGACGTCTACCGCCATCAGCGATACTCCAAACACGTCGGGTCTAACCGCCTTTCCCGCTACCGCGAACTGACGCCAGAACTGTTCCGTTCAGACGCAGACCTGGTCTCCCGCGCGAGGATGTGGATCCGGCGGGAACTCGGAGTCTTTTCGTTCCTCGCGCCCGACGACGACGACGGGAGCACTTCGCGGCCCGCACCGGCCGGCCCACGGACGGCCGTGCAGCGTCGCCGGGCTAACAATGCCGAGTTTCTGCTAGAATACATCATTGCCATCCTGAAATCCGTGGATATCGTGGGAAGCGGCGGCCAGGCGGAGGACATGCTGTCCGACTTCTTGGGGAGGGACAACACCCAGCTATTTCTGCACGAGCTACGCGCTTGGCTACGGAGTCCGTTTACGAAGCTTGAGGACTGGGACAGGGCTGTTCAATACCATGGAGACGCTGTGAGGAGCGAACCTGAAGGCGAGACGCACAGGCACCGCGTGCTCCGCGAGGGTAGTTGGGGCCGGCGTCGTGGCTGGCGGGCCACGCAAAGGGGAGGAGAGTTCTACCCTCCTGCAGGGCGGCGGGACACGGAGCAGTGGTCTCGCAGATCGAGACATAACGCCGAGCGGAAGAGAAAGAGGAGCAGATCGCCTGGACGGGCGGCGTAGGCCTGCTCTCGGATGCGCGACTTTTTCCTTTTCCAGTAGCACATGATACCCTGGCGAGGTCTGGGACTTGCAGTTGTGACTTGGTCCGGGATCAACGCCATTGCGCAAATATGCAACCTCTTACACACTGTGTTGTCTATATACCGCGTGACTAGTTAACGCTGGTTCCTCCATGGCCGTCTTGGACACCGCCATCATTTCGGAAACAGTCTGTCCCTTCTGCCGGGTCTGGCGTCCCACCAGGTTGTACCGAAAACCAATGCCGGGTGAAGGCTGGCGGATCCTCGCCAACCTTCAACTTGCTGGCACGCCTACCGTTTGATGTCAATCCTCTTTCCGAATTAGTCCTCGTCGCCGACGTGGCGGCCAAAAGATTTGGCGCAGACAAGACTTTTTGCAAAACGAGAGCGGATGAGCCAGCCCAGACGGCAGGGTCGGCTGGTATTGAGCCTGAATGCATGCATGGCTCGCAGGGGCCGGCGGCGGCGAAGAGGCCGACAGGGAAGCATAGAGGCGTGTCGACATTTACTATTGACAAGGATGAGGATGAGGTTGGGGAGGTTGAGGGGTCGCAGGCCTGTCTTGATTTCAATTTTCCGGGCGCAGCATGCTGGCGAGGCGAGGGACAAGCACAGCCCGGCGATCACTCACTCAAGCTCTGACGGTCCACGCCCCGAGAGGGATCTCGCATGTCGTGGTTGATTGCCAGACGCGGGTTGTTTGCACGTGGAAGGGAGACGGAGCATGTGGGCATCGTCGTTTTTTTCTTCCCTGTTCGTCATCACATGTTCATAAGGCCTCCTAGGTCTTTCTCCATTTGCCGCAGCCTCGCCTGGAGCTCCCTCTTCTTGGCCTCCATCTCCCTCGCCTCGGCTTCCTCCCGTCGCAGATCATCTTCCGTCCACAGCTCGCTTTCGTCCTGGTCCTGGGCGTCGTCTGGCTCGTTTGCTCCCTCGTCCATCCAGCTCTTGTTCATGCTGGCCAGCTGCTCGGCCTGCTCGGCCACACGGGCCTCGTAGTATGCCGTCGTGTTCTTTCCGTTGCCATGCTTGATGCGCAGCGTGGAGATGCGGTCCCTCGCGCCGGGCAGCTCGTAGACGCCGCAGAGCTTCTCGGCGCCGCGGAGCAGAATCTCAACGTCGACGTCGCCTCTGCGATCGGTCTCTCCTCGCCGCAGCTGGGAGTGCATTTCGCCCCCGAGGACGGCGGCGACGGCGGTGTGGCGGCGAGGGTTCGCGGATCCGCGGGTCGGCGGGCCGGTCGTCACCTCGCCCGACGCGACGTTGAAGACGGTTTGGCGTCTGCCCCCGGGCTTGGATTCTGGCTCGGCGCTGCGGCGGCGCCGGGTCGCCGGGGGGGCAGGCGGCGGGACGGAAAACAGAGCTCTCTCGTGGGCTTCCGTGTCTCTGATCAGGCATGTGATGTCGTGGTTAGACAGGAGGGCGTTTGTGAAGATCTTGGGTTGCGGGAAACTGGGAACGAGTCAGCCTGTTGTCGATGTTGACGATTCTTCAAACGTCGTGGTGGGTGGAGGCGCATTACGGCAGGGAGTCTATTCCCCGGCACGAGTATGATATCTGCTCGAGATGGCCGGACAAGATGGACATTATGATGAGGCTACCGAGGACGCGTCGAGGAAGCGCGCACTGGCGAAAAGGCAATTCGGATAGGGAAAACGGGCTGATGGACGTTGGGGCGTGTCTGGGTGTGCGAACGTCGGGAGTGCTTCGATGTTGCGCTCGTGGGGAATCCCGGCTGTGGACGACGCGACAAAGGCGGCCCCGCACTGCGCCTCAACCCTAACCCTCGGGGCTGGTGTTGCCTCTTGAGGTGCTCAACAAGATGTATTCATAGCGGCATGTAGGCGGGTATTGGACATGAGTTGACGGTGGCATTCTTCCCGGTTCGAGTCGACGAGGTGAAGGGAACGTCTTTGACAAGCTATATCATATTTCGGCATTCTTGGATCTGGATCTACAGTTATTCACGGCCCAAAAAAAAAAAAAAACAAGAAAAAGAAAAAAGACGCCAAAGATTTACAAGACGGTTGTATAACACACGCTATACGGCTTCCTCTCTTTTTTTCGAGGCCTAACTGACGTAGCTAATTTTTATCAATATTTTTAAAAGCCAGCAATAACCATCAACTGGCGATACTAAACAAGGGGTCTGTCAGCACGCTCTGAAAGCCGTCATTGCCTTTCGCGCTGTTCTCAACGCGTCCGCAGTTAGGCTGCCATCACTATCGTTACGCGTAGCCCTCGCTTGACCAAGCCAAACCTGATACAGTAAGACGAGGCCAGGCGCCACCTCATGTTCCAGTTTCGATGGGAGGGAAAGAGAAAACACTAGTATTCCATACCATCGACATTGTCACGCCAGGGACTAGCCTACCGCTAAGTCGGTAGGTAGCATTGCTTCCCTCAACGTTTGCAAACGCCTTTTTAAGTATCACGCGTGCGTAATGCCACGCAACACCCTGGAATGCTCTTTGCTAGCGGCCCACAATCATCTCGATGTCATATACATATAAACTGTTGTCGTGCCTTTTGCTATGCATGTTCACTTGATAGACATGGTCTTGCCACAAATCGTACGTTGACCGTTGACGACTTGAGTAAGCCTTGCCTTGGCTCGCCGGCAGCCGTCGGTAGTGATGACGGAGAGGCTTTGTTGCGTATTGAAGAATAACCGAAAGATGGAAACCCACGGTGGATGGCAAAGACGGGTAGACGCGCCCTGTCGCGTCCCGTCGCTCTCACTTGCGCCCCTTGTGTCACGCCACGTCTCTTGAGTCGGCTCTTCCTCCTGTGTCGACATGGTGACATTGGTGAGAAAAGGAAAAAGAAAGAGCCGGACACGTCTGATTTCGCACATGGCGCAAGCCGTGGCCGCTGATTTTAACGTGGTGGGCCAGGACATCTCCTAAGATTGCATGTCTTCCAGGTCAGGTCAATCTCCATGTCTTACTCGTATGTCGTGTCGTGGATGACCTGTGTTTTAGCCTACATGGTAGCCAAATGTACGGAGTAGTCCTAACAGAAACGACGACAACATACCATTGCGCCTCCTGCGAGAGGTTCAGCGCCTCAGCATTCCTCATGGGGTTTGTCAATAGATTGCCACCAAAAAGCAAAGCGATGGGCTGGGTCGTGTGCGCGACGTGTTGGACAGCACCATTTCCGTGCTTGTACTCGCCTCGCTTGTTGGCTTTGTCCAGCCGTTCTTCCAAGACATGCTGCCAGAAGACGGGTATCGGTACCGGGCCCAGACCCAGCTCGGGGAAGCCTCCCTGCGTTCTATGATTCAGGGATAGTAGTTACTCCGTAGTTCCTGTTGGATAGTACGTACGCCGTACTCCGTGTGGAGTCTAGACTGTAGAATATCGGCTCCGTCCCATGTGTCTGGGGGTCGGTCGGGGGACGGCAGAGAGACAGACAGGGTGGTTGTTCTGTGGATTGGGCCCCGTGCTATTATTTGACTGGAGTAAAATGGTTATGGTTTATTCAATTGGAGGGGGGACAGCAGGTGTGAGCGGATAAGCTGTCCAACCATAAATGGATAACGCCCGGGATTCCAGGCACTAGCACTAGCCAACAGATAGCGACATGTAACGAGTACTCCACGCATGGAGAGGCGCTCCGCCAATCCTTCGTCACGGCCTGTACTCAGTACCAGGCCATTTCTCAGCCGACAGTCTATTTCTGGCCACTCCGGCATCCCCTCAGTCTTTCCCAGCTCGGCACTTGGCTCCACTGTCGGGCGGCCGGCCCAGGAACTTATTCCCAGGGGCCCCCCTTTTTTACTTGATTAACCCCCAGCCTTCGCTCGGGGCCGTTGGAGACTGCTGGACTGCACCGGTCAGGTTGTTTGCACCGCGTTGTCGCTGTCGTGGTCGTGGTCGTGGTCGTTGTCGTCGTTGTCGTCGTCGTCATAGTAAAGCTAATAGCACTAGTTGTAGAAGCAGAGGTACTCCGTAGTGGTAGTAGCAGTAGTACGCGGTACGCCGACATGTCAACTTCACTATTGAATGCTCAAGTGGAAGGAAGGTCCAGTTGCTCAGGTCCAGTCAGGTGCACCCCACGGCAGCAGGGATCCACTTCCACCGCTGCACACGCCGCCCGGCGCCCGACCTGACGCCAGTTCGCAGTGACCTTCTGAGTCTCTGACACGGACTGGACCAGACCAAGGGCAGCCCCCAGCTCCTGTAGAACTTCAGTCTTCCCAGATGTCGTCGGTACCTCCCCTCTGACGGGACCTGCTCTTGCCAAACGCCAAACTCCAAACTCGAAGACGCGCAACGTCGTCTTGTTGTATGTCTGCCTTTGAGCTGCTGCAGACTTGCAGACCGAGCCCGACGCAGCTCGTATCCCCTGCTAGTCCACGGCACCACTAGGTGATGTGCTCGGGACAAACCCCAAAGGACGTCACCAGAATTTGACTTCGGCAACTCGAGCATCCAGAGTTCGAGGCCGTGCGCCTCCCTTCGCCGCCTGCACTGCACCCGAGCAGTCGCTCGACTCCTCTTTGCGACCAAGAGACCAAGCAACCGACATCCGCGCCCCGAGCCCTTAAACCGAGGAAGCCTCCTGCCGCCGACACAACCACGACAGATACTTTCGACAAGCAAAAAACTATCACATTTTGCCGCGGGAGCCAACCAGCACACGCCTCTCCTTTCCGTCTCTTTCCGTCCAAGATTCAAATCTCCAAGATGCTGGTCGCTGGGCCCCTGATACGACGGCGATCAAGCCTCCTTCGCTTCGGCATCTTGGCCTTTATTCTCCTCGTCGCTACCTGGCAGCTTTATCCAAGCCCTGAAAATCTGGTTCGCTTCGATTTGAATCTGACGCCTCCGGCTGCGGGAAGCCACGGGACGCCTCAACATGACAAAGGCCGCAAGAACAAGCCGACCGACGCAGATACAGCGAAACCACAACCCGCGAAGCCGGACAGCACCCCCCCAAGGTGGCCAGAAGCTACGCTGCCTGCCACCGCCTCGGAAGACCCGCATCCTATAGAAAAGCTCATGTTCGACGCGCAGCGTCAGTTCGCAGCGATATCTTCCGGCGAATCAAAAACATTGGAGCAGGCTGCCCAAGCTTATCGCAAAGCTCGTGGAAGGCATCCTCCTCCGCACTTTGACAAATGGTTCGAATACGCCCAGTCACACCATGCTCTGATGGTAGAGGGATTCTTCGACCAGATATACGAGGATCTAGAGTCATTCTGGGGCATCGACCCTGCGCCCATGCGCCGCGAGGCTAGTCAATTCGAAATGACCATCAGTGTTCGTAATGGTACGGCCACGGCCAAGTCCGATTGGATGTGGACTAAGATCTGGCTCAACATGACCAAGACGATCGAGACTTTGCTTCCCGACATGGACATTGCCCTGAACGCCATGGACGAACCGCGGCTGGTCGTCCCCTGGGAGGACGTCAATGGATACATGAAGACGGCCTTGTCTACACGAAAGCTTGCAAATGTGAGCGAGACGGTCAACGAATTCCACGCTTGGCCCGATCCAAAGACCGGCTCCTTAGCAGGCGATGTCGCAGATAAGAATTGGGAGAAAGATGGTGAGTGTCATCTGTTTACGTAGCAGGTTCCACTGAATTCTTCTCAATGGAGACACAAACTAACGCCATTTCTCTAGAATTCTACTGGAAGATTGTTCGCCGTGGTTGCCCACCAGACAGTCTTGCTAGGACCACGCCACTTCAGGGCTCTTGGAAAGAGCCTCCGACTATTAACAATACATATGCGGAACCTCATCTTCACAAAGGTTACGTTTCCAACTACACCAAGTCTATACAAGTCTGCCATCAGCCCGATTTGCAAGGCCTCGAGGGCATTCTCATCCGGCCCCTGTCGACCAAATCCACCAAGGTCATGATTCCCCTGTTTGGTGGTTCCAAGCTGACCGTCAACAACGAGATCCTCCTGCCAGCCCCTATGTACTACAGTGAAGAGGAGCGCTTTATCGGTAACGGCAACCACGGCATTGAATGGCCTGAGAAGACTGACAAGGCCATATGGCGTGGTGTGGCAACGGGCGGTAGAAATACGGAGCACAATTGGCGTGGCTTCCAACGCCATCGGTTCGTCGCCATGAACAACGGCACCAAGATCGCTCGTGTCGAGTCTGGTGAGGACAGGGCAGAGAATTTCGCTCTTCCCGGGGAATCTTACGGCGTACAGGCTTCTGCGGGCAAAAGCCTGGGACATTGGGTCGACGAGTTTGCTGACGTTGGCTTCATCGACCTCATGTGCAGCTATTCTGATCAAAGGAACAAATGCAACTACACTGACTTTTACTTCAACCCCATAGAAGGTATCAAGCTGAGCGAACAGTTTAATTACAAGTATCTGCCCGACATTGACGGCAACTCATTTTCTGGTCGATACCTCGGGTTCCTGCGGTCTACTTCTCTCCCGATAAAGTCAACCATCTTCCGTGAGTGGCATGACTCTCGTCTGGTGCCATGGAAACATTTCGTTCCCATGGACAACCGATTCACCGACTATTACGGTATCATGGAATTCTTTCGTGGATACCGAGATCGCGGTGCCCACGATGAGGCTGCCAGGAAGATTGCAATGGAAGGCAAGGAATGGGCAGAGCGGGTGCTTCGCAAGGAAGACATGCGGATATACATGCTGCGACTGTTGCTCGAATATGCCAGGGTTATGGATGACGACCGTGAGCTCATGGGCTGGACAGGTGACGTCGTTAAGAAGCCCTCATTGGCAAAGCCATGGTCGTCGTGGTGGTAAAATCAGGGCAAGACTGCATCTGTCGACGGATGCTTCAAGAGCTGAAAAGTGAGCTTGCATTTGCTTTCGGGGCCTCGGCGGGGAAAATGGAGCACGTACTCTGTACTCGCGTCATTCTATTGGACTTGGACTTTTCATCTTGCCAACATGACTTCGTGTTGGATAAGGAGTGAAGGCGCAAGGCGTTTTCTTGAGGCGGAAAAAACCCAGGGTCTCAAGACATGTATAAAACTATGCGGCGGGCAGGCATGAAGCAAGCATCGTCCCTTTTGTGAACGATTGATACGGACGCGGGGTATGATGGGGCGAGTAACGAGCTGCTTTGGCTTTTGCCATGATTCCCTCTGTGTATTCACCTGTTGACAATGAGTTTTCTTTTTCTTTTTCTTTTTTTTTTCAAATCGTCCACGTTTTAGTATTGATACCCCTAGGATGCAAGTCAGGTCCTCTTTTGTCGACATTGTCCCCCTCGTCTTGGTATATTGCGATTTGCTCCCCGTCAGACACGAAGCGAAAAGCCACCCACAAAGAAGCCGTGTGTACGTCCCGATATCACACCGCCATTCTTTGGAGCCGTGCGCTTGCAAAAAGGCCGACCGGGAAAGAATTCGACATGGGGCCCGCCGTGGTCCTGCTTGCCAAAGAAACCGCACCGCCGGCCTATCTACACCGGGATGGCGTGTTGCCGTGGCGCTGCCGCTGCCGTTTGCGCCGACACTCAGCGTCGTCGTCGGCACGGCCCTTTCGAGGCCCGGCCGTCGAGCCCTTCTCCTTGGGCACGAGACACCCCATGCGGTAGATGACCAGGTCCTTGCCGAACTTGCGCGACATGGCGTCCAGGAGCGCGCCCCTCCGGCCCGCGAGGTCCTTGCAGAACCCGGCCGGCCTGGGGAGCGGGCGACGCGTGCCGCCGTCGACGTAGACGGAGAGAAAGGGCACGGGGAGGTGCGAGTCGTGGTTGACTTTGACACGCAGCCGGATCACCTTGGGCCCGGTGTAGACGGGCCGGTAGCCTTGGGACGCCGAGGCAGCGTCGGCCGGTCAGCAGCTGTCCTCCCTCAAGGAGCGAGGAGGCGGAGGCGGACGCGCGGACGCGCGAGACCTACCCGTTTCAGAAATGTTCCTCGCCGGGCCGTGCTCGCCCGCGTGCCTTACAAACTCCGTCTCGAGCGGGTCGTACATGACCTTGAGGAAGAGCTTGAGGACCTCGACAAAGTCGCGCCTGGTGCCTCTGTAGCTGTCGCTGGTCTCGAAGCGCCCCGACAGGCGGAGCGTCACGTTGCCCGTGACGGGCGGCCGGTTGTCGTGGGCGAGGACGGCGCTGGGCAGCGTCACGGTCGTGTTGCACCCGCCGCGGGCGCAGTGGCCGTCGATGAGGTCGGCCACGTCCCAGGGCGGGAGGGACATGCCCCAGTGCTCGCGCTGGTCCGTGGGCACGAGGTAGATGCTGCTGAGGTGGCTGTTGGTCCAGATTGTTCTGTCGTCGGCTTCCCATCCGCTCGGGCGGTGGGGGAAGAAGTCGTAGGCGTCGTCGGCGTGTGTGGCGAGCGGGAGCGGGAGCAGGAGCTGGAGCAGGACCGCCGGGAGGAGCCGCATCGCGATGTGGCAAGGGGGGAGCTGCGACATGCCGTCTTCTCGGGCGTTTCCTCTGTGACAATGTCGGGACATCGGGACACCGTGGGTAGAGAGAAGAGTTGAGCAGTTTGGGACAGAGTCTGTGTGCCTGGCCGGCGTGGCGTGGTTGATGGCGTGGAGCCTAGTCTTCAAGGAGGAGGCTGTACAAAGGACCATGGACGTGGCCACGTTGAGTTGGCCTCGAATCTTGATGCGCTCCCAGGACGATCTATGTACTGTGCAGTCCAAGTCTGGTCCATGTTGCGACGCCGGACTTCTCAAGTCTAATCGTACAAGGCCCGGCCCTGCTCTAAATCTCCAACCCAGTCGCCCCAGACTTGGTATCTTCCTCGTCCCCGTCACCGTCGACCTCTTCGACCAGCCTCCCCAGCATCTGCGTATAGCTCGGCATAAAGGGCCAGTTCATCCACGCCTCCATGATTTCAGCCCACTGCTCGCCATTCATGGCTCTTACGGTGAGCGCCCCATTCCCCGTCATGGGCGTGCCACCGCGGCTCGGATCCCTCACGCTGGGACACTCTGTAATCAGATGGCCGAATCCGCCCCAGAGGCCCTCCATGGCTTTTTGGATGGGCAGCAACGTGTGGTGTAGCCAGAACCGCAGCATGACGTCGGACATGTCGCCTGAGCGTGAGCTGTTGGGACCGTGTTGCCTGAAAACGGGGTGCATGGCCTTTGGCTGAATGTCGAGCAGTGCCGTCGGCGCGTTGGGGAAGAACTCTTCCCCTCTTGCGGACAGGGGCTCGTATGGCCTCCTGTCCCAGAGCATTGCGGGTGGTGACTGGCGAAAGACGTGGTAGCTGTCCCTGATTCCGTTGAACTCGTTGCGTGCGTTCTTTTTGAGGCAGTCAATCTTTTCGTTCCACGCCGCGTTGGCCCGCTCGAACTCGGTCGGTGAGGACGCTGACAACGCCGCCACTGCGTCTCTCTCCTGAAGCAGGCCAAGATACATGAGTGCGGCTTGTTGGTCGTATTTTTCACGCTGCCTCAGCGCCTTGAGGCGTTTTGAAGTCTCGGCTGATTCAGAGAAGCCCTGCTGAGCGAGCTCCTCGAGCTCTTGCTTGAATGGCCGTGTTAGCGACGGCGGTCTTTCACCCGCCAGCTTCTGTCCCAACAGCTCAGGCTCTCCTTGCAGCTTCGAGTACATCAGCGTCTCTCGCCCCTTGGGCATGGACAACCCGGCAGCTCTCATTCTTTCAAGTGTTTGAGCAGCCGACTCCGTGTTGATCCACTCGTCACGGAGCGCATTCCGGTCTTGCACTTTGGCATCCAGCCCAGCTACCTCATGGACCCATTCGCACGATATCTCGGCCTCGAATGCACTCCTCTTGCGCCTGTGAATGGATCGCGGCAGCAATCTCCTCTTGTCCTCGTCATTGACCCATATCAGCATGCGGATCAGCCCGTACCGGTGAAACAAGGTTGATGTTCTTATGCTCGAAATGAACTGGTATAAAATCATGGAGCTGATGCTGTCGAATCCGTGAAATGCCTTTTTGGGAAACGTGGACAGATTCGCCGTGACAAGAAGCGTGTCGTTGCGTCTAGGTGTGTCTTTTTGCGCAACTTGTTGCTGCTGGTCGGACAAGCTTGTGTGGAGCATCTCGAGCATGTCTTTCCAGACCAACCCAGATTTTGCTATCAGCTTGACATTGTCTTTTGATACGAGGTCAGTAAGGAAGCCACTGTACAGCTCGGCATCGAGGTCCATCATGACGTGCTTGCGAGGCTCGAGGAATCCATGTAGCTTGCGACTCCATACTCCTACTCCGGGGTTCAAGTCGACCAGGTCGCACCCTCGATGGCGCTCGAGCGAGGGCGCAATATACCGAATGATGTCGTCTGTAATTTTCAAAATTAGACTTCAGGAGTCTTCGTCAGTAGGTTCCTAGGTGTCATATCATACCACACAAAGCCTCGCTGACTATATTGACTCTGCGAGGCTCAATGGCCCGCATTGCGTTCACCTTCTTCCGTCCCCCGGCTCGCTTCCACACCCCGGTAAGATCTAGCTGGCGCGCAATGTCGCTCGTCACTGAGAGCATAGGTGATGTCTTTGTCTTTGCGGCTGCCTTTTCTGTCGCCTCCTTTGCTGTTTTCGCCTTGGGGATTGACTTGTCTTTCTCGGCTTTGGCAGTCCTCGGCTTGGTGGTTACCTTGCCACGAGCTTGCAGCAAGACTGGCCGAACAGCCAACCTTGCAAGAGAATTGTGGCCATGGTTGAATGATGCCAACATCAATAATGATGTTGACTAGCTCGTCGATGTAGTGGGCGCTGCTCGCAGATGCAAATGAGTGTCTTTGGCAGGTTGATTGCTGGTCTGGAATTTGGCGACGTTGCAGGACTTTCCTTCCTTATCGGATCCGCCACGAGTTACAACTACATCCTTGTCGACAATTAACAAGGGTCCACACGTTGACCCTTTCTGTCGCAACCGGCACCACCTCCAGCAGAATGTCAGGACTTGGGATTTTGGGGGCATTGCTTGTATTTGAGGGAGAAAAATCGAAGAGAAAAATCTTTCTACACGTCACCAGCTTGTACAGTTAGGAGCGTGCGCCCTTTCCGTAACTGAGCTCTCCGACACAAGCTGTCCCGAGTCGTCGGTTGTCTCTTCCACACCTTGAAAGTACGGACCAAGTACGGAGTAACAGAACAGCCTGCAAAACACAACAACTCCGCACTATCAATGTAACTCTGCAAGCTCGCCAAATGCCAGTTCAACTCCCGAGGACGCCGTCATGCTATATACTTGTGTGTATCGTATCGTATCGTACCGGGCACCTTTGCATCGTACTCAGGCCCCTTCGCTTCCAAACTCATTGGTCCAATCGATTTGCTTCTGAACATCCTCCTTGGATACTGTAGGGTGCGTATCATCTAGGGACATCTCAAAGTCTTTCAGCGAGACGTCAGGCGCCAAGAGCTCGTCGGAATTGACGCCGTCATAGGTCATCTCGATTTTTTCCGGGTCGCCTGGAGAGCACGGCGTCAGCATCCTCTTTCCGTCTTTCATGACCTATTGCATGTCAGCAAGCTGCTCCATGACCGAGCCGGATCTACATCTAATCCTACAGGTTTGAAATGTGTAGCTTGCAAAATCTTGCGAACAGGGCGCATGAGAGCTTGCTGCACCACGCTGGCAATATCACTTCCGGAAAACCCGTCGGATTTATGGGCAAGCGTATTATAGTCGCCAGCTTGCAAGGTAGTGTCTGTATCACCAACGGCAAGCTTGAACATTCTTGCTCTTCCATTGAGGTCTGGCAGGCCAATGTGCACCCGTCTTTGGAATCGTCGACGAATGGCTGCGTCAAGTTGCCAGGGAATGTTGGTCGCGCCAAGAACAAGAATGCCCTTGCTGTCGTTGCCGACACCATCCATCTGGACGAGGATCTCAGTCTTGATACGTCGAGAGGCTTCGGATTCGCCCTCGCCACGTGGACCGCAGAGGGCGTCAATTTCATCGATGAAGATGACTGACGGTTTGTTCTCTCTTGCCATGGAGAAGAGAGCCTTTACGAGTCTACATGAGACCAATTGTTAGCGCACCGAGAAACCACGTGCAAAGTCCTGAAGAATTGTCCCACCTTTCACTTTCGCCCATCCATTTGCTCACCAAATCTGAACTGCTGATGCTGAAGAATGTGCTGTTGGCTTCCGTCGCGACGGCCTTGGCGAGATAACTTTTGCCAGTGCCCGGGGGGCCATAAAGCAGAATACCCTTCCACGCTTGACGTTTGCCCTGAAACAGGCTGGGAAACTTGATGGGCAAGACAACAGCTTCCTTGAGAGTTTCCTTTGCCCCTTCCAAGCCGGCAACATCTTCCCACCGAACATTTGGCCTCTCTTGCAGGATGGCTCCGGACAAGGCATTCCTGAGCTTTTTGCTATCGTCATCCTCGGGAGCACCTTTACCCTTGCCGGTGCTTGCGCCATTTGCGCCCATGAGAGCTTTCCCACCGTTGGCGTTGGTGTCGGCCTCGGACTGCAGGAATTGTTTGAGCTTTTCAGCACGGTCAAGATAGGTCGCCATCTTCTCTTGCATGGTTGCTTTGAGAGCCTTGTTCTTCTCCCACTTCAGGGCCTTGACCCATAACTCCATGCTGGACATGTAGAGATCGAACGCCTTCTGGTATTCTTTTGCATGGTCCGCAGCAATAGCTTTCTGGACCTCGGCGATGGCCCGGTCGCGGAAATTCGTTGACATGGCGGCGCCGTCTTGTGATGTACGTCTGCGGGATCGCGAAGAATCAGGGGAAGGCCCAGAACAGAGGCGTGCGAGTAGGCGAGATCGCAGACACACTCCACACTCCTCGACGATGGTCCGGTGTGGATGACTTGAGAGACACAGGGGAGTAGCAGCAAGGCGCCAAGTCGGTAATGAGGCGTGATGCAGTCGTGGGCGTTGCTGGGACCAGGTAACGTCAAGTCCACACAAGAAAGTTGTCAACGTCAACGTCAGGGTTGGTCGAGTCGACCGGCCTGTACCTGATCCAGTTTGGATTGGCGGGGTAACAGGCAGGTACTCCGTCCGGAGCAGCAACTGATTGGTGAAGTGGCGCGGGGGGGTAGAAATGCCTGCGGAATCCTTTTTTGGCTGCCGCGTACGTGAGCATTCAAAATAGTTATTTCACTATTGTCACTTCTTACATACTCATGGTCTGCCGCTATTCAGTTGCAAATGCTCAGATGGTCTGGCCACAGACGTGCTAATTAGTTTCTCTGCCCTCGACCTTGCCCTCTTGCGCACACCTGGCGGGACATAAAAAATATCTCGAGACAATTCCACGGGACTCAGAACCCGACAGTTCAACGTCAAAGACTCGAATGCATCTGGGCTTATTCACGGCAAAGGAGCGCCGGCGCAACAGAAACCACCCAAAAGCCTACAGATCAAAACCTCAACCGACTTCAGTGAGAATAGGCCTCTCCCACGTAACCTTCGCCTCGCCTGTTGCCCAGCCTCAATAGCCATGGCCGAGACTCAGGCCAAGCTTCAGGCTCTGTCTGATGAGTACCAGAAACTTCAACAAGGTCATTCTCAATGGCTAGGAAGAGCAAATGACTCCAAAAGGACCTCATGGTAACCGATCACGGACAGATCTACAAAACACGGTAAACTCTCGGCAAAAACTGCAAAGTCAACAGCAAGAGAACGCTGGTGTCTTCAAGGTTTGAGGGGCTGATCTCACTTGTCAATGGAAACTTGCTGATATCTAATGCATGGGCTTAGGAATTTGAGAAGCTGGGGGAGGACGAAACCATCTACAAGCTCATGGGTCCCGTGCTTCTGAAGCAAGATAGGGTAGAGGCGGAGAGTACTGTTAAAGGACGGCTAGACTTTATTGCAGGCGAAGTGTAGGTTCAGTGTCCAACGTCCATTCTTGAGAAATGGAGGTAATAACTAACCTGGAAATTCTAGATCGAGGTTGGAGGGACAGATCGAGGAGACGCAGGGGGAGCTTGAGAAGAAGAAGGCGGAAATCATTCATATCCAAGCCTCTGCCCAAGCCGCCGCGAGCGGAAAAGCACCCCAAAAATGACACCAGTTTCCCCGTGAAAAGGAAACAGGACGCTATATGCCCTTGAAATTCGAATTTGTAGGAACGACTTGGTGAATTTATCAGGGTTCGAACCGCAGGGACCATTCGTACGAATTGGAAGCTGTCGGAAGAAAAAGGGCTAATGGGATACATTTAATTGGCTAGGCAACGTCAGGAAATGATGCATTGGGCCCACAACAGGCATCTTCATATCGATGGATAGTTAGTAGATACTATATACAAACCATCTCCATGTTGCCTTGACATGGCATGGAGTAGTCCCCCGGGCTGTTCAGGCAGCCGCATGAAACGCTTGAACACTGCGGCATATCGTGAAGGCTAAAGCCGATCTCATCGAGGTTCTCACAGGGGACCAGGTCGGCCGGGTTTCATCTGAAATTTGCGCATAAGTCAAGAACCGTGGATCATGGCGTGCGGACAACTTTGGAAACAAGTCCAAGCCAATTCCAAGGTGATGATGCGGCGGCCATGAAACTTGCCCCACCAACGTGCAAGTTTGGACTTGCGACTGCCGGCCCCACCTCGATCGAACTGCTCGTTTCCTCTTCGCACCCTAATGTCCGTCAATTTTCCTACATGTCTTAACGAGCCTTGAGAACCTCGTCAGTCCCGATGCAATCAGCATGAGCGTATGGAGACATGTTATATGACCCTGCGGCCTATTAGCCTGAGGCTAGAAGCCAACGACTAGCGTGCATCATCACTCCCCTCTGGCTCGGTCCCAGAGCGAATCATCGAGATGAAGGTTGGATCAGGCACGCGGCCAGCGCGGCCGCAGAGCGTGAAAGAGCTGGTGGCCCAGGCCGAAAACTTCACATTTAACGTGAATATCCCGTTCAAGCACTGGACTAGAGCTGTCGAGACGCTCTACCAGGAAGTATGTCCATCTTGGCTGCCGCAATCAATCCACATGCTCCGTGGTCAGCTAACGAATATCAAGGCTTCGTTCGCCTTGTCCGATGGCGACTATGGCCGGGCATACATGATGCTATACAGACATTCGGTGCTCGTCCTGAAATGCCTCCAGACGCATCCCCAGTTTAAGGACCCCGAGAGTCGCAAAGCCTTTCGTCCGCTTTCGAAGCGTATGGACCGCGTGATCGCTGATCTCGAAGAAATAAAGCCTATAATCAACGACGAATATGCTGAGTGGGAACGGAGGGCACCTGCAGACCTGAAAGTGGCGAAACAAGAAGGAACCAAGTCGCCATCAAGTTACGGGGAATTCGCGGCGCGTGACCCCAGCCTGAGCGGGAATGCAACCGTCTTAGACGCATCCGAAAATCAAGAATTGGCCGTAGAGCTGGCGCAGAAGGAGTTGGCGCGAAGAGATACTGTTCGACATGCAAACAGGCACACTCGGGTTTACGGCGACACCATTCTTACGTCTCGCCTTAGTGATGGCCAAAGAGTCGACTTCAGCCTTCAAAGTCAAATGGAGGCTGCCCGAAGAGCTATGGAGTCTTCACAGCGAGATCTACATGACAACGAAACCCTCAGGCCAACGGCGACGCCGAATCGAGACAGTGCGCCGCAGTCGTATGTTTACCCTTCGATATCGAAATCGAAGCCCGTTCAGTTTGATGCTCTGAAATCACCAATACCCAACTTACCGGTCCCCCGCCGACCCCCCAAAGAAGATATACGCCTGTCCCCCAGAGGTCCTTCATACACAAGCCCACATGAGCTACCAGCCGTCCCCGACAAAGTGTCGACTGTGGACTCACGCTCGGCACTTCACCCAAGCTATGAGACGGCAATGGATCGGCCTCTTCGTCCAAAAACACTGGAGGGCCCCCCCCTTCCTAAGAAAGAGCGACTGGCATTTAAACCGGGAGCATATCTTGAAAATGGGGACCCGATCCGTTCCGTATTTCTTCCGAGCAAACTTCGAGCCGCCTTCTTGAAGGTGGCTGCTCCAAACACGAGGAAGGGACTGGAAATGTGCGGGATCCTGTGCGGGACACCGGTTAATAACGCATTGTTCGTGCGCAGTTTGCTTATTCCCGATCAGAAATGCACGTCAGACACTTGCGAAACAGAAAACGAGAGCGCAATTTTTGATTACTGTGCGGGAGAGGACCTGATGGTCCTTGGATGGATTCATACTCACCCCACTCAGACATGCTTTATGAGTTCCCGAGATTTGCACACCCATGCTGGATATCAGGTTATGATGCCGGAGAGCATTGCAATCGTGTGCGCACCCCGATTTACTCCGTCGTAAGTGCTGGATGGACGCTCTGCTGGGCCAAGATTTGCGCTGACCGCTGCCAAGATATGGCATCTTCCGATTAACACACCCGCCAGGACTGGACCATATTCTAGATTGCAGGCAATCAGAAACCTTCCACCAGCATTCGGTTGACAATTTGTATCGAGAAACAGAACATCCAAACGGTCATGTGTATGAGAGCGAGAAGATGCCGTTTGACGTGAAAGATCTCAGGACGAAGTGATGGTGTGATTTGTATCACTGTCAACCCGAGCCGAATATTACCATGGAAACAGCCGTTGATATCTGTGCAGGGCCAAGCAATTTGGGAACCATTCACAACTATGACGCATGCGGAGACGACGTCGAGGCTAAAGACGGCCGCTCATGCGAGTTGGAGAATACGCATTTGATATAATGGAGCACAAGAAGTATGTATAGAATACCAGCGTTCCTATTCTCAGGTGTCATGAGTCGGTAGGGCACCCTCCTATGGACTTGGCAGCAGTTCGGAATGCCAGAGATAGGGGTCTATAATGTTCTTGATATTCTGGGGACTTGCCGACGACATGTTATTGCAGCGAGTCGCGGGAGAAACCGCGATGGGAAATGCACCGACACCTAGGTAGTGACGAGAGCCTGTGTCACATGATGAATAAGAAATGTATTACTATCATGCTCGACTGAAACACGCGCATTCATACATGCGTGTTTACGGGAGCATGGAGGTGGTCTTGAGTCTTGACACGAGTTGACGCCTATCCAGAGCAAAGTCTTGGACCACGATTATCCGCAGCTGCATGATGCTCGTGCTACGGAGTACGGAGTACGGAGTACTCCGTATGTAGTAACTACTACTTACTACCACTGGGAAGCTGCGAGACAACCGCGTCACACAAGCGCCCCACACGATATTGCACATCATTACGGAGTAGATGACTGGAGCAAAAAGGCAAAAGGGCAAAGGGCAAAGGTGCAAAAACGGGCTGCAAGTGGCATCCGTGGCTGGCGCTGTGTCTCTCGTCATGCACAGTGCAGCCAAGGTGGAGCAGGGAACAACCGAGATTCCGCGCCCCCACCACGGGCTAGACGTCGATGAATTCGTCGGCTGACGGCCTCGAGCTTCGCTGGCAGTGAGCTGAAAGACGCCACGAACCAGGCATGCATGCCTGCGACTCTGCGCTGCGAGTCAACCTTTGCCTGGACCTTGACGGCCGACTTGGTCTCTGGGAAACGCTGCAGCGGCACCGGCTGTGTGTCGTCGCAGCAATGGATCATCTCCGGCCGGTTGATTGGTGCGGGCACCAAACAAAGCAATGTCTCTGCAGCTTCCCCAACGGCCCCGTTCGAATTCGGTAATGGGAGCATCCATCGTCATGCAGGTCGTACTCCATTGAGTGCCGGCATCAGGCTCGTATGTCCAGACGATTTAGGACCCAGGGGCCACCGCGCACCCTCCTGCGACGGACGAGGGATGAGACGACCAAAGCCAGAACCTAAATACATACTTCTCGCCGACGCGAGGAACGCAATATGAGTATGGAGCGTTGGCCACATGCTTCGCCTCGAGAGCAGAAAAGAAGCCGCAAATAACGGCCGACGTGGTCAAGGGCCAAGGCCCAGGGGGCAGACACTCTGACATTGGCGTCGGCTGCTGCTCTCGTCGTTGACAAGTCGAAAGACCCGAGGGCCGGGCCGCAGCTGAAAGGGATACGGAGTTCATGTGTCGATCGACATGTCAGTCCGACTCAGTGGTATTACCTGCAAGACCAGCGTCTTGACTCTTAATGGCTCGAGGAATCGAGATTGCGACTGGGCCACCGGATTTACCAATTGCTTCATTTCAATTTGCCGCTTCTTCTTCTTCCCGTTGCTGGTCCACCCAATTTCGACGGTTCTTGGGGAAATGACGCACGCCCACCCTTTCTGATATTGTCGTCTATTAGCTCCGACGTTTTTTTCCTTTTGGCATGAGGTAGGTGGGGGAGGGAAGTAACCTACTGACGGATGCGTACTCAGTATTGTCTGGGTTGGTTGCAACGGCGACTCGGAGGCGAGCGCCGAGCGGCGCCTATATGTGGTGATGGCTGGTAGTACTGCCGCTGGCCCTCTCTGTGTCAAGCCAGGCAGGGATCCCCATTCGACGTGGTTCGAGGCTTGCCGAGGCTTGGATCCGAGAACCCGATAGGCATGGTGTCTCAATGAAACTGGGCGGAGAGGACCGTGAAGCTTGCCGGGCTCGATTCCCTTGGGAGTGGTTCGGTTGAGACGGTGTCTTGCTGGGGGAAATGTCGTGGCTTGTCAAACATCAGCGCTGAGCTGGTCCCCTCGCATATAAAGGAAACAAGGCCGGCCCGGAGCAGTGCTCGCCCTTCTGTCCCGGAATTATTGTGAATCGAATCCTCGACCTGTCAGTTCCCCGCACATGGAGCACAAAGGAGAGAGCGTCGCCCACGGCGCGCAAAACGGTGCCTTCACCAATGGCACCCAGACAAATGCCGCTCACACAAATGGTGGCCGGACGAATGGCTACCATGATCGAGAGAAAACAGTTCCCCAGGAGGTGGTGCGGTCCCCAGGGGCCCAAAAGTCGGAAAACAAGAAGACGTCATCTATCGAGACTCTGATGCAGTTGCGCCGCGCTTCACAACGTCCTCTCCCTACGGAGATGGGGGATGGCTCGTACAGAAATATTCTCAAGCGACCAAGTCTGACGCAGGATCTTAAATCATTCGGATTGGCTGGTCAGTACATTTAACCGTCCAACTACCTGTGGCGAACCTGACGCAGTCTCTTGTAGATTTCAAAACCCTCAAAGACATCGTCAAGGCAAAGCTGAAGGGAGAGACTCTGCAAGATGACAAGACCATGATCATGGAGCGCACCATTCAATTGGTCGCTACAATGCCCAACAAATCGAAGAGACAAGAAGCCTTGACCAATTCCTTCATTGACAAACTGTGGACCTCGTTGGATCACCCGCCGTTGCTGTACATGGGTGAAGAGTTCAAGTATCGCCAGCCAGATGGGTCCAACAATGTAAGGAGCTTTGCCGTGTAACAATGGCGACGTCGACGTCTTTGGATTGACATGCCCCTTTAGAACCCATTGATGCCCAAGCTTGGGGCCGCGCGGACTCCGTACTCGCGCACTTGCAAGCCAGGACCGGCCAACATGGGAGCACTGCCCGATCCCGAGCTTATTTATGAGGCTGTCATGGCCAGAGATGGTTTCAAGAAAAACCCAAACAATGTGTCCAGTATCTTATGGTACTGGGCGACTATTGTGATCCACGGTGAGCGTCCCTTTTGGGGCGGAAATCTCTACTGGTCGCTCGCTGACTTTGGAGGCAGACTTGTTCTGGACCAACTCAAAGAACCCCAACCAAAACGACTCGTCATCGTATCTGGACCTGTCTCCTCTGTACGGCAAAAGCAAAGAGGACTGCGACTCGATTCGAACCTTTACAGACGGCAAGCTGAAGCCAGATACGTTCGCAGACCGACGACTGATTGGGAACCCTCCCGGGGTGTGCATCCTAATCATCATGTTCAACCGCTTCCACAACTACGTGGCGACCAACCTGGCTGCCATCAACGAGAGCAACCGATTCGCAAAGCCTTCGCCGCGTCTGGAAGGTGACGAGCTTGCAGCTGCTTGGAAGAAGTATGACGAGGACTTGTTCCAGACGGCTCGGCTTGTCACGTCAGGGCTGTACATCAACATTACCCTTGTCGACTACGTACGCAACATCATCAATCTCAACAGAGTGGACACGCAGTGGACGTTGGATCCGAGGCAAGAGATGGGAGTCGCCATGGGGACCTCCAAGGGCGCGGAAAGTGGCGTCGGCAATGTCGTGTCTGCCGAGTTTAACTTGTGCTACAGATGGCATTCGTGCATTTCTGAAATGGACGACAGATGGATCCAAGACTTTCACAAGCGAATTCTCGGCCAAGACTACGGGGTAATGGACCTTCCGACTCTGATTGCCGCCGTCAAGAAGTATGAGACGACGGTCCCTGCAGACCCTTGTGAGCGCACATTCGGTGGATTTACTCGCGGGCCCGATGGACGCTTCAACGACGACGAGCTCGTCAATGCCTTGGCCACCGCAATCGAGCAGCCCGGCGGTGCGTTTGGCGCTCAGAATGTGCCTCGGATCATGAAGCCCGTCGAGATACTGGGCATCATTCGCGGTCGCAAGTGGAATCTATGTGGCCTGAATGAATTCCGCAAGCACTTTGGACTCAAGCCGTACGACACGTTTGAGGACATCAACTCAGACCCCGGCGTCGCCGACGCGCTGCGGAACCTGTACCAGCATCCTGACCATGTCGAACTGTACCCCGGCATCGTGGCCGAAGAAGCCAAGGCGCCCATGGTCCCGGGCGTAGGGATTGCTCCCACCTACACCATCTCCAGAGTCGTGCTTTCTGACGCCGTCTCGCTGGTCCGTGGCGACAGACACTACACCACCGACTACCACCCGGGCTACCTGACGCAATGGGGGTTCAACGAAGCCAACTATGATTTGGACATCAACAACGGTTGCGTCTTCTACAAGCTGTTCATCCGTGCGTTCCCCGACCACTTCAGGTACAACTCGGTCTACGCGCACTATCCCATGGTGACGCCGAATGAGAACCGCAAGATTCTCGCCGACTTGAAGCGCGCGCAACACTTTGACTTTGGGAGACCGGAACCGCTCCCCCCACGGATCAGTCTGACTTCGTACGGCGCAGCCAAGCACGTCCTGTCCAACCCGGACAGGTACAAGGTTGCATGCGAAGAAGCCCTCCGGTTCCTCGTGGGGTCGGCCGGCACCAAACCCATGCTCTCTGGCGATGACGCCGCTCACGCAGAGCAGCGCAAGCTCATGCATTCTCTTCTATACAAGGACGGCTGGAGGGCTTCAATTCAGCGTTTCTACGCCACGACTACGGAGCGGCTACTTGCCGAGAAGTCTTGCAAGATTGCCGGAAAGATGCAAGTTGACGTGGTGCGCGATGTCGGGAACCTTGTCCACACACATTTCGCCGCAAGGATGTTCAATCTGCCCCTGAAGTCGACCGAGAATCCCAGGGGCGTCTTCTCGGAGCAGGAGCTGTATGAGGCTCTGGCGATCCTGTTCACCTGCATCTTTTTGGACTTTGACCCCGTCAAGTCGTTTCCACTCCGGCAGAGGGCGAAAGACGTCACCGAGCATCTGGTCAAGGTGGTGGAGACGAATGTGAAATTGACCAAGGCTCTGGGCATCCGAGGTCTGTACACCGGCCCTGCCCCCAAGGGCGACGACGTGTCTCAATACGGCGTCGGTCTCATAAAGGGCTTGTCCAAGGCCGGCCTCGGCGCGCATGATATTGTGTGCAGTCATATCCTGCCATTTGCCGGCGCCATGGTCCCTGTCCAAGCCCAGGTGGTAAGTTGATCGTCGCCTCGAAACGTGCCGCGCTTCGCTTCGCCAGACACTAATCACCGTCACGACTCTAGTTTGCCCAAGCCGTGGACTGGTACCTCTCCCCCGAAGGTCAGCAGCACGTTCCCGAACTGCACCGCCTGGCCGTCGCGGAGTCCGGCCCGGAAAACGATGGCCTCCTCCTCGGCTACGCCATGGAGGGTGTCCGCCTGGCGGGTGCGTCGGGCGTCTTCCGCCGAGCGGCGGCGGCGGACGTCATCAGGGAGGACGACGGGAGAGAGGTGCGTGTCGAAGCGGGCGACCGCGTCTCGGTGTCGCTCATGTCGGGGGCCCGCGACGAGGCACACTTTCCAGAAGCGAACAAGGTCAACCCCCGACGCCCGACGGACAGCTACGTGCACTTTGGCGCCGGCCCGCACGCCTGCCTGGGCCAGGAAGTCGGCCAGGTTGCCCTGGTGGAGCTGTTCCGTGCGCTGTTTAGAAAGAAGGGACTGAGGCGAGTCCCTGGGCCGCTGGGCGAACTGAAGAAGGTTCCTCAGCCGGGGGGTTTCTCTCTGTACTTGACGGAGGATTGGGGCGGCGCTTCGCCGTTCCCGACGAGCATGAAGGTTTCTTGGGATGAGTAGTTGGTCGGGGTGGCAGGGTGCCGGCTTGCTGTTCTTGTTTCTGCCGTTTACCAAATTGTGTGTAGGTCGACGTAGTTGCACAATGAAGCGCACCGCGTAATTGCCCAGCCGGCTGGCTGGCTGGCATGTGATGCCATCCGTCCCACCGAATGGCCCCGAGACGGACGGGATGAACCAAGGCCAAGCAGCGGCTCGCGTCGTCGCTGCGGTGTTGCTTCCACGACGCCATCCACGCGTGTCGCGACGCCGACTCGCACCTCCTCCCGCGGGTGCCAAGCAGACAATCGCCGGCGGCCGGGACGCCTTCTCGGCCGAGGCGAGGCAAGGCGCAGCGCTGCCGCGGCATCCCCCGGCCCGAGGAACTGTGGCTGTCAGCCGTGTTGCACGGTGGCGGCCAGCGTGTCTGATTCGGATCCGCGACCCGCGACCTGCGACCTGCGACTGGCTGCCGCGAATACCAAAGATGGCCGGCGGACGGGACGTCGCCATCTCGGACAGCGCGGCGGAGCACAGGTAGACGCAGACGTGGTGGAATACAGACAGGGATCTAGACGGCCCGTTTTGGAAGTCAACCGGACGCCGACTACGGGCACTTCACCAGAGCCCAGTAATCACAACAGAGCAAGGCGGCAACTGCTGCCTGTCGCGTCCTGTCGCGTCCGACCGAAGTCGACGGGCGTCACCTGGGCCATGGGCCGTGGCACGTGAGACGCGTCAAGGGCTGTGTATTACACTATCTAAGCTGGCTTACACCAGCAGGACGGCCGAGCTGCCGGGCTTCAGATCCCCAGAGTACAAGGCACACCGTTCCCTGGGCGGCCTCTCGGGTGAGGACAGCCCAGGGCCGGGGCCGGGGCCAGGACTCTACCCACGCAGACGCGACCGCGAGCGCCGCGACAACCTACTCCGGCCGGCTCGCGTAGAAGCTGCTGGCGGCCCAGCCGTTGGGGGCGCGATAGTCCTCCAGGGGCGACGTGCCGTGGAGCGGGTCGTAGTGAGGCCTGTCGCCGCACCGGGGCGCGTCGTGCGCGTCGTGCGCGTCGGCGCACTCGCCCCTCAGCAGGGCGGCGACCCGGGACCCGGCCTCCATGCCCTCGAACCAGGCGCCGTGCAGGAAGCCGAAGTACTGGGCGCTGGTGGCCTCGCCGGCGAACCACAGGCGGCCGGTGTTTGCGCGCAGGTTCTGGTGCATCTCGAGGGTGGTGCCGACGGGCCAGTTGGAGTAGCTGCCGTACGACCAGGGCGTGCTCGTCCAGCGGGGGTACATGAAGGCCAGGGGCTCGGGGACGGTGACGCCGGGGAACATTTGGCGCAGGACCTCGAGGGCCTCGTGCTTGGTCTGCTCGTCCGTCTGCTGCTCCAGGCGGTAGGAGGCCTGCTCGACGGCGGTGGCGAAGATGATGTTGGAGCCGGGCAGGAAGCCGTCGGCCGAGAGGGACTGCCAGACGGGGAAGTGCCCGCGCCGGGTGGGCGACGCGTAGAGGAAGTACTGCGTGTCGGCGGGCCAGAAGGTCTCGTTGAACTGGAGGAAGACCTTGGTGTAGGTGCCCATGGTGAACTTCTGGACGGCCACGCGCTTCCACTCGGGCAGCTCGGGCCGGAAGGCGACGGCGTCGGCGCCGGCGTTCTGGAGGACGCCCAGGGAGAAGGTGCAGATGGCGTAGGCGGCGGAGACGCATGAGCCGTCGGCGTTGTGGACCGTGACGCCGTCGTCCGAGTAGGTGATGTTTGTGACTCGGGTCCCGAGCAGCAGCCGCCGATCGTCGGCTCCCAGGAACGTGCGCGACTCCTCCTGGACGATGTGCCCGTAGCCCCGGGGGTCGACGACGAGGTTGTTCTGGTCGCTGAACTGGTGGAAGGTGAGGTTGTCGCCGGCGGCGCCGAATATCAGGGACGACTCCTCGGGCGTCAGGGCGGCGTCCCAGTCTGCGACAAGTCAGAACGAGGCCCGTCTCGACGAGGCAGTCGACGACGACGACGACGACGGAGGTACGCACCCCATCTCCACCACTCGACGGCCTGGCGCTTCATGTCGCCGTGCCGGGGGTTCCATCCGGCCAGGGCGAGGCCGGCGCGCGCCGTCTCGTCCTGCATGTTTTCCGCGAGCATGCGGCCGGCCCTCGCGGATGCCTTGGCCCATGCCGCGTCGTACTCGTCCAGCATGCGGCTGTAGTCGGTGTGCCCGTTCTCGTCGTAGGTCAGGATGGAGCTGTAGTTGGACGGGGTGTTTTTGAGCTTGTGCTTCTTGGCCTGGGCCACGTGTCAGCTCACATGTGACCGTGACCCGTCGGTTGACGTACCAAGGTCCAGATGGGGTTTTCTGTCGACACCCTGTCGTCAGCATTGCCCGTTCCGCCGCAAGCAGGTTCAAGTGTCGCCACCTACCCGGGCCGCCCGGATTGCCCAGACCCGAGATCTGATTCAGGCCGATTAGTCTCCCTGCGTCCCATCGGCGACCACCACCAAGGCGGGAGGCGGAAATGCTTGGCCACGATGCATACCCAGTTTGGTCCGAGCTCAACCACGTACGGCGAGCCGTCGTCCTGTTTGCCGAAATCGGCCTGTGTGGCACGGCCGCCCAGCCGGTCGTTGTACTCGATGATGACAAAGTCGGTGATGGAGTTGTTGGAGAGTGCTTGCTGTTTCGGCGGCGTCAGTCTCGAGCCTCGACGTTGCCGTGATTCGCAAGCCAAGCACGTACCGCTGCGGTGACGCCGGCCATGCCGCCGCCTCTGAATGAATCAATGTCGGTCAACGTCAATCCGCGGCGTCTGCCTCCGGAACGCACGACCCGAGGCATCGACTTACAAAATGGCAACGCTGGTCTTCCTGCACGCCGCATCTCGAGGCGCCAGTCTCCCGACCCGGGCAGACGTCGACTGGATGCCCAGGGCGGCAATGGGCAGAAGCGCGGTGCAACGCTGCGGACGCATCTCGAGGCGCTGCGACACGTGAAAGGGCGACACAGAGGCGTGCAAGACACACAAGATCCGGACAGGAAGCACGAGGCGAGCACGCGGGCAGGAGAGCTGGACAAGCGAGCGCAGTCGGCCTCTTTATGCGTCTGTCCATCTCGTGCCTCGCAGGCACCAAGCAGGCACACGCACCAGCAATCACATCCTTGCTTCTCTAGCGCCGCCAGGCACCTGACAGGTCCGTGGAACCACGGGGATCTGCATAAAGCTAACAAGCCAGCCAACCCCCGGCCCGAACCTGATCTCGGATGAAGCGTGATTTCACGGCCCAGCTCGCGTGCAAGGGCGACAAACTGGGTTGGTTTGAGCCGGGCCGAGGGTGGCGGTGACGCCGTCTTGACCCAACTTCACCACCCACTCGTGCGGAGTCCCGTCCGAGTCGACGAAGCAGAGCGCGGTTGAAAACAAACAGCCCGAGCCAGGGCGAACATTTCATACCGAGTCCACGAGTGCTGCGCCGCGGCCCACGACCGACAATCACGATTCACAGCCCCATGCAGCTTACACCCGGCTTGCCATCGGCTCAGATCTCAAAGCCAATATCCGTACCATCTTTGCCCATCTGTCGTCCGTCATCAAACCCGGCCCCACCGTGTGACCCGCACCTTGGCGCAAGACATGTAAGCCCGCTGCGAGTTTCCACACCAGGCTCTTGAGATGAGACGGAACGATGATGTCGAGTACGTACGGAGTAGAAGCGGCAGAGGCCCACTTCGCCGCAGCCGTCATGCTCGCGCATCACCAGTTGGCCGTGTCACCACCCGTCCGTCGCCGGGTCTCGAGTCCGAAGCGTCCGTTTGCCAGGCCGTGAGTGGTTTCAACATGAGTAGACGGGACAATGCTGGTTTCCGTGTCGAGAGGTCGTAGACTGCTTGGACCGTGGGTGTCGACGCCACGGGGTGAGAGAGAGCATGGCATGTGCGTGAAATGCCTCTGAGACGCCACGGCACCGTCGTCGCGTACACGGGCTGCCGTGACAGGAGTTGGGCAATCTGGTCCAAGGACTCTTCTGGAAAGGGACCATGAACAGCGCGACAGTGACGCTGGTGCGCGAGGGCAAGCCACCATGTGTGTATGCGGCAATTGACCGCGCTGTTTGTTGCCCACACGTTCACGATGGAGACTTGTTTTGACAGAGGCATGTCAAATGGGCGGTTCGGCCAGATGTTCCGCAGGTTCCTCTTACCCCGGCTTCCTTCTTCCAGCTTGGGGCCCACGAATCGTTCCGTCAGCCTCTGTTGCGAGGCAGAAGGTAGCTGGCCCAAATGGGTTTTCTTGTCTTGGATCACCGGCTGGATCAACGTTGCCGGGTGGGTATGTCTGGGCGGCGTAGTCGTCTTTTCATTTCTAGTTTTTCAAGAGAAATACCAACGACCCGTGCGTGGTAGATTGCCTTGGTTGCCACAAACGCCTTGTTGTCCAGTCTGTTGATGGTCGGCATCATTTCTGCCCTGCATCCGCTATGTTGGAGATGTCATCCCCGGGCCGGTTTCCTGACGAGCAGGCCAGGCATACGACCCGCAACCATGGCACCAATTCTTGATTTATATCGGCCTCACCCTGCTGTCCGTCGTCGTTGATGCTTCCATGAACTCCCTCCTTCCCGCCACTCACCGCGGGGCGTTTGTGTGGTCGATTGGCGGCTTCGTCGTCGTGTCCACTACCGTATTGGCTTGTGCATCGCCCGACTTCAACTCGGCCTATTTTGTCTTCTGCGACTTCATCAACCAAACGGGCTGCGAGTCTTGGCCGAGGGATGTATACACCTGCCCGTAAATTGATTGGACGTCAGACTGATGCGGTCACGGGGCCTGATGGCATTGCCTGGATGCTCGGCGTGCGTGTCATCGTCTACGTTTTGCACGCGGAACGTCGTGGACTGACTCAATGTAGCTTCTCCCAGGCGGTCCTGGCGTCACTGCCTTTGTGAGTATCTCCTTGCAAGTACAAGCGTACCGAGTATATACGTGGGATGAATTGGCTGACAGCGACATGCCCTAGGACGCGGTCGCTCACATGATTGAAGGTAGATGCCAATCCCTCACACCACTTACAAGTATGCCCATCGGACCGTCCGCCTGACGATTTATCCTCAGAGATCCCTCACGCTGCTTCTGAAGGGCCCAGGATCATGGTCGTTTGCGTCGGCATCGGCACATTCACCGGCGCAATCCTCCTCATCGTTTTTTTGTTCGTCTCAGGAAACATTGACGACGCTGTCAGCTCTCGTGCCGGACCACTCCTTCAGATCTTGATCCACGCAACGAAGAGCAACGCCGGGGCTATGTGTTCACTGATGTAGGCACTCTTCAAAAAGCTGAACCGGCATCGCACGGTGCTAGTCAGGAAAGGCTACCGCTCGTTTGCCCCATCTTCGCCACGCTCAGCGTGATGACGACAAGCAGCCGGATGATCTTTGCATTTGCAAGGCATGGGCGCCACCAGTCAAGCCGCGACTTGTGTGTCGAGGACCGTCTCGTCTCCAACTGCTGCGCAAGCAGGGACGGCGGCCTACCTGCATCCGAGGTGTTCGCCACGGTCCACGGCCGGCTGGGCCTTCCGTTGAACGTTCTAATCCTCACCTCGGTCACTGTCATCTTGTTCGGCCTGGTATTTGTAGGCTCAACCAGGTAGATTCTGCCCCGTTCCGTGCTACACTTGCAGTAGAATAACCACCAACTGCCTGCAGCGCCTTCGATGCCATCATCTCCGCGTCGGTCGTCGCCTCGCCCTCGACCTGTCGTACGCCATGCCCATTGCGGTCAACCTTCTCCAGGGCCGCAGTGCTCTTCCGGACCGAAAGTGGAAGCGCCCCGGTGCTTCGGATGGACGGCTGACTGCATCTCACTGTCGTCGTACATCTCACTTACGACGGTGATGTTCCTCTTCCCTCCAGGACTTCCTGTAACGGGAGGTGATATGAGTAGGTGGCATGCCGAGGACCCGTCTTCCCCACGATGCTGACAAACGACGCGTTTGCCATCATCATCATCACCATCATATCTGTGTTTCATTGGATCGTAGATGGACGGAAAAACCTTACAGGGCCGCGAGTCAACCTCATCCCCGAGAGCGCAGCACGAGCGCCCGCCCAGTCTTGACTAGATTGTTGCGCTCCGCACGACTCCGTCCCTTCCCCCTCTTCCTGCTGGAGCCCTGCATTCTCAACCTGTCGTGGGATGCCGACGAGGCGTGTATGAGAGAGATGACGTAGGCTTTGCACGTTATCATGATGGCCTGGTTGTGGGTGTACGTGTAAAGGCTGACTGAAGGGCAGGGTTGGACGATGCGACATGAACTTGGCCACTGTGTCGCATCACCACGACGTGGATACTCCGTCGTGTACGCACTTGTATAAAAAGATCCGATGCTGCACCCGGAGCGCTCCATACAATGCTGCATTGATTCCAGTCGTGCCCGAATGTAACGCCAGCCCAACCAACCACGTATACCAGGCCCATGTGAAGCGTTGACCAGACTCGGGAAGACCTCAACGGCGGCGGAGACGAGACGGTCACGGCCTCGCCGTCAACAGTCAAGACGTACATTCCGCTCAGAGGCAGAGGCATGGCAACAAAAACCCGTCCGGGCCTCGGACACCGTCAAGAGCACTCTCGTCTTTACTGCTGCCCATCTTTGCCGAGCGTCCCATCACCATGGAGCCCACGTGGTGTCAGGGCTTCCCGCGCGACAACACGCTCGTCCAGCTCCTCGACGTGAGCCAGGCCACCAACGAGCCAATAATACACGATGCGTACGGTCTGGATAAGACGTACGCCGAGCTCCTGGGGGATGTTGTCGAGACTCGCGACAGGATCCGCAAGGCCGTCCCGGCGTCGAGTCTTGACCGGCACGGAATGCTCCGCGAGGCTGCGCCGTACACGGGGTTTCTCGGACTGTCTGGGTACGAATTCATCGTTGCCTTCTTCGCCGCCCGAGCTCTCGGCGGTGCATGCATGCCATTTGGTACGGTGTCCCTTCCTTTCGAGCCCCGAGAAGACGCACGCACGCACCCAAAGCGTCGACACTAAACATCATGACTTACACGGCTCATTCGTCACGACAACAGGCGCCGGCATCCTACCGCAAGAAGCGCACTCGTTCCTGGCGAGATCAAAGGCGTGCGTCCTACTCGTCGGCGGGCACAAGTTGGAGCGAGGCCAGCAAATCAACGAGTACAGCCAGCAGCACGGCCATGGTTTCCAGCTCGTCCGCATCTCGACCGACGCGCCGCCCGTGGCAATCGGCTCCATCGCCATCGACGACTCCGTACAGCTGGATGGCGGGGGCCCAGGCTTCGTCATCTTCACGTCAGGGACCACGGGTCCTCCAAAGGGGGCCGTCCTTCCGCGAAGATGGTGCCTGTTTGAGGGCCCAGCCGAGCCGGGAAGCGCAACCATCTCCGAGCGCCCGCCTCACTGGATAGGAGGCGCGTATCCCATGCTCGAGAGTACATTGATCGGCCGTCACGTGTACATTCTCAAAAACGCTCCCCCTGTTTCGGCGATATGGGACACTTTTAGGGACCACAGGATCGACCACATGGCCTTCACGCCCGGCCTGCTCCGGGCAATGAAGCAGGACTACCAGGATCGCATCTGCAAGTTGCCGGCGGCCGAGCACAGGCTGTATCTGCAAGGAATTCGGAACTTGAAGACCCTGTGGCAGGGCGGCGGCATGCCGTCAGTTTCGATGCTGGACTTCTGGCGGGACTTGGTCGGGAAGCCTGTCGCGATGCGCTACGGATCCACGGAGCTTGGCGGGACGGTGACGGGACACGATGGATCCTCCAAGATCAAGGTGCGTCAATAGTCTCCTGAGTCCTGTCCTCGGCCGAGCCGAGAACTGACCTGCTGGCGCGCGGCCGACTAATCGACGCCAAACGTGCAAGTACTCCGTCGGGACTCCCTTTCCGGGCATCGAAATCAAGCTGTCCAACGGGGACAGCGGCGCCATCCTCGTCAGGAGCCCACACATGATGACACAGTAGGTTGCAGACGAGCGCATGCCGAAATGTACGGCTCAATGGCTAACGCGGATGGCCGCCGCCGCCGCCGCCGGCTTCAAGCTACATCGGAGACGAGCACGGCCCGAAAGACAACCTCGACAGCGAGGGATACCTCGAGTCCGGAGACACTGGCCACCTGCAGGACGGCGAGCTGATCTACGACGGGCGAGCATCCAACGAGTGTACGTTTGCGTCCCTCGCCCCCCTCCCCCGCGACGCCTTTGATGCCCGCCAGCAGCCGCTGACCTGGGCCAAAACACACTAGACATCTTCTTCAACGGGTATCGAATCCCGATATTGCCTCTCGAGCACGCGCTGTGCGACCTCGGCTACATATCAGAAGGCTACGTCGTCGCGGTGCCCGACCACGAGTCCAACGAGATCTGCGGCGCGCTGGTCCGGCTGCGAAAGACGGGCAGCGACGAGAAGGTCGACCTGGCGAGAATAAGGTCCGACCTCTCCGAGGACCACGCCGCCTTCACGCTGCCAGTCGTGCTGCGCATCCTCGACGACGGCGAGGAAGTGCCCGTGACCGTATCCCAGAAGCCCATGAGGAAGCAGGCCGCGAGGAAGTTCTTCCTGACAGATGACTACTGGTCCCCTGAGAATCCAACCCCGGGCGTAGAGTACGTGGATCCCAAGCCTACAAATCAAGAGGCCAAGACGCGGCGGATTTGGGATTGGGCTGGACTGCAGCGATGAAGTACTGGTCCGAGGGACAAGGGCCAGCTGAGGTAGGACGGTACATGTACGTACGAGCTTGTACCCACGCCGTCAAGTCGCATTCCCCAGAGTCATGTCTAGAACAAGGCCGTTCCCCGTGAGCAATTTATTTGTAAAGAGAAAAGACGGGCGGAAAGGTGTGCAACCCGAAATACTACCACCCGCGGTGGAGGCAAATCCATGTCTGTAGACTGTGGCCACGGAAAAAAAGCGACACGGTGCTGATACCGTGCGTCGAATGGCGTCTTACTGCGTGCTCTGTATAGTTGCGTGCTGCCGCGTCTCCAGTCGAGTGCAGGCGTGATTGACATCCCGTATCTTGCATCTCGTCTGACATGCAGAAAGAGGCGCAAGTTGCGAGATGTCGATTGCTCCGTGAAAGCCGAGATCGGCGGCGGAAATGGCTGCGTATACGGAGCGCGGACGTTGGCGAACAACGTGATGGTAATAGTACTGGTTTCTATTTTTGTTGATCTTCTTTGCCACAGCCTGCTATTGCTGGTCTGTCGTTGCTTCTTCTGCTGGAGTTTGCCCGTTTGCCCTCTCGTTCCAAGGACAGCCGGCGACGGTTGAGCTCGCATTCGTTGATTGACACAAGCCACCATGAGCCAGGAGCCGAGGACCGCAGGGCTGGGTCAAGGATTGCCGCCGACCGATATACACGTGAGCTCATGACGAAAATCCTCTCATCCTTTTGCTACTGACCGAATCCCAACGCCAGGCCGTTAGTGTTTCCCTTCCGAAATGGCAAGATACTGTCGGCTGGGCCACCAAAGATCCCCAGGTCCTCGCCCACTTGACAACGGGATACCCTAGATTCTACATTCACCCGCTCGTCCAAAGATTGGCTACATTGCTTCTGCAGTTGTTGCTCCAAGATGAGGCCGCGGCGAGCTCCATCGAGCATGTGTATGGGCAAGAGTCGAGAGCAACCGCTACCGCCGTGCTATTTCCACATGCGACCTTGGGCGTCTGTTGTCGGGATTACTTGCGGCGGGTTGTGTCGGACACTTCAATCAAGGATGCAGTTCTTGCTTTCCAAGTCAACTTTGCTGGTGAAGTCCAAAATATCCATTCTGGAGTTGTCACGTCAACCGCAGATGCGTTCCAGCGCCTTTGTGTCGTAGTCTTCCCCCATCATCTGTTCGAGGAAGCCAAGGCGTTCTGGCAACATACGGGATTTGGGATGACAAGCCGACATGCTCTTTACTGGCTGGAGCAGGCGCCTTGTCTCCCTGGGGCCGGGACCAGCAGTCATCCAGACACCAAGTTGCCCCTGGGCGACGCAAAGCAAGCTGTAACCAATATCAGGGACCAAATATCGGGATTGCTGTCATCAGAGACCAGAAAGATGACGCCCGAAGATGTGTTTCTATACCCGAGTGGCATGTCTGCAATAGCCCACTCCGCGTCGGCTCTTCAGGAGTCGTACAGGTGCTCATCTGGCGCATTTCGAATTGCTGTTTTTGGGTAAGCCGAGAAAGAGCCAGCGCATCTTCCAAGTCTTTCCGCAAAGCTCACTTTGACATGACAGCTTCCTATATGTAGACACGTTCAAAGTTCTCAGCAAGGTCAAACAAATCGAGTGTGTCCTCTACGGACATGCGTCCCCAGCGGACATGGACCAGCTAGAACGGAACCTCCAGGACGGCATGGAGATACACGCCCTTTATACCGAGTTCCCGGGGAACCCTCTCCTCGGCTCGCTCGACCTCAGACGCCTGTATAAGCTCTCACAGACGTTCAACTTTCACGTCGTCGTGGACGATACTGTCGGCACAGCAGTCAACTTGGACCTCGTCCCCTTTTGCGACATGATATGCACAAGCCTTACCAAAATGTTCAGCGGGGCCTGCAACGTCATGGGCGGCAGCTTAACCATATGCCCTGGCTCCAAGTCCAAAAGCGTGCTACACGACACCTTGACACGCCAATACACCGACACATACTTTCCCCTCGACTTGCTTGTCATGGCCCAAAACAGCAAGGACTTTGTGGAGCGTGTCCACGTTGCTAATCAGAACGCGGAGGCGATAGCCGCAAAGTTGAGGAACCATCCGGTTGTGGACACGGTATTCTATTCCAAGGGCAGCGCCACGCAACATTTGTATGACGGGTACCGGCGCCGACGACGGCAAACTGGGAAAACAGGCGAGGACGCGCAGGCGCAGGCCGGCTATGGTTATTTGCTCTCAATCCGATTCGTCAAGGATTCGGCGGCCATCGCCTTTCACGATGCCTTGGATGTGGCCAAGGGTCCAAGCCTTGGCACCAACTTCACCTTGTGTTGTCCGTACACGTTGCTTGCGCATGCGTCGGAGCTGGAGTGGGCGGCAAAGTTTGGCGTCGTCGAGCATTTGGTTCGATTGAGTGTGGGAATTGAGAAGCGAGACGAGCTGGAAGAGGCGGTGGACAGGGCATTGGAGGCGGCTGCAAAGGCGGCAGGAGCTGAAATGGTGGCTTTGGGTGAAGAGTCGAAACCGGGGCTCGCCGTGGCATGATCACTGGTCCGAGCCTGAGGCAACCAACCACAACGGCGGTTCTTCAATGCATCATTTTGTACGGTTGCAGCGTAATGCTTTCCGTCGAGTCTGGTCCCCGTCGCCGGATGGTCACCGTCCACCGTCACCGTGACAAAAACAATGCGCCTTCACTTTGTCGCCTTCATTGCCATTGCCCTCTTCCGTGCACAATGTCCCAGATGCAGGCAACCATTGGCTGCGTGACTGCGTCCGGGTAACGTCACATCGCCGGGCAAACACCCACCACCATCCGTCCAGACCTCAGATCCCAGATTCAGATTCCCCGAGTCGGACCCAACAATCACAAGGTCCGAGGTTTTCTGGTCAAACGTCAAACCCCTCGCGGCTACGGAGTAAGTAGTCATCAATTGGGCCATTTCTGCATCCTACCCTTGTTGAAATCCATGACCAAGGTTGCGAGTGTTACCATTAGCTTCACACACAGGACCAATCTCCGAGCAAGCCATGGAATAAAAGGCAGCCGACATTCACGTCAAATTCATTGTACGACCCGGCGATCGTGCTTCATGTTGCGTACTTGCCCCGTACTGTAATCAAGGCACGCTTGCCGCCACGAAAATGGCCCGTCTCCTCACGACTGCAGCTCTCATCGCGTCTGTCTCGGCCACCCGAGCCAACTGCGACCCCAAAGTCCCGTCCGTCAATGTCCCATCGTGCTCTCGCGGCACCGGGACCATCGAATACGACAAGACTGTCCCAGATCTCAAGCCATTCCCTCGCACCCAGGTTGACCTCTGCTACACGGACACTCACCTGGACGTGAGGTTCACCGCGCGCGACGAAGTAAACTTCTTCTTCAACTCGTCCCAGGGCACCAACAGCGACATCTGGGCGTACGAGATCATGGAGGCCTTCATTTACAAGGGCACGGACAGCCCGCAGACCTACCTTGAGTTCGAGGTGAATCCAAACAACGTCACCTACCAAGCCTTTGTGTACAACCCGTCCAAGGTGCGCGCCGAGGGTGCCCCGTTCGACCACTTCTTCGTGTCGGACCCTGCCACAGACGGCTTCAGCGCCGTGACTACGCTTGAGAAGACGGAGCAGCTGTGGGTGAGCGACGCCAGGATCCCCCTGGGCTTGTTCAACGTCGACAACGGCAGGGCAAAGGGCACGCGGTGGAGAATGAACTTCTTCCGGACTGTAGTTGGTCCTCGGACGTATCCTGATCAGGAACTTGGCGCGTGGAGCGTCCCCGACAAGGCGAGCTTCCATATAACGCCCTGCTTTGGAAATGTCAAGTTTGTTTTTTTTTTTTTTTTTTTTTTTTTGGTGTGTGTGTGTGTGTGTATGTAGTCAGACCAAAGATGCGCATTAGCACAAGTCGGTTGATACTGATAAATCGCTGCAGTCATTCATCATGTTTGAGTACTGTTGGCACCAATCGCGGTCAGACAGTGTCTCCGATGTGCTGAACGTGGCTTGCTCATGGGACTGAATAGCCTCCCTCCCATCGTCCATGTAAGCGACCGACATGTATGGCGCGAACTGTCAAGCGGAAAAGTGGTCGTCATTTGCTTTGACACTTTGGCTCATTGAAATGCAGGCAGGATGCTCTTGACATGGGCAGATGCATTTAATCAGTTCGGCCTTTGTGTGATTGTTCATCTGAAGTCATTCCCGTTATCCTGTTTTCCCTTCTTCCTTGGCAAGAAGAAGGGTAGAAGATCGGTGTGAATGGTGAATGTTTCTCTGCTTTCTTTTGATTGACAGCCGAGGGTGGAATATGGCGCAGGCTCGTCGCGCCATGTGTCTTGACTCTTGATGCATGCACGTTGCATAAAACCGCAGGCTCATCATGTGTGTGAGACATGACAACAGAATCTTCAACTAACGCATCGATCTATGATTTTTCTATGATATACGTATATATATATATATATATATATAGGACTGCAACGGGGGTCCGAGACCGGCAAAGCCATGCCCTGGGCTATTGACCCAATCCCCTTGTTATTGCGCTCCTTCGACATCTGTAGCCGTTGTTGATCTATGCCGCAACACGCAAGCCACGCTACGTTGAACCTCGGGGGGCGTTGCGTGGGAGTGATAGTAGCAGCCCTGGCTTTTGGCTGCATCTCGGGTACCACAACATACATTCCATTAGTGCTGCGTTTCTTCCCCCGGTTGGTACGGAGTACCGCGCTCAACATCTCGTTGCGCGAGGCCTGTGGATCAAGGCGAAGTTGAGCCTCTGAGACTCGACAAGTCGGTATCAGTCGCATCACCCCAGATCAATCAGCCCGTGATTGACTCGCTCTCAGAGGGTTTCCAGGCCACCTGGTCTTCAGTGGCACCCCTTGTCATTCCCAGTGGACTTGGAGGGCTGACGTATGCTCACCAGCCTCCGATAGACAATTCGTTCATGGTGTGGCCACCTACCTGGCTAGGTGGCTGTAGATCCGCGGTGTACTAGCGCCAACCTTCACATGGTCCTGCGCATCGTCTTGTGCCCCGGGACTCCCGGGCGTTCTGAACCTCAGTCCACCGGAAGTCCGCATGTGCGAGGTTCGAGTCGGGGTGCTATATGAGGGCGTCGCCACCTCTTCTTGGTTCCGGCTCGGTTCGCCGTTGCTGCTGTTGAGTTGGATCCGTGCCCAGGCTCCTTCGACCTGTATCCAGACGAGTCCTGGAGCGTTCGCGAATCACAAGTGACTAGGGTTTTCGTTTACCACTGCAGATATGACTCGATGGTCCGGTTCCCAGTCATAATGCGCCCGCGGCTTATTTTCTCACCAGCACTGCTACTGCTGGCACTGACGGCGCGGGCCAACTTGTCCGAGGAGGTCGACCTCTCCTATAGCAAATATAGGGGTGCGGCCTTGTCGACTGGCATAACGCAGTGGCTCGGGATGAGATACGCCGCTGCGCCGACGGGAAGCTTGAGGTTCATGCCGCCTCAAGATCCGCTGCACACGGACGGAGTCTTGCCGGCGGACAAGGTGTGTCAAGACTGAAAGCCGAAGCCTTGCAACTACGTGTTGAACAGCGTGTACGGAAGCAAGCACTGGCTGACGATGCGTAAAGCACGGCAAATCCTGTCTCGCAACCGGCCACTCACCAGCAGAAAACACCACGTCAGAAGACTGTCTCTTTGTCAATGTCCAGTCTCCCTCCCGGGCGAAGCCTGGCTCGCTGCCCGTCTTCCTGTACATCCAAGGAGGCGGGTTCAACCTCAACTCCAACGCCAACATCAATGCCTCGGGGCTCATCCAAGCCAGCGGGCACAACGTCGTCGTCGTCAGCTTCAACTACCGCGTCGGCCCGTACGGATTCCTCACCGACGGCAAGGACATCGCGCCCAACAACGGACTCCGCGACCAGGAAAAGGTCATGGAGTGGGTGCAGAGACACATCGCCAAGTTTGGAGGGAATCCAGGCCGCGTCACTCTGGCAGGATCGTCGGCGGGCGCCGAGAGCGTCGTGATCCACCTCACGGCGCGCAACGGCACAGACAAGGGGTATTTCCACGCCGTGGCCGCGGAATCGCCCTCCTTCGCGACGACGCTGACCGTGGCCGAGTCGCAGTACCTCTACCGCCACTTCGCCACGAGACTGGGATGCGGAGGCGTCGACAGCCTGGCCTGTCTGCGCGGCAAGACGGCCCGCGAGTTGCAGGAGCAGAATTTCAACATCCCGCTGCCCGGGGCCGCGAATCCGCCAAACTACCTGTATGTGCCTTGCATCGACGGTGAGTACCTGACCGACTACACGTACCGCCTGATTCAAGACGGCCGCTTCATCAGGGTCCCCTCCATCTTTGGTGACGACACAAACGGCGGGACCAAGTTTGCGCCGATGAACGCGTCGAGCCTCGCGGAGAGCAACGCCTTCATGCTGGACAACTACCCGTTCCTCACGCTGGGTCTCATGGAGGAGATGGAGGCCATGTATCCGAATCCGGACAAGACGTGCCCCAACGCAGGGTGCTACTGGAGACAGGCCAGCAACGCGTATCAAGAGGTGCGGTACATGTGCCCTGCGCTGGCAATGACGTCTGCGCTGGCCAGGGCCGGCATCAGGAACTCGTTTGCTTACCGGTGGAACGTGCAGGACGACGCTCAGATGGAGGCTGGCCTCGGCGTTCCTCACACGTCGGAGCTTGATGCTATACTGGGCCCGGACTATGCGCCGAGCCCGCCGGCGAGCTACAGGAAGGGCGGCATCAACCATCTGGCGTCGCCAGTCATCCAAAAATACTGGACAAACTTCATCCAGAACCATGATCCGAACCAGGGCGGCGACCCCGACGTCGAGGTGGCCGAATGGACGGCCTGGTCGCCTGGTGCGCAGGACCGGCTCGTCTTCCAGACGGGCGGTAGGACCGAGATGGAATCATTTGGCGACGAGCTGAACAAGAGGTGTTTGTTTTGGGCCGAGCACGGCGTTGAGTTGCGGACGTAGCACGACATGAGAGCGTTGAACATGACGATTGATGGCATATAGTCCGTTGTGGTGACCTCGAGTTGGTCGGGACCGCTTCACTATATTAATATTAAGTAGTTATACTATAACTTACATACATGCGCTAGACTGCCCGGCAGCACTTATTCGCCCAGTCCAGCTTTGCGACCAACTCACGAGATATGGAGGGTGTTGACGCACACAAAAAGCGGTCTCTGGCTACGCCAATTTTTGTGTGGCAGTTTTGGTTTGAAAAGTAATCCCGTCTGCATGTGGATTTGCTGAATTGTTCGGATTCTTCTGCGACAAACGGTGTCGGTAATGCGAATGTCGCTCTGTTCACGGCCACAAGATGGAGTGTCATCCAGCCTGCATGTGGCTTCGGGATCGAGAAGCGCATTTCCTCCCCGCACCTGGCACCGTCACCGTCTCCTCTCAGACCCAACTTTCCAGACAACACTGTCTGCAGGACCCATGACGACGCGAAGATGAACAATAGCCAGTGCCATCTCTGGATCAACGGCCGAGAGGCCGACGGACGCGGTGCGCGGTACGATGCCAAATTTACTCCAAACGCGCCTGTCCCTTCCCGAGCGTGCGTGCGTTGACCACTCGACCTCATGACAGCATCCCCGTCCAGGATCCCGCCACCGGTGAAATAATTGCACAGTATGCATCTGAGAGCCCCGATTCTGATCCCAGCCGCTAAGCACGGCATGGCATGTTTAGAAGCGACGCCGCCAGCCAGCAAGACGTGGACGACGCGATCCAAAACGCCCACGAGGTTTTCAAGTCTGGCGTGTGGTCAAGGGCCTCGCGACACCATCGTGCCCGCGTGCTTGAAAAGATTGCCGAGATTGTGGCTCAAGAGCTTCCGAATCTCATCCACGTAGAAGTCAGGCAGACCGGCCGCGCGGTTCGCGAAATGAAGGCCCAGATACCGTCACTGCTCCGCTGGTTCAAGTACTACGCCAGCTTGCTGCTCACCGAGGAGCTGCCTGTTCTACCCACCATGGGCAAGTTGCACAACTGGCTGCAAAGAGTACCCTTGGGTGTCGTCGTCCAAATCACGCCCTTCAACCACCCCATGCTCATCGCCGTCAAGAAGCTTGCGCCGGCTCTGGCTGCGGGCAACAGCATCGTCTTGAAGCCCAGCGAACTTACACCTGTGACCAGTCTGCTTCTCGGGCCGATATTCAAGACCGCGGGCGTCCCAGACGGCGTCGTCAACATCTTGCCCGGGTACGGGCCGGTTACGGGAAGGGCGCTCGTCAGCCACCCTCTGGTGAGAAAGGTCGACGTCACGGGCGGCACGGCTGCCGGACAGGCCATTGGGTCCATCGTGGGAGGCAATCTCGCCCGCTACACGGCGGAGCTTGGTGGCAAGGCCCCTCTGGTCGTCTTTGAACAGGCCAGCGTCGAGGCGGCGGTCAACGGCATCGCATTTGCGTCATTCATCGCCGCTGGACAGACGTGCGTCGCGGCGACGAGGATCATCGTCCAGAACAGTGTCATGCCCGTCCTGTTGGAAAAGTTGCAGCGCAAATGCAACCACATTTTGCGGAAAATGGGCTCGCCTCTGAACGAAAAGTCCACCATGGGACCTTTAATTTCACTCGGGCAGCTTCAAAAGGTCGAGTCGTTGGTCAATGAGTGTGTCAGCGAGGGAACTGGGCAGGTTCTTTGTGGTGGTCAGAGAATGACTGGGCTGTCTCAGCTGGACGGCATTGATTTCGGGAAGGGATACTTTTACCCGCCGACGGTGATGACCGGTATCGCTGGAAAGAGCATTACCGAGGCAAGGATATGGAGAGAGGAGGCCTTTGGACCCGTCATTGTCGTGGCTGGATTCGATGACGAGGACCAAGGAGTTCTTCTTGCCAATGACAGCGAGTTCGGACTGGGAGCTGCCTTGTGGACGCAGGATCTGAGCCAGGCCTTTCGGGTTTCCCAGCAAATTCACTCTGGTATTGTCTGGGTGAACACACATCACCGGAACGACCCAAGTAGCCCCTGGAGCGGTGCTTCGAAGTCTAGTGGTGTAGGCAGCGAAAATGGCATGGATGCCTATCACGACTACACGACTACCAAGAGTGTCATCATGAATTACGCTTCGGCTAACGAGACGTTGGCCGAAGATGATTGGTTTGGGGAGAGCGCGGGGGAAGTTCGCTATGGTTGATGAGCCTCTGCTCCAAGACGTTGAGCCTTGTTTGAGCGGAAATTTGGAGCGACAGTGGCCCTTACCACCGAACTCTTACGACGTTGGTGACCGGCTGGTTCGGGTACTCTGAGCACGACGGCAATAAATTAAGGGGTAGTTTGCGAATTAGTTGAAACATCCAAAGCGTCGGCTACCTGGACTAGTTGATCAATGTACGTGGCGTTCGTCGACACAAGCGCACGCCTTACGAACTTGGGTTTCGTATCGTCACAAGCCGCCCTTTCAATCGCCTCCATCAGGGCGGCGTGTGCGGCAAATGCAGCGGACAGAAAGCCGAGTTGCCGAGCCCCACAGCTGTCACTCCTCGGGCCTTGAGGCGACCTCGTCCCAGAGCCTCGGAGAATAGTTCGATAACAAGCCTCCACGTCTCTGCTTCGAGTCAACCGTCATCGCAACCGGTGTACGGAGTAGTCCTGGCACGGCTGAAATCATGGCATGTCCTGCAGCATTTGTCGTCTTTGACGAGCTGGTCGGCAATGTCTTCGGCTCATCCCCAACCCTGGAGCTGCTACACGAAAACCGTGACTACCCTTTTGCACACGAAGCCGGCGTGTACATGCAGCAGGACAATTCCTTGTTCATCACCAGTAACCTGTTCACGGACCCCAAGACGCAAGCTCCTCGTATCCAAATCACCCGCGTCGTGCTTCCCAGGGATGGAGACGGCGGCGTCGAGTGCCAGGAAATCCATCCAGAACATGTCCCGATGGCCAACGGCGGCGTCAATTACAAGGATGGAGTGCTCTTTTGTGCTCAGGGAGGCGACGGCTGCCCAGGCGGGCTGGCCTATATGGAATCGAAGCCGCCGTACAAGTCGCATCTCATGCTCAGCTCCTTCTACGGCCGGGACTTCAACTCCGTAAACGACGTGGTCGTTCACTCGGACGGTTCAATGTGGTTCACGGATCCAATCTACGGCCACGAACAAGGCATCCGCCCCAAGCCCAGGCTGCCTTGCCAGGTGTACCGATTCGATCCGGGCCGCAAGGCTGTCCGCGCCGTGGCAGACGGCTTCGGGCGTCCAAACGGCATCTGCTTCAGCCCGGACGAGAAAACAGTCTACATCACGGATACGGACTGGATTCACGGAGACGGGACGACGGATGACTTTCGCGCATCGCACATGTGAGGAGTGTCCATTCATTCCGCTTGCGACTTCTTGCCCGGCCACCCCCCCAGCTAACACGAGTCTTGCCAGCTACGCTTTCGACATGGTCGAGTACTCGGGCCAGCCCTTTCTGACCAACAGACGCCTGTTCGCCATGGCAGACACCGGCATCCCCGACGGCATCAAATGCGACGTCCACGGAAACGTCTACAGCGGGTGCGGCGACGGAATCAACATTTGGTCGGCGGGTGGCGTTTTGCTGGGAAAGATTCTCGTCGACGGCGGCGCTGCCAACTTTTGTTTCGGACGCAATGGCGACATGTTCATCCTAAACGAGCATCGATTATGGCGAGCTCGGCTGGCGGCTACTACAAAGGGCGCGTTGCTGAGAATTTAGTCACGGCGGCTCACAGCAAGAACGATTAACGAAAGAAGGTATCCTTTATTATTACACATCTTGGGGTGCTTTTTTTTCCGAACACCGGCGGGACCCCTTACATGCGTGCAAGCCACATGACCTCCAAGTCTATCGCCTACAGCGCATGTGGTTCTTTTGTTCACCCTGCTAGCCACCCTGCCCAGAGCCAGACTTGGTGTCCGTCTCTCGGCCGTGGCCGGGGAAGAGTCGCAGTCGTTTTTGAGGACCGGGCCCCTTTTCCTTGGCCGGCTTCCTCAAACTGATACGCCTGATGACGTTTTCGTACGAGATACTTTGTCCAGGGCGTTTCTGCTTCTGCGCGTTGACCATGTCCTGGAACGTGCTTCGCAGGTCGCCCACAAAGCCTCTCATCCCGGCCTCCGACAACTGCTGCCTGCTGGCCTCTCGCTCAACAAGGACGCAGATGGTGTTGGCCAGTGCCTCCCCGCGGGACCCGTCCGGGTCGGGGTCTCCCTCCCATCCGTACACAACGTCGTCAAGCAGTTCATCAAGCTGTGTTCTGACCTCGCTGTAGAAGCGACCAAAGTCGTCCAAGTTGTCACCTCGCTCCATGGCAGTAAAAGTCTGTCTGTGGGCAACGTCCCGCCGTCGTGGTGTCGTCTTTGGCTGCGGTAATACAAAATGCCGGAGAAAGCAGTGGTGGTCTGCGGCGTGACAGCGAAAGGTGTGTCGACAAGACGAGAAGAGAAGAAGCGAGGGCATTGCCAAAGTGGAAAGCAGAGGCATTTTTATACCCGCCGAGACGGCCTTTGGAGCTGGAAACGACGAAAAGACGTCGAGAACAGAAGCTTTACCATTGGGGATCGCGGCAAAGACGGACGAGTGAAGAATTGCAACGACAATGGCCCGTCTCTCACCACCAGCTAGATGCTTTCTTTGATGCTCCGTAGTGAGCCGTGAGCAGTCACCGCGGCGATTCTTCCCTGATGCGTCGTCGTCCATGGGAGGGAGACAGGATGGTGGTGCACTGCCCGGCTTGGTGAACGGCGAGGCGACAACTGGTTCCCCTGCCGAGCCGAGCTACACAGTTGAGCGTATGATTTTGAATACAGAGCAAGTGTGCACTTGGTCGAAATAGAGATCCCGTAGTTCGACTTCACTGGTGTGATGGACGGCGGTCCGGGTATCAAAGCGTGATTCACGGAGCACACAGCCCGTGTTCGTGTTGCTCCCTGCTTGCGTGTCGCCCATTGCCGTTCTCACATTCGGAAGAGAGCGAGAGGGCAGGCCAAACGGGATGGTGAAAAGCACGGAGAGGAACAAACGAGAGACAAGAGACGAGAGACAATTCTGACAAACACGCAAAAACGAAGACGTGCATGACTTGCCGAAAAAAAAAGAGAAAGAAAAGAACTGGTTGCGCCGAGCACATGGAAAAAAAATCTTGTTCCCGCGGGGGGTCGAACCCCGGACCTTGACATTTCTACCATAGAGCCACAGCCTGAACCCTAGCCTATAAGAGTCACGCGGTAACCACTCCGCTACGGGAACGACCGAGATCACTCGCTCCGAAATGATGCTAACTCCCTTTACATGCCTGCATGACGCAAGTGTGCCGTGCGTTCACCGTGGGGCATGACCTGGTGCATTTATTTACTTTTTTTTTTTAACCTTTTCTTCATCCAAGATCTACTGCAGCCAGACCTAGACAAATATGCCAAGCGTCATGCATAAATCATTACAATCAGGAAAAGCCACGCTCGGGATCCACCGCATAAGCAGTCTGGTTGCAGCCCGGCTTGCCTGCAGCGTGCCCTGAAAATCTACATTGGGAGCAAGCCTGCTTTGCTGCCTGGCTCCGGCATACATGAACCTTATTTATACGCGGCACGGCCAGGGGCTGCTTTTGTCGTCGTCCGAGCAGCCACTCGTCGCGGCGGCCACCCGCGCAGCATGGGCACAGGTCTTGATGCCTCGTCATGTATTATCACAGGTGAAATTTTGCACAGCCTTGAACGATGCCGCAACAGCGGAGCAGCCAGCCACCCGACTCACTCACATGAAACATGAAGCTGGCTGAAAGAGTGGCTTGGCGGAGCTGGCTTGGCGAGGGAGCAAGACGTGCTGCGGCAGACAATGGCCCGCTGATGGGCGACTGGATTGGGGTCGAGTTCGAGTTGACGAGCTCCAGCTGGTGTGGTCACAGACAACGGGACGAGCTGCAGTACGGTCTCGCCTCTTCAGCTAGTTTGCATGTTTCTACTATCGACGGTCGCAAAAAGTGTAATCAAAAGCCCTGGCCTGAGACGCACTGCCGTCTCTCAGACACGCCCGTTTGTGCCGCTGCCGACGCCGACGTGTTCCACCGTGGCCAACGTCGTCGACGACTTGTCTCCCAGAGACTCGACGACGTCGGGTCCCGCAAACAGACGGTCAATGTCTTCCAGCTCGAGTCCCTTGGTCTCGGGAAAGAAGAAGAAAATGATGGGCACCCAGGTCGCGTTGAGGATGGCAAAGACGATGTACGTCCTCCAGCCAATCTTCTCAATGGCAATGGGCGTGATTTGCACGACCAGCTAGATGTCGCGTCAGCCAGAGCCGAGCCAGGTGCCCGAGCAAGCGGGAGCCGTCTCTCCCGCTCCACGCCTCGCGCAGAGTAGCACTCACGTAGTTGAAGATCCAGTTTGCCGCGGTGGAGATGGAGGATCCCTTCTGGCGCAGCCGCAAGGGGAGGATCTCGGACCTGGGCCGGGTCAGTCAGTTGCGGGGGACTCGTGGGCGCCGTCGAGGCCCTACTCACGGATACACCCAGACCGTGGCCTGGAATCCAACGGTGAAGGCGCCTTGGAACACAAAGAGCATGACGGCGGCGCCGATGCCGGCCGAGCGTGCAATGCTCGTCTCGTTCTGCACCTGGTAGATGAGGCCGGCCTGCACGGCCATGGCGGCCGCCATGAGGCTGATCATGGACACGAACTGCGGCGCGTCTGGTCAGTTCCTTCTGCCCAGGCTGGCAGGCAAAGCGGCTCGCGACGTACCAGCGGCTTGCGTCCGATCCTGTCAATCAGGAACCACGGAATAAAGGACGCCACAAAGAACCAGGTCTGCAGGAAGCCCGACATGAGTGCCGACATTCTGTCGCTGAACCCGATGCTCTTGGAGAAGAGCGTGTTTGTGTAATCTGGGCGGACGGTTAGAAAAGCCGACCCGGACAGAGGCTCAACTGGCCCGCGACTCGTGGCTCACGGCTCGCGGCTCACGGCTCACGGCCAAAGGACTTACAAATGACGGCATTGATGCCGCCGAGCTGCTGGAAAGCCTGGATGGCACAGGCAATGAGCAGTCGCGTCTGGGACTTGACACGGTCGTCTGACAGCAAGTCTCTCCACGACCCGGCGCCCGCCGAGGCCTCAAAGGCGACGACCTGCAAAATGGTCCTGTACAGACGCTGCACCTCGGCGTCGTGGATCGAGGCGGACTTCATCCTGGCAATGACCCGGACGCAGTCGTCGGGCCGGTCGTGCGAGGCCAGCCATCTCGGCGTCTCGGGGATGACCATCAAGATGCCCATCATTGGCAAGATGCAGAGACACTGCAGGATGACGGGCACGCGCCAGGCGTAGCTGCCCATGCGGGACGAGAAGGCGTAGTCGATCCAGTACACGAGGAAGATGCCCAGGTTGAGCGTCGACAACTGAGCGCAGACATCTAGACGAGCGGTGAGCGGCTCTGCCCTCCGTGCTCGGGACGGACGCTCGACGCGGCCCGAGTCTGGACTTACAAACTCCCCGGGTGGCCTTGGGGCTGAACTCTGCCTGCAGCACGGGGACCGTCGAGTTGATGACGCCCAGCCCGAGGCCGGAGACGACCCGGCCGACGATGAGCTGGGCCCTGCCGTACGAGGCCGCCTGCAGGACGGCGCCGACAATCATGACGCAGCAGCCGTGCGCGATGGTGCGCCTGCGGCCGAGCCTCTCGCCAAACACGGCCGAGAGGATGGAGCCGAAGAAGCATCCGACTGATCAATCTACGCGTGTGAGTTGCGCCAACCAACGGCCTGCGCTGCCCCGGGTCGTCCAACAAGAACGGCTGACTGACCTTCAAAGATGGCAACGATGAGACCAATCATCTTGGGACCCGGGTGCCCGAACGAGCGGCCAAAGGCGGGCGCGTTTACTGTTCTGCACGTCAGCCAGGCGCCCCTTTTTGCTCGGCGTCGGTCCGCGCCCCGACTCACCCAGTCCGCCCATGAGACCGTTATCGTACCCAATCAACATGAAGCCGAGCGACGTCAGCACAGTGACGGTGAGCAAGAGGGCTCGGCCTTGCAACTCTGGCAGAGCCATGACGGAGGTAGACGGCGACGGCGGGCGACGGCGGGCGACGGACGGGGAGGAGAGCAAAGCAAAGAAAGGACAAACGGCTGCGGAAAGAAGGAGGGCTATTTATCTGGAAACAAGAAATACGAGGACGCAAGCAAGACAAGATTACTGCGGTAAACAATAAACACGTTTTGCAGGCTCCATGCAGGGACATCGGGTTCACAGCTGGCCACCACCACTTTATGCATGCATAGCGAGCGACATTGCCAATCATGTTACAGGATTAAATTAGAGTCGGGCGGCCCCACCGCCTCCCGTTGTTCTTTCCCCGCGGTGGCGCGCGGCCTCGGCCACGTGCACAATGCACACCGCGGGGAATTGGGACAAGCTTCAAATGCCGAGTCAAATGCCGTCGGCTACCAGGAGTCCGGGGAGTCCGGGGAGTCCGGGGAGTCCGGGGGACACGAGTCGATCGCCTTCCCCACGTTTGGCGCTTGTTGCTCCGTCCGCCCCGGTGCTTGCTTGCCCTCGACTGCCTGCCTTGGCGAACTCTTTCTGCCCTGATTCCCAGCCCCGACTCTCGGCCTTGGCGACTCCCCTTCGCAGAGTATCGGTGCGTTTCCACGAGCCACTCACCGACGCAAGCCTTCTTATAGCCTGGCACGGGCACTCGCTCCTCCCTCTGTCTGCCGGTCGCAGTAGCGGTAGCTGACGTGCGTGGGACAGCGTGCAATGACTGTCTGCCATCTCCGGTCCGTCGACAACGACCTTGGGGGTCGGCTGGCGCTGGTTACGGGATCGAGGTTGGTGCAGAGCGCTGTCGTCCATCGCCTCGCCCGTCCTGTCGAGCTAACGGCTGTGTTGGGCGCTTCAGCGGCGGTATTGGCTCGGCTTGTGCCAGGGCGTTGGCGTCCGAAGGCTGCGACCTCGCTCTTCATTACTCTGCAAGTAAAGTGCGTCTTTGCCAGACTCGGAGACAGAGACAGAGAGGGGCGTTTTCAAAGAGGCGCGGAGAGGCGCGGAGAGGACAAGGAGACGAAAACGACGACCAATCGATGCACCGGCTGACTGCGCGGCAGGAAAAATCGGAATCTCTGGCTTCTGAACTGCGAAGGGGCTACCCGTCACAGGTATTCGTCACCGCCCAAGCCGACCTTGCGGACCGAGAGTCGACGAGGTCGCTCGTCGACAGGATCCTCTCCGATGCGGCCGTCTCGGACAGGCACAAGGCCGTATCGGTGCTGGTTGCAAATGCCGGACTCGGCCGCCGCATCAGGGACGTCGGGGACATTGGCGAGCAGGATTGGGACGAGATGATGGAGGTCAACGTGCGGAGTCAGTTCGTCGTGACCAAGTCCTGTGTGGAGGGGATGCGCGCACAGGCATGGGGGAGGGTGATTCTCGTGGGCAGCATCGCCAGCCGCGGGAGCGGGCTCAACGGATGCCATTATGCAGCTTCAAAGGGAGCCCTCTCGTGAGTACCCCGGCGTAGGGACTGGACCGCCGCGCGCGCGCGCCGTGCTCCGTCGTCGTGTCTAACGGCTTGCCAGCTCCATGGGACTGAACCTGGCTACTCTCCTTGCACCGCAGGGCGTTACCGTCAACGTGGTAAGCGACCGACTTGACATGCGCGAGAGGCTTCCTTGTCCACTCCCCCCCCGTGTGCTGACCTACGGCGCGATGCTAGGTTTCGCCGGCCATGATCGGATCGACAGGCATGATCCCGGCGCCCAAGGAACGGTAGGGCGCTCCCTGCCTTGCATCGATCCGTGCTTGACAACACAACTGACGCTCTGGCGCTGCAGGTCATGGGCTTCAGATGCCAGCGCAGAGGCGTTGAGGCAGTCAGATCCTGGTCTGGCCATTGCTAGCGGCGTGCCGGTGCATCGACTGGGATCTCCGGAAGAAGTAGCCAACGTGGTGGTCATGTACGTGTATTTGCTGTACGGCACACACATCTCGAGGCAGCCTCAAGACTGACGGCTAGACATAGGTTCGCAAAGACGGGATACATGACGGGGCAAGACATATTACTAACTGGCGGCCTGAAGTGAAATGTGGTGGTCCCAGACGGTTGGAAGATACACGAAGCCTGATTTATTGCGAGTTCAAGAGAAAGTAGTAGGAGAGTTCACGTCTCGGTCCTCCCGACTGCGTTACTATGATGTCATATCACCAAAATATCCGCGACTCGTCATGTGCCCACATATCCATCACTGCTACCCCCTCCGTTTACGCCTTGGACGTAATGGGTTTCTGCTCCGGCACCTGTGTCAGAAGCTTTCCCCGTGTCACCGCACTCTTCACATTGTCAATAACGAGCATCTCCATTTCCTTCTGCATTTCGAACCGTCAGCAAAAACGAGTCGTTCGATGCAGTGTCGGCGAAAGAGCCACTAACCTGCGTATCAACGGTGGCAGTGCCGATATGGGGTAGCAAGAAGGCACCGGGGTGCTTGGTCAACCCGGGATTGATCTCCGGCTCCTTGTCATAGACGTCCAAGCCGACACTCCAGACCTTGCCGGACTCGAGGCTTTCGGCGAGGGCTTGCTCGTCAATAATGGCCCCCCTGGCGGTGTTTACGATGATGACCCCGTCCTTCATCCGGCCCAGTTCTTGGGATCCGATCAGTCCCCGCGTGGCAGGGCCCAGCGGCAAATGCACGGAGATGACGTCGCTGGTCTTGAGCAGCTCCTCGAAGCCGACGTAGCTGGGGACTTGGCCGGGTGCGAATTGCTTCTCAATGTCAGCGACGGGCTTCCTGTTGTGATACTGCAGCTTGAACCCGAGAGCCGCGGCCCGCCGTGCCGTGGCAGTACCGATGCCGCCCATTCCCAGAATGCCCAGGGTCAAGTGGTGAGGATCACGGCCGAGGGGGCTGGCGCCTCGCCACTTGCCCTCGCGAAGGGCTTGCTGGGGGATCCATGCACGACGCAGAGCACCGAGCATGAGGAAGATGGCCGTGTTTGCAGTGGCGGCGTCGACGGCCTTGGGGGTGTTGGAGACGGAAATATCTACCGAGAAGCTTGTCAATGCAAGGGGACCTGGCCTCGCCTCTCCCCGCGATGCATATGCGTTCGGAACTAGTGCTTACTCTTGTCGGTGCAGGGCTGGATGTCGATTTGGTCGTAGCCAGCGCCATTGTGCGAGATGAATCTCAGAGAGGACGGAAGGTGGGAAACGAGCTCGGCGTCGAATCGTCCCGTTATCTGCAACCACCTCACCAGTCAGGCGCCGCACGGGTGAAGCCAAGCCGCAGGAGAGGAGGCAATAGAATCTGGGGGCTTACCTCGACGGAGTCGTAGGTTCGCGAGATTGCAACAAGACTGTCATACTTGCCGCTGTCGCAGTCGCGGATAAACTCCTCCCGGCTACCGGAGGTGACTTGCTAAGGAAGTTTGCACAAACCGCGTGAGGACAAACGTCTCATCTACATGCTTTTGAAGGGTTGCTGTACCTGAACATGCGCGACTTCCGAGAGCTTCCCGAACTCGGCTTTTGCGTGGTGGACGACGCCAAGCATCAAGACGCCCGGCTTCTGCACTGCAGGACCTGCCATGTTGTCTGAAACGGACATGCGGAGTGGGAAAAGGCGTTCCGAGACAGACCAGGACGATGATGACCTTTTGAAATAGTACCTGCCTGCCGCCTCGGAACTAAAGAGGGAAAGGGGGGGCGGGGCATTCGCAGACCGATCAAGACGGAGGAGTTGATTCAGTGGATGATGGATCGGTTCAATAATCGACCACGGATGCGAACGGGGGGGGCGTTTCGTCTGCTTCGCTCGGCACGTACCTTTATGGATTCCCGAATCCCGACTCGAGCAAGCCGTCCGTCGTGTGGGTCAAGTAGGTCCCGGCTATTGACCACGTCATGTGCCATGTCTCCACCACCTCGGCGGCCATCTCGCCGCAACTCAGCCCGCGCAGAGGCCACACAGCACAGACGCTTGCCCCCTTATTGCCACCAAAACGGCTTTTGAGCCCAACTTAAAGAACTCCATTCCATCGCCCGTCTGATATCATCTTACTAGCCGATGGATTCACAGCCGACGCAGTCGCCGATACGAGGCATGCCCCGATCAAAGGCCAAGCGAGTGTCTCGTGCGTGTTTGTCCTGCCGCACGCGCAAGACCAGATGCGACCTGTGAGCGTCTGCCAGCAATTGACGTTGACGTGTCCCCCTCCCCCCCCTTGCGGATGACGGGCGTGACGGACACGGCCCCTCGTCACGCGTCGGGCTGTGCCATCGCTTACTGACCCCCGTCCTTGGTAATAGTGATTCAGAGGGCATGTCCGGCTTGCCCCCGTGTCGCCGCTGCGTTGAACAACAGCTCGAGTGCGTGCTTGCAAAGTCGAGGCGTGGAGGCCGCAGGATCAAGGGCGTTCGCAACTCTGGTATTCAGCAGCCGCCGCCCAAGCATGACCGCCATCTCGGCCCGCCGTGGGAGCCCCGCGACCCTGCCAGCTCTTCGCCCGACGAGGACGAGAGTGACTACCGTGCCAGCAGACAAGGGAGTCAGTCTCGTCCTGCGCAGGCACCGGCCGACGCGGATCCGGCACGAGGATGGCCGGCCTCTCCACAACATGCCGGCAACTGGCGAGCAGACTGCCCCGACGCAAGATCCACACAGGAAAATGCAGATTCGAGGACGGGTTCCGAGGGACTGGAGGGCCATATCGCCACTACAGACCTGTTGAATCCCTCCGACGCCCTTGATTTGCTTGCCCAGGTTGCCGACCTGGACCCCGGCAGGCAGCCCAACGCATCGACGGGCCAAGCCGGCCGCGGCAACGGACACGTCGGCGGAATGCACCCGACCGTCGGTAGATCGGCCGCCAGCTACTACCCTCCCTTGGATGACGGTATTCTGACGCCTTCCGACGCCTCCTATCTCGTGAAGAAGTAAGTTGCCACGGGGTGTAGAGACGTGTCCACGGGCTTACACCCTGCTGCCTCTAGGTACCACGACAGGTTCCATCCTTTCTTCCCCGTGGCGTACGCCAGCATATTCGAAGAGGGTCCCATATCAGAATGGGCCGAGAAGGAGCCTCATCTTTTGACGGCCATCCTCACGGTGGCTTCCAAGGATGATCCCACCTGGTTCAGGGTGTACGACGCATGTTCTCGCCATATCGAGAGCTTCATGTCCACCCTCATCTATGCAGGGTCGAACTCGGTAGGGTCCGTCGAGGCACTGCTGATCCTGGCCGAATGGGCACCGCAGCGTCCACAAGAGAATTCCGCCATTGGCTGCGGACAAGAGGACCACGGTGCCTGGATGCTGGTCGGCCTGGCCGTCAGGCTGGGATACCTGCAGAGACTGGAGCAGACGGCGCTTTTACCGGACGATCAAAAGCCTTCTGCCGAGGTGTGCAGAAAGCGTGTGGTTTGGGCGGGTCAGTCGCCGGCACCCTCACTCAGCCTGTGCTGCCGTGACCCAAGACGAATCGCTAATGAGTGAGGTACAGCTTGCTACATGAGCGACCGACAGGTCTCCATTCGACTGGGCAAAGGCTTTTGGTCACGCGGTCCCGGCCCGGCCCTCCATCTGCGGGCGGCAGACTTTCCGACTCTGCAGGTCCAGACCCTTGGCCCGGACAATATGGGACTCTTGTTCCAGGCGCATCTCGAGCTCACGCAGCTGATTAGCAATGCTCACGACATCTTGTACTCGTCCACCAGCCACAGGAAGCAGCTGTACGTAGGCGGTGAATATGTCCGATACATTGTGAGTGGGAGCCGCCAAGCGAAGCCGAGCAAACTGCTAACGCATCCAAGGATGACTTTGCCCAGTTGGTCCGGAAATGGAAGCTCACGTGGGCAAACCACAGCTGTGAGTAGAGTCGTCTGCATCACCTCGGAGAGCCAGCCAGCCAACTGATTCCCTTTTCCTCACCAGTCACACCACCAGTCAAGGCGTCGTTGGTCTTGTCGTTTGAATTCCTCCGCCTCTACATCAACGCATTTGCCTTCCAGGCGAATCTGAACCGAGCAGCCGCGCGAAATGCCGAGGTCGGCCCGGGAAAGGCCGGCGGGCCGCTGTTTTCCAACATTGCCGGAAAGCCGGACGCACGGTTCATATACGAGTCCATCGACGCGGCGAATTCACTGCTCAGCATCTTGAACAGCTTCATAGACCCCGTGGCGGGGCTGAAGTGCATGCCTCTCAAGTACTGTCTCTACGTCATCTACGCGGCCGTGTTTCTGTTCAAGGCAAGCTGCCTCTGCCCCCCTCCCCTCCCCTCCGGCGGCAGACTGGCAAGAATTGCTCTAACGTCGCTCAACAGGCCAGGCTGGCGGGCGCAATAACTAGCGAGGGCGACCGGGGAGTCGGACGCGCGATCCACGGCACTATAACACAGCTGCAGAAAACGTCCAGCAACCCGCAGAGCCTCGGGAGGCGATACGCCACCTCGCTCCGGCTGCTCTGGAGGAAGTCGTCTGCAAAGACGTCCACCAAGGCCGCCGCCCGCACTGACCCGGTGGCCGAGCCACCAGAGCCCCCGGCGGACCAGCCGGAGGGGCAAGGGGATAGCATTGTGCCATCGGCGACGAGCAAGCCCACCATGGACATGGACCCGTTGAGTGGGTTTTCGTGGCGGGACCTGGACTCGCTGGGACAGTTCATCGCGAACAACACGGCGATGAATATGGCGGACGGGATGCTCGCCGGCGCAGACTTTGACTGGGAGCACAGCTCGGGAGGACTCGATGACCTCGCGATGCGGCCGCAGTTTGACACGATGTGGGCGGGGCATGACATTATTTTCTAGGGAACCAGCATGGGCTGCGGTTTGGGGGTTGCATGAGTGTGTACGTATATCTTTCTCACCGTGGCCGCATGGCTTCAACACGCGGAGATGTACGTGTGGACGCCCGCGCAGTAATCACCATGTGCCGTCTTTTGCTGTGCGTCTTCTGGCGGCCCCACTCTTAAATTACCGACCACGTAACTTATTCCGTACTCCGTACTCCAAACGCCTGCCGCTCTGATAAACGTCAAAGGCGGGTCGGAATTTCGGAAATCAGGAGGCGTCGGCAATTGCTGCATGAAAGCGGGGCCCCCCCGGCTGGTGAGGACCCGCATCGCGCTTGGCCCGCCCGCCCACCACAGAACAGTCGGTCGCAGCTTCCGCGGCATCCGCAGCATTCATATGGCCCGTTAAGGCTGTGCTCCTCAGCACCCAGTGGAGCTACAGCATCACTCCCTCTCCGGGTAGTCTAGTTGGTTTATGGCGTCTGACTGTAATTGGCACACAACAGTATCATCAGAATGTCGCGTGTTCGAATCACGCCCTGGAGATTTTTTTGCCCTCGCTCGGCCTGACGAGACCCAGCCACGTGGCGGCGGCGCGCGGGGACTGCTTTTTTTTTTTTTTCGTCTCATTTACTTCCTCTCTCTGTTCTGTCTGTTCTTAGGCTGGCTCCTCCGTTCCGTAACCGCTCAGCAGACGGCTCTATACGCGTGGCTAGTCTAGTCTTCGTGTCGGCAAAGGTGTCTTGACGACAGAGAGACAGTGGACCGACCGACCGGCTGGCCGTGCCGTGCCGTGCCCTGCCCATCGCCGCATCCTCATTCACAGGCATAGTGCTCCGTAGAGTCTGGCGCCGCGCGATTCCTCGCCTCTCTGCCTGGAGACGTATCTAGGTATCGGGTAGCCGCCCGCGCATGCACCGTCCAATCGCCGTCAATGGGTCGATTCATCACGGACTTCACTCCGTAGCAGAGACACCTCCGCAACTTCCCCGCCGGCGCCCAGTTTTTGTCTTGCAGACACATACAACATACATGCACGTGAAGTCAACTAGTTATTCCCGGCACCTGTTGCGGATTCTCGCGAGGGACACGGGGGCGGTTCGTCCATGGCAAGCGGGCCGGCCACACGACACAAGTGGTGGAATTTGCTAAGCATGGCGGCGAGTCGACTGGATGTACATGTCTGCCGGCAGATCATCTCTAGCAAGATGCAAGACGGGACAAGATGCGGGCCCTCACGGCCTTCTCTCAGCCCTCACACCAGGCCAAGGCTACCAACCCATCGTCATCATGCCAACCTCTCGCTCAGCATCTCAGCGAACCCCATTGCGAAAACTTCTTCCTCCCCGACCGCAACGTCGACGTGCGGGCCGTCATCAGCAGTTCCCTGCCCGACGGTAATCTCGGCATCATCCATCGGGCCGCGTCTCGTCGTTGCGTGGCCCGCAGGCGACAGCGGCATCGGTGCGGTCGTGCCGGACAAGAATTCTGATACACCCGAGCATCCCCGTGTCCCTAAGGGGGACGAGGCCTCCCGTCGTTCACCAACTCGGTCGAGATGGCGGTACTTGTTCTCGGCAGCGTCCGGACCATCCGCCGGCTTCACAAAGGACCTAGCCTGCCGAGCCCCGTCATCCGAGACGCCGTAAAGGTGGCCGAGGGCAACGGCACGCGGGTGCAGCTGTCGCGGTTGTGGCTGGACAACCTCACGACAACCACCCTCACCGGGCCCCCCTGGAACAACGACTACAGCAGCGTCAGCATCTCCAAGGACACCGTCACTTTTGGATCGCGGCTCTACCACTTCTCTGCGCCCCAACTACCCGCAGCTTCGGCAGCTGGAGCAGGCAGATCCTCAACAACACGTCCCTGGCCGCCCGCGACAGCCTCATATCCGCGCTGCTCCCGCAGCCGGTTCTCAGCACGGGCCGTTGAACGGCTCGGCGGTGGAAGCCGTGATCGGCGCCGCCCTGGAACGCATCAACCGCATTGACGGGTCGGTGTGCCACGATGAGAAGGTTGACGCAGTCGCCAACCTTCTCAACCTGCAGAAGAACATGGCGCCGCGTTCGAGAAGGACCAGTCCGTCGCGAGCCTGAACCATTCAAGCGAGCCTGTCGGGCCAGTTGTCCTCGTCACCGGCTTGACAACAAACTCTACGTACCGCGGGAACGTCGTCCGGAGCCGGCGGCTCGCGTTCATGGCCGCGGCCTTTGAGAGGCAGCTCGAGCGGTGCGGCAGCCCGACGTCCAGCGGATCGGGCTCTGCGCCGCGTTTCTGCAGGGATGAGGCGGTGATTCTGTGGGACGTCACAGACGACAACCAAGAGCAGCTGTGGGAGCTGGACCTCTGGCGGAGCCCAGAATGGAACCGGCGGAGCGTACGAGTTCTCGCCCTTGGGCGTGTTGCGAGCGATGTGAGAGCAGCTGCGGAGTTTGTCGTTTCTGACCGTTGAGAGGAATACCAAGTCTCAGGCGGTGGGAATCCGTCCATGGCTCTGCCAAGGTATGCAGGTTCCGTCCCCACCATCCTGACAATCTCCTCCAAGACGCAGGTGAGCCAAAACGTTGCCCTGACGACGCGCTAATAAATGTAGATGAAGTCGTCGTTCTCGCAGTCGGTGAGGTCCAGAAATGCCTTGTCCCCGGGGCGCGCCTCGCCAGCAAATCCGGCAGGTTCAGTTGCTGTTTCGACGGGCTCCCGGGTCCCCGCGCTCATGGCGCGGTGCGCAGATTGCATCGAGTGATCGACCGGCCTTGCCGTCTTGCCGTTTCGGAGACGCCTCTTTTCTTGGAGCTTGTTGAGCAGGATCAGGTTGGCCCACTGGATGAGGACGACCGCCACGAGCGCCACAAAGATGCCCAGGCAGGCCCTGAGGCCGGGCCTGTAAGCGGGCGCGTCGCCGTCGTCGAAGAGGAGCGGGCCGATGATGTTGCCGGCCGCGCTGGCGGCGTTGTACACGCTCATGATGGCCGACTTCTTGGTCGTCCCGGCCGTGTTGCCGACGATCCAGGTCACGATGAGTGGGTTCCCGCCAAAGAGGCACGCGAGAAGGTAGTACCCGACGAACAGGGCGGGCTTGGCCGACGGGTCGCGGGGGACGGAGTAGAGCACGGCCAAGCCGGCTACGACGGGGAGCATGAACACGGCCAGGACGACTCCCTTGAGACGCGCCTTTTGGGCCAGGAAGCTGGCCAACAGGATGACGACGATCTGCACGGCGCCAAACGGCATGTTCAACAGGCTGGTCGTGTATTTGTCTGAAACCAGGCCGTTGAGGATGAGGGGGCCGAACGTGTTGGTGACGCTGGCGCCAACGTTCAGCAGCAGCGTCATGCCGATCCACAGGTAGGTCTTGGGCTCCAGGGCGACCTCTAGCAGGTGCGGCCACTTGAATTCGCGGGACCCCGTGCCGGTCTGGTTTGCTCGAAGTCGTTCGACAGCCTGGGCCTTTTCGTGCTTGGTGAGGAACCGGGCCGAGGACACATCGTTGTCGAGTTTCCAGTACACAAAGGGGGCCGAGACGACGGTAAGGAGACCGACGAAAAGGAAGATGCTTTGTGTCGGTTCTGTCAGTCCCAAAAAGCCTGCCTTCACCCGAAGCAAAAAGAGTCGACACTTACATTTGCCACTCCCTCAGCACGTCAGACTCGATGTGGCCCAGGCCGCAGGACAAGGCGGCGGCAACGATGGTCGCGGCTCCGTTGGTGCCGTACCATGCAGCTACTCGGATCGGCTGCTCGGCGCGTCGGTACCACTGGCTCGTGATGATGCTGAACAGCGGCAGGCAGCCGGCCTCGAAGAGCCCCAGGAAGAAACGAGCTGCCATGAGGCCCCCAAAGTCGTGGCAGGCGGCCATGGCAGCCTGCGCGATGCCCCATCCCAGACAAAGGGTCGGCATCAGGATGCGATGGGGCACCTTGACGATCAGGAACGACGACAAGGGCTGCCATGCTAGCTGGGCGATGGGGGCGATGGATCCAACAAGCGAGTACTGGTAGCCGGTCAGATGGGCGTCGGCCATGAGTCCGTAGGTGGCGCCGTAACCAAGCACAGACTTGTCGAGGATCTGTAGGAAGTAGACCCAGACGAGGATGGCCAAGATGACCTTGTCCGTCTTGCGGCAGATGCGGCGGCTGTCTTCTTCAGTCAGCTCGACTTGCCCGTCGCCAACGAGAGCCAGGGCCCGGTCACCACGCCTCAGTTGAAGTTGCGGCACAGCAGTCTTGATGGTCGTGCCGTCGTCAACCCCGTGGCCGTGGTGGTGCTCCTCGCGAGCAGAGTCTGGCTTGGGATCTGGATGTTGTTGCTGCTGCTGCTGCTGCTGCTGCTGCTGTTGGCGTGCCATCATGTCGTGTTTCACTCGGCAGGACCGTGGAGAGGCGAGTGAGTGCGTGACAGCCAGTCTCCGCGGATTCCGACCACGACGGGAGCCGAGCTGCTCTTGTATCCTGGTGCGGCCAGCCGGACTACATATATCCGACATCAGCATATGAGAAGGATTGGACCAAAGTCGCAATGAATGGCAACCTGGGCTGCTGGGATTCTGGGACCTTTCGATCCCCCCACATGACGTGGAGTCTTGGGAGTCTTGGAGATGCAAAGAAGGATCGGCACCCAGGCCATCTGACAAGTTGGACGAGACGGACAGTTGCGGCCGCCGCGAGAGGCAGCAGTCGAGACGCTCGTGTGCCGACTCATCTGTGCTCGCGAGATATCTGCCCATCCACCTGCCTGCCAACCCGAGAACCTGAGAGTAGGCAGAGGGGCAAGGGGCAGGGCAGCAGTCCAAGCCGACCACCACGTGACGCCACCTTTTCCCACCCCACGCGTTTAGACTCGGCGCCGTCACACGAAAGTGTATTTCCCGCAAGTTGATTGGCCTTTTCGCCTCAGATCTCGGCACGACCCACGTCCCGCCCGTCCCCCCCACCGTCACCACAGCTGCCCTGGCGACGGGTCGGCATTTGTATTTGCTCGATTTCATGGTCTTGTTGAAATTCCGCTGCAGCAATCACCAGTAAGCCAATCGAATGACCAGGTGGCGTGGCAGCAAACCACGCACCGCCATGCCAGAGCAAACAAATCCCCCGGCGGCTGGGATGATTGATCAGTCGCTGATGCCCCAAGCAACGGGCACTGTGCCATAAATTTTGCAGTGTGAGTCGTGGATTCGGGGCGGCTATTTATTTGCCGGATGGCTGGCGAAGCTGCTGTTTGGGCAGACCAGGCAGACCGGCATCCGGCTAACGGGGCCGTGGCTACTTGGCTTGTTGCCATGGGACGTCGACAAAATCAAGGGCGTCTATGGGAGACTTGGGGCCGCGCATGGCGACGGCGTGTGACGGCGGCGAGTACGTGCACTATAAGAGGGTGAGACCACGGGCGAAAAGTGACGACGCTCAGCGCATTGCAAGAGGAAGAACGGGGTTTGTGCGGCATAGCCGTGTATATTCTCATCGTGTATATCCCAGATCTCGTGTTCCATGCTCCGTGATGACCATGATATCCAAAACAACAGAAAGGCACCGTTAAATGCAGCAGCGTCAAATGCAGCTAAAACTTGATGACGGGCAAGTCCGACATGTGAACCTTGGCAGCGCCGTATGGGATCAGCCTATACGACTTTTTCTCCCCGGTGCATGTTCTGTCCGCAGGCGGCACGTCGGGAATGGTATCCCTGTACAAGTTCCACTTGATCTCGCACCCGTCCACAGTCATGTAATTAGGCGGCTGTGCGTGCTCGAAGATGGGGTCAATGAGGCGCTTGTTCCGGGCGTCGGCGTACCTCAGGGTGGTAGGGTCTATAGCCACGTTCCAGGGCTTGGTGTTGGTGATGTAGTAGTCGCGGAGTTCTTTGTAGGGCAGGTAGTCCAGCCCGGGGCCCCTTGTGTCGTAGTAGGCGTGCGGGTAGGACGAGTTGGCGGCGAAGCCGACGTCGAGGGCGTACATCATGTTGCCGAAGAAGACGGCGACGGCGTCGTTGGGACGCGCCTCGGTGCGAATCGCGGCGCCAATGGTGAACCTGACCTTGGAGCCACCCGCCTCTATCGGGACCCTTTGCATGCCCTTGCCGGAGTGGGAGGCGACGGCCTTGGTGGTGGCGGTCATGTTGGTAGCAACGCCGGCTGGTGATATCGCCGTGATGGTGTAGCTGGTCGCCCAGTCTGGGACACGCAAGTAGAGGTCGAATGATGCGTCTGCGTCGATTCGATACTCCAGGGTGTCTTCGAAGGGGTATGCCGTGTCGCAGGTGATGGTGACGGCGCCGTCATTTACCGTGGTAACCACCTTGGTCGGGCTGAGGAGGGCGTGGCCGAGCCCCCCTTCGCCGACTCTCACCCAGCTGTGGGAGACAAATTTGGCATATCCCTGCCCGTGGTTGACGGTGCAGCACGGGTACAGGGGCTCCATTCCAAATGTCGTCGCGAGGCCGCTGTTGGCGGTCGTGAATACAGGCGGCGTTCTGCCGTCCGCCTTGGTCACGTTGACGGCCCACGGCTGATTTGGCTGCGCCATGTACTGGTGCGCCCACTTGTCGCCCGTCATCATGACGGGAAAGGCATTGAATATGATGCGCTCGGCCCTGTCGGCAAAGGAGTTGTCGCCGAGGATCTGGTAGAGGTAGGCCAGCGAGTAACTGGTCTCGACGGCCGTACACAACTCACTGCCACCGTAGGGGGCCGAGCCGGCTTCGTACTCGTCGGCAAGAATAGTCCCGGAAGCCGAGCCGTAGTTTGCAAAGGTCCAGTCCACGGCTGTGCGACTGCTTTCAGCCAGGGCCTGGCTGCCATTGATGCGATACAGCACGGACGATGCTTTGAGGCCTAGAAGAAGTAAGGGAGGGGGAGGGAGAGGACAGGTGTCAGTATAGAGAGTACTTTTTACGCGCCGGCGTCAGAGCAGCCGAGGTTGATGGTGTGCACTCACCTTGTCCGACGTTGACGCCATGGATATATGGAAAGAGGTCTGCATTTGTCGGATCAGCGCGCTGGGGACTGGCGTAGTAGACGTTCCATTTGCGTGGATTCTGGGAATAGAACAAGTCCATATTCTCCCACAGCAACGGGTCCTGGGACGACGACGGGTGGCGCTCAAGGAGCCATTGAATGGTGATGATGAGATCGTGGATGCGGACTTGGCCCCATGAGCAGTCAATGCCGCCGCGACACCGGACGAATCCCTCGCTGTTGTTCTTGAGCATCTTGTTGGCCAGGGCCATGAAGCGACGCAGGCTGTCCACGACGGGCTTCTCCCAACTGTCCTTGTCCGCCTCGGCCAGCTGGATCAGACCGAGGAGCATGGGCGTTCGTGCCCAGAAGTTCCTCGCGTCCCCGACCTCGGGGCCAATCCAGCCATCCTCGGCCTGGTAGCCGAGGACCTGGGCGGCGACGGTGCGCGCCTGGTCCTTGAGTCTGTGATCGTCGAGCGTGTAGGCCAGGGGCACGATGGAGTTGAACCAGTACGGCAGGGCCTCGTTGAGATTGCTGTATTCGACGCCGCCAGTGCCAGGCTTGTTCAGCCAGCTGGACGAATTCACGTACACGTAAAAGTCATGCTCATGTCCAAAGAGGCCGTCGGCCATGGCCCGGCTCTCGCCCCGAAGCCAACCGCTCGGCTTGATGTCTCCCAGGGGCAGAGGGGCATGATGCCACGGCTGGACTATGCGACGGGGTCAAAACGGCCGGTCAGCAACGGTGCCGATGCTAAGGGGGACGTTTTGTGGTTGTTCGAAACTGTCTCCGCCAACAGGTACTCACGGATTCTCACGGATGACGCAGCGCCAACGAGGGCGCCGAGAGGAAGCTGAGCGGCTACAAATCGTCTTGTCAATCGCATTGTCGCCAGAGAAGACGGCAGACACGACTGCCAGGGAGAGAACACGAGCGAGAGAAGAGAGGCGACTCTGTTTCACACACCGGGAAAAAGCAGATCGTCGTATCGCGGTGATCAGCAGTCTTTATGAGGTGGCACTCCAAGACTTACCATCCATATCCATGCTTGCTTCCACCCCCGCCTGAGACGTGCAATCACGAAATGACGAGGCGGGTGACGGCGCAAAGACATGGCGAGATGCAACTATGCAACTAGCTCAACGACCTCGCAGGCCGTGGCACAAGAGGAGCGAGGTGTGGGAAATGACACAGCCTCGTCGGGTGCCCATGTGCAAAAACAACGGAACGCGGGTCTGGTGGAATGCGCCAAATGCACCGCAGGCACGTCGGCAAAGACCACGGGCGGAGTAACGGACCGAAAGGCGAATGCCCAGGCCTCAGTACGGAGGACGAAGCACCCGAGGTGCAAAGGCGCGGTGCGGCGCGCCAGGTCTGGTCATCGAAACAAGGACAAGGCTCTCGAAGGGGATCTTGCAGGGTGGGCGTGCGTGATGTGATGAGTCTGCCTGGGTTTGAATGCAGCTGTCGCGTGCGCTCACGTTTCCTCGGTGCAACCTCGACCCCAACCTCGACCCCGACCGCACGGACCACGGGGCGAGGCGAGGACTGGGCGCGTGGGGGAAAACACCCAAAAACACCCAAAAACAATTCCCAAAAAAAAAAAAAAAAAGAAAGTCACCTGCAGTCTGTCCATGCGGGACAGGATGCGGGAGAGGATGCGCGAGCGGGTGCAGGTGCGGGTGCGGGTGCGCGCCCGGATGACAGAAGAGCATGCGTAAAAGAAGTTCCTCGAGACTAGCACTTACCCCTGGGGCCACGTACTCAGTACCAAGTCACTGCTCGGTACGGAGTACGTACTCCGTACTCCGTACTTCAGTATGTACTACCCAGGCTACTTGTCGGTATGTCGAGTCTCCTGATTCCAGCTGCATCAGTTGACCATGTTCACATTGCACGGCGCAAAAACGAGTGCGTACACCTATTGGTCAGTCAATATGGGCTACGCACTCGCACGGCAGTACCGCCCACGCGTTGTTTTTGTTGACGAAGACGACGACGATGATGGACCGCTGGCCCTCACCGGCCGCGTTTGCGTCCCCGTCTTGGATCCTGTCTTGGCTCTTGACCTGGCGTCTTTGGTGGTCATCACACGTGGCATCCCGTTTCTGTTACCAGTACTCTGTACTCCGTACTGCCAACGACTACGTACTAATGGCCACGTACGACAAGCACAAGCGTCGAGTTGAGACACGCACACGCACGACTTAGACAAGGTTCCTGTTCATTGCGGCGTCAAACTTGTGGGCCCCGCTTTTCTGCAGACTCAACAGGTACAGAGCACGTCCCTTTTTTGGCAACGCGGTCAGCCACTGAACCTTGAGCGTAAAGAGTCATCACAGGCACGTCTATCCAGGCACCTATGCCTACTTAAGGCACTTGGGCACTTGGGTGCTCCAACGGCCATTGAATGATTTTCGTTGGCGCGGACCCCAGTCGGCAAATGCACGGACCTGGTCACGCACTCACAAGAGGTCACACACGCTTCACCAACCAAAAGTCGCCGGGCACGAGGAGCGGCAGTCAAGTCGAGTTGCCCAGGTACGGAGTACGTACATACAACATGCAGGTGCGGAGTGCGGAGCCTGAGTGCGTGTGGGGTCCTGACTGCGGCGCACCCCGCACCCCGCCCACAGCATATCCTTGCTCCCGCCTTTGCTCCCCCTCTCATCTCCCGTCCCCGTGTCGCACCAAACTTAAAAATGTCGTCCAATCCGAAAATCACCCCATTGGTCGTCACGGTGGGGAGTTGTGCTGAGTACGGAGTAGCGACCGCACTGTCGTCCATTCTTCTTTGATGGTCCGTACAAGAGGCACACTGGGGTTCCGGACGCGACGGGGCTGCACACATGATTGCGGCCAGATCCGGGACGCTTCGACGATTTCCTGCCCCGGCTTCGCCAGGCCCCCGCAATGGCGTCTCCCATTCCCGTGGCATGGCCCGAGGGATACTACTGCTGGGTTGGGGTTGGGCTTCATCACGCTGCCCTGCAGCCTGCTGCCTGCTGCTTGCTGCGGCGGGCTTGCATGCTTGAACCAAACCAGTTGACCAGTGCAATTGCCACGGTGACGGCGCTGTGTTCCTGCACCACGTCACCCGCTCGTGATCCGTGCCCTGCCACCTGGATGTACTACTCTGTAGTCGCGAAAACAAAAAATTATCTACAATACGGAGTGCCAGCCCGAGCTTTGGCCCGGAGTCCCAGGTCGACGCTGATGACCGTGACAATGCCGCCTCCGCCTTTACATAATGCCAAGAATAAACCTAAACCATGCGTGCGTGGGCCGTAACGATTCCGCTCGTGCGACAGACGTCTCATGCAAGGCCACGGCAACCCGTCACACATCCTCACTCAGACCACGGAACACCGACGCCGAAATCCTCCGCAACCTTCATTGCGGAGACGACGCATCCCTCCAACAACACCAGGCCGTCCCAGCACCAGGAACCCACTATCCACACGTTGTCCTTGCCATTCACCCATACTTCCTCGTCGCCCGGTGCCCACGTGCCCTTGCCGCCCATCACCCTCTGCACCATGCCCCTACTCCGTGTGGTCCGTAGCGTGCGGGTGAATCTCGACACGTGCAAGACCCCTTTGCGCTCTGCTTCTGCGATGCAGGCCGACGGGCTCGTCCTGATGACCACTCCGCTGCGCAAGAAGTGGGACGACTCGGACTGGGCCGCGCCGCCGTGGAACGTGGTCCTGAACTCCATGACCTGCGCGTCGCCGAGACGATAGGAGCACGCTCCTCCCGACGGGGCACCTGCAACCGATACATCACCCGACGGCGGCGCCAGGATCGAGCTCGTCACGGGAGCCGTGGGGATCACGCTGAGCGTGCATCTAGACGGGCTGAAGATGGTGGCGGCAGCGTTGGGCGACACGGCCAGCACCACGCGGTCAAACACGTCCTCGGCAGAACGAGACCCAGACCCTCCGTCGTTTGTCTGTTGCCAGCGCACGAGAACGCCTTGCTGGCCAACGCGGGCCACCTGCGTAACACGTGCTCCCAGACGAACGTCTTTGATTCCCTTGGACAGCGTCGACTGAACGCGGTTGACACCGCCCTGGGGAACAAACGTCTTTCGGAGGAAGGACCCCTTTACAAAGCTGACGACATCGCTGGCTGGAAAGTCCAACATTTCCGCGTGTGAGCAACTACATATAACGCTGAGCACGGGCAGCAGGTAGTAAACGTAATACTGGTGCGGCAGCCGTATCCTGTGCAGATACTGCTGCAAGGTCTCGCAGCCGCTGGGTGATTTTCCAGCAGCAGAAGCAGCAGCAGCAGCCGCCGCCGCATCCAAGCACGGCTCTGGCCGACTCGTCCGTGGCCGGAGAAGGAAGCAGGCCATCAAGAACCACAGGTGGCATATGGCCAGATAAAAGGTGTGAAGGATACGCCGCAGGGAGCTGTGCCAGAAATCGGGCGATAGAAGGAGAAGTTCGTGCAGCCGCCTGTTGTAGGTGAAGTAGGTGCCGGGCATTGCGTCTGCCCTTCTCGGTTCGGCGGTCGGCTCGGTTTGCCACGTCGACGATGACTTGGTGTAGACCCAGATGAGGCGAATCCGTTGAAAGCCAATGCCTAGGTGCTCGTACATGCGGCACAGGTTCTTGTAGTAGCCTCTGCAGAAGCTGCGGGGGGGGAGGTCTACGCGCTCACGTTCGCCCGTCTTTGCATTGTTGAGCGTCACCGAAGCGGCGTCGAGAGACAGCGTGTCTGCCTACACGACGTTGGTGGTTGTGGTTGTGGTCGTCAGTAAGCTATCTGCAGCGAGTGTTGCCATGCCAGCCACGGGTCAACATTTTCAAGTGAAATGCACGACACAGACGTACCTGTTCGAAAAGCGTCACGTCGTACCGCTTTCGCTGATCATGGTGGACCAGGTATGCCGTCGTCAGGCCAGCCAGGCCAGTTCCGATAATGGCCACACGACTTCTGTGATGAGAGGAATCCGCTGCCTCGGTCTGCAGCTGGCTCTGTCTCATGTTTCTACCCAGAAGCACCTTGGTTCCGCTGGTCTGTACGCAGTCGATGTCTCGAGTAGTCGTGGCGTTGTTCTGATGTTGACGACTTTTCAAGGAAGTCGGGTTCTGTACTGAAGGCGGGAAAAGACGATGAACTGTTTTGCAAGTGGCCCTTACTGGATATCTCGATGCTCGTCGACACGGAATGGATTATCCGTCAGATAGAGATAGGTAGAGCGGTCGTGCACGTGGCGCCTGGCCTCAACGGCAGTCTCGAGGCAAGTCTGAGTCAGTCTGTCGGAAAGATGCCACTAGATATATCAGTTCGAGGCTGGATCAGGCGACGGACCTCGGGCTGTACAGCGACGCCGTTGTGCTGCCAGTCTCGACGGGATCGTTGTGTTATCCACGAAGTCACGCACAGCAGCAAAAATATCAGGGAACGGCGCAGCCATGTTCGGACACGGCGTAAAACTGGCTGCAAGAACACGACGCCATTGGACCAAAGGCGACCCTGTGCCGATGCGGCGCAATAGACATGCCGACCTCTGGGCTCAAGGCCCAAGGGACAGTGGAGCCACGTCGGGCCCCGCGGCCGTGCTCCGTTTGGGCGCTGCGCTGCGCTGCGCTGCTGCCGACATGTGCCCCGGAGCTTTGTCAGCATTGTGCGGGGCAAAAGGGCCGCCCGAAATGGCGCGTCGCCAAAGTGCCTTGGTAACGAGCTCTCGGGACGTTCCGCGCCGTGCAGAACGCCTGGCCGTCCTATATCGATCGGTGGACAATTTCTCGCTTCGTCCACCGACACTGGTGTCCCAGTTCCTGGACAGAGGATTGCGCTCACAGAGGCTGCGTTGGTGGTCAATGGCTAGGCTACCTGAGCACCACTCCGACACACCTCACCCTCCCGCTCGCTTGGGTTTGGACGACAAAACTCGGCTGTAGACTGCGTTGTACCGCAGATACCATGCCCGATTCCTTCTCACCGAGGGACTTCATCCTCGGAACCCTCGTCGGCTTCCTCGTCGCCGTGGCGCTCGTGTCCATCGGTACCTTCGCATTTCTCCGCACAAGCGACGCCTACTCTCTCGGGCACTGGAAGCTGAACCTCAGAACCCCCCTTGGGTCCATGTGGATGAACCTAGGATTCTGGTAGGACCGCCCTCTGAGAACTGCCTAGGTACCTGTTTCTCTTCTTCGTATATTGCGCTAACGGTTCTCTCACTGACTAGGAAGACGGATGACGGAAAGCCAACAGAGCATTTCGACGAAGCGACACGGGCCTTGTTACAACAGATTCTGGAAGCCGCGGGGCTCCGTGCAAAAGATGACTCGCCCGCAGGGCAGGATTCCGTTGCCGTGCTCGATCTGGGCTTTGGCTGTGGCGACCAGACCATGGCGCTGGCCAGGCTGATCCGCGCTGAGAACAGGTCGCGATTCCGGTACGTCGGGCTCACGCTCGACGAGGCACAGCTTCAGACCGCACGGAGGACGCTCGACAGAGCCTTTGCATCGGGGAATGGCGGCGAGGCGGCCGGACTGTCTCCGGACTGGTTCAAGCTGTTCCGCGCGAATGCCGCCCGGCCCGAAACGTGGAGCAGGGCGATACGCTCGTCGGTGGAGGGGTTGGCGCACGAGGCCTTTTCTGAGCGCTGGCTCATGGCGCTGGATTGTCTATATCACTTCTCGCCTTCTAGGCGGCCCGTCTTCAAATTTGCTGCCAAGACTCTAAACGCACACGTCATGGCCTTTGACTTGATCCTGGATGAAGAGGCATCGAACTGGAATACGCTGTTGGTGAGGCTCGTGGGGCTGGTCATGGGATGCCCCCTGCGCACATTTCTCACGGAGGCCCAGTACAGACAACAACTGGTTGAGTGTGGCTACAATGGTGAACACATTGAGATTCGAGATATCTCGGATCATGTGTTTGCCGGTGTGTCCGGATATCTGAAAAGACAGGAGGCTGCGCTGGGCCAGTATGGAATATCCCTGGGAGGTTTCAAGCTGGCAGGGAGGCTGTTTGCGTGGTTTGATAGAACCAGAGTGGTGAAGGCGGCGATTGTGGTTGGGCGGACAAAAAAGGGGGACAAGCTGAATGACGTTTGATGTTTCAACAGAGAATGGCGTGGCGTGTTTCTTAAGGCCCAACCCCTTTCGGGACACTTTTAAGATACGGCCGGCCACCTGGCCGCCCTCGCTCGTCGCTGCGCGGCAGTCGATTGCTGGCGCTACTCGTGAAAGCAGGCGACGTTTCGACCGAGTTTTGCTGCTTTCCAGCGAGTACTACAAGTTTGTCCCCACAAACCACTCCAGCCGCTTCCGCCTTATTTTTCGTTGTCACCACAGTTCGCTTTGGTTTGGAAACGGTAGAGTTTTGTCCAGGTCAAACAGCACTGTCCAAGAAGGGCCTGATTGTTCTGTAGACAGGCCTGGGACAGCTTCCGGATGGTTTCAACCGTTGCGAGAGCAAGGAAAATGGTTCGTTTTCGTGCATGTTGATCAAACTTGACCCCTTGTTCTGCATTTCCACATCCAGGTCAGACAGCCGTATGAGCTGGGAAACATACAGCGAAAGGCACCAATTTATCCTTGCAAACGTGTCCTCCCGCGGGAGCCGACCATCATCGGGCGCCATCGGCAACACAGCTGCTGCTTTCATGAGAAGTGTTGAACACTTGTTGAAGGGTTGACGGACCTGCTGGACCGTGTCGGGCGGAGCCAATCGTTCCCGTGTCCCGCCACAGTCTGGGACGAGGACCAGAAAGGTGGTACAGGATGGAAGTACTCCGTACGCCGTACTCCGTACTCCGTAGCATGACAATCATTCCACACGTGGAACCAGTTTATCCAAGGGCAACATTACGTCGTGTCATTGCTGAGAGGGGTTGGAAAGGCGAGACATTAGGAGCTTTATGTTGGTCGTTTGAAAGAGCATCCGACCACTGACCGCTGACAGCTCGGGCGCATCGTGGAAGGAGCGACCGGGGGGAAGCAAGGAACAAGCTTCCTCCTCTTGCAGGTTGCGTCGTGGCCAAAAGCATAATTGAACTAAAAGTGGACAACATTGATGAATGGAAAAGCAGACTTCAATGTTTCTTGGAGATTTGGACGGTTTCCGAACCTGCGTGGCACTGGATTGGTCGAGCATTCAAAGGGGTGCCTGGTCGCAGATTTCAAGATGGTGTCCCGTCTTGAATTGAACCTAGTGGTGGTCGTTGCATGCGGTTTTGGGGTGTTCAAGATGTTTGTCCGAGTAAGTAGACGGCCGCGTCTCGAAACCAAAGCCTTCAGCTCAGTCTCCAGCGATCTCTGCCGCTCAGCGCTGCCTGTAGAGAAGAGCTGGGGAGGACAAGAATCGGCAGACTTCTAGTTCATCCGTGTCTCGTCCGTGGCTCTTGGAGAGTGTTTGAGTCTCTAGCCGCGAAACAGTCGTCTATCCATGTATGATGTACTATCCCTTGCCGAGCAGCTTGGCAATTTGATTACCGTGGCATCACTGGGGACTAACGGCGGCGTAGATCGAGGACCATTGAAAAGCTTAAGAGACTGGACTGAAACGTCAGAACGGCGGCGGCAGCGGACCATCTGAGCCCTGAGCTTCTCACCCAAGGATGAAAAACCATCCCTTCATGCAACTTGGCAAATCGAGGGCGGCAGATTGGTTACTCAACGAGCGCTTCGGACGACGATGCAAGAACGTGTTGAGCCATTCATTGCAACCAACAGTTGCGCAATGCGAGTCACCGGGCTTCACACCGGCCGGTCGCAGCATTTGCACGGCCAACATTCAACCCACAGAGCAGGGCGTCTAAGTACCTACTTAAGAAGTAGGTAACGTTACTCAAGTGCCAAGTAAGTACCTACCTTAGGTACCTAACTTACTCAAGTCCCCAAGTAGTACGGAGTAGATAGGTACTTACCAACTTTACTTGAGTACTTACGGAACAGGCACCTAGGTTAAGTACTCAGAGTCGGGGTTTCTGTCGCATAGCATATAAGGTGGTCTACCACACACAAAAGTGTGGCGTGGGCTACGCCCAACTTTTAGTGTGACAGTTATAAGCCCGGGAGGGTTACACTCTGTAACTTCTCACTATAGCGCAACTACCTTGCTATAACGTTTAAATCCTACTAGTAGGAGCACTCTAAAAAGGCTACTTCTATATCTTAGAAGTATATTTACTCTATAAGAGCAGCCTCTCTCTAAATAGAGAGGAGGTAAAGCGAGTAGAGTTGTAAGATGCCTAGCAGATAGAGCTAGCAGATAGATCCAGCAGAAAGTAGCAGCATATAGTAGCAGCACATAGTGGCAGCACATTATAGCAGCAGTATGCCTTGCCTAGGATCTATGCTCTACAAATAGCTCTAGCATTTAGGTTAGCTAGAGCTAGGGGGTGTGTCGCATAGCATATAAGGTAGTCTACTACACACAAAAGTGTAGCGTGGGCTACGCCTAACTTTTAGTGTGACAGTTATAAGCCTGGGAGGGTTACACCCTGTAACTTCCCACTATAGCGCAACCACCTTGCTACAACGTTCGAATCCCACTAGTAGAAGCACTCTAAAAAGGCTACTTCTATATCTTAGAAGTACATTTACTCTATAAGAGCAGCCTCTCTCTAAATAGAGAGGAGGTAAAGCGAGTAGAGTCGTAAGATGCCTAGCAGATAGAGCTAGCAGATAGATCCAGCAGAAAGTAGCAGCAGATAGTAGCAGCACATAGTGGCAGCACATTATAGCAGCAGTATGCCTTGCCTAGGATCTATGCTCTAGAAATAGCTCCAGCATTTAGGTCAGCTAGAGCTAGGGGGTGTGTCGCATAGCATATAAGGTAGTCTACTACACACAAAAGTGTAGCGTGGGCTACGCCTAACTTTTAGTGTAATAGTTATAAGCCTAGGAGGGTTACACTCTGTAACTTCCTACTATAGCGCAACTACCTTGCTATAATGTTTAAATCCTACTAGTAGAAGCACTCTAAAAAGGCTACTTCTATATCTTAGAAGTATATTTACTCTATAAGAGCAGCCTCTCTCTAAACAGAGAGAAGGTAAAGCAAGTAGAGTTATAAAATGCCTAGCAGATAGAGCTAGCAGATAGATCCAGCAGAAAGTAGCAGCAGATAGTGGCAGCACATAGTAGCAGCACATTGTAGCAGCAGTATGCCTTGCCTAGGATCTATGCTCTAGAAATAGCTCCAGCATTTAGGTCAGCTAGAGCTAGGGGGTGTGTCGCAAGCATATAAGGTGGTCTACACACAAAAGTGTGGCGTGGGCCACGCCCAACTTTTGGTGTGACAGTTTCCCACCTTGGGGACCCGCTGGTGACATCTGGATGGATGACATTCACTCATTCAGTATTTCATCACCCCAGATGCCCCAGTCAAGGATACTTCATTGCCGAATTCCTGCGCGCAGTCTTGGCGCTGTGGCCCATCCAGATACCTAACCCGAGTGCTGCCAAGTGCTTCAGTTGTCCTGTCAAGCCGGCCCCCCACCCCCCCCAGTCCGCATCGTACCAAAAGCGCTCGGGCCAGGCGGCCAGGCGGCCAAGCGGCCAAGGGTCAACTGATTGATGGCTAAAAACAGGCTAGCCGCTCCAGTCACCAGCGGAACCAGACCAGGCTCAGACAGAGCGGTGGACCCCGGTGCCGTTGGCATGTGGCGGTTACAGCAAGGTACGCGTGTCACTCCTCGATATCGGCCGCTCGACGAATGCGAACCTGGCTGCATCTAATCCGTACGAGCCCTACAACCCTCAACCCTCAACCCTCAACCCTCAACCCTCAACCCTCCATCTTGAATACATGCGCAACTCAATCGAAGTGTCCATGCACGAAACAAAGCTGCAGACGGCCGCCTCCAGAATGTGCCTTTGTCTCCACTGAAAGCCGACGCAGACCAGCCATCAAAGGCAGGTCCCAGGTCCCAGGTCCCAGGTCCCAGGTCCCATGTCCCAGGTCCCATGTCCCAGGTCCCACGTCCGTATCTATCCATGCACAAATGTACGTACTCCGTACCAGACAATGGCACATCATACTGGGCGGTGCGCAGTAAGGACATGTAGCATCTTGCCGTCAAGCGATGTTTCTGTCCTTTCATATCATTACGTCTCGCTCGCTTCTTGGCCGCCTGCCTGCCTGCTTTTCTTATCCTGCTCCAGTCCCTTGCTCCCACCCGACGCCGCTCCAACCTATTGCCAACCACTCAAGGTTTTTTTGATTTTTTTCCCTCCAGTCTTCGAATCAGTTTGACATTCCATCAACTTTGCTGGCATCCGCTGCATTTGGGGCTCGTGGCCAAAGTCTTCTTTTCTCTCGTTTCTGATAAGCTATCCCCTCCCTTCCTTCCTTCCTTCCTTCCTTCCCTTCGTTCCAACTCTTGGGCGTGGTTGGGGAAATACTTCGTTTTGCATAATTGTTCACACTGAGAGACGACAATCGATCTTTACTTTCACACCGAAAGTCAGTACCGTCAGAGACATTTCGAGCAATCATGTCATTTGCAAAAAAATTGGACCGAGCCGTCCAATGGGCCGGTGAGAAGATGGGCTCAGAGGCCAAAACCACACACTCTGATGAGTTCCAGAGGCTAGAGGCCGAAATGGCGCTTCGTCAACAAGGTCCGCTTCCTGATGACATCTCGAGCTTGGTTTTGCGCGCACTAATACAAGTGTAAAGGGATGGAAAGCCTGCAAAAGGCGACTACCGCATATTCGAAATGGATCTCTCGCCGATGTGAGGCGGCGGAAGACAAAAACCGAGCGCCCCCCACCGCCGTGCTTGGTCGTGCCATGGTGGCACATGGGAACGATTTTGACCAGGATTCGGAGTTTGGCAACCATCTCGTGGCTGTTGGCCGTGCCAACGAGCGGATCGCAAATCTTCACAACAACTACGCCGAGGAGGTCAATGCCAACTGGCTCCATCACTTGGATCGAAACGTTGCCATGATGAAAGAGTACCAGGTAGGTCCACTACCTTACACTTGACAAATACGTCGTATTTTTGTCCTTCCAAGGTGTTTTGCTAACAATGGATATCAGGCGGCTCGTAAGAAGCTAGAGAGCCGACGACTCGCGTACGATACCAGTGTTGCCAAAATGCAAAAGGCTAAACGAGACGATTTCCGTATTGAGGAGGAAATGCGCGTCAGCAGAACCAAGTTTGATGATACTAGCGAGGATGTCATGCGTCGCATGCAGGACGTTCAAGACACTGAGGCGGAGTCGATTAGCGCCCTGAACTCATTCTTGGAAGCTCAGCTCAATTATCACGAGAGAGCCGCGGAGGAACTTCGACGCATCTGCCAGTCACTGGTAGACGGCGGCCCAGCAGATTCCCAGCAACAAGACGAACTTCGCATTTCCCGAACCCGAAAATCCTCCATCTCCACATCTTGGCCCAAAACAAGACATGTCTCTTCGGAGCAATTGAGCCCGGCTGAGAGACTTCCCAGTCGTCTCCTGACAAGCTCTCAGGCTGCCCAGCCACCGCCTCCTCTGCCGGCACCCTCCCAAGATCCGCGCCAATCGTTCGTCCGCGCTGCTACGTTTGGTGAACAAACCCCGCTAGCATCTGTGGCCACTAGGACGCCATCAATGGCCCGCACCGCCACTGACAGGAGCTCGTATACTGGCCACTGCGAGGATGTGTTTCGAGATGATGAATCTACTGGCAGTGGAGATGGAAGCCCCGGCTGGGGCAATCGTAGTACGAGCTCTGCCACCAGCTATGGCAGCTCGTCTCGGATGACAGGCGGCCACGAAGTCAAGAAAGCGCCGCCTCCACCGCCACCTGTGAATAGAGCAAAGAAGCCTCCCCCGCCGCCCGTACCAGCTCGACGGGCTCATTTGGGATACTAAGCAGCCCGTGTCGGGTGCGGGTTTATTTTTGGCCATGCGGCGCCAGCTTGATGCCGGATTGAGTACGGGCGCGACGAAACGCGGCAGGTATGGAGGTTAAGTTAAATGCATACCACTCTACTGCAGTTGCCCAGGACGGCTCTATGAGAAACGACCAAGTTTATAGTTTATTGAAACCATTTTCGTGGCCAGTTTGCACCTCTGTAAAAATGTGATGGAGAGTGATGGCAGGTGAAACCCAGACAAATTGCCTCGGCTACCAAATGTGCAGTGAGGAGTCCTCTGGCGCGAAACCGACGCCACATCACGTGAGCGAGACACCTCTGGGTGAACTCTGGGTGAAGAGCTGTGGTTTTTGAGCCTTCCATCTGCGCCCTGCATGGCTGATGGTGCGAACAGCTTCGGCGCAGCACGCCCTTTCCATCGCTATTGAATAATAGCTCTTCTGCACTGGCTCGGAGTGAATAGCCATGGCTACCGAGGACGGGCGGTACCGAAAATCAAGCCAGTTTCGACTATGGTCCTTCTCCCCAGCCACGTTGCAGGAGCTACGAGAGAAGACGAACTCGTTGGCAAAACAACAAATCGCACCTCGCATAGACGCCGTCCCCGACTTCCTCACCCCCGACGAAGAAGCCAGGCTGGTGAAGTTTTTCACCGTTGAACTCATTCGAGCGGCGCAGTTCTGCGAGTTGCCGACGGAAATCCGCGCAACCGCCGCCGTGTTTCTCCGCCGGTTCTACACGACAAACTCGGTCATGACCTATCCGCCCACCGAACTGCTCAAGACCTGTTTATTCTTTGGCTGCAAGGCAGAGGGTTTTTACATCCGGCTGTCCAAGCTGGCCGAGAAGTTCCCGAACACGACGGGCGAGCAGATCCTGGCCGGGGAGTACTTGCTATGTCAGGGCATCCGGTTCGCATTCGACGTGCGGCACCCCTTTCGAGCCCTCGAAGGCGCCATCCTGCAGCTGAGGATGCGTCTTGCAGACGGGGACGCCAGGATAAACCACGCGCACGCGCGGGCCAGGGAGATCCTCAAGTTCAGCGCGCTCGTCACGGACGTGTATTTCCACTTCACGCCGAGCCAGATCATGATGGCGGCGCTGCTGATGGTGGACTCTGGGCTTGTGGATATCCTGTGCCCCAGACCGGCAGAGAGCGCCGAGTCGAGTGGGGACAGCGCCGTCCGTGACAAGATCATGACTACCCTCGAGAGCTGCCGCGCCATGCTCGAAGACGAGCCTCCGGAGAGGATGACGGAGTACTGGGGCACGGTAGGGACCCAGTCAAGTCCCTTGACATCAAGTCTCGCTGACGACGAATAGCCGGAGATTGTCAGGTCGATGAAGCCGTTGCGAAAGAAACTGCAACGATGCCGGGACCCGGACAGGGCTGACCTCGTGGCCCTGCAGCGGGCGCGGCGAGAGCAGGCCGTGGTCAAGCCCAAGAAACCGAGTGCCACAGACGACGGCGCCGTCTTTGGCGGTGCCGAGGCCAGAGATGCAAAGCGCCGGAAAGTCGACAGCACGGACGACGTGTTTGGTCCCGCGCTGGGGCAGTGACGCCCCAAGACGAAAACCGCCACCGTGCAGCTACGACGTCACGATGGACCGGAGCGAGACAGCCATGGAATAAAGGCACAGCTCGGCACAGTTCAGCACGGCACAGCTGCCTGTCGCGGCCGTGCCATTGGCGCTTGCGCGAACGCCGCCGTCGAGATGGAGAAACACGCCGAAGCGTCGCAGCTGTCACCTAACCTGACTAGCCGCTGATGCCTGCAGTGCGCGAAGATTCAACGGACCCTAGTTACTTGGCGGAGACGATCGGAGCCTGGTGTCACGACACGAACCCGCGGCCTAGTCTCGAGCTCACGACGGGAACAGGGGCAACCGTTCGCTCTGGGCGGCTGCGGCGACGAGGCTCTGAGCCAGCCCCCTCTTCGCAGCGGATAGAACAGGCCGCCTCGTGGGCGTGCAGAACCACCCGACGCAAGCTCCGTACCACGGGCGTGAGTTGCTTGCACAAGCGTGGCACGCGTGGTTGCAGCGTGGCGTCCCTTTGAGACGACATCTGAGGCGGGGGTTGACGTGCAGAACCGATAGTCATATTCCCAGATAGAGCGATAGAATCCCAAGTGATACCGTGCGTCCATGGTGTCCCGACGTCAAGTGCGCAGTGTGCAGTGCGCACGGAGCGGTGATGTGAGCAAGAGCCAGCGGTGTCGTGCTCCTCCCTCCCCTTTCGTACGGCATGTCACGGCTGCCCTGCCGGCTCGACAGGGCCGTCGACATAAACCACAGGAGGTCGAGGCGTCCGGGACCGCTACGGCCGTCCACGACGATGGGCCTGTTACTACCGGGGCGTTGGCCGGGCTTGAATGTGAAGAGGAGAGCTCGAGGCGAGGCCAAGCAGCGCCGGCACTCGCGGACGGTTTGTATAATAGGGTTCTTAACTAGGGCTGCTACCGTCTGTCGAGAAGCCTGTACTGTACATGCATGAGCTCAGCGTGTCCGGAAACACCAAACGTACCCGCCAGCCCAGCGACACAATCAATCCTCTTGCACAGGTCCCTAGATGATCAAGTGAATGCGACAATGATACAAGGTATGCGGTACTCGAGCCTACTCCTTCGCCAGGTGTGTGTGTGTGTGTGTGTGTTTGTGAAAAAAAAAAAAAAAAAAAAAAAAAAAAAAAAAAAAAAAAAAAAAAAAAAAAAAAAAAAAAAAAAAAAAAAAAAAAAAAAAAAAAAAAAAAAAAAAAAAAAAAAAAAAAAAAAAAAAAAAAAAAAAAAAAAAAAAAAAAAAAAAAAAAAAAAAAAAAAAAAAAAAAAAAAAAAAAAAAAAAAAAAAAAAAAAAAAAAAAAAAAAAAAAAAAAAAAAAAAAAAAAAAAAAAAAAAAAAAAAAAAAAAAAAAAAAAAAAAAAAAAAAAAAAAAAAAAAAAAAAAAAAAAAAAAAAAAAAAAAAAAAAAAAAAAAAAAAAAAAAAAAAAAAAAAAAAAAAAAAAAAAAAAAAAAAAAAAAAAAAAAAAAAAAAAAAAAAAAAAAAAAAAAAAAAAAAAAAAAAAAAAAAAAAAAAAAAAAAAAAAAAAAAAAAAAAAAAAAAAAAAAAAAAAAAAAAAAAAAAAAAAAAAAAAAAAAAAAAAAAAAAAAAAAAAAAAAAAAAAAAAAAAAAAAAAAAAAAAAGAGAAAAGCAAAGAAGAGAAAATCAAAGGCGCGTTCACAACGCCTATACCCAGCCGCACTCGCAAAAAAACGCAATGCTAATAATGCTACTCCAGACGGCCAAGGAACCTCAAAAGACGCTTCTTCCCAATCAGCCCGACTGCCTGGGCCGTGTCTTCGTCAACAACTACCAAGTGGCTTAGACCCAATTTGCCAAACATCTCTACCGCATACTCTAGAGGCGCCTTTGTTGAAATGGTCAGGGGGCTGCGGTCCACCAGTTGCTCGAAGCTGCCGTCCGCGAAGCTGATCAAGTCGTTTCCGTCCAGCTCCTGTTGCCCAATGAACCGCAACACAGGCGCAATGCTGCTTTCACAAATATAGCCGGTGCAGACCCCCCTCTCGTTCACAATCACCAGACCCATGTCGAACAGGCCGCCAGAAGAGAGACCGATCAGTTTGGCCCGGAGGTCGGATATGATCACCTGGTGGTTGGGCCCCGCGTGTATGGTGATTTGTTCCATGACTCTTTCGGGGGGGATCAAGACGTCCAAGTCGGGAGACTCTTTTCCGTCTTTCAAAGCCCGCAGCTTTACAACGGCTTGCTCCGAGTCTAGGAAGGGGTGGCTCATTATGTGCTGGGACAGGTCGTAAACGCCGTCGGCGCTGATGGAGTCTGCAACCCACTTGGCGGTGAGAATGGCCGCCATGAAGGGCGGGATGAAGTTGACCTCGCCCGTGAGTTCGAACATGATGACTGCCAGGCTCACAGTCATCCTGCTGACGCCGGCAAGGAAAGCAGCAGACCCGACCATGGCGAAGATGCCGGGGGAGATGTCCGGGACGAGTTGGCCCACCATTCTTCCAAACAGCGCGCCGGCATCCAGCGCGGGGATAATGATGCCGGATGGAACTTTGCAGCCAAAGGTGATGATTGTCAGTGTAAGTTTAATGAACGTCCCCGAGATGAGCCAGGCGTAGTACAGGCCTTTGCCCTCCGTCTTTGCCTCTTGCACGCAGATCCAGTCTTCCTTGATGTCGTTGCAGTCGACCAGCAGACGCTCCATGATGATGTCTCCTGTCTGGCGGATCAGGGGGTTGGGGTACTGCAGGACAGCCGTGACGAGGACCACGATGCAGACTTCCAGAAGCGGGCTGTTTTTTATCCAAGGCTGCTTGCGAAACGTCTTGGACCACAGGAAATTGGTGCTGCAGAAGACGCCACCAAATATGCCACCGCAGATGCCGAGAAAGATGAAGACGAAATAGTGAACAACGTCATAGTCGACGCCGTACTTGGTTTCAAACAGGACCAGCTTCCCGGTGCCCGTGGGATCCAGAGCTTTGAGCGTGGCGGCGGCGACGAGGGAGCACAGAAACGATCTCCAAAGCACACGCCGCGGGAAATAGGTGCTTATCTCTTCGTAGCTGAAGAGGACACCGCCGATGGGGGCGCCAAAGGCGACCGACAGACCGGCAGAACAGGCCACGCTGAGCATTTCTCTCATCTTGCGCTGGTTCTGCGCATACTTGGGTATGTGCTTCGCGACCAAGTGTCCCACACATGTCGAGATGTGAACAAAGGGACCCTCCTTGCCCAGGCACATTCCGGTAGCCACCGCAAAGGTTGCGCCGATGGCTTTGACGGCGAGAACTTTAAAGGTCAGATAGTGCGGGATGACGAAGCCACAGAGTATGGTCTTGATCTCGGGTATGCCGCTACCAGCAGCCATGTACATCACCTTGCCCCGTGGCTCGTCGTCGACCTTGGCCTTTGTCTCGTAGCCACGGCTCTTGTCCTTGTCGGCGACGTTTAGGTCCACAACCGGGGGTAGGGGCATCTTGGTGGTTGTCGTGACGGCGGCCGCGATGATGCCGAACAGCAGGGCAAAGGCGACATATGTCAGATATGCCCGAGGAAAGCTTCCTGACCACGGCATCCAAGTTGTGCCGTCCTGATCACTGGAGGAGCAGGCTCGGCGGTTGAGCCAGAAATGTGGTTTACAATGGCCGTCTTTCCAGTCTGCGACGGTCTCGACGCTGACGTCGACGACGAACGCAACGCAGGCGGTGAGAAGGCCAACAACGAAGGCTGCTACCCAGCCTGATGCCGAATCCCAAGCCTTGGCTACTCGCACCCATGTGGTGTTTGCTTGTCGAACATGGGCGTCTCGGATGCCGTGCCGTGTGTTGTCCTTGACCAAGTCTTGAAGCCAGTCAATAGTGGCGTAATCCTTGTAGGGTGTTTCGTCGTCGTCGTCGTCGTCGCCGCCACCGCCGCCACGGTATGCGGAACGTAGAATCAGACGGTCGTTGGCGCGACGCGAAGGATGCAGTGACTCTACGTCGCGGTCACGGCTAGAATGGGGGAGGAGAGGTGTCGTCTCTGAAGGATGCGGTTCTGTGCCATGTTCATTCCCGATGCTGGCCATGGCGGAGATGGAGCCAGACCAAGGGGCGAGAGAACGAATGCATGCACGGGTCACGAATGTTTGGGCGATGTCCGCAAAGAGATGCAGAGGGAGAAGGACTGGCGGCTCTAGGTCAAGAGATGATGAGGAAGAGGAAGAGGAAGAAAGGGCGTGGCGGAAAGGGATGGGGTCCGGTTCGCAGGGCTCACGGAGGAGACAAATAAGTTGTGACGCAGGGAAAAAGGAGCCAAGGAATACAAAAAGTTGAGAACATAAAACATAACTACGTGCTTGGGTACACGGTCCAAGGGTCCAGAATCCATCCATACGTCGCACACATGCCAAGCAGGCAGGCAGGCAGGCAGGCCCAGCCGCACACGGGCTGAAGCAGAGCCGTAGACGTGCTCGGCACATGGCTGCAGCTACTCGTCTTGATCGACTCGCCGTGTCATCATCGAGAGTCTGGTGGGTAACCATCTCGAGATGGCATCTCGGCATGTTGTGCACCTGCACCTGCACTGCAACTGCAGCCTGGAGGCGCTTTGGTGCACAAAGTTGACCCCGTCCGCTGCCCACGCTCATTGTGCAAGTACGGAGTACGTGTACCAGATACCAGACCTGTCCCGTGCTCAAGTACCTAAGGTACTCTGGTGCTAGTTTGGTTTTGGAACAAAGTCCTGGGTTAAGTACCGAGAAACCTCCTGGCACTCGAGTGCCTTGGGCAGGAAGGCACTTGTTCACAGTTTCTAGTCGACATGGAAGGCGCATGATGACCTGACGTCATGGGAGCAACTGGCCTGGGGACTGCCTCCCCGCGGGGAGGGCCGGGGGTCCCTTGGTCAGGTGCGACAACATTCAAGCGCAACGACCACGTCAACGCCGAGAGTTCCCCGGCAGCTGACATGTTTGTTGCATCTCCAGGGTCAAAAGGACAAGGTTGCGGGAGTGAAAGTCGGGCGGGAGAGGTGGCGTGACCGGCGACGACGATTGGTGGCGGCATCAATGAATCCGAGCTTGGACACGCCAGCCAGATTGTCGACGGATTCAAGATTCAAATACTCCGTAACGTTAATCAAATGCTGCATCTTGATCTCGGCCGGGCCCAGGCGGGGTGGCCCGGTCGGTATATGCACCAACGTCAGCACAAATGTGGGTCCTCGCGCCGAGTGGCCGGCTCGCTCGCCATCATACTCCGTACGGAGTACCGGACCGAGCAATCTCCCCCTGCAGTGGCACATCTCAGCCATGACCTTGGCCACGAGGTCCGGGCGAGGAGACGGCGTTCCCGGCGTCCCGCCCGGCGTGAGAAGCGATCAACAGCGGGACTGGCACCTATAGCCCCTTCTACAGAACCCAGCATCGAAAACAGCCATCATTGTTCCGTGGTCGTGGTGTCTTCTTTGCTCCGGCTCTTCCCCGGCTCTGCTATCCTTGATGGTGCGGCCAAAAAAGACGAGAACGAGCCGTGGTACAACAAAGTCCAGCCTGCGACCGCGTCTCTGAACAATGACGCCCAAAAATCACACACACACACACACACAAACTTGAACCACACAAAAAAGGCACTACTTTCACATCCCTCCCTTCGTCTCTTTCCCAAAGTATAGTCGTGCCCACACACCAGCATGACACCCGAGACCACAAGGGCCCGATAATCATTGCCTATTTCATCGGCTCGGCAGTGGGACGTGCCGGCGCATCCGTTTCCTCCCACCTCGGGCAACGTCTCGACCAAGTACTCCGTACCTGCGCTGAAAACGTCCAGGGCAGGCCGGAATTTCGCCATGCCATCGACGCAGAGCGGGCAGCCCCCTCCCCCCAGCCGAAGCGACGGTGGGCATGGGACGCCCCGGGAGGGTTGGGTTCTGCAGCACCAGCAGCAGCAGCAGCAGCAGAAGCAGTGCGTCAATTGGCGGTGCCGCTCGACGTGGATGGTAGGTGGCTGGAGCAGTGCAAGCCGGCCACGACGCTTGGTGAATTTGATGGCGGCGGCAGTGGCGGCGTCGCCATCTCGGAAGTCGAGTGCGGCGCCGACGAACGGGAGGCAGGGAGGAGCACCGTTGCGCCGGCACGGATGGCCCAAAGGGGCAATCGCGTCTCAGACCTGCTCCGCGCTCCTGCAGACTGTTGGCATCACATCACACAAAATAGTGTGGCGTGGCCACGCCCGTTTTTTGGTGTCAAGCCCTTACTCTGGCGTCAATTCCTCATCACGCACAAAGTGCCGTGACGCCGGCGCAGAGTGCAGAGTGCAGAGTGCAGAGTGCAGAGTGCAGAGTGCAGACTGCCACGGCGATTCTCACAAGCAGCCACGGCCCGCGGGTCTGAAGCAGCCCCGATCAGTGGGCGAAACCTCGACCTTTTACCTTTTCGCTATTCACAAAGAGATTGTTGGAGTGACAGAGTCTTGCCAAACCCAGGTCTCGCGAGTCGAGCCCGGCATCCTCGCAACGCGCTTTACATCTGCTACTTCTAGCACCGCGTCTTCGTAACAGCACCACCTCCCCGGCAGCCCATCAAGTGATCTGGGCTCCAGGCAGCACGGAACCTGTCTTCTGAGCACCGCAAAGATGGCAATCGGCAAGACGAGTGAGTCCGAGTAAAGGGAACTCGTTGAGCAAGTGTTGACTTGCATCCCCCGTGTCCAACGTGTGAACGCTTGCAGGTGTAGACTTTGAGCAAGCGTAGACTTATCCATCTGTCCGTGGACACGCCCCAGACGGCAGTGGACAAGCAACGCTCTCATGGTGGCAGACTCACTGTCCGGTACTCCCGACTGGCTGGCAAGACACGCGCACCCAAGACCCCGGCAGCCTGCCTCCCTCCGCCCAGTCAACGTCAGCGTCAGCGTCAGCGTCGAGGGAAACAGTTTTCCAGCAAGTATCAGTCAACGGAAACGGACCCATCTAGACGGGGACTAACTTACTGCGCAGGTAGACTTGTGCTCCGCAAGGCTCGGCGGCGGGATTGATTGAGCAGCATCCGTAGACGTGTGGCGCAAACCTCGGGCCGCGGGATACGTTGGGGGGTGCTCCGTATGGGTTGCACATCTTCGGAAGCCTGGCCTTGTTCGGTGGAGGCGGACGGCAAGGCGTCTGGTGTGTGTGAGTGTTGGCGCGGATGGCGTCATCTGGCCGAGTTGACTTTGCGGGGATGAGTGACTATCTGGCACGGTGGACGGAGACGAGGAAAAGACCCCAGTGTAGGTTTGCCGAGAGCATGCTCTGGGAATTGGTTGTGTCCGGACCCTGCCTGGAACTTGGTCTCGAATATTACTTTAATTAATATGTAGGCGGTACGTGGTGGTACCTGAGTCGAAGAATATGAAAACCATCAAAGCCTGGTAAATGAACTCCCACCCCCGGGGGCAATCCTTTCCTCTTCAGCTCCGTCAAGCCCCAGCGTCTGCCCCTTCTTCAAGCCGTCTTGCGCAGCGCGTCGTCCAGCTGCAAAGGATGCCTTTCAAAAAAGTCGACAATCATCGGGGTCGCATTGAAACTTGCGACATGATGACCCGTCTTTCTATTGTCGGCATTGGGAACTGTACTTGGCCAATCGTGGCCGAGGACAGAGTCAAAGACGTGCTCTACCAGTCCGGCCTTGCTCCCCGTCCCAAACCTGTAAAGAACGGTATCTCGAGACACTGGGGTAGTGGTGCTGCTGACACCCAGCCCATCGCGCACTGCCCATTGTTGCATAAAGTGTGGGATGGACGGAAGACAGGCTCCCTTGCGCCTTTTGCCGTCGTAGGAGATGATTCGGTCATCGCCACCGTGGAATTCGAGAAATGGCACGTCGTCCCTGCTGGGATTGCAGGGAATTTTTACCGTGCTGGGCCTGCAAGGTAACGAGTCCACGTAAAAAGCCCCGGAAACAGGGGCAAACGCTGCGATGCGGCCAGATAGCTTGGAGTCGCAGGCCAATACATTGCAGAACCCTCCGCCGTCCGATTTACCCGTGGCGGATATGCGACCGGGGTTAACGCAATAACCATCCTGGAGGAAATCCAGTATATCGGTTGTGAACTGGATGTCGTCCGCCTCCGCCCCAGGAACGCCTTGCCACGTATTCTTGTGCTCCGTCAGCATTGTATCGTGGTGAGCAGAGCAGAGCAACGAAACCAAAGTATATCATTTGCCTTACATGAATGCCCTGCGGGTAGATGACAAACGCAGCCGAGTTAAACTCTGGATTGGTCAACTGGTCCAACTTTAATTGATCCTCCGCATGTCTACCGCCACCGTGGTACGACAGAATAACCGAGGCCGGAATTTCTGGATGGTAGGTCGAAGGTATCGAGAGGAGAAAGCTTCGTCGTCTCCCACCGCTCGTGATGTGGATGGTAGAGACGTCTCCAGCAGAGCGGCCTTGCGGCAAGGCCTTGCGACATCCCGAGGGCAGCGCAAGAGAAACCTGGGCGGCTCTCACAGAGGCCTCTGTGAGCGCAAATAGGAGAGCAAGGCTGAGTAGCATTTTCTGTGGCAAAAGGTGAGCTCGAGTGCTTTTTTTTTTTTTTTTGCTCTTCCGTGGCCCTGTCGTTGGGATGCAAAAGGGAAAGGGGGGAAAGGATCGAGGCGCAACGACGCACATGCAAAAGTGGTAAGCGGTATTCACAAGCTATCGTCTGTAGCCGTCCCATGATGGAGCTTCAGCTTGATTCGCCTGAAGCGGTATCTGAGGTCAGCACCGGCTTATTGCGCATGGGGCTTGCGTTGTCGGTGGTGTCGGGTTGTTTGTGGTCGGTCGTGTGGCCAACTTGGCCGCGCCGAGGATGCCGATATTTCTTCTCGCTGACGACCGCGATCCGCCGCGCCCTCATTTTTGGGCCAGTGTTGCCTGAAAGCAAGCGGGAACCTCGTCTGACGAATAAAGGCCGGTGTGGCAGCCGTTGGCAAAGTCAAAAGTGCTTCTCGTCAATTGACAACATGCTCGCACCGAGACGACCGACCGACCAGCTCTGAGCTTGCAGCTGGCGGTGGCCCGGTGGGCACTGGGCTCTGATGGATGAACAAGCTTGTTCAGAAGCACTACGTGTTGTTTGGAGAAAGCTCAAGATGTTGCGAAGCGAAATCAGCGGGAGCCGGATGCGGTATCGAATGCTGGAGAAATGGAAGATGGGATTTCGGACTTCCTACGGAGTACACTGACGTGAACAGCGAGCTTGCTGGATGCCTGAGGCCAACACGTGTCTGCTTCCAGCCACCAGTCGAACCTTCTCAAGTTCCCCATCACGCGACATCTCGAATACTTGGGCTAGTCGCCGCCGTCACGTCATTCAAACTACAAGTGAAAAGTCTAAGCACCAGACATCCGTCGGTCGGGGCGACCGCTGTGCTGACTGCGCGGTGCGTCAATGTCCAAGCTTGCGCTGCAAGCCTCGAGGTTCTGCATGGCATATATACGTACAATAGCATGGTGGTCAAAATGCCATGCACGAGCTGGCCGGGGCCAACAACTGTTTACGGAAGCTGGAAACCTGCTTCACGCTGGCTCTCGACTTGGAGCTTCCAATATTCGCCGTAGTCGTGCCGGACGGAAGAGGATGCGTCTTGCAAGCGCTCCCATGCCCGCCCACCCAGTGGTAATGGAGAAGAAAAGACAAGACACCAACAGGGCACAAGGACATGAATTGTACAATGCACATGTATGCGCGGTTTTCATGCCGTGAAAAAAAACCCCAAGAAGCCAATGAAGACCGAAGAGTGAAAATAACAACGCTTTTTACATTACATGCCAGTCACTTAGTTGAAGTGAGGAGTGTTGAGTAGTATCCCCATCAAAATGCCGCCAATCAAGCCTGCAATGGGAATCGTCATAATCCAAGAAAATACCAACAAGCCAACTCGCTGCCAGTTGACAGCCTTCAAGGTGCCGTTGCAGAGACCAACGCCAACCGTGGCTCCGGTGATGCACATGGATGTCGAGACGGGCAGCGAATATTGGGAGAAAACAAGCACTGTAATGGCCGCACCCATTTCCATTGAGGACCCTCGGCTGGGTGAGTGGTAGGTGATTTTGTTGCCCATGACTAGAAATAACATGTCAGCGCGTTTGCGTGTTGGCCCCAGAGAGTTGCGAACTTGCGCCTTACCCTTCATAATGTTGTAACCGTACGTGATGAAGCCGACACAGATGGTTAATGCCATGACAGCAATCTGCCACAGCTCCACAGGCGAGCTCGCAGTGAGAGTTCTGCCAGTAGACCAGGCCGAGTACATGGCGGCCCAGACACCAACCGCATTGCCGACGTCGTTGGCCCCGTGGGCAAAGGACGCAGTACAGGCGGTAATGACTTGGACAAACGAATACAGGTACTCAACCTCGTTGGGGTATTTGGTCGCTTCGTCATAGACGCGCTGCATGCGGCGACCCTCAGGGGTACCCTCAATGCCGACTTGCGCGGTATGGATATCATAATGCATGCCGTAGAGAAGAGCAACAACAATCATGGCGGGAATACGCTTGCAAAGAGCAATCATGTTGTGAGTTTCGTAGAGAGATCCAGCACCCATAGGGTTCGCATGCAGTGTTCGCATTGCCCAGCCCAGAGGACCACGGCTCTTCCTGAGCTTGGCGTGGTGCCGCTCTCTTGCCTCGACCAGAAGCCTCTGGTAGCCTTCTTGGTTGCATTCAGCCAAGATGAGCTTCTTGTCACCGATATTGGTGGCAGACTGGACTGGCACGCCGGACTTCTCGCCGTCACCGACGGTACCAGACGCCCCTTTCGTGTCCGATGCTCCTTCGTCCGACTGGCTGTTGTCGTCACTGACGTCCCCGTGCTGGACGATGGCATAGTCAGGGACCTTGGCTTGGACTGCATCTTCTGGGGGCTGACGGCTGAAGAGAAGGGGTCCGTAGATGGCATGCTTCCACGAAAGTGTGTAATCTTTCTTGAGCACTTTGGCGTGAACAAAAGGCACAAAGAAGATCGCAGACAGCACAAACAGGCCCCATCCGACTCCAAGAGTGACGGCGGCAATATACCAAGCTGGCTTCTTATCCAGGCCGAGTCGAGGGGAGCCTTTGTAGACGACAGAAAGCGTGCAGATAACACCAGCAATTAGGAAAAAGAATGGCGACGTCCATACAGCCCAGGGAATGGGCTTCTTTCGGACATGAACAACCAATTTAATAAGCATAAAGATAATGGCAGCAAAGCAGGCAGAGATGGCCGGCGCCATACCAAGGCCGGCAAAGATGGCGCCGAGACCTTTGCCATTATTCCATCCCCACTGGACGCCAGAAGCACCCACGGTAGCAACACCTACACCGGCGATGGAAGAAATAAGAGAATATGTCGATGAAACATGGGCCGAGTGCCGGGTGCACCACTGGACCCAGAGAGAGGCGCCAGCGGCGGCACAGGTGAAGGCCAGGAGTTGGACGCCAGGGTTGTTCTGAAATGCCGACAGAGGGATGATTCCATTCTTGATAGTCGAGGCCGTTCGCGCGCCCACAGTCAGAGCGCCGAGCATTTCAAATACAAGGCACAGGACCATGGCCTGTCTGTAGGTTACAGACCGTGACGAGACACTGGTCGCCCAAGCATTGGCGACGTCATCTATTGGTGATCTTGTGTTAGCTAAATATCTGGGCGCCATGGCCAAGACGGGGTGCCATCGCATACTTGCACCATTGTTAAAGGCCTCGAGCAAGGCAAAGCCGGTGCCGATTACAAACACGTAGGTGTACTCGGTGAGCACCATGTCGTCTGTTGTCCGGTCTGGACTCTGGAGCTTCGTCTTGGGGGAAGAAAAGCTGACGGCCGAGTACGGATATTTTAATGTCTGTCCAACCAAGAGGAAATCCAGTGAACTGTTCCGGCCTCCATTGCGGCTTTTTATATGCTCAGGAAGTCACTCCCACAGTTTTGTCTAGCTGAATGGGCCGACAGGTTTCAACGTTCGGTGTCTGCTTCTGGTGAGCCAAGGGGCCGAGACGAGAGCGCGCCAACCAAGATCCTGGCGGGAGGCACGTAATTATCCAATGAACGAATCTCTTGCTCGCAATTAAGCTTAATTGGGGCTTTCGGGGCTTGAGTCGGGTTGTCTTGGCAGTCCCGCTGTAATTGGGACATGAATCTCCAAGCTCGCCAATCACATGGACATGGAATCCCACGTGTGGGAGTTGGGCGTGTGAGATAGCTTGCTTGTCTTGTTCTAATTTTTTCCTTCCCACGTCGGCGTTGGCTTCCCGACATGGCAAGGTTGTCATACTTGGTATCTTCGTCTCTGGCTTGCTTACACGAGAAGTCGACATTTGCCCACGTGTCTACCTCGCACCGACATCAGTCAACGTCAATCTAGAAGAGGCAGACTTGGCCGACTCTGCCGTCTTGTCTCGGCTTGATCCTGTTTGAAGTTTCACGACGGCGGTGCGAGATTTTGCATAAATATGGAGTGTGTAATCTCTCGTTCGCCAACTTGTTGCATTTGGTCCGTCGCTTCTTGTTGTTCACCTGCTGTCGGAAGCATCCGTTAGGACAAGATACCATGTACTCCGTGCGGCGTACATAAATACGGAGCCGGCCCATGCCCAGTGCACTGGTGGCTGTTTCTCTTCACTGGGCCCCGGCGGAGCGCAAAAACCTGGGACTGTCTGAAGTGTGGCGAGTTCTGCGATGAGAGGCAGCCGGGGTCAAATGCTAGCTGGAAGCGCTCCGAGTTCGCGCAGGTTCCGTAGCGTGCTCATAAGGCAAGAGAAGTCGCCGGACGCTCGTCGCCGCCACGGGACAAGCCAGATGGTTAGATATATGCAAGATGTGCCAATGACTCCCTTGCTCGCTCCGAGCAGTTGCATTTGCCTATTTCGGCAACACCGGCAGCTAGAAGAGGCGAGCCTAGCCGCGATGCATATCGGACGAGGGACCACGACTTGTACGGTTTGACGGACGACGGTCTGTGTTTGGTGTCGCGCTAATGTTATCCTCATGTTCCAAAACAGCCGCGGCTGTTGCTCGGGTTGAGACACATGTAGAGGATGACTCAGAAGTAAATAAGCCGATGAGGCGGGGGTCGACATTGAAGATTGAATTTTCACCACCAACGCGGCCTACCATTAGCCTCGACTCTGCCATTGAAACGACTGTGGCAACTCATCTTTGGCCTAGCAGTCAATTGCATTGCCCCAACTTACCTATTTCTCTGTTTGTTGACTGATGAGATTCAGAACCCTCCTTGGCCCGAAAAACGCCTCGAGATATGGCCGCGGGAGCACGTGCGACGTTTTCCGAAGCCACCAAGGTTGAACAGCTAGATTCGCAGACTTACAAGGTCAACCTCCACAGCGACTACTGTGTCGGCAAAGGCAAGGCACTAGCTTCCATCTCACGTATTGTGTGAGGCAGACTTACTGGCATCAAATCCCCAAGTTCTGACCACAATGCCGCAGTCCCCAACGGAGGCTACACAGCATCATGCATGCTCGTTGCGGCCAACAGACACCTCGCTTCACGTGGACAGTCCGACACATTCACAGCCCACTTTGAGTATCCCAATCGAACATCAGCCGGGCCTGCTGTTGTCGTCATCGACGAAGTGAAGTTGGGCCGGACACTTTCAACTTTGCAACTTACCCTCTGGCAAGGCGCTCTGCTCGACCACGCACCCTGGTTCGACGCGTCGCGCTCTCTCCGCACCGTGCTCGGCTACACCAACCATGCGAACCTGAGCGCCTTCACGGACACATCGATGCCTACCGGGCAAGAGGTGACTCCAGCCGCGTCAATGCCCCCAGTTCCCAAGTTTGCGGCCCTCAAGACAACCGGCTCGGACAATGTATGGGAGCAGAGCAGATGGCCCAACGCCTTGAAGCAGTCAGCCTCCAACGAAAACTGGAAGTTTTTCTTGCCTCGACAGGGGCAATTGAGCCCCGGCGTGTTAGACATGTGGGTGTGCCTGGCCAACGGGGAGAAGATGACGCAGAGCATGCTGCCGTATGCAGCAGACTCCCTCCCGCACAATCTCCACACGTTCCTGACTACGCCAGAAATAAGAGCGGTGTTGGACGAGCCGCCCCCGAATAAAGTCGAGAGGGATACAGTGATGGAAGCTCGACAAGACGTGGCTCGGAATAAAGCTCGTGGAAGCATGTGGTTTCCAACCGTGCTGCTGAACTTGGAGGCGAAAACGAGGTTACCGGATGAAGGAGTCGAATGGCTGGCCGTGAAGGTGACGTCGAAGCAAGTAAAGAACGGCCGATTCGATCTTGATGTTGCAATGAGGGGTGTCGGCGGTGAATTGGTGGCATTGAGTCAACAGGTTGCTTTGATGGTGAGCTGGGAGCGGAACGTCGGCAAGAAACGCAGCGAGGCAGCGCTGTAAACGTTGTGAGCTTTGGGAAGGGGTCATTCCCTGCCTAGATAACACTTGATTAGACGGGACAGGTATGAGATGTCAGTGGAAAATAAACGCTCACGACTGTAATGGAGAATGACTGGTATTTTGATTCGAGTGCAGATGATGGTGCAGATGGAGCGGGGAGCGCCAACTTTTCAAATCTGGACACGACATGAAAAGTGGTTGAAAAATGCAGCAAACCGCACGACAGGTGCACGCTGTCCACGAAGCACTGTTAGTCATCCAGGCACCCTCCTGACTTGCATTTGGTCTGTTGCATGTGCTCAACCCAAGCAGAACTCACCGGCTTTATTCTTTGTCCTCATTTCCAACTAGAGCCTGACAGTCACATGGTCTGCCAGCATTCCCCAACTCATTGCGACGATCCATCGATGCATGGTGTCCGTCTGGCCCTGACATGTTTGTCATGAATTATCCAAGAGCAATTTTCTAATGCCCACGAGGCCTGGAAAAGGGGGCGTCTCCTTCGTCGATGAGGTTCCGACTCGCATCGTGGTTAGAATTCTTAAGACCGAGGATTTGGAGAGAGAGAGAGAGAGAGAGAGAGAGAGAGGTCCAAGATGGACTCTGATACGCCCTGTCCTTCAGTAATGCGTGTCTCTGTACACTAACAACAGCATTTTTCAGGAATACATTTCCGAGGTGCCAACCCTCGGCGATATTGAACCCATTTACACGCCAGTTGCGCCACCGGATGTGTCGCTTTGGTCTAGACTACAAAAGTACTTGCGACAGACTATGGGTTTTCCAAAGCTAGATGATGTCTCACCAAGTCAGGGTTCTATTACTAGTAAACGCTGGCATAATAGATATTTGACGATATTGGATCCATGTCCATGCCATGGCGGCGTAAAACTGCTGAAGACGCAACTCGTCAGGACTAGGCGTTGACGCTTTATGTCACCGGCAAGACAACAGACCCTGAGACTACCGACAACGGAAGGCCAAATAGTCAAGGCGACAAACTTGGCTCGGAACAAGTCGATAGAATGGTCATTTTTTCCCCTTACGTCATGTCGGAGCCCGGAGAAGGGTACACCATCACAAGTGCTTCCTTGGCCTTTGATCGCTGTAACCCCGAACAACTCGCAGTCTGAGAGGTCTTTCGATACCAGCCCATGAGAATGAGGGCCTCTTGTCCAAGAAGAACCTGTTTGAACTTGAGTCGGCCAGGCATTGAATGCTTCCCTCTCCAGCTTCTTTTAAATTCCCTCTTCAAGCTCGCTACTAACACAGCGAAGCCCCCAGGTCTCGTCTTTTGAGATTGCCGATTCGTCCAACGGCGAATTGCCCATTTTGAGTGACTACGGTTCAGCCTGCAGATGCGATACGCCTCATTACGGGCACAAGCGAAGCGGTCCTCGCTGGTGTGCAACCAAGACGCCCTCCTGATTGTCACGACAGAGTACAACCGCAGCGCACAGGGGAGGTTGAATAAAGCGCCGTGCTTTTTGCGTGGAAGGATATATCTGTCCATGTTGTGTCGCGTGGTGGCAAGGAAGGTGATCGGGTGTCGGCTCATCTTGGAGCTGTCCTGGCGGCCTCGGGACTAGCCGTGCTGCCCACGTCGCCGGGCCTGAAAACATCCCACCAAATGTTCCCATATGCTCAAGAACACACGGCGCTTCGGATGAGCATAGACAGCGGTGGAAGGAGTCCGTTGCTGAAGCGGAGATGCGGAACTGGCACCATGAGTACAAGAGCTGGTGGTGGAGTTGGAAAGAGAAAAGAGCTTGACTATAAGTAGGTCTTGCTCCTTTCTGTCCCATTTGTCCGACTCTAAAAACGGACTGGTATATGCACAATCTCTCGTGGAGCATCAGCCTAGGCCTTTCGACGCTTCCCATCCTTCCACGTCCAGCCAAGTGCTCTTGTTGTGCAGGACTCTGACACCCCCGAGTGCATATTTCACTCATGTCAGCCTCATAGCCAGCCTTCCATTGACCCCGTCAGCGGAGTCTGTCCAACAACAGTCAATCGCCCGCGGCAGTGGCAGCCCTGATAGCTTCCAAACTGGACACATCGGCCTCAACAGCCATGCTATGGTCGTCGTCCTAGGGTGGCGGCTCACCTGCGCGGCGGATGCGAATGGAAGATGCGAAGCGAGTTTGACACGACCTGACGACGCCCATTTCGAATACACGCTCGCCCAGCCCCTTTTGTGCAGGGCAATTGTATTGCTCAACATGTCATGTATTCAACTTTAACACTTGCCTTACTAGGTCATGAAGTTTCATGGAACACACATGCACAACTCTTTCTGCATCGATGCACACATGCATGTACAGTGTCGGATGCAACGATGCCACCGGCCTCGCAGGGTTAGGGCTATGCCGAGGGACTCCCAGATCACTCTCCAACGGCCAACTTCCAAGTGATGCCCGTCCAAATACCCACACAACGTGGGCAACGAGTTCCTGAAATCATCACGCCAGCAAATCAGATGTGACGACGATTGGGCGGGTGCGTGATCCAGGCGGGCGTGTCAGTCGGTCGTCATTGACGTCTCGCGAGGAAAACGATGCAACACACCAGCCAGTATACTCCGGGTTCCGGAGTTCCTTTGTCTCATACACAGTTGCGAGGTTTGTCTTGGCCACCAAATCGCAGAGGGGGCTCATATGCGGCAGCGGCAGCTCAGAAGAGGGCCAGGCCACTTGCAAAGATACCGTGCATGTTCCAGAACGCATCGTGGTAAAAGTAAGCATAAAAGACGTTGTTTCTTTGGTCCTCGACCCGGTTTCCGCACGTCAGCTCGACATGGCACCAATTGGATCAGGTCCAGACCTCCCGCATCGTGATGCAGCCATGTCTGCTTTGGGGTGAGTGACATGAGTGTTGTTGTCGAGCGGACCAACGCCGGGCGTATATGCCGTAATATGATGCGCATGACCATCTATATTGGCCCTGTAACGACCTCGTCCCAGGTCCAAGGCAGTGGGGTGCCACTCCATCCGGGCCGTCGGTGTGCTTTCTCGCACCGCTGCGTGAGTGAATGGCTTGACGGGCGGCCTGTCGTTGGCCAGCCGTCCTCCGGCTTACTGCCTGTCGTCTGGTGATCCGAGTCCGAGCATCGAGGACAAGCCGTCAGCAGTAGGTGGCAAAGCGGACCACGGACCACGGTGGGAAAGGGCATCAGAGGATGCTGTCAGCTCGTCGCGCGGCAGAAGCGTAAACACGACAGCCGGTGCTCGTGTCTCGTGTCTCGTGTCTCGCGTATAAATAAAGCAGGTCGCTCCTCCCCGACGAAGCGAACCAGCAAGCCGTTGCGCCTGGCATCAAGCCCGAGCCCCGAACCCCGAACCCCGAGCCCTGAGCCCTGGTCCCTGAACCCTGGACTTTGAACCTGAACCCTGAACCCTTGAAGGGCAAAAAAAAGCCTCCTCGTCCTCGTCTCTATCCGCCCGTCGACAGCGTCACTGCCTCTTCACCATGCTGTCCAAATACGTCGTCGCCGTCGCCGCGCTCGGCCTCTCAACGCTCGCGTCCGCCCAGCGGCCGTGCGGCCTCAGGATTGCGCCCTGCCCTGCCGACCAGCGCTGCGTCCCCAACTCCCCTCGCTGCACCGACCTCAACCGGTGCCGGGGGACATGCCAGTTCAGGAACAAGTACACTTCGTGCGGCGGGTTTGTCGTCCATCCCGCCACCTGCCCGGACGGCTTCGAGTGTCGCGACGACCCTCGCCTCCCCGGGAGCTGCGGCCTGGCGTGCGACAAGCCGGGCGTCTGCATCCCCAAGTCGGCTCCGCCGTGCGGCGGATTTGCCGGCTTCGCTTGTCCCACGGGCCTGTTCTGCTACGACGTGCCCGGCGACGGGTGCGATCCCAAGAACGGAGGCGCCGACTGCATCGGGGTGTGTCTGTAGGCACTAGACGAATGGGCAGAGCTGATCTGCGCGCCGCCGTCTTCATCTTCAGTCAATAAAGCCGCGCCGCGGTTTCTGTCGATCCCCCCTCTCGTTGGTGTGCGTACGTGACCGAGTAAGTTTCGGCGTCGTGTAGAAGCGTGGCCGGACCAGACTTGCGTCTTGTATCTTGTGCCTGTCCACGTCGACGTGTACTTGTATCCATGTCTTTTACCTGCCGACCCGCGTCACCTGCCGCAGGTCCATACACGACCCGAGACGTCTGACATTGCCGTCAAGCGTCGTGCAACGCGCGACAAGGAACATTGCCGGGACGCCATCAAGTTGGAATGGACTGGGGGAGCAGAACACGTTCATTAGTAGTAGTAGTACTACGTGTACTACTCCGTACATGAGCTTGACGTGGAAAAAGAAAGAAAAAATCCCAAACACCGTGTGACGGCAACATGTCTCACACACGCACATGCATAATGCATGCAACCCTTCCCCCGGTCGGTCTGCGACAAACGCTTCGGCGACGCACGTATTATACTAGTAGTACTAGTACGTGCTTCTTGTCCAGCCTTGCATCCTTTCCGTCGTGCCATGCAAACGAACTGCCTGTCAACTTTACCAGCGCTCTCGCCCACCAACGTATTCAAGATGACTTGTATTGCCTTTTCTTGTCGTCGTCGTCGTCGTCGTCAGCTAACCAAACCAGACCCAAAAAAAATCTAAAAAAAAAAAACTCCAGAAACATGCACCATCCATCCGGGAGACGAGGAAAAAAAGACCCGCAAACAGGGGTAGTAAAAACAAGGCATCGAGCCCATCGCCCATTGTCAAAGTATAAGCCGCTTGAGGTTTCGCCGCGTAATCATGTCCTGCACAGAGTTCATCGTGATCTTGACCAGGTTCGTGTCCGTCGCGGTGGTGAAGTGGCCGTAAATCTCCCTGTCGGGGTCGCGGCTGTGCGCCTGGAACTTGTCCAGGAAGTACTTGCTGGCCAGCTTGTGGTCGGCAGGCGGGCCGCGGTAGTCGACGAAGCCGTGGTTGGAGAGCGGGTTGAGGGGGAGCTTCTCGATGAACAGGTCCATCTTGTTGAGGAACAGGATGACGGCCGAGCTTTTGAACCAGCGCGAGTTGACGAGCGACTCCCACAGCATGAGGGCCTCGTTCATTTGGTTCTGCCGAGATGCGGACGCGTTAGCACTGCTGCTGTCCTGTCCTGTCCTGCCATGGCGAGACGCCGGCGCCCGCGTCGTGGCTGGGGAGGGCAAGGGGCAAGGGGGAGGGCGGAGGGGCCCGGGAGGGGGAAGCTCTCACGGCCTGTCTGTCTTCGACGAGACACTGGTTGTATCCGCTGATGGCGACGAGGAACAAGAGGCAGTCGACGTGTTCGAAGCAGTGAATCCACTTCTTGCGCTCTGACCTCTGGCCGCCGACATCGAAGATGCGGTATGTCCGCTGTGCAATGGTGAACTGGCACTCTGCGATGCCCGTCGTCTTGAGTCGCGTGCAGAGAATGTCCAGGTCGTTGGGGACGTACTCGTCCGTCCAGAGACGGTCCATGTTGTCGATGAAGCTGCGCCGTTTGTATCCGTTAGAGCGGACTTGGGTTGGGTTGGGTTGGGAAAGGGGGTGAGGAGGAAGGCGGGCTCATACTATGCCAAGTTGTCATGGATGGCGTATTGGTTGCATCTCTCAACCGCTTCTTTGACACCGCTGTCGTGCCATAGTGCCTTGATGGAGCCCAAGTAGTGACGTCCCATCTCGTGCCTCGTCAAGATCTCGCGCATAAAGTTCTACCGCGGCGGCGTCGGGTTAGTTTGCATACTGACTGGCACACCCGCTTGGCCTGCTGAACCCCTCTGCCGTGACCGTTGTGGACGACTCCTGCTCAGCACGACTCCTTGTGTCCCGAGGGAGCTTCTGCAGCCGATGATGGACTGGGATTGCCGGTGAGGCATCCGCCGAGACGTACCTCGTTGTCGCGGCTGTCAAAGCGAATGGCAAAGTCCGCCATGGCATGGCTGATCATTTCAAAGGTGTCGATGATGTTGTTGAAGATGATTCGTCGCCACCATTGCCTCTCTTGCGTCGGGAACCCCCGCGAGTATATGATCCTCATTTGCTTGAGTATAGTCGACTTTCCCGACTCTCCGGCTCCTGTTCTCACGGGGAGAGCGACCACGTCAGACATGCCGGGGGCCAACGGCGCTCGGTAGGTAGAATATAAAAGGGGGCTTACCCAGCAGCAGGATTTTGACCTCGTGCGCCATGCGAATCCCATCCTTGCGGATGGTGCGGTCAATGTCGTGCGAGCGTGAGGCTTCCTCGCTCGCGCGGAGGCCTCCGAAACACATCATCAGAGGCTATCTTGCTGCTTTGTCGTCCTGCTGCAAACGTCTCGTGGCGTCGAGGTGTCCCGTCTGGTGCTTTTGTTGGATTCTGGTCCGTCCGGCGCGGCGGCAGGCGCCTTTGGCTTTAATGTCAACGTCGAGGAGTCCGACTCCAAGGCCCATCGCATCAACTCGCCATGTGGACCGCAATCAACTCCACCGCCGATGGTCAACGGCCGGCGCAGGGATCACTAATGGATGAGGATGGGGGAGAGCGGCTTTCAAACGCTCTCCTGCGAGGCCGTGGCGTTTGTTGGCCGGCCGAGCTCATTGAGCTGGACGCGGATGCTGCCGCTTGTCCCCAGCAGTGTGGCGGTCAGGGGCTTGCGGGGAAAAGCAGCCACTCGCATCAGGAGACAAAACGATCACTCATGAACGATTCATGCCGAAGCAGACGCACATGGAACTCTTCTCCCTCCACCCATCCGTCTCTGCCGGGCTGACGTCTCTGCGGACAGGGGCACAGGACCTTGGTGCTCATCTCTCGGGTGTTGCACGCCTTGACATGTGGTTACAGAATCTAGTCAATGTTGTGTCGTCGCGTCACCCGTCCATGATAATCTAGGATCCTCCGTCCCATATTCACGCCCCTGCAAGCCTAGAATATATCCACGAATCCACGAATCCAGGAATCCATACTTGGACCAGTCTTGGTTAGGAGACGAGCCCTCATCTCGAGCCCTTCATTCTCGACTTCGGAAGCGCTTCCATGTGGTCCTCACATACTTTTGTCTCTTTCAACCCGGGGACGATGACGTCGGCAAGCTCGGCTCACGCTTTTTGGTCGACTCGTCGAGGTGGCAGAAGGCCCCGGCCTCGAAGGTGCCGCCCGATAGTTCCACAAAATCCAAGCCGCTCTTCTTCAAACCCGCCGCCTTTGAAACTCCCACGCGCTCGAGGTTGATACTGACAATAAAGGACTTGCGACTACACGGGCGCGAACGGCGGAGTTGATGTCGAGAACGGTTCTCGCGCGGTTCGTCAAGGAGCTGGCGTACTGGTCAGCACGCTTGTTGGTCGCCGGCGTGAGGAACTTGGCCAGCCAGCAGCCGCTACATATACACACGTGCGTAGTACGGCGTGCATACCATGCCTACACATGTGCGAACCAGACGTTTAGCATCCTGACGGCGGCTGCGATTCTTTTCCGGCTGGCCGTGGACTCACTGGGCGCAGAGCCGTTGGACGCCATGGGAGCCCCCGGGGTGCAGATACTCGACGAGTCCCTCTTGGATTTCATGTTGCCCTCGGCTTCGCAGACAGCCTGCCTGCCCATTCTGTGCAGCCTGCTCTGGACGTCGGCGGCTGCTGGGCGCTGCTGTAGACTTGCTGTGCGGATGACTTGACGTGGGCAATGACCAGACGGCCGTGCTATTTCGACGCGGGCCCGGCGCCATGGCTTGGGAGGCTTCGAGCCGCGATGCTGAATGGAGAGGTCATGTCATGTTTGTTCTGACGATTCCCGTTAGCAGCAGACCAACCCCGCTCTGACCCCCGACGTCGTCCATGGACGGACCATGTTGCCCTGCTGGTGGGGACTCAAGGACGCCGGCTTTCCCAGAGACATCGTTTGCCCCGGACCGGCTTTCCTCAACATCGAACACGGCATCTCATGATTCGCACAAAACGGTCCTTGTCCAGCTCGATGCATCTGCACACTCGGTGATTGAGACCTCAGTATTCCGCCCCGGATTGTATCACGCGCAATTCCGCTTCGCGCCAAAGAGCCCGCGTCGGGGGAGTTGTGTCAAGGAGCACCCATTCAGGCTGATTTGTCAAGACCATTTTCGTCGAAAGGACTACGCCGTTCCACGTCCGAGCGGCTCAAATAGACCGGACGAAACGACGCTCGCTCTCGCCCGCATTGGCCGAGTCTTTGGGGACCGAGGAACATCTAGAGAAAACTAACTCGTAACCATCAGACGTCTAGCTTGGTCCGCTTGATTCAAGCACGCCACGTCCTGCGCATCGTACCGGCTGTGGGGCGATGTATTAATAATGGAAACGACGACTCTCTTCATATCCTGCATCCCGTGCTCGCGGTCATTGAATCTGCGACGTATTCCGTTGATGACATATCACGGGGCATAAAAGGTTCCCGGCAAAGGCAACCTAACCACGCACGCCACGCAGGTATATTGTTCAGAGAAAATTCAAGAAGAGCAAAGGGGGGAAAATGACCGTCTTCCGAATCACCGTCACTTCCGACACCGTCTGCCCGTGGTGCTACGTCGGTGCCCGCCAGCTCCAACGGGCCCAGGAGCTCCATTTCCAGACACACCCCGACGCCAACGACTCGTTCGCCGTCACGTATTCCCCTTACCAGCTGAACCCTGATGCCCCGACGGGACCGGGCCACAGCAAGGACAAGCGGCAATACTACGTCGACAAGTTTGGCGCCCAGCGCACCTCCATGATACAACAGAGTCTCTTCAACGTCGGGGCCCAGCTCGGCATCGACTTTAGATTTGGCGGCAAAACGGGCAACACCAGAGACTCGCATCGACTGGTGCAGCTGGCTAAGAAGCACGGGAATCAAGTCGAGCTGAAGACGGTGCATGGTCTTTTTGCCGCGTATTTCGAGAATGAGCGGGACATTACCGACTACGAGACGCTGAGAAGCGTGGCGGAGGAGGCCGGGATTCCCGGAGACGAGTTTGACAGGGCCATTGTACATGGGGACGATGGTGGCAAGGAGGTGGATGACGCTGTTGTGAGGGCGAGGCTGGACGGTGTGAGCAGTGTGCCGGATTATCTTATCCAGGGCAAGTACAGAATAAGTGGTGGGCAAGAAGCCCTGGTGTTTGTACGGGCTTTTGAGAAGATCAAGGAGCTGGAGCTGGAGCCGGAGTAGCAGTAGGAGCAGGGTTTCGAATGGTGTTTTGTCCGGAGAGCTACCATCGTGTCCTGGGCATCAAATGTCTCTGGGTCGATAATAGACCTCCATCCTGTTTTCGAGAACCCCGTCCCAGAGTTTGTGCCAATCCTGACCCGGTACGTAAAATAAGAATCCGAGTTCCTGGCTTGTCCACCAACTTGCTCTATCCATATTGCCTGATCCCAGCACGAGGTACTCGTTGTCTACCATTGTCATCTTGAAATGACTAACCACTGGCTCGTCTTCCCTTGCTCGTCTGCGCGAATCGGCTTTGTAGTACAGAATTTCCAGCTTACCGAGCCGCACAGGTGGCGCCTCAATGTCGTATGACTGGCTGTTATCTCTGAGTTGTTGGTACTGCTTCACAAATTTCTTCAGGCACATGGACGTCGTGGTTCCAGCCGTGACGAGCTGCTCGATTAGCATCATTCTCCTGTTGGTCCGAATCTGGACATCGACTCCGCGGGCGAGTGCGTCCAAGAGCGCCTTCAAGACCGGCCATGAAGTGACATTCGGCGTCAAGATCATGATTTGACGTCTCGCGTTATTGAAGAGTGTGAGCAGCGCAGCATTCAAAGGCGTCATGGGCGGATTTGAATGGGACAGAAAGGGGAAGAAGCTGAATCTCGGGTTCCTGTGGTGCGGCGAAGGCAAGAGTATAGTGGGGACTCTGTCATTGCCAGCAATCTTCAGTGATTTAATCGCCGATGTTTCGTCCTCTCGGGAAAGCAGCGTTGCGGCGCCGTAGGGCGTGTCGGCCGTCCGTGAGTCCTCTTCTGACACTGACGAGCCTCTCTCTCGTCCCTCAGTCGTTCCCATGGTAGAGCTTTGGTCCGCCCCAACACCCCAGACCCTTGCATGGAACGCTATCAGCGTCTGTACAACATCGCCTTGCAACTCGACGCATCCCTCGAACCACCTCTCCCAACTGACATTGCAGCTTGGGACAAAGACCCTGTTGCCGTCTATAATCACGTACTTTGGGTGCATGACACTAAAGGGCGTGAAGAAAAGACTCTTGACGGTCAGCTGGATGCCTGCGCTCGTCAGCGTGCTCTGATCGGGTAGACCGAGCTTGCCCCATTGCGATTGCGGATACAACTGCCCATCTCTAGAGGATGTATGGAAAAGCTTCTGAAAAAGGCCCCAGGACGAGAATCCAACGGTCACTTGCAATGTGCTCCGCGCCGCGCCGCCGTCAGATCTTCGCGAGGCGGCCAACTGGAGCAGCGTGTCGTTGACAGCACTCAAGGACGGAGACGCCGCCCAATAACACGTAACGAAATGCACCGAGGACTTGGCATCGAGGATGGCAGGCAGTATGCCACGCGTAAAGATTGAGTAGCCTGTGCCGACGTAAAGTGTTTGCGGTGAGCTGGTTGTGATGAGAGAGTCGGGATCGCGAGCATAGTGGTTGGGTAGATCGCCAAGTTGTTCCCTTTGCCGCGACAACAGCAACTCTTTCCACGGTCCAACAAACGACGGGGGGAGCTCGAGGGACGGTGACATGGCGTGAGGTTGGTAGAGTTGAAGTTTGCTGTCGATGCACCTGTGCGTGACGGCCCGTGGGCCAATTTGATGTTGACCGTCACGCAAACCATAAATCCGGGATACGACACGTGTGCGGCCAAGGCAAGCTTACCACGACGCACCAACAACAATGAGTCTTTGCAATTCTATGTATCCCTTGAAATACATGTGTTGATTTTCCTTGTTGATACGCCGTCCATGGTTCGTGGGAAGGGAAAGCCAACTTGCCGCCGAAAGGCTTTTGCATCAAAGGTAAACAGCCAGAATTGATAGCCTCTAGTGTCGGACCCGCCTCAATGACGGAGGATGCTCACCCGCTCGTCTCTGTGCTTCGATGTCGGCCTCGTGGTACCAGATCATCTGTGGCTGGACGAGATGGGACGGGATCCTGGCCAACCCGAGTGTAGAGGTCTCCCGCTCTCGAGTCCGAGCATATTTTCTCAATGGTGGTTTGTTCACTATTGCATTGGAAGCGAACACTGCTTGGTGCTCACCGCCTTTGGAGCTTCTCGGCAGAATGAAACCCCCCCATTCGTGCCGCCTCCTTTCCAAAAAGGCTCCGCCGTACTCCGTACCGAGTACCTTCCCGAGCTACGCACGCCGTGGCAGGACGACCTCATTGCTACCCGGCCGATCTGGACATGATCTCTCTGCATCCCAAGTCTTTCCAGAATGATCTCCGGCGTCCTCATTTTCAATCAGAAGGGCGAAAATCTCATTTTCCGCGCCTTTCGCAACGACTGCCGGCCCCGCCTGGCTGATGTCTTCCGCATCCAAGTCATTTCCAATGCCCAAGTCCGTTCACCCATCCTGACCCTTGGGAGCACCACCTTTAGTCATGTCAAGCATGAAAATATTTATTTGGTGGCCATCACCAAGAGCAACGCCAATGCAGCGTTGGTGTTTGAATTTCTATACCGACTGATCCAGCTAGGAAAGGGATATTTCGGCAAGTTTGACGAAGAAGCGGTCAAGAATAACTTTGTGCTGGTATACGAGTTGCTCGACGGTATGCGGCCACACCACTTCCGGCTTCCCAGCATGTGCGAAACGTCGAATTCTGACATTCAATGGGCTCTAGAAATTATTGACTTTGGCTACCCTCAAAATACCGAGACGGACACGCTGAAAATGTACATCACCACCGAAGGCGTCAAATCCGAGACCAGACCAGAAGAAACGTCCAAGATTACCATGCAAGCGACCGGTGCTCTGTCATGGAGGAAGGCAGATGTCAAATACAGGAGAAACGAGGCCTTTGTTGACGTCATCGAGGATGTCAACCTGCTCATGTCTGCGACTGGTGCGGTTCTCCGAGCTGATGTGAGCGGACAGATTGTCATGCGAGCGTATCTATCCGGCACACCAGAATGCAAGTTTGGTCTGAACGACAGATTACTGCTCGACAATGACGGCCTGCTCACACTGCCCAGCGGAAACCGAATGGGCACAAAGGCGACCAAGGCGGCAGCCGGTAGTGTTTCCCTCGAGGATTGCCAGTTCCACCAGTGCGTCAAGCTGGGCAAGTTCGATACCGACAGAATCATCAGCTTCGTGCCACCCGACGGCGAATTTGAGCTGATGCGCTATCGCGCCACGGAAAACGTAAACCTACCCTTCAAGGTCCACGCCATTGTTAATGAAGTTGGACGCACCAAGGTCGAATACAGCATAGGAGTCAAGGCCAATTTCGGCTCCAAGTTATTTGCCACCAACGTTGTTGTACGGATTCCGACCCCTTTAAACACTGCCAAGATTGTTGAGCGGGTGACACAAGGCAAAGCAAAGTATGAGCCTAGTGAAAACTGTATTGTCTGGAAGATTGGTCGGTTCACCGGCCAAAGCGAATATGTACTCAGCGCCGAGGCTATATTGACAAGCATGACGAATCAGCGGGCGTGGAGCCGCCCACCATTAAGCATGAACTTTAGCCTTCTCATGTTCACGAGTTCGGGGTTACTCGTACGCTATCTCAAGGTATTTGAGAAGAGTAATTACTCCAGTGTGAAGTGGGTTCGATACATGACCAGGGCAGGGTCGTATGAGATCAGGTTGGTCGCACATCTTGTTGCGTATCTCTTCCACATCGACCGACTAATTTGAATCAGATTCTGAAGAGCGGCTATGTTTCAAGAAAGGTCATGCGCGGCGTTACAGATACACCGAGTACAACGCACCGCATTTTGCCATTATTGTTGGGTTTTTATTTGTAAAGAAATCGAAACGGCGAGTGCAACTTGGGGCTGAGAATGAGGGCCGCAGCACATCACGAGCTGAGAGCAAGACGGTCTGGATAACCACAAAATTAAGCACCTCGGGGTATCGTCACTTGCTTCATTGCGACACCGCGTCCGAATGTTTTGTCAACGACTCTTGGAACCGAACCGGCCGAGCCGGCGTCGATCCTATCACAGTTCCATCTTGCGTTTGAGGCATGATTGTGTGCTGCGAATAAGCAGGGCCCTTGGGCCGATGCAACGAACATTTCATACGTTTCAAGCGTCTTGATCCAGGTCGTACACGCCCTGTGAGAGGATGTTATTTGGCGATAACATGATGTAGCCACCGGCGCGGCATTTCTATCTCCAGAACATGTCAATTTCCAGAAAATGGTCTTCCGATACTGGCTGGAGACAATCAGTTACAATGCAATTTTCGCCGGCGCATTTAGCGAACTCGCCGACAATGTCTGTTTACGAAAATAGATTTCATTCTCCATACGTGATTGCCATTGCACGATTCTCTATTTAGCGGCCTGAACAAAAACCAACGCAATCCCTACAACCGCGGCTCAACCACGACGCCTATGCTTCACCGTTACCGTGTAACAATCAACCCAACTCGACAGCCCATGCGACGGGAGAACATGGTTGTGAAGCCTTCGGGGCGTAATTCGCAGTACGCCGGTTCAGCACATTCGACGGCTCATTCCACCTGGCGTCTTGTGAACGTCCAGATACAGTCAGCCATCTGACTCTGTGAGACGTGCAAGATATCGTTGAAGTCCTTTATTTCTTGACCCCTGACATCTCGTGACAGTGACAGACGGAAGTTTCTGCAAGGGATTATTCAAAGGTATCTACCTCCCTTTCTCGTTCGATGTCCGTTCTGCATGTTACTCACGGCGAATGACTACCATTGACAACGGACATTCCGAGTGTGGTCCGTATGACGACAAAGCCACGGATACAGACCAGTTCAATAACCACTAGAATCCCCTGAGAGAGAAAAGGCACATAATGGTGTAAGAATTCAACACAATGTCGCCCGTCGCGACAAAACAGGAAATCGCCGTGGCTCCAGCCGCGCCGGGAGGAGGCAGCCTGTCGTTATCGCGAGGTTCTTGTGTAGCCAAAAAAGTGAAGAACAGAAGAGTTGATTGGCAATGTTTCACCATCTCCGCGGCTGGTCAGCTCAAAATGCCACGTGTCATGTGGAGGAAGCCGGTTGCCTGCTGAGTTGGTTCTCTTTCCCAACGGTTATCCCGTGCTGGTCACGGAGTCGGTGCCGCCAACCGGTCGGTCACGATGGCGCGCTGTGTGATTGATGAGGCGATTGCCTGGTCACTTAGTGAGCTTCGCGGGAATTGGGATTTTATGGGACCGTGGTGATGGACTGTATAAATATTGAGCGGGATCGTGAGATTGCCTTCTCAAAGGCAGACTGACCATGATATCCTGAGCAAAGAATTCTGGGCCAGATCAGCACGTCATCAGCTTTTGCAACACGGCGTGGCTTTTCAACGTTTCTCCTCATCAACTCCTGGGCCTGCCCCCTCGCCGCCGCTGGACTTTGAATCCCCCGACTCTTGAGTACAAAAGTATTGCAGGCTGCAAACCTTTTGATCAAGACCAGTTCATGAGACGAGCAGCAGCAAAGATACGGTACGTATTACTACTGCACTGTCCAGGCCAGATTCGTTAATGAAACAATCCCAAGTCCCATAGCGGCTCTGAGTGTGATCCCGGATCGCACTGCTTCTCCCCAAGCTGCCCAACGCAACAACTGTCCAGTTCCGCAACAAGCACAACTACGGCGCCTTGGCGGTCACACCCACACCCTTGATCTACCTTTTACGAGTTTTCAAGAATACTCTCACTTATACTCGGTATTCAGGTTCAGCATTACTACTAAGCTCTACATCCCAATCTAGTCAGCCACAGGTATAACGCCGAGATAGCCTCCGTAGCCGTCACACAACCACATCCAAGCATCGGCGCCTCACTTTCACATCACACGATATTGGCTATTCATTTGGAGTCGGTTTTCCAAAAATAGGAGATACCGAGACACGCAAGCTCCCCCTTTGCGCTTACAATGTGTATCTGCACCATCCTCCACTACCACCACGCGCCCCCTTGCACGCGCGCCATCATCTTCACGACGCACTACCTCTACTGTCCCGGGGCCATCGTCAACCCAGTCACCAATGAGGTCCTCTCCCCTTGCAGCAACACCGACTACAAGCCCTCCCATGGGATCGACTTCCCAGACCCGTGTTCCACAGGTGGCTGCCTCATCTCGCCTCTCTGTAGCACGGGCACCTGTCGGCTGGAGGACCTGAACGGCTTGTGGGTTTGTTGCAAGTGTGGCAGAGGGGGAAACCAATTTCGGACCTGTACCAACAGGAAGTGGGCTTGTCCGGATACGTTTTGTTATCACAACATCTGCGAGGCGTGCACACCAGATTCGGGCAAAGTCGGCAACCTAGCCGGAGGGAGATAGCACGGCGATGGCATGTCGAAACAAGGACGAGCTTGACTGGAGCAATCCAAAGTACCGCACGTTGTTCAGTGAAGCCGTGTTTGTCGTTTATTCGCGGGCGTGGTGGCGGTATTACCAGCTCTGAAGAAGCTAGCCTCCCCGTCCCTACTGAGCTTATCAAGCATCAAACTTTGTGTTTCACGAGAAAACCCAATTCAGACAGGCCCGTCACTTGACATTACTTGATGCCTTGTTGCCGCGCGGCCCGGACATCCCAATCCGAAATCCACCGCTGAACGCCTCGTCGGCTCCAGGGCGGCGGGCTCACCCGCTCCGCCTGCCCTCTGTCAAGGCTGGTTTCAACCGCGCCCACGTCCATGCTGCACCTGATTTGCAAAGCTCCCATGGTCCATTGAATCCTCACTTGTGCGGAGGAGCGTGTTGGCGAATTGCTGCGAGCCGTGCCGCCCAAGAGATTCGGGGGCCCTGGCGGGCTTCACCCGACGCCTTGGTCGAATCCGAGTGAGCGACGATGACGTGGACGTTGGCGCGAAACAGACGGTCTCCTCGGCACAGGCAAGCATCATCAATCACATGGCCGCGGAGGGCAGTGAACATGTCGCCATGTCTGTAGGACACGAAAGCCACCGGTGGTGATGTGATGCAAAACACGCAAGCACACGCACACACGCAAAAAAAAAAAAAGGAAAAATACACCTCTTGCGCACTCTCGCCGGCAAAGACCGCATCGCCAGCGTGACTAATATGTCTGTGTAAATCGGCGGACCTGCCCTGCACGATTCCAGTCCTGACGAGAGGCCGGATTCCCGCGGTTCGCGGACATATTTAAAGCAGCTCCTACCTCGGAGCGACGGCAGCCCAGGCAAACGCATGCGCATCGGACGGCCTTCCTCTCCCAGAGCCAGAGTCACAGACGCAGATGCGGGCATCCATCCCGTTCCTCCTCGCCCCTACGTACTTGCCGGCCGCTCTCGCCGCAGCCATGTGCAAGGAGTCGCACTTCACCCTCGAGTGCGAGCACATTGCTGCCTCGCTCGACGTCTGCCCCGAGGTGCCCGGCGGCGGGCCCAGGCAGTGCCGCGGCTACGAGGTAGAGAAGCTGGCGTATCCCTTCCCCCCCGGCACCAAGCCGCCGGGGTGTCCCAAGAGTCCGCGCTGTCCGTTTGAGCTCCGGGGCGGCGTTTGGAACTGCTGCTGGTGCGGGAAGACGCGGAACACCGCGGGCCGCTGTGGGTGCAGGATGGTGACGAGCCACGAGGAGTACTTTTGCGAGCACATCTGCTGCGAGCACTGCCCCGGGGGGAGTTACTCCCTGTGACTGGGCTGGACGGGACTTGGGGAATTCGCGCAGCGGCCGGGGAGAGGGGAGAAGGGAGAGGCGGGTTTGGCGGGTGCCGCGTATCGCGACCAGACACCGACTGAATGGTGTCGTGGGTGAAGATTGTGGCGCCCGGTACGGCGACAGGACCAGATCACGCTCGGGGTGCCTGTCCTCTCTCTCTGGCTGGCGGTTCGAATCAAGCGGCGATGGGTCCAAGAGGGTTGCGTCGGCCGTCTTGTTCGACGACGACGTCGCAGGTGTTCCCGGGGAGCTGCCCAGGTCGCGGTCACGACGGCCGCAAAGAGTCCGAATCTTTTCGGTACTTGGCGCATCTGAGACTGCGAGATCTCCGTCTCCCACACCCACACGAGGTGGCGCCAGATCCTCGATGCTCGTATACCGAGGGATTGGTTCTCGGGAAAGTGGCGCTGGATGAGGCGAGTTGGAGCCGCTTTGTCCTACGGCACCGACGCATTGGTGTCGGCTTCGTCAATTGGTCTACAGCTTCAAATATCATGCTTCTTTTCACTTCCTGGAGGTCTATGCAAAAAGGAAACCAACATGTTCAAGAGTTCCCTGCAGAGAAACTACGTTGAGTAATCGGCAAGTCATGACCGCGTGTGCGTGTGTTCTCTTGGCAAAGAGGAGGGGTTTCAAAGCTCATGTTGCCGTTTCTTCGTGAACCACGAGACGGCGGCGCTTCATTTTCCTTGTTGACCTGATTCCAGGATCTCTGTCCGGGGACACAGTCATTTGTATGGGAATGCCGTGCAACCAGTCTCCCCACGAGACTATGTCTCTTTCTGGTACTCTTTCCTAAAAACACCAAAAAGTAATCACATCAAATGAGGAAATAAACCCTGCTCGTTTCTCCCGAGACATTACCCGACTTTCCGGCTTCTTGGTCGCAGCCCTGGCCGCCGCTACCATGGACTCGGGACGATGCTGTGTATTCTCGACGGGAGCATGCAGAAGCTTCTTTTTGTGCGTAATCGCTTAACGCAGACCGGTATTCGGCGAGAGTTAATCGACGTGGCGTTTGTGGCGGTCTTCAACCTGGGCCGCTACGAGGCGAGTGGTCTCTACATTCATCCTGGACGCAAAGGACCAGACAGCGTTGTAGTCGAACGGTCCCATGATGGCATGGCGGAGCAGTAGTATAAAAGCCCAATGTTGCCTGTTCCGATCCTGGGTCTTCTGCAGAGGCATCAGTATCCCGGCAAGCCAACAGATTCATTGAGGATTTCACTTTCATTTGATACATGCCGCATTCGGGGTTAAGCACGGCTAGAAAAATGTGCAGCGGACACCCTCGAACTCACCCTTGTGGACACACTTCTATACTATGGAACTACTGTCGTTCTGCGACATTCAACACCACGACGGGAGAATCAATGCGGTGCGGCAATGTCACGTTTGGCACCTACATGCGAGAGCTGAAATCAGGGTGTCCATTGGCAGAATGCAGGTTCAAGGCCAAGGGAGGGACCTGGATATGCTGCAAATGTCATCGGGGACCAAATCGACGGGGTTGGTGCAACCAGCCAGTCATACGCCTGCGACGAAAGCTAGGCAGCCATGATGCGAACGAGAAGGAAGAGGCGGGTTGTACTTGCGACCACATGTGCTGTGATGAGTGCACAGCAGTAGGTACGTCATGTTGAGTTGGATGGAGTCGGTTGTGATCAGTACGGGACGACGACGCCGCTGACTCGCGAGCTGTATCAGAAAACTGAGGGCCACAGGATAGGCAGATTGCAAGCATGATGAAGTGAAAGAGTTGGCACTGCTTGACGGAGTGGGATTTCATTTCCGTGTGTGCCGCTGGTTGCTTTGCTTGGGACATCCGAAGAAGAGCCTTATATTTCCTTGTTGATGAGAAGTCCTGCTTGAGGCACATGGGCACATAAAATCCGTCGGTGGAAAGGGAATTTAGTCAGCGGCAGATCTACAAGGGAAGAAAGGAGACAAGGCCTTTGGGTTTCAGCTTTGGGAACAGTAGACGGCATTGAGTGTAGTTCCATACTGAAGTACCCATGTAACAAGTAGGTGTGTCGTAATATCCTGGATTCCGTATCGTTATAATGAGTCCGACCCACGGCATGGCGGCCGGCCCTGTCAAACCAGCCACGTGCGGACCCGGCCGTTCCTGGCAGCCAAGTTTCCAGGCAGAGGGAGCTCCGTAGTCGGCAGCGTGAAGCGGCGTGACGCGGCGTGAAGCGTGAAGCCAGGCTCCCATGTCTCACATGATGGCGGCGTTGGCCGGCCGTGCGTACGGGAGGAGGGATGGAGGATGGAGGGAGGGATGGAATGAAGTGGCAACGTGGATGAGCGGCTGATGAGCTGCACGGTGGTCAGACGGGGGTTGACGAAAGTCAATCAAGGAAGCTGCGACAGGATGTATCCACAACTAGGAATGCTCCTTCTCAGGTTGGCGCGGATGGCAGAGCGAAACCACGTGCCAAGTATACTCGCGGCAGGCGCAGAGCATTTGCATCTGCATCCTACTTCTTACCTGCTCAGGTACCGAGGTTATTGGAGGTAGTTCTGCATTCGCACTCCCATTGGCTGCTGCATTTGCATTCGCATTCGCATTCGCATCTGTGCATCGCCACGACGGCTGCACCGCCTTTTCTACGTGGCAGAATAAACGTTTGATAAATCGTTTCGTCCACGCGACGCTGCCGCACAGCCAAGGTTTTTAAACGCCGGCGTCAGGCCCAAACTACGAACTAGAACAAACCAGAGTCCCACAGGCCAACGTGATGATCAACCAGGCTGTGCACAATATTGGGAGTGAGAAACTGTCAGCGATTGACAGCTGAGGCACTTGTGCCGCTTACTGGCCCAAGCCGTGACGTACTTGGACCTGGATACCGGCCAAGTACACCTAAGTACTTACTAATGCATGCCTTTTCTACTCTAGGCACCCAGTACCTGGAATACATCAAGTACCTAGGTACCTAGGTACCTTGGGCACCTAAGTACTTAGGTACTTGGGTACTTGCGGACACTAACCTGCTGATCAACATCGGTAAGCACTGTAATAAAGCGTTTCTTGCCATCTCCAGTCAGGTACTCGAAAAGTACGGAATAATCAGACCAAAGACCAAACCGACCCCGGCTTGCTGTTCCTTGCACCCTCATTTCAGAATGTCGTGCCGCGTGGTCAATCCACCTCTGTTGCAGGCCCAGGCCTCCCCTCCCCGCCGCTCACCTCTCACCGGGCTCTCAACGTTGCCTTGGCCGCGTGCATTGCTGCATCGAGTTGGATGGACGTCCAGGGTTGTGGAATTGAGCCAACTGGTCTGTTGTCGGTTTATCATCCGTACAAGTCCTCTCTCCTCGTCTTCGTCTTCGTTCTTCGTCTTCGTCATCATCCTCCTCCTCCTCCTCCTCCTCCTCCCATCACTGCTCCGCCTCCCCCTCCGGCTGCTGCCTCTCCTGTGGCTTGCCCGGCTCCTGTTCTGGATTTCTATTCTACTCAATAGCCCGCGCTCGCTTCCTTCCACCTTTTCCTGTCCCGCCCCGTCTCGTCTCGTGGTGCCTTTTCCTTCGTCCCTGACTCCCTGCACCACCGTCCAACCACGCGGTGACCTGCATCCTGATACACGTCGCCGCCCCTGATCTGACCGCGCTTTGTCAATCTGCCTCGGATTCAGTGCAGACGGTCAAACTGCCCAGTCCGAGCCAGACGACCAGCCAAGCTGCGACTAGGCGTGCCGTGCCTGCTCTTACGTTTTGCTTGCCTCGCCCGCGTCCCGCGACCTGGAGCGAGCAGCGTTCAGCAACTCAATTCAGTCTTGGGAGTCGAAGCAAACCTGTCCGGCTCCAGGAAGGATACCATCGCTCCTTTTTCGGCTTTTATTCGACAAAATTCCTTCCCCCGACCCCACCCACCGTGTTGCATTCTGCATCCACTTCTGATTCCTGAACTTCACCACTTTGCGCCCGTCCTCCCTCCGCTGGCCAGAATGCCCGCCTCGCTCGACTCGTCGCGCCCTATGATGGCCCCGTCGGTACGTGTGTCTTGTTTTAGCCTGGCTGCCTTTCTTTCTGCTCTCTTCTTTTGCTTCTTGACAGGTTGTCTTGACTTGCTTCTCTTTTCCTTGCCCGTCTTGCTCTCCCTCTCACTGCACTCTCTCCCTTTTTTTTTTCCTTTTTGCTCGAGCTGCAAATAAACACCAAAAAAAGAAACGCCCATCCCAAAAACCCAAAAAGAGCCCACGTCGCACTCTGGTTCGTGCGTGCCTTGCATTCCCGCCCCGAAAGCCCACGTGAAACAAAGCCTGCTGAAGCTTGGCTTCTTTTGTTATATCATTGAGCACGCGCCATTGCTAGTCATGGGGCATGTGCCTCATTCCACGCACGCGCGCGCACACACACACTACTTCTCTTCCTTCTCCCTCCTCTGCTGCCGCTCTGCCAAACATCTTCCGTGTAAACTAACAAATTCATGTCTCGACGACAGGCCAGAACTTCCGTGCGCTTCAGCACCTACAGTATGACGCCGTCCTTCGCACCCACCATCAAGACGTCTGACTCGGCCCAGACCGAGATCCGTGAAATTGCCCTGAACCTCGACCGCATGGAGAACAAGGCTCTGTCCTTGCAGCGCGTCATGCTCAGTGACGAGAAGACGGACAATATGAGCAAGCTGGCTCTGGGTGCCAAACTCGACCGTGCTCTGGACCGACGCATGAGCGGACAGGACGCTGTTATGCGCCCGCGCCGAAACGGATCCGTCAACGTTGCCATGGTTGAAAAGACGGCACTGAGCGAAAAGGCATAAATCACCATTTGTTCTTTCCAAGGACAGTACGAGAGGAATCTCATTTATTCGGGGCAGGCGACATATCAACAGCAGTGGCGCCTTTTCGCTATCAAAAAGCACCATTGTTGGACTTTTTTACACCCACGGCAATCATTCCCGCCATACGTCCGGCTTGAGCGCCGCAGCGGGAGACAAATTTTCGTCTAGACACTTTATACCTCCTTTCCCGTTGCACGAAAGTTGTCGACTATTTCCAGTTTCACAACCTCTCCGGCTCGTGACTGGACCAGTCTCTGGATACCAATTGTGTCGGCAAAAGGCCCAAGGAAGCGCATGGCAAAAAAGCAAAGCGGGAGTCGCCGTTCGATGAATGAGATCAAGGACACGAATCAACGGTGTCATATTAAGCGTTGCTAGCTCTTTTTCCTGATGCATGATTCTCCTTTAGATACGCTAGGGTCTGCCTAAAGAAAAGCAGGCTGGTGTATTGTAACGACCAGAGCGACGGCTTGGATGGTTTCAGTCTACTGGTTCAGCCTGCCCTTTTATTTATTCATTTTATTTTATTTTGCCCATTCGTTTTCACAGCTGTCTTGTGCTTTTGTTCTAGGCGTGTCTTTCGACGGGTTTTTAGGGATACCCAACAATGAGAGTAGGATGCGGGTACGAAAAGAAGCAGAGTAAATTTCAACCAAGATGATTCCACATGTACACCGCTATTGCATGCCGCGTGAAGGGACCTCTGGGACAAATGACACCATGGATGGACGCTGCGTAGCATCCATGCGAGGGCGGCCAGTTGACGTCTGGGAATGTGGAAATGACGCTGCATCCAGGCACTGGGCATTGAACTACCTCCCTCGGTCGATACCCAGGTACCTCTGAGTGAGCACTCATTAAGTACCTAGGTAACGTTATTAGCTTGAGTAGCAGATTCGATTTACGTGAGAGCGGGCGCGGGCACAAATCAGCTTGGCTTCAAAATGGGCTATCCCTGGCCCTGTCTCGAATTTATCACATTTACTCGGGTCGTTGGTGCACCTCCAGCAAAGAGGCTGCAGAGACAATTTTAAAGCAGACCAAGCCCAAAGTGTTGCAAGGCATTAGAGAGAGAAAAGAAGAAGAAAAGCGAGTCGGGGCCAGAACAGAAGGAAAGGGAAAGAAGGAATGCCCTTGAAGGCTGTTTTTATTAATTGGTTTCTTTTTCCTCCCTCTGTCTTGTCCCGCGCAGGCAAAGGTGCTATCTTTCGGCCCCCCACGCCGCTCGTCGACGCCGCGCACGTCTCTGGATGTGCATGATTCTCTTTTGAGCGCAACGGCCTCTGCTGCCGTGCAGGCATGGAGGCATGGAGTCACGGAGGCATGGAGGCATCCCCTCCAAGCGCGTAGACATGGCAGCGCAACCTGTGCCTCGCCCCGTCATCCCACATATCACCGAGCCCTGCGCTTCTCGACGAGCGCCTCAATCTCCTTGAGCAGCGACACCAGGTCGCCCTCCTCGCCCTCCACCTCGAGCCCCTGCCTGGTCCAGTCGCGCGCCTCCTCCAGCCTCCCCATCTCCATGAGACACTTGCCCCTCCTCCACCAGGCCTTCGCGTTGCCGACGCGCCTCGCCTCGACGCTCGCCTCCGCGTCGACGGCGCCCTCGGGCCAGTTCTGCATCGCCATGTGCGCCTGGGCCCGGTTTGCCAGCAGGCCCGACACCTCCTCCCTCACGAGGGCCGCGGGCTCCCAGAGCGGCCGCTGCAGCGCCATCTGGATCCCGAGCGAGTAGAGGCGCACGGCGTTGGCGTGCTTGCCCTTGCGGTAGTCGGCGTTGCCGTTGTCGCGGAGCTTGCTGACCTGCCCGCTGCGCTTGGGGTTGACGGGGATGGGCGGCGGCGGCACGCCGTTGGACGGGCCGTCGAGGCCGAGGAGCGCGCGGTGCAGCGCGTTGAGCGCCCCGAGCTCGGCGGCGAGGCCGCGCGGCTGCTTGCTCGTCGGGGTCGTCGTCGTGCTGATGGCCTTGGACTGCGCGTCCATGTGGATGGGGAGGAGGTCGAAGTGGTCGAGGTCTGCCATTGCGGGAGGCGGCCTGGTTCTCTTCCTGCCTCGTCCGTCTTGTTTCTGTCTTCTTCAGAAAAGAACAACGAAGAATGGTCTCTGGGCGGCGGCGTGGGGGTCGGGGGATGGATTTATGGCTGGTTTTTTTCAGCGCCAGAGAGCACCGGAGAGCTTGGATGTCATCTGCAGACGGCTGCGTTGACTCGACGAGGACAAGTTTCAGTTTGGCTTACGGAGTAATTAACTACTTATTGGGTGGGTCCTTGGTGGCAATCAGCACATGACCGTGGGGCCGGCGAGGCGACGACTCCCACGGACAAGACATCGTGCGAATGGAACAGGGCAAAACCACGTCCTGCTTACTTTACGTCCTACGTACTCTGAAAACCCGCGCTTCTGGAGATCTGGCGCGTCGGAACCACACCCACAAGTCACCCAGGGGGACACAGGATCCCGCATCCCATTATATTGTCTTGCGAAAAAAAAAAACCCACTCCCATGGTGCACGATGCTACATACGACACCTTCGGCCCAGGCATGACGAGAGCAGAGACAACATGATCCAGCCGCCGTGCCCTCCTCGCACTCCCCAATCTTATCTTCACAGACTCCATCTTGGAAATTCAAGATTGGCTTCCTTGGGCCTGACAGCATGGGCGACATTGGAAAGCAGCGTTGTTCCTCGGTCCTGGGTCGTCTTGACCCGAATGACCAAACCAAACCAAACAGTGGCATGAACCTGAAAAGAACATTGCACCCCCCCCCCCCCATATCAACTGGTGTTCCCTCACGCAGACATGTAAATGTGTAGTATGTTACCGTTCGGTAAGAGAAGCAAAAGAGGATGCGGGAAAGAATTCTTTCGGTTCCTGTGCTTTATTTGTTTTGGGCATCGGTGTTTTTTTGTTTTTCTCTTGTCATCTTCTCATTCGACGAGCGACAATCCATGTAGAACGTTTAGAACAGCCATCCGCCACCTGTCCCTATAGCTTTGCCATCCCTTGCCAGCACTCGGCAAATCAAGTGTAATCCGTTTGTGAACCGCCGCGCCAATCTAATGAACCGCACGAGAAAACGACAAAGACAATGCGAAGTTTTTTTCCCACCTAGACCCAGCCGTCGTCATGGCACGGTCCGAGGGTAGAAATACGGCTGTGTTTAGTAGCCGTAAGCCGCGAGGGCCTTCGCCGTCCCCGCCTCGACCTTGGCGGCAGCCTTCTTCTTGGCGTCGGACAGTTGTCGAGCGGCAGCCTTCTTGCGCTCGTAGTAGGCGGCGCCCTTGGCCTTTCTCCGCTCCTCCAATCTGTGCGTGTCTCGTCAGTACCGCCTGTGGCTTCGACGGTGGGCCTCTCCAGTGTATCCGGCGGGCGTGGACATACCGAGCGACAACATCCTGGTACTTCCAGCCGACCTCGTGGCTCAGACGCCCGACAGTGCAGTACTTGCGGCCGGGCTGCAGGCGGAGGACACGCAGGGCCTGGGGCACGACCATCTTCTTCTTGACGTCATACGGGGGGGGGACACCCTCGAACACCTTGAGGCGCTCCATGGCAGCAGCACCTCGAGCGGTCTTGTGAGGGATCATGCCACGGACGGCCTTGTAGAAGATTCGTGAGGGAGCGCGGAAGTGGAACGGGCCTGTGCTCGGGTTAACTCGCGTGCGTCGTCGCGCGACGTATCGCTCAACATTGATTGCAACTCACCACCGCGGGTGGGATTGTACCGGGTCATCTTTCGCAGATAGGCGTGGTACTTGACTGTGTGACGGTTAGTCAATGTCAAAAGCGGTCTTTTGCGGCATCACGTCGTGGTCGAGACGCCGTGGCGGAGGAGGGCTCCTCTCGCGTCGTAGAGGGGGAGGAGATGTCACGTACGCTTGGCGCGGAAGAATTCGCCAGAAATGTTGAGAGCCTCGCAGCGGACAACAACGATCTTCTGGCCGTTGAGGAGCTGCTTGGCGACAATGCTGGCGAGACGGCCCAGCAAGTGGCCCTTGCCGTCGATGACAACCTAGAACGAAGCAGCCCAGTCAGCTTCCAAACGTCCAAACGTCCAAACGTCCATTCGTCACGCCCTCAAAATGATTTCCACCACCCCCGGAGTCTCGAAACTGATCGCGGTGCAACAGGCACACCCGTCCCGAAACCTTTTCGCCCGAGTCCCCGATCCGAATGTGCCTGCGCATGCGTCCATGACCCGAGTCCCATCATCACGCCTCTCGAACTGCACCGGACACGGGGGTACACATGGCAGTAATGGTTGGTGTTCTACTCACAACCGGCTCGAATGACGACATCGTTTCCAACTCTCCTTTATGTGACTGGGTGAAAAGAAAGGAAGGCGGCTGCTCAGACGACGACAAAGAGGCACAAATTCTCCAACCGGACCGGCGAGAATTTGCTGCTGTGACTGCTGTGGGTTAGTCGTCCCTGGGATGGTGAAGTGGTCGCGGTGGTGATTGACTGGCGAGAAAATCCAAGTTCCGCTCGAGGGCTCGTTGTGCCTTTGCAAGAACAGACGCTAACTCAATGTGGTCAAGCGGCTTTTGAGGGCAAGCGAACACCGCTCACAGCACCGACGCTGTTTAGGGCTGCGAGACCTATTGCGCCGTGGCCGAAATTTTGCCGTCTGCCCAAAAGAGGCTGGGAGGGAGGTCCGGCGTGATCACGTGATGCTCGTGGCACGGCGCCTTTTGGGCGTGTAACCCCCCAAGAACTGTACAGAAAATCCCCTGACGGAATGTCTCTGCCGTGCCATCACCGTCTGGTTGATGCAATAAGAGGATGCAGATCTCATCACACCAAGTGAACCGTCTTCCGGTCATCGATGACCAGTGATGATGTTCGATGTACCTTTGGAGAGGAATCGCTTCGGGATCCGGTGACAGGCGTTTACGTACCTTGGGGGCCCAATTGGCGATATCTTGATATGATAATTGAGCATGCCAATTTCACCAATGCACGGTCCATTGCATGAAGAGAATTCCGCGCTCTAGAATCTGCCCAATGCAACGTTCATATAGAGTGCGGACGATGAACCGTTCGCATCCAAGAGCTTCTACCACACCTGATGCGATGATCTATCTCGCCAAACATCTAGCTACTATTACAAAGGCTCCGCAACCCGCAGTAATGCAAAATTCCATCTCATGTCATGCATTTCGTCCCGTCAGTCTTGTAGTGATGCAAATCTGGTCCGCAAAAGTCAGAGGGGTTCCCAACGCCAGTGAAATCTAGCTCTCATGTGTGTCTTCGTAAAAAGCGGCTTTCAAAACGAAAGATAGCTGTGAACAACCAATTCGTTCTAGGAAGCCTTTGCTGCATCTAATGCTTTCAATGTTTCTTGAACCTTCTTCACCACTTCCTTTCTTCTCGCCCTCACTTCTGCGATGCCTCTGGTGTCCACTGCATCTAACTTGAGGAGGATAGTCTGCATAATCGACTCGGAATACTTTCTGTGCTCTTCCTCGCGCTTCTTGGGATCGCTCGGTGGGGATGCAATAAATCTGTCGCAGAGAGGCAGCCAGTTGGTGGAAAATTCATCCGACAGCTCGTCGAGCTTCTTCATGAGGCCGGCACCGGGAGTAGGTGAGCTAGCTTCCGCATTGGACGTGCTATCAGGGGGACTGCTGGCAGTGTCACCATCGGCCTTGGATCCCTTCTTCTTGGATCGCTTCTTCTTACGACGGCCTGACTGGTTGTCGTTGACAATGACCATTTCCTCCTCGGACGCGCTGCTCTCGTCTTGGATGTTTGCAATGACCGTCATCAACTCGCTGTTGTTCTTCACTCCGTAGTCCCGCACAGGTGCAGCGGGTTCTTTAAGTTGGAGTCCTTTGTAAAGAAGCTTGATGCGGCGAGTCGCGCTCTCGGACAACTCCATCATCAGGCCGATGCGCTCCCGCACGTCCATTACGCGTAGCTTCCCATCCCCGATGGAGTATGCCGGGAAATGCGTCGGGTACGTCACGCCCTTGTTTTTGATGAGTAGCACATCATCCTCTGGCGGGGAGCCGCCAGGTCGCGCTCTGGGGTAGGGAGGATCGTCCAGGTCTTGTGATGTAATGTAGCTAAAGTCTTCGTCTGTTACGGCAGGGACGCCGCCTGTCACGGAGCCGTACGGCGAGCTTTGCTCGCGGTTGAGGGACCAGCCATATCGCGACATGGTGAAAGGCAGAGCAACAAGAGCTGCGAGGATGCTGTACACAAGACCAGGGGAGATGCCCAAGGTCTCGGAAATATATCCGTTGGATCCCTGGAAGGCGGTTGAGAGGTTGGCTAACGTGCCGTTGAGGTACCAGCTTAGACTTTGGAGGGCACCAGACGATGCCGCGATGCCTTGGCTGGAATCCACCTTGTCGTCGGTTGGTGAGGATGGCCCAATGAAGGACACCTCTTCCTTGGTTTCGGCGAATGGTTCGATTCGAGGACAGATGTGAGGCTGCAACGAAAGGCCTTTTGTATTGCCGGTGGAGTGCGAAGCGTTTCTCGAGAGGCACTTGAGACACTAGCGACCGCGGCAGTAGTTCGTCGTCGGTGGGCGGCGTCCAAATCCTGAATCTATGGCGGAGGGTGGAGATGTTTCCAAAATCGGGTGCTTTCTCGATCGAATGGCTGTCTGCACGGTTCTGAAGATTGGCCCAGCGCTGTAGACGTCCTGGGAGGGGATGTCTGCAACGTTCCTGGAGAGAGAGCTCGAATTGGCGAATCCTCCCCTGGCATTAAGGTTTGGGCTGACCCGGGCGAGGCGGCGAGGCTCAAGGCTTTTAGCAACTGGGTCCAGACTCCAGCCAAAGTCAGGTGATGACAGGCGGTGAACATGTAAGTTTCTGAAGCTCGACAAAGACGGGCCCTGATGCAAAGATGTTGTGAACCGTGAGCGCCCAGAGGTCTACTTACCTCGAGGGGAGCTTTTTCTACAGGGCCTCCATGCTGTTCTATTTGTAGGAGCGAAATGACTCGGTGATGCTTCGCTTCGAATCAGTCCTGGTCAGAGGGCCACGGCTTGCTACCCTGTACCCATTCTCGCGACTCAAATATTTGGGTAAGAAGCAACGTTATGGATTGATGAGAGGCAAACAGTGTCCTCTGTAAGTAAGACTAGATTAACCTCTTGTTATGTTTGAGGTCCTTTCGCCTCGTCGCGATTCTCACGAGCTTCCCGTGTATGCTAACAGGTTGACAGCAAGAGTACGGCCCAACAGATGGTCAATTGAACCTAAACTGTGGCAACTTCCGCCTTTGCAGTTCACAGTTGGTCTCTTGGAGGGTTCCCGAGTTCTCCATCCCGGACGTGCATGCGACACCGAGAACCCAATGGCACCAGCTCGAGGGGAAAGTACGTATATACATCAGGTACGTTACCGAGGAACTCCATTCGAGGCACCTGGCGAATCGCAGCATCCGCTTGACAATTGCATCATCGGTCTGATGCGTCCCACCTGCCCCCTCCAGCGCCACCTACTTGCAGCCATCGTTGACAAATCCATCTTCTCGTCTCTTCCCCGCCTGACCGCAGCGTTTCAAATCCCAGTCCCGCCCGTCACCAGATCTACATATATCCGACCGTCCATTCCTGCTCCTCTGCACCCGCTGCAGTCCGCTCTGCAGCATCAACGACTCATGTTGAACCTTTTCCGATCCCTCTTCTCTACATCCGCAGCACGTCGCAGTCCCGTAGTCATGGCCCAGGCAAGAACCAAGGTCCAGCAGATCATTGACAAGCACAACATCGGTAAGCTCTTCCCTGACGCGCCTCGTGGCCGCAGAATCCACGCCGCAGCATGGAGACTGCGTCGCTGACACGTCTCGATAGTCGTCTTCTCCAAGTCCTACTGCCCCTACTGTAAACAAACCAAGGAAACCTTCAAGAAGCTCGGCGCCAAGATTGAGGTTCTGGAGCTCGACCAGATCCGTACGTTGCTTGCTCTCCCACGTCCTTGTTCCGCCCAAGATTTCCCCGTAGAAAAAATGCAGAAAAAAAGAAGAAGAAAAAAAAAACAACCAAACAACAAAAAACAAACTGACAAAAAGACGCCCGCAGCCGACGGCGCCGAGTTGCAAGATGCCCTCGAGGACATTAGCGGCCAGCGCACCGTTCCCAACGTCTACATCAAGCAGAAGCACATTGGTGGCAACTCTGACGTCCAGAGTCTCTACAAGGAAGGCAAGCTGGAGGCCCTGGTGAAGGAGGCTAATGATGATTCGTCCAAGAAGTAAGCAGGAGCTGGTTTGGTTTTGCTTTTGTGTGCCCGAATACACGAGGTCATGCACGGAAGAAAGAAAGACAGCGGCTGATTTGTCCTGGTTTCATTCCTGCTCTCCCCGTATATCCAGAGCGAGGCTTTGATAGACGGTAGACGCATAGATCTGCGGTAGACACTCGTTCACAGATCAAGGGCAAGTCGTTTCGGATACACCTAGGTTTTGAGGGTATTCAATGCAAGTGCAATAATGTACATTGGCCATTTCGCCTGGGTAAATATGAACATTGGTTGAGCACTGTGTATCGTGCTTCTAGTGTACAAGTGACCTCTTTATCTGGCACGACGAATCCACTCCCCGCTGCCGCCCAACAGGAAAAAAAAAATCTACAAGATCTGTGCGGCGACAGTTCCAACAGGCCGCTCTACAAACTCCATAATTCCCTCGATGATATTGTCCCTAGCCCCCTCAGAAGCAACCCTGTTCCCTGCCAGGTAGTTCAACCACAACAGCCTGGATAGTCTCTCGTCAGAAATAGTGCCCATCAAGGTCCTACCAGCCTGCTGCTCATGACCTCCCTCGCCATACAGAACCGCCAACGTCCCCCGCGCGTCGCGCGACAGCAAGAGCTCCTTCTTCTTGGGGACCTGTCCGCGGTTGAAGAAGTTCTTGAAGTCCTTCATAGCCGCACCAAACGCCTCGTCGTTGTACGTCTTGTCGCGCCCGGAGCGAGCCTGAACGGCTCGCACAAATCCATCCCTCAAATGATGAAAGTCGGTGTCGCGGACGGGCACGATGCGGAAGGCCGTGCGGCACCCGGCTTCCCTCAGGATAGAGTCCCACGTCCGTTCGCCCTCGGCGGCATCGCGGAGCGCCCTGCGCAGGGCCTCCTTCTCAGAGGGAATCAGCGTCGTGGCGAGCGGGTTGATCTTCTTGACCAGGTAACGCTGCAGGCGCTCAATGTCCTGCGTGGCGACGTAGAACCCCACCAGGTATACCTGGATACCGATAAAGGTAACTGTGCGCATGCCCAGTCCGACGAGTGTGTATTCCACGCCGGCGCTGTCCGAGAGGGATGCGGCCACGGGTTGGTCTGCAGTCGAACCTCCCGGGAGGTCGAGGTCCATGGTGCGGGGAAACGCCGGGACGACGCTGTATCCCGTGGGAACAATCTCCCTGCCCTGTTCGTCGTGGAGGACGACCTTGCGCTTCTCGCCGGCCTCCGTCTTGAACGCCTCGGTGGGAATGGGGGCGTCGCATCGTACTGCCATTTTTTCCTTGGCGCTTTGTGCATCCAGCGCCTTCTTCAGCTTCCATGCCGTGTAGACGAAGGAAATGATTCCGGCAACGGCGCCGGCGGCCAGGAACGCTGTGCGGTTCTTCTCATAGTCGCGACGTTTGTTGTTGAGCCTGTTGAGGTCCAGGTCGTGGGTGGCGCGGGTAGATGCTCGTTGGGAGAGCCGCGCACGGCTGGCAGTCGGCACTGCGGATGGACGGCCTGACACCCGGGCGAGTGGCCGGGCGAGCCGTGATGGGCGAAGCATTGCGGATTGACTGCTCGATGTGTAGGCGATGAGTTGACTGCAGCCAGTAGTCGAGCTGCGAGGCGGGGGAAGTTTGTGACGTAGCGGTGCGGCTTGGGTGCGGGGACTGACTGGCCAATCAACAGGTTGCTTTACGCCGACAACCGCCGTCAAATGAGCGCGCAAAAAGGAATCAGCCTCGACGAGCTCCAAAACCACCGACAGAGTCATTCATCATGGTCGTGTAGGAGACGGGCTACAGCAGGGTTGCTCCCCGCATGTGAGCCTCGCAGCCAATCAATGCTTGCTTCTTGAAGCGGAGTCGGGCGCGTAGTACCGGAACGTACTCCAAAATTCTCCCCAACTTTCCCCGGACCCGACCGAATCGTCGCCGTCACCGTCGGTGGGTAGGCTGGATTCGTACAAAAGTGTAGTTGGGCATCATGCTTGTGCGTCTGAGGAGCTAGCCACTCGGCATGCGTCGAGTCCAGAAGACGGCCGAATGTGGCCAGCAAAAATATCGCAGCCACGCCATAGCCCCAGCGAGGCTTGGAGGTGACGACGCGGAGAAATTCTGCTGGTGTCCCATAGTATGCAATGTCTTCAATCTGCCTGGTCTCTTGCCTTGGAATTCGTGTCTGTTTCATCTTCGACGCCTCTCCATTGAAAGAAACGGCCAATGCCCAAATAAAGTTGGGCCTGCGATGCAATCATGCAGCCAGGTCCGGTTCTTGGTGGACTGGCTGTGTTTCTCCTCACCGCTGGCATGACGTCGGCTGTGAGTGCGCAGCGCGCTTCTCAAACACGTAGGTTCTCTCTGCCTGTCTCTTCATCTTGTTTCCCGACGGAAAAAGCTGACAATGCCTACAGCAATCGAGGTCGATGGAACTTCATTCGCTCTCAATGGTGACAATGTTTCGTACCATTTTCATGTTGACAGTACTACGGGAGACCTGATTGGGGACCACTTTGGCGGACCAGTCGACGGCGATACCATTGAGAGTGAAGTTGGGCCTGTCCAGGGCTGGGTCAACACCATCGGCCGCGTGCGGCGAGAACTGCCTGATCTTGGCCGAGGCGACTTCCGAATCCCCGCCGTTCAGATTCGGCAATCAGAGGGATATACCGTCAGTGAGTTCCAGTATCAGGGGCACAAAGTCGTCGATGGGAAACCTGCGCTCAACGGCCTGCCGTCTACATTTGGGCAAGACGAGGAGGTTTCCACGCTCGTCGTACACCTCTATGACAAGTACAGTTCCGTGTCAGCGGATCTCATTTATTCCATCTTCCCCAAACATGACGCTATTGTCCGCAGTGTCAATGTCACGAATGGCGGCAGCGGAAACATCACCATCGAGAGACTTGCAAGCTTCAGCGTCGACCTGCCGTGGGGCGACTATGATATGCTCCAGCTCGGGGGGGATTGGGCTCGAGAGGGCATGAGGGTCCGCAGAAAGGTCGATTTTGGGACTCAGGGGTGAGTAGGGCTCTGGCTGAGATTTCTTTTGTCCGGATGCTGCTGATGCTGATATGTTGTGGCAGCTTTGGAAGTACAACTGGATACTCGTCTCACTTGCACAACCCGTTCCTCGCAGTCGTGTCTCGCACTACCACCGAGTCTCACGGAGAGGCGTATGGATTTTCTCTGGTCTACACTGGATCCTTTGCCGCCGAGGTGGAAAAGAGCTCTCAAGGCCTTACGAGGGCCGTGCTTGGATTCAATCCGTCCCAGCTCGCATGGCCACTTGGACCCGGCGAGTCGCTGCAGTCCCCCGAGTGCGTCGCCATATTCTCAAGCACTGGTATCGGCGGCATGTCACGCAGACTGCATCATCTCTATCGCCAGCACTTGATGAAAAGCAGATATGCTACCGAGACGCGCCCTGTCCTCCTCAATAGCTGGGAGGGCCTCGGTTTCGACTACAATGCCACCACGATTTATCAACTCGCACAGCAGAGTGCGGAGCTCGGAGCCAGGCTCTTCGTGATGGATGATGGCTGGTTTGGCGTCAAGTACCCTCGCACAAGTGACGACGCTGGGCTAGGAGACTGGAAGGTCAACCCTCAACGATTCCCTGATGGGCTCAAGGCGTTGGCTGACGAGGTCACCAATCTATCTGTTGGTAATTCGTCTGCAAAGCTCAAATTCGGCCTGTGGTTTGAACCTGAAATGGTGAACCCAAACTCGAGCCTGTATGAGGAGCATCCTGACTGGGCTCTTCACGCCGGCAAGTACCCTCGCACCTTGACGAGACACCAATTGGTGCTTAATGTCGCGTTGCCCGAGGTCCAGGAATTTATTATCGACTCAGTATCCAATATCCTCACCAGTTCCAACATTGCGTATGTGAAGTGGGACAGCAACCGCGGTATGCACGAAACGCCGACACCATATGCCAACCATCAATATATGCTTGGGCTGTACAGGGTATTTGACAGGCTCACGGAACGGTTCCCAGACGTGCTCTGGGAAGGCTCCGCTTCAGGAGGAGGAAGATTTGACCCCGGCGTGCTTCAATACTTCCCGCAGATCTGGACTTCTGACAACACTGATGCGGTAGAGCGCATCCATATTCAGTTCGGAACCTCACTGGCATATCCGGCATCCGCCATGGGAGCGCACATATCTGCGACACCAAACAGCCAAAGCGGACGCAACGAAACCATCGAGTTCAGAGCCCATGTTGCCATGATGGGTGGTTCATTCGGCCTCGAGCTTGATCCGTCACACATGCCCGAACAGGACAGGGCCAAGGTTCCAGACCTCATTAGGCTTGCTGAGAAGATAAATCCTATTGTCATCCAAGGTGACATGTGGCGCCTCAACCTACCGGAGGAGTCTGACTATCCTGCGGCGTTGTTCATCTCAGAAGACGGAAAAGACGCTGTATTGTTCTACTTTCAACTCAAACCCACCATCAACAACGGCTGGCCAGTGGTGCGTCTTCAAGGTCTTGACGCCAAAGCCATGTACAAAGTGGATGGCAATCAGACGGTTTCCGGTGCAACACTTATGAACCGAGGTGTCTCGTATGATTTTGATGCTGGGTATTCGAGTAGAGTTGTGTTTTTTGAGAAGCAATAACATTTATTCATAGTGACACACCCCTTTGACTGGCCAGTGGCCGTTGAGAGGTCGCTGAAGTTGGGACAGGGTCACGTGCTGGGATCGTGTGGCGTGCTGCGCAACATGCGAATGGTGGCCTTTGTCTCGAGAGTTGGTCAGCACAAGAGCGGCGTTTCAGAGCTGTCCGTTAGATGCATCCACCAGACCGTAATGCCCGGTGTCTCATGAGCCACGGGCCATGGCCATGACGATTGAGCATGGCTGGCATGTCCGTGCCGGTGTAAAGCCAGGCAGGGGTTCAGTGTGGGATCCGAATATTGGAGGCTCGGGGGATCGCCCGTACGAGACGCTACTAATAATAACAACAAAGGGAGCAATTGGGTAGCGGATTCGACGGGTGCTTGGATCGGGGAGTCGGTCGAGGATGGGTGTTGAAACAGCGTGTACGGAGTATGGTAGATACAATCATGCAGAATCATGCATGTCAGCAGCAAACACGGGCCTGCAGGCGCGGCTGAGTTGTTTTCACTCACTTTTTGCCGAGACTGTAGGGCTGCTCGGTATACGTACTGGGAAACAAGTTGTTGGATGCGTGTTGGACAAAGGAGAATCGAGAGAGAGAGCCGGTTCGTGGTCTGTTTGCAGATGGCAAAGGCTCAAACGGCGACATTGAAACGGCAGCCTGGGCGTTGTCAAGTACGTACGTAACAAGGTGGATGGTGCCCCAGGCCTCTCAGCTCACAGGCCGTGAAACCGTCAACTGGCCGGCTGGGTCGCTGAGTCCCCCTCCCCGCCGGGCCCCCGCTGAGCGTTGCCACGGCACTTAGTCACCGTTTCGAGTGCCGCGCACTGGTCCGCGCACTGGTCCGCGCACCCTCTCCAGTTGGCAGTGGCCCAGTGGCCGTCCAGCGGTGGTCTGGTCAGCCAATTGGTACCAGACTACGGAGCAACGCACCTTACTAATGCAAACTCGCCCATCGGGACGTAGACGTGGACGTGGAGAGATCTGCAGGCGAGCACGACCCGTGATCGCTTTCGCGGACAATTCCAAGCAACAGGCCAGGCGTCGACTGGTGACTCGGTCAGGCATCGCTGAATCAAGACCTGTGGCTGTGACTGGGGCACCTGCCGGCACTTTGACCGTCAAGCGCTTGCGAGCCACGTCGATTCCATTTGGATTTGAAAACGTTGACATTTGAAGCCGAGACCCCCTCAGCTTGAGCACTTGAGACGTCGTGCTGGGAGTCGTCAACTGCTTCGGGCAAAGCGCCGCAGCCCTCTACGACTGTGTGGTCCCAAAACTCGTCCCGGACATCTCGCTTCCTCGCTTCCCTTCTCTCCGTCCCCTTCACCATCTTTCCGCACCACCGCCCACATCACCGTGCTGCCAAGCGATTACATCAACGCATCGATCCGACCGCAACCTCCCGCCGCAGCCGTCGGCCTCCCGTCGGCTCCCGTCAGCTCCCGTCAGCTTCCGTCAGGCGTCCCGTCACGCCCAGGCTTTCCCCGACTGTCTGCGCCTTATCTTGATTCCTGGCTGCCCAACCTAGCTGGTTGACTGGCACCGGCACGGAGCCTTTTCAGCGTCATCCTGCCCCGCAGCTACAAAGCAGCCAGCTTGGCCGCCGCCGGCCATCAAGGGGACGGCATTCCAAGGCCTCACTTCTGCCGCCGTGGCTATGATTCCCTCAGCCGCGCCCGTCAACATGATGGCCAGCCGGGCCAGCGCTACTCCCGATGAGCAGGACGACTCTCGCTCCTCGTCGTCCACCGCCTCGCCCGCCCCTGCCGACAACGAAGAGTCCGATTTCTTTCTCGGCGCCAACGACTCCGAATCGTCCTTGGGCGTCCCCAACTTCCAGGACATGCAGGTCGAGGACTCGTGCTGGCCACCCATCAACAGGCTGCCCAACGAGATTCTCATCAGCGTCTTCGCCAAACTCGGTGCCACATCAGACTTGTATCACTGTATGCTCGTATCCAAGCGATGGGCTCGCAACGCCGTCGACCTGTTGTGGCACCGCCCTGCCTGCACCAACTGGAGAAACCACAGCAGCATCTGCCAGACCCTGGGCCTCGAGCGTCCTTTCTTCAGCTATCGCGACTTCATAAAACGATTGAACCTTGCCGCTCTTGCCGAAAAGGTCAACGACGGAAGCGTCCTGCCCTTGGCCGCGTGCACCAGGGTGGAGAGGTTGACGCTGACTAACTGCCGGGGCTTGACCGACTCTGGTCTCATCGCCCTGGTTGAGAACAGCCCGTCGCTGCTGGCCCTGGATATTTCAAACGACAAGAACATTACCGAGCAGTCCATAAATACTATCGCCCGAACCTGCAAGAGGCTGCAAGGCCTCAACATCTCCGGCTGTGACGGCATCTCCAACGAGAGCATGATCAACCTTGCCCAGAGCTGCAGATACATCAAGAGAGTATGCCGTGATATTCCCTACAAAATCTTGCCGCGCTGCCCTCATCGTTGACTGACGTATTCTTCTTTAGCTTAAACTGAACGAATGTGCACAACTACGCGATAATGCCATTCTCGCTTTTGCTGAACTATGTCCCAACATTCTTGAAATCGATCTCCACCAATGTGTGCATATTGGCAACGCTCCAGTTACGTCACTCCTCTTCAGAGGAACCTGTTTGCGAGAACTCCGGCTTGCCAGTTGCGAGCTCATCGACGATGGCGCGTTTTTAAATCTTCCCGACAAGCGGGTGCGGACATATGAACATCTCCGAATCCTCGACCTGACGTCTTGCACGCGCCTCACCGATGCTGCCGTGCAGAAAATCATCGACGTTGCTCCCCGGCTCCGCAACTTGGTCCTTGCCAAATGCCGCAATATCACGGATGCCGCCGTGCACGCCATCTCGAAGCTTGGCAAGAATCTCCACTACGTTCATTTAGGCCACTGCGGGCAAATCACCGATGAGGGCGTCAAGAAGCTTGTGCAAAGCTGCAATCGCATTCGGTACATTGATTTAGGCTGTTGCACAAACTTGACAGATGACTCTGTAGAGCGACTGGCATTACTACCAAAGCTGAAGAGAATTGGTCTTGTCAAATGCAGTTCCATTACCGATCAATCCGTCTTTGCCTTGGCTGAAGCTGCTTATCGGCCCAGAGTACGGAGAGATGCTAGCGGAGTGTTTATCGGAGGGGAGTACTACACGCCGAGCCTGGAGCGCGTCCATCTTAGCTATTGTATTAATCTGACCCTAAAGGTGAGTCTATTTTATGCCTCGCAACTTCTTTTGCATGCCAGTCACTTTCAGCCTTCAGCTCTAACGACATTCAGAGCATCATGACGTTGCTTAACTCGTGCCCGAAACTCACTCACCTTAGCCTGACCGGCGTTGCCGCATTTCAACGAGACGATTTCCAAGCGTACTGCAGAGTTGCGCCGGCTGGTGAGTGATACAGAATTTGCTGGCAGCCTTCCTCCTCCCCCGTTCTGATTCTAACGCATTCGAAACAGAGTTCACACAGCACCAGCGCGACGTCTTCTGTGTCTTTTCTGGCAGTATGGTCTCGCAGTTCCGTGACTTTCTGAACAACTCGCCGCGATTTGAAGAGCTCAGGGAAAGTCTGCCGTATCGAGCCGGTGCCAGTCGGATCAGAGGCGCGGCAGCCAGACGTTCGCAGACTATGGCCGATTATCTCAACAACGCCGCCGAAGGTGAAGGTTTTGATGACGAAATGGCCGACGAAGAGAACGACTTTGAGGGCCTCGATGGAACCGACATGGCAGTCGACCCAGCAGCTCAGAACCCGTCACTTATTCCTACTGCACTTGGAGAACTTGGCCAAGCCACGACTTTACCGCCTGCCTTGACTTCGATTCCTATACCACCAACGCCGCCTGCACCGCCAGGGATCATGCAGTATGCGGTTTCTACATTTGGTCATGCCCATCCGACGGTTCAATCTTTGGACAATTCACTTTCGCGGTCGCAGCCGCCATTGGCTTTCTCTACCTTCATCACTAACCAACCGGCGACTGGGAATCCACCACCTAGCGCTAATGGGCGAGCGGAGGCAAGCATAGGCAATTTGACAGTGTCTCCCATTCCTCAACGGACGAGGTCACTGAATGGCGCTGGACCCAGCACAGCGCGCCTGCGTCGGCCGCCTCCAGATGACGATGAGCAGTGATTTTATATTAGGTTGCTCGGATAAGGCATTTCTTTGTTGAAACCGAGGGCAGTGGGGAAGCCCCTGTTGCCATTTGGAAACAAAGGGTTCGGCCAACATGGAAATAAGAGAAGGAATGCCCCGCTCCCAAAATATTCGAACAGGCAGACGGTAGCCATATTTCAGGCAACTCGAATTGAAATGAGATTTCGGCGCGCGTGATATGGGCTTCGTGTGGCGACTGAGGGGATCCAACAGAGGCATGGTTCTTTTTTTTTTTTTTTCGAGCTGCACAAGCGGAGTTCACCGGTTTTCTTTGACAGGGATGAATGCTATGAATAAGACGACTCAGGTATACCACATGGTTTAAAATTGGCTTTATGGAGGAGCGAGGGTGTAGTCATGGATTGATGTGGGAACTAGAGCATTTGCATCGGCGCTGTTGAATTGAATGAATTACCCCCACACCGTCAGCCAGCGCTTGGTCTAGATCTATAAGTATTATACAGGAGCGCTCACAGCGTCAAGCAAGGGACATTCGATGCGATTTCTAGCCGATTCTATTGGGTCGTTTGACATTGATGTGATGATGCGAAGATGTGAATGACGTGATTGCGACGTTGCATGGATGGGGCACAGAGTCACAAACTTAAAAATACGTTCGGATGTCGGCCCTCATCGGGCCGGTCCGCGCTCCACAACGTGAGCAGCAACACGGGTCTGGCAACGTAACAAGTCCTTGTGATTCTCGCAGTGGTACTTTGCATGCCATGCACGCCAACTATCTGAGGAAAACGAGACTGAGACCGTGACACGGCATGAGAATACCCTCGCGTGAGCGGGACAGTCGTCACGATGCCGCGCGCCGTTCAGATAAACCCCGGAGAGGTCTTCTCGTGGGTAGAACCACAACTGCTGGAGGACATGGATCCCGGGGACGCGGCGTCGGCCACGTGACGGGTCGACTCGACGTAGTCGTAGGCGAATTCGCCGAGCTGGGCGTCGTCGATGCCGACGTCTTCCTCGGTGGCGGAGACGCGTAGGCTCAGGCCGGGGACGAGGTTCATGAGGAACAGGATGGTGCAGGTCAGCGCGAAGGACCAGCCGAATGCTGCGCAGATGGCGGCGAGCTGGTAGCCTAGCTGGACCCAGTTGTGCTGGATCCAGCCGATGGCCGGGTAGGCGGTGCCGTCGAGGCCGGCAATGTAGGATCTGGACGGGGGGCGGGTTAACCTGGGTTCTTGGTTTTTGTTTTTGTTTTACAGGGACTTGTGTGTTTTTGGTTGGGAGGGTTGCGTACGCGCCAAAGATGCCGGTGAGGACGTTGCCGACCATGCCGCCGACGCCGTGGACGGCAAAGATGTCGAGGGCGTCGTCGACGCCGGCCAGGAACTTGAGCTTGGTGGCGAGGTTGCAGCAGGCGCCGCCGAGGAGGCCGACGACGAGGGCGGCCCAGGGGGAGACGAAGCCGGCGGCGGGGGTGATGGCGACGAGGCCCGAGATGGCGCCGGAGCAGAAGCCGATGGTGCTCCATTTCCTCTCGAGGCGGTAGTCGAGGAGGACCCAGACGATGCCGCCGCACGAGGCGGCCAGGTTGGTCACGTAGCAGGCCATGACGGCGCGGAGGTTCATGGCCAGCGCGGAGCCGCCGTTGAAGCCGAACCAGCCGACCCAGAGGAAGACGGTGCCGAGGACGACGTTTGTCACGCTGTGAGGCCGGTAGGGCAGGCCGTGCGTCTTGGAGTAGCCCGTTCGCTTGCCGAGCATGACGCTGTACGCGAGCGCGCAGCTGCCCGAGGCGATGTGCACGGGGCCGCCGCCTGCGAAGTCGTACGCCGGCAGCTTGTACAGCCAGCCGTTTGGGTTCCACGTCCAGTAGGCGATGGGGTCGTACACGACCGTGGACCAGATGAAGATGAAGACGATGGCCGGGAGCATGCGGCCGCGGTCGGCGACGGCGCCGATGGCGAGAGCTGGCCTGTGGTGTTTTGAAGGGCTCGGTCAGAGGACTTGCTGTGTCTCGTGTCTCGGATGGGCTTGTCTCGTCTTTGGAACTCACGTAATGGCTGCAAACATGCCCTGGTACAGGCAGAGGAGGATGTCGGGGAGGAAAGCCGAGCCGTTTGGCTGGGCGAGCGTCTTCATCAGGCCAAACTGGCTGAGGTCGCCCAAGAAGGCGTTTCCGGTCCGCGCAAAGGTCAACGAGTATCCCCAAAAGAACCACTGGAAGCCGATGACGGCCACGGAGAGCATGGAGAGGAGGACGAGCTGGAGAGCCGACTTTCTTCTCGCGAGGCCGCTGTAGAAGAAGCCCACGCCGGGGATCATGAGAAGCACGAGGACCGACGACATGGTCAGGAAGGTCAGATTACCCGTCTGCATGGCGCGTTAGACCGAAACCCCCCCATTGCGAGGTGTTTGTGCAATGCTTCTCGAAACCTACGTCGTAGAAAATGTTCAGATCATGGACATTGGTCGAGTACCCGGCATCGGCAGTGCCGGTTGTTCCATTGTATTGGCTGGCCATGGTGACCGTCTTCCCACCCTCGTTGAAGCTCAACGGTGACTGTTATGCAGGAGGAAAACAGAAAAGAGGAGTGCGATGGGGGAGAGGCGAATTCCATGAAAAGGATGCAAAGATCTGCGGTGCCGTCAGATTATATCTTCACACTCTCCGGCGCATGAACCCTCCCCTCCGAAGCCACGCTTTCTAAACCGCATGGCACGCAGACCAAACAGAGAGCCACCTGAAGACCTTGACATCTACAAGGCACATTGCAATACTTTTCAATGACTACTTGGGTTAGATAGCCGGTCATGCCAAGCCCAGCGTCGAATCCCGTCCGACGACATGCAGGGGCAGGGGTTGGTCAGGAATGAACAGGCCAGTCCGCCTAAGACGGTGTGGTGTCTGCTAGATATCAATATCTAGGTTGGTGTTTCTGTTGGCTCTCAACGACAAGTGCACCATGTCTTATCAGGATGACTCGGGAGACGCCAATCGGCCATGCGCTGGAGCCACTTTTTTCAATACGAGTCGGCAAGGTTCCTCCCTGATAGTAGTTGCCATCATGCAATGTGAAATCAGCCGACAAACGTCAGGCCTGGGCATGTCGAGCCTTCTGTGTAGCCGATGTGGCGTGCGTGATCCTCCGTAACCAACATGGCAGCGCCATTCATATTCAAAGTACGGTAATGAGCCTCGTCTGATATGAATGCCGTCAGCGGGAGCGGTGAAATCTATCCACAACAAACACCTCAGTTGCCAAAGTGCGAACATGTCTTGATCATGGGCCCAGGTTCCAGAATTATAAATCGAGGTTCCGCAGCAGTTGGGTATGGCGAATGCAGAGCACCAGCACTTTGGATTGAGAGGACAGCAAAGGCATTGAGAGATAACGAGGCAGTTGATTGCATGTACGTCAAGCTTTGCCTGCTCGAGTTCATCATGTTCTTATCGCTCAAGTCCTCAATTGGCCGGGATCCGGCACGCCACGTTGTTTCAAACCGACAATAAGCCGCATCGTCCATTCAACCTGGGAGATAACCGCCTCAGCTCTCGGGTTGCCAGGGGAAATCCTGTGCTTCTAATTGGCGGAATCTTATCCCTTTGTGTGGCGGCGCCTCGCTCGGGGCAGTTAACCAACACAGTCCTCGATGGTCCACCAGAAGATGGGACAGAAACAATCCTCCTAGGCGAAGAATTGGTGCCTAGGAAGCCGCATTTGCTTTCAACGACTTACATCTCCCCTTTTTTGTGATTGTCTTGGCATTGAGGACAGGCATTTCGAATCCTCTCGGACCGAGACAGGGCGCGGCTAGCCATTATCTGCAGGGCATTCTTAGGATGAACCCTCCGCCCACAAGTCGGAAATTGTTTGTGTGACTGTAGTTGTGTTGACTGAGAGCCGCGACGTGGTCTGACTCCAAACGGATTGCAAGAACTAACGGAACGGAAGACTATGGGTGAGGGTGCGAGAATTCCCTTTGCATCTAGCCTGTAGTCTGTGGTCTTGATTATGAATGTCTCAGGTAGTATACTGACGTTGCTTCGACAGATCCACCGACAGCATGACGAGATAGCCCGGTGTATAAACTCGATAGCTCACGCCACGCTACCAGTGCGACTTCTGCAACAAGGCTCTTTCTAGGCTGGCAAGAGGATTTGTAGAAGCTCCTCGAGAGAGCGACTTGGGACTGCAAAGGTCATTGGCCCCTGATTCAATGCTGATTGTTCCGGGAATCAGCGCCCACGCATGAGAACCGTGGTGGTTCAACAAAATTATGCGTGTTGCAGCCTGTATGGACCAACTTCGCTGACAATCAGGATTCAATTTCTGTTCTCCACTCGTCTTCGAGCTCTACCAGTCTCTTGGCTACGTCGAATGGGACAGCCTCTTCTAATACCCTTCGCTGCTCGAGCGTGATCTTGTCCAAAACATATTTGCTGACTGTGGCCGGATCCCGCTCAGTTGGGCGACCAATGCCAATTGCTATGCGAACGAAAGGTGACCTTGGGAATTTATCTTGAAGTAATGACTTCTTGACACTTTTCAGCCCATTGTGACCTCGGTGACTTCGATCCCAAGGCGTGAGCCTCACATCGCCAAAGGTTTTCTCCAATTCATCGTGAATGATGACGAGACTTGTTGATGATGCATCATGCTGCCGGACAATGTCTTGCCATGCTTTCGCCACGAACGGTCCAGATATGTTCATGAGCGTCGGCGACTGAACGAGCGTGTACTTTGGCCCCGAAGAGACCAGACACGTCTGCTTCCCGAATTTCACCTCGCGAAACGGCGGTTGTCTGAGCGCTTTGACGAGGCCATTGAGGGCGAAATGGCCAGCTGAATGGAGGCTCTCATATTTGGGTAAGGGATTTCCGAGGCTGACCACTAAGAAACGTGGATTAAACATGATGCTGCACTTGACTGAGCACTGGCGATGGACACAATGGAGCGTTTCACGATGGTGCGAAGGTGAGACGCGATGAGTCATCACGTGATTGCCACACCGTGCCGCGTGTGGCGGAGGCCGCGCTGCGCCCCGTCCTTCTTTCTGACGTATGTTAGACGCTGCTTTGGTGCCATCCGTGGCTGCGCGACCTGATTAGGTCTAGATATCACTCTCCCTCTCATCCGTTTCCAGCGACGACGAGACGCCGTCACCCTCCGCCAACACGTAGCGATCCAGCCAGCCGGAACTGCATTGTTTCCATTTATTTTTGTTTATTTCTTTTTCTTTGCGACGGGAGAAAATCAGTCAACATGTCGTGGGCGGGTATGTACAAGCTGCGACCCCGCAGCGTGACCGAAGGGGAGCTGACATGGACCCAGGGTTCAAGAAGAATGTGAATCGCGCGACGACGCAAGTCATGATGAAGACGGGTACGGCTCACCTGTCCCTCGGCTGAGTTTGGGGCGGAAATTTCTAACCCAGCCGCCCAGGTCACGTGGAGAAGACAAACGATCGTGACTATGAGCTGGAGGAAAGGTACGACGGGCCAGTTCGAGACGGAGACGAGCCTCTTAGTTGTTGCAAACTGACGGAAGACGTAGACGGTTCAAGACAATGGAAGCCGCATCGCTGCGGCTGCAAAAGGAGGCCAAAGGCTATCTGGATTCGCTTCGAGGTAACCCCAATCCGACACATCCGGCCGGCACCGAGGCGCGTCGCTAATCCTATCCGCGTAGCTATGACTGCGTCGCAAATGCGAATAGCCGAAACGATTGATGCCTTTTACGGGGACTCGGGTGCCCGAGACGGCGTCAGCAGAAGCTACAAACAGGCTGTGGAGGACCTTGACTCGGAGACAATCAAGGCCCTGGACGGGCCCTACCGAATGACCGTGTTGGACCCCATCAACCGTTTCTGCTCGTACTTCCCCGATGTCAACGAGTGCATCAAGAAGAGATCCCACAAACTGCTTGATTACGATGCGCTCCGAGCAAAAGTGAAGCGTCTTGTTGAGAAGCCCGACAAGGATGCGACCAAACTGCCTCGGACGGAGAAGGAGCTCGAAATGGCCAAGCTTGCTTACGAACAGCTCAACGATCAGCTTTTCTCGGAGCTGCCCCAATTGATCGATTTGCGGGTACCGTACTTGGATCCCACGTTCGAAGCGTTGGTCAAGATCCAGCTGCGGTTCTGTGCCGAAGCATACTCTCGGATGGCGCAAGTGCAACAGTACCTGGATGCAGACACCAGAGACCTCTATGCCGAGGGGCATTTAGATGCAAGAGTAGAGCAGGTTTTGCAGGAGATTCGAGAACTCAGCATCAGTGGGACTGTATAGAAAATATAACTCGGGAGTGGAGACCCGGAGAGGGGAGGCGGTACCAGGGGCAAATAATACGTGGTGATGCGCTGCGTTTAGCTGGTTACATTGGCGTACGGGCTGGCTCGGCAATGGGCTTTCTTGCAAACTGTTTGGCTTTTACAGCTTCTTCGTATATAATAGCTCAATATGCTATGGGATATCTTTCTGCATGAATCGTGTGAATTTCCCGCCCGTCTGCAGGCAACAACACCCTCAGCATGACCTGCTTGTCCAGACGGACCATGGAAGGGCGTGGCCCATGGATATAGTCCGGGGCGGATTGAATCAACGATGGCTTCAAATCGCACGAATGACGAATGCTCTTACTGATTAACCGCCTGCGGCCCATGCTGCTTCCCAAACAGGTCACTCGGGGACAATGTCTTCCCAACAGCTTGCATAGCCGGACCAGCTTCCGGGCCCTGCTCTTCAGGGGCCGTTCCTGACCTGGCCAGTTTCCAGCTCTCTTGTATCGTGGCGCCGCTGATTTCCCTGGTCTCGTCCCTGTCATTGTGAATCCATAAGCCGATGACCTTGTCGCCCTCGTCCCAACTGCCCTCCACTCTCAATATCACCAGCTCGCCAGCGATCTCCACGTCGCTCACTCTGGCAAGGTCAACCACCAAGTTGTCCAGCGACCTTCGGTTGAGGACAAAGACACAGGCCCGCGGTCGATGGCTCTCGGGCAGGGCAGACTGGGCGCAGACAAACATGGTGCCTTCGATGCCGGACTTGTCCCAACTCGCTGTTTCGCTGTCGAAGGTGTAGATGACGGCGTTGGCTGCTATGGCAAGGATGGCTTGGATGGAGGGGAGGTAGCGTTGGAGGACGGATAGGTTCAGTTCGGTGTTTGTACGGGGAGGCGGCGGTGCATAGGCTGCGTGAAGGGCAGCCGCGTCGGATTCGTAGTCGGAAACAGCTGGTATGCGGTTTGAGGGCTGGCGGGAGTGCCGTTGTTTGTGAGACGACTGCCTGCTCATTGCGACAATGGGCCCGGCCACGTTGGGCAGGCAGGGAACCGCTGGGACGTGTCTGCAGGAACTATGCCGGACTGATGGCTGCTGTCGTTGGCCAAAGTACGTATGGGTGGAAGATGGATATCCTGGATCGTGGATGTTGCACAGGACATGGGACATTATCGATAAGTGCGAGGTTGCAGACGCAGATGCATGCGGGATGCGGGATGCGGGATGCGGCTGCAACTTGCCAGCTCGGGCAGGGGCGCGTGGGTTGCGGCTTCCTTGCCCGCCTACAACAATAACTTATGTTATCACCACACAACAACAACAGCGGCAGCAACAGCCGAGACCATTACGGGCCGGGCATTCAGTATTCAATGCGCCAACTTGAACTTGACGTGCGCCGATTTTGAAGGCAGCCGGCAGCCCACTCACTGCATCCCAGTTCCACCGGACGGCGGGGCTCGGGTCGATTACATGTGGTCCATGTCGGGTCAACTGACGCTTCAACTTTCTTCTCCTCCATCCATCATCCATCACGGTTCCGTCTGCCGTCACACACACTGACGCGGTTGCGCCCACGTGTTCTTGCTACCTGGATCGCATCTCTTCCCCCCAGGCTCCATTATGATACCATAATTCTTAGCCCCTTGTTTTTTTTTCTTTTATTTTTTTTTCCCGCGCCATCACATATTCCCACGGCCGATCAACAGGTTTGCACATCTCAACATCATGGTCTAGATCACCAGAAAGCAGCAAGTTTCCAACCGCGCCACCAGGCGGCACCTTTGCAGTTCTGACGCCTCTTTCCCCATCTCGATGGAAATGGCCGCTCCAGATAGTCCACCGTCGACTCACTCCGATTCTTTTGAGCCCGTGGAAGTGTTCACGACGCCTCAGTCCCTCGCGCGCGCGGTACGCGCACGCCGCCACGAGTACCTCCGGCCGCACAAGCTCCGAGTCAAGATTGGCACTTGGAACGTCGCGGCTTGCACTGGCACAGACAAAGATCTTGCAAGGTGGTTTGTTGACGGCCAAGGTCTCGATCAAAACTTCGCCACCTTGGACCTGTCTCGAAATCCCGCTGTCGCACACCACGATCCCGCTGCAGATCAGCATGGCGACCCCGACGCCGTTCAGCTCCTTGGCGGCAGCGATATCGGATTGTATGTTCTAGGCCTGCAGGAAGTCGTCGACTTGAACGCTACCAAAGAGTACATGAATCGGGCCGTCAATGTCGACAGCTCGCCGGTTGGCAAGTGGCAGGCTGCTCTGGAAGCTGCTATGCCGCCGGGATATCAACCCATCATGTCAGGGCAGATGGCCGGTTTGCTGCTCTTGATTTACGCATCTCCAGAGATCGCCCCAACCATTACCAACGTGAGCACCAGACAGGTCGGCACCGGTCTCTTGGGCTATTTTGGGAACAAGGGCGCAATCACCTCCCGCCTTGTTCTTGGAGAAGCGACTCGCATGGTATTTATCAACTGCCATCTGGCTAGCGGCGCTGGCTCCGGCTACCTGGACCGAAGGTGTTGGGATGTTGACCAGATTCTTACCAAAACGAAATTCGATCCCGTAGTCCATGCTGGCGTTTCCGACGACGATGGGGACACGATTGGCGACGAAGACTTTGCATTTTGGTTCGGCGATTTGAACTTTCGACTTGACGGGCTTCCCGGCGATGATATCAGGAGGATACTAATGCTCCATACAAGAGGCGAGTACGCGTTGCGCGGCGGCCATACCCCGCCGCCCCCAGAGGGGGAGGGAGTAATTGTAATGCGAGATTCTGAAAGCGACGACGATACCACAACGAGGTCCTCGGTTCACTCACGCGACCAGAGTTTCGATTCTGAAACCACACTTCCGGATCCCGATGATTTCCCCCAAGACCCGAGTCAGGACCCCACGTCTCTCCAAGCGACATTGGACTCACTCCTCCCTCATGATCAACTTCGGCGAATGATGGCACAACGCAGAGTGTTCCACGATGGATGGAGAGAAGGGCCTATCACCTTCTTGCCCTCCTACAAATATGATGTTGGAACTGTGGGCCTCTTTGATTCTAGTGAGAAAAGACGAGCCCCGAGCTGGTGTGACCGGATCTTGTATCGAACGCGAAAGGATAAACAAGCATTTGACGCCAAGTTGGCAGAAGAAATGGCGGCCAAGAAAAAGGATGAGGAAATGAAATCGAGGGGTATAGATCAGGACGACGACGTTCTCTTCAGCTATGACCCCGACACAGACGGGGACGAGCAAGCTGGGGTGGAGGCTTATGATTACGATGAGTACGACGAAACTCAGGACGATGTCCCCAGAGAAGTTACAACAAACGAAGCTTCTGTCGATCGGATTGCCCTCGACATTTACACGTCACACCAGCGCATCACGTCGTCAGACCACAAACCCATCATTTCTGTCTTTTCTCTTGAATATGATGCAGTGGTGCCAGAACTGAAAGCAAAAGTTCACGCAGAGGTCGCCTGGGAGCTTGACAGAGCAGAAAATGAAGGACGCCCAACTGTCACTATTGCCATGGAAGGGGACAAGTCTGGCAATGAGGATACTGTTGACTTTGGCGATGTTGGCTTTTTGGAGAGAAAGTCGATTGTCTTCACTGTTGCGAATACTGGCAGTGTCCCAGCAAGCCTCTTATTTACTGAGAATCCCACCAAAGGCGATGCCGACTCACCCTCATTAAACTGGCTGACCCCGTCGTTTCTCCATCCGGACCCAGACGATGACCCACCAAGCGACCTGGGCCAAGGAGTCACGTTGCAGCCAGGAGAGACAGCCCTGGCACATATTCAAGCTCAAGTCTCCAATATTGCCTATCTACGGGCCCTAAATGACGGCCGCACCAGCTTGGAGGATGTTTTGGTACTTCGCGTAGAGGACGGCAGGGACCATTTCATTCCCGTCAAAGGCGCCTGGTTGCCAACGTGCTTTGGGCGCTCCATTGACGAGCTCATTAGAGTGCCTGACGGTGGCATACGAAAATACTGCATTGAGAAGAATATCAGAGGGGCTATTCCCTATGATTCTGACGTTCGATGTTCAGCTCCAAAAGAAATCTTCAAGTTGACGGAGGCAATCCAGACACTGGTGGAAAGATGTGTTGCCGAAGAAGCAATGCTGGAATCCAAGACTCTGCCTCGGGAGCCGGGTTGGCCGTTTGACTCGACCACTTGGACATGCGGTTTGGCAGAACGAGATGAGACGAAGGCCGGCCTCGTGGCAGCTTTGGACAAAGACTCCCCCATTGCCGAGGCGCTGCCAGGAGAGCTCCCGTCTTCACACAAATTGGAATTGCTATCGTCAACGTTGTTGTTATTTTTGGTTTCATTGACGGACGGTCTCGTTCCTCCACTCCTCTGGGCCAAACTGTCGACGTCTCTCCCGAATTTGGCATCTCTTGCCCCCACGGCGTGGACTGACGCAAAGGTGCAGATTCTCGACATATTTTCCTCTGCGCCTCATCATAATATCGCCTTTGTCTTTTTGACCTCTACACTGGCCCGTGTAGCTACAGAGTTGAGTCCAGCAACGTCGGATGCGCTCCCGCCTGGTCTGAGCCGGCGACTGAATTTCAGACGGGGAGAAGACGATGGCGACAAGAAGAGGAAATTACGGCAACGGAAATATGCTGAAGTCATTGGGCCGATAGCATTCAGGGCAAACGAAGGTGATAAGATGGCGAAGGAAAGGGAACGAGTCGTTGAGATATTCCTGACCCGCGAGGCTGGAGGTTAGAGACCGGCGACGAGAAGACCGAGAGGGGTCATCAGGTGCCGGTTTCGAAGTCGCCTGGCCTGGACGGGGGGGAGAGCACTGTAATTACATGCGCAGATGGCCGTGTGCAGCTTTTGCATGCGGTTTGGAGATGCGGGTTCGTGCTGCAGCAATTCATGATCGGTGCCGAATATGGGAGCAAGTATTGATCGAGACAACATCAGGAACCCGTTGCGATGCACAATTGACCCAAACAATGCTATGTTCTGCCAAACGGACTGGTCGGCCGTCTCCTCTCCCCTTGGCTGCTTACCTATTTCCTACGATTCAGCAGCCATTCGCATCGTGTACATGTGTGAGTTTGTGTCCGACCTCCGGGCTCTGGCGTACACATCACTTCAACCAAGGTTGCTCCTTCCACGTGCAACCGCTCACCTTCCTCGTTGCACAATCGTCATTATAGCTTCACATGATTTTCCTCCCCCCCCTTTCCCTCCTGCCCCCCGAAACTTGTGCCGCTCCCGACTTCTTTTCGGTTTCGCATTCATGCAGGGCCCTTGCACCATGAGCCTTGGCCCCTTCTCATAACCCGCGCGATTGAATCATACGTCAGCCCATTCTCGATCCGTTCCCCCGCGACGAGTAGCTACGAAACACGAACAACCGGCCGCGGCCGCCGGACCCAAACATGACCTGGGGGAACCAGCACAGCACTTCCAAATGCTCCGTCCTGCACCGCAATGCAATAAGATGCGTGACAGAGCGGTGCCTTGACCTGCTGTACTGTCTTCGAGACCTGGCGCTACAGTACGCATCGCCAGACGGCGTGGCGTACGTGGCCGGGCAGACGCAGCTGCCTCCTCCAGACGGGCAAGAACAGGACCAGTTATCCGAGCCTTGCGAGGAGAGAGGATATTCCTCGAGGAGCCCGTGGCTCGAGGACCTCCGGCTCGATCGGCAGTGGCAAGACGAGCAGACTTACGCTCTTTGCAACACGTGGTTTGCGAGTATCGACCGGCATCAGGAGGCGCGAGCCAGCTTGTCGGCCTGCAAGCGTGGAGAGGCCCTGGCGGCTGCTCTGGACGTGGCCCTGGACGACGCGCTGCACAGGACTACCGACGCGTACCTTCTTGCTCCATTCGACGATTCCTTCGCTGGCAAGTTGGCGGCCGTCCTGCAGCATCTCAGCCATGGATGCTGCTGCGTGGGAAATAGGGGGGGGAGCGCCGAGTCCAAAGCATTACGCAGTAGCCCCGAGGGGGCCGTCCTGGCCACCCGGCACTTCATTGAGGCCTCGCATCTGCAGCAGCTGCAGAGAGAAATAGAGTCGCTTGCACAGTACCTGCTGCGAATGCTAGCAGAGGCCAAGGCCCGGAGGGAGGCCCAAATGCTGAAGCAAAGTCGATGGGTCAATCGACAATGTACAGGCGGCAGAGCGGGCCTCATGAAGAGCTCTGGGCTGGGCAGCCCTCTCAGAGAAGTGTGTGACTCGGATCATGATTGGCGGCGGCACAGGGCCGGCGTGCCGAGTCGCGTAGTCCTGGTTGCTCGGTCTGAGCAACAGGTGGGACAGCAAGTCAACTCCCAAGGTTCCTGTGCCGAACAGCAAGAGACCCCCGAAAAGACTTGGGGGCAAAACACGACTTGCTGGTAGCTTTCACTGGGGGCTAGATGGGGTCGATCTGCACATCTGAACTGTGTTGGCTACGATTTGGGAGACCTAGAAGCGGCGTGTAACACGACGATTCGGACGAGAGCTGCAGGAGTGTGACTTTGAAACCCTTCCATGTAAAGACAATAGTCTAAGTGCGCAGATCCACACGTGCAGGTCTTGAACGAATGTTACCGATGCGTCCGCCTCACGGAAACTCGTTCTAGGAGGACGTGGCGCACCGCAAGCCATGCAACGGCATTCCCATCAACTGATATACTCCCGCTGGTACGTCGGGCGTGGTTGCCACCGCTCTTCAAACATCTGCGCTATCCAGTAGAATGGGTGATCCCAATCAAAGTGGCTCTGTGAGCCCATGTATGGTGTTGCTTGTTTACCCATTGGCGGCATGACCGGCTTTTCTCCTACATGTCGTCAGCAACAGTCTGCCCAACGTGCATTGTGATTTGGCAGCCCGCGACTTACTCACTCCATTTTCTTGCCTGTACCTCGCCGATACTGCAAGATGCTTCTGCACCCGCCTATCCGTCAACGTGTCCATGACCAAGTCGTGCTGCTCTGCTGTAAGCTCAGACATGAAGTGCTTGTGTCGCTCCCACGGGTCGTCTGGTTTCCCCCAGGGATAGCAGTTGTAGTAGTGCCAAATGAACGAGGATATTGTTACATCCTTCTTGAAGTTCTTCCACAAAATTCGGTATGGAGTATCGATACTGTGCACAACGAAAGGGGTCAGCAGGCGCTGCAAGGCAAGCGAACTAAGCTGACTAGGAGAGGGTTTGCGTACCCTTCCACCAAAGTTATTCCTCGCGTGACGATACCTGTCCGCAGTCATGTGGCTCGCTTCGTGTAGTAGAATGAAGACAGTAAGGTATATTGGCCACCAAAAGACCGACTGGTTCCTAAAGATGAATATTTCCAGGTCACGGAGGACCCTTTGACCATATTTTGACAGAAGTTTGCAGTGGTTGATACTGTCGAACTGGGCGAGGATCATTCGGGGAACGGAAACTTTGCCGAACAGGGGGTATGTTTCGTCCTTTAGCTCAGGTCTCATGCCGAGAGTTTCTTTGCCGCATATATAGGCTGATCCGGTGGTGTGCCCTGCGTGAAGCTCACTGTCGTTAGAATGCTTTCCGGGGGAAGGAAAGTTTTGGTGAACCTACGATTTGCGTGCCAAAGTATAAAAAGGTTTCCTAAGAGCCTCTTCTGAGGGTTGGCAATCTTTCCCGACGGACCTATAACCTCGTCCTGCTCTGTACAGTTAGGGCTACCAGTCAGGCGCAGGTACCGCAGCTAAACAGACTCACATCCAGTCCTAAGTAGTAGTTCACTGCCGCAATGTATGTTCTCTTAATAACATCCTGCCCTGCAGGCGTCTTTTGCAATACTTTGTGTGGCGTGTGTTGCTTTACCAAGGTCGCAATGGCATTGTCAATAATGTATTTTTCAAAGTACGACGCCGTAGCCCAGATGTCGACAAGGCAATACGGTTCCAGGTCCTTCTTTTTTTTGACTTCGTCTCCTCGCTCACCCTCTCTCACCGTCCAAAAACGGGCAACAACATCCGTCGCAGCGGCTCGGAATCGGACTACTTTGATCTCGATTGGCTTGTCGCTGATACCTAATGTTATCTGTATCGATCGGATGTCGGTGTTAACTCGATCGCCGACGTCTTTCATTTCAGTGCCCTTCCATCGATTCGTGAGATTCAGACCGCCTTTTCGATAAAGTACCACGTCTGTTAACTTGCCACGAAAGCACGAGACGCGATGGAGGGTTTTCTTTGAGACTCTGGAGAAGCTTTGGCATGGGATGCAAGAGCCTTCAACTTCATCTTGATCTGCGTCACACTAAATCACTCCATCAGTAATCGGTGTGGTCCCATAAAATGACAGCCACAACACAGCGTGTACGTTACCTACTCGGATCTTCTGGACCCCGCACCTTAGGCATGCTTTCCTCTTTCGGGTCTCGGCCGTTTCTTTACGCTTCTGCAAGTTAAATGGGCCACGCTTCTTGACTAGATGCATGAAGTTCTTTTCACTGGCCGAGCTCGGACAGCTGCTGTCGGATGCTGCTTCAGCTTGGTCTTTGGAGCTTTTTGTTGTCCAGTGTTGCGCAGCTTCCCCAGTGGATTCCCGCGGTATGGGTTGGACTGCTGGCACTGCCGACACCACTGGTTGTGAAGACAAGACATTGCCGCTCAGCTCCATCTCTGTGGATGGTAGCAACTTCAGGTTGTTCGGCAGGGACTCTGTGACCATCGGCGGAGGCTGTGCAGAACCGAAATTTTGCGCTGTCTGTTGGAAAGCAAGCTGTGTGTAAATATCAGGCTTGCAGCGCTGTGAGAGATATATCTCGCCTCCGCCCATTTCTTCAAAGGATTGCCCACTGGTCACTGTGACCGCGGCTTGGCCAGCTGACATGGGGAGATGCGACGTGTCGCTGTCCCGTACTGACGAATTTCCAGGCTCGGAAGTGGTAGTTGCACTAAAGTCGGGTACAAATGGGTAGGTGTTGTACACCGTCAAGAAGGAACTTTGCGGGGTCTCGACGGCTGAGCCGAGCAGCGATGGCTGAAAGGAGGGTAATACGTTGAGGGCAGAAGAGTTTGGTAAGTTGCTGGAACCGACGAATCCGGGATGGAACTGTGCATCTGGATGTCCCGTAGTACTGAGTTGACTACCTTGTGATACGAGGCCTTGATATTGCCCTTGACTCTCATGGGCAAAGACCGACCCGGCTGACATCAGAGTGCCCTGGTGTAACAACGTTCGGTGATCGACGGCAAGATTCAACTTTCCAAGGTCCGGACCTGGGGCGTAATAGTAGCTATTATTATATACCTGTGTATGCCGTTGTAGGTCAGATGATTCCGTAGTTGGGATTGAGCTCCCGCATGACGGCGGTTGAGTAGAAGCGATGGGCACTGCGCAGGGCGCGGTACCGGCGCCTCCCTGTGATTCAAGTCCCGGATGATTTTTCTCAAGTAACTGGGTAGATCCATAATGCCGGTGAGCGGCAGTCTCACGATGTCCCCGGCCAGATGGTGAGCTGGCCGTGTACGACAATGCAAGTGCCGTTGGCCTGGGTCGAGATGTATCGGTTGTATCCGTGCTGGGGCTGACAGGCCAAGCAAAACTTGGTGTGTCTGTTACTTGTGTCAAGTTACGAAATTCCTGTTCGCCAGGAAATTGGTCACTCTTCAGTCGTAAAGCCCGGTCTGCTGCAGGTGGTTCATCTCCGGTGGTTCTTTTGCGCTTCGATCCTTGTTTGGTCTAATGGGAAGACCGGTCAGCACACTGGAAGTAGTATGTGTTCGTAGATGACGATCCAAAAAGCTCCGGTCAGAAAGGCTCCCTCCGGTTGAAGAGGCAACCCCCGTAAGAGCTCATGTGAGATATTCCGGAGCCTGGCCCGGGGTAGGGTAAGATGGAGCACATGTCTCTTTTCCGCTGTGACTATCAGGGCCAACTAGAGCCATGTACGGACGGTGAAGGGGAAGAGCAGAGGAGGCATTGATCCCACACGTCGACCAGAATGTTCGCGCCCAGAGCACTACCTGGTAGTTGCGTATAGGAAAAACAAGGATCCAAAGGGCAATAAAGGTACTCCGTACAACAGCATGGCGCAACTCATCATGCCAATGGGGGTGTGAATCAATAGAGGCTTGCAGGCAGTTTCTTTGCTAGACATGCCATGAGAAAAGATATGGGGCATTCCAGGTCGTCCGGGTGGTGTAGCAACGGAACGCATCTGGAATCGAAAGACACGATAGGACAAGAAGAAAAAACAAACCTGTCACTCACAATCGGTCCCGGTTGAATATTACTGATTGTGGTATCCATGACAATATACTACTGTACTCTACTCCGTACTTGGTACGCACAGTCGTGAATAGGCGCAATAGTCCCACGCAGGCGTGTAGCACAGGTGGCCAATACTCCGTAGCCGAACGCCGAGGGCAAAAATAAACAGATAAACGGAATATATAATACAACATATATTTCTTCAAATGGCAACTAGCCTTGCTAGACAGATAATAACATCCTGTGCTGGACAAGGTCAGAGGAAGAACGCAGCAGGCAGGGCGTACATACGGAGCACGGAGTAGTAAGCGGGCAGTCACAATGGGGAGGAGGGAAGAACAACGCCCGGCATGGTTCTGGTCCTGGCGGGCGAGGTGGCGAGATCACGCGATTGATCCAGGCGTCTGTTGAAACTCGAGGGAAATGCGAGGTGGTACGACAGCGTCAAGCATGCCAAACCCAGCCGGGCGCGAAATTAAAGTGGTTTGGCGTTTTCCCTTTGCCCAACACCCAACCAGCAACGTTGGACTGGCTGCGTGCCGTCGCGGTTGGGGGTTGCAACTTTCCACGGGGCTCCGAGAGTCACAGCTCCTCGCTGGGGATTTCCCCGCTTGTGGTCATGTTTTATCTTTTGTTTTGGTGACGAATTTTTTTGTGACGAACAGGCTCAACCCTTGTCGAGGCTCGAGTCCCTGCAACCGTTACCTGGCGACTCGCAGCCAGTGAGGCGACTGGCTGCGAGATCTGAACAAGGGCCAGGGATCCATCATTGGCAGCTGAAGCTCTTGCAGGAGACAATGAGAAGGTCGGGTTTGGCATGAACGCGATCTGTGCTTGATGAATGGAGATGGAGCTCGGAGTAGCGAAGTACGTACTCCGTACGGAGTAGCTTGAGGAAGGTTGGCGTGGCGTCGGCGTTGGCGTTGCAGCAGCACCGGGAGCACGAACCTTGCAAGAACCTTCCAGATCCGTCAAAAAGTCTGTTGTACTCACTTCTCGGCTCTCGGCAGTCCGTGCTGCGTTGCAGGTAGGTAGGTGCTCAGGTTTAGATACCGAGCACGGGGCACCTGCGAATCGACGAACGGAGTATAGAGTACGGAGAACATAACAGTCGACCATGTACTGCTCCGTACCCCGTACAATGAATGGCATTGTGTGTTGACGAAAAGGGAAAGAGTCCCCATCCACAAGAACTCGCCGCCCGCCCGGCAAGAACCAAGAATTCCACACTAACATTAAAAGATTGACCCTTGCCTAACTTAACCACCCGGGCAAGTACAGAGTATCTACTGAGTACTAAGAGGTAAGTATCCTAGGTACCTAGGTACCTAAGTATATATCTATGTCTAAGTAAGTACCTACCTACTTGGTTACTCCTTAGATCCTAGTGCCTGGCACCTGACTACTTACTTAAGTAAGTAAGTATGCGGGAGGACGCGCAGGAGAAAACACCAGGAATTTCAACTACAAAACTCCACTGCCTTGTTCCCGGCGGCACCAGACGGGACGGTATCATGTCCCTTTCGTCTACTCCGTAACTAAGTACCTAGGTACGTACTATCTAGGTCGTTCGCTGTACGAAGTACCGAGTACTCCGTAGTACTCTCGTCGTCGTCTGTACGGATCGGACCCTTGTCCATATCACATTGATGGCTCCTCCAGTGCATACGCGGATGGAGCCGCCCTTCCTCGTTTGGCCCACACGACCCCGTCCCTACACCGGTTGAAGTTCAAAAGCCTGCTCATGTCACACATGCATCGAACCCTGCTCTGTCACCCTGAGGCTATATTGTACTCCGTACCAAACCGAATTCCAGCAGCCCCGTGCTCGCCACGGCCCACGATCACGCGCAGAGATCCGGCATGCCGCCAAGAAACCCAGCTGGCAGGCATGAGCCTTGAAATCGTTAGTCCTCTCTGTTCTGTGGTCTCACCAACAAGCATCAAGACTGATCGTCATGTTTCCGTCGACATTGTGACAGGCACGCTATCAACTTTTTCTTATACTACGGAGTATGTGGTTGATAGCAACCGGCGACCAGTCCGTGGGATCCTTGTACTCCGTACGGACTACGAAGTAATAGTCTTACACACGCCTTTAGACTACACGGAGAATGTAACCTTGGCCTCGGCGATAGATTTTGACTCTAACACTCCGTACGGCGTTGTCATCCTCCGCAACGTCAGCGAACTCGCCTAGCGCTTGCTTGATACCAGTGGTGTAAGAAGGGAAGACGGAGGGGTCAGGTGGACTTGGACGGCGGGTCGGTCTTTCGCCGTGGCTGATTCTTGACGGCTTGTTGCCGTTTTTCTTCGGCTAGAGAAGATCGTGCGGTACGCTTTGTACCAACTCAACACATGCCAGATGGACGGAAATCGGTTGCTTTTACCTATTATTAAAGTAAACGCAGCTTCTGGAATACACAACGGCAGCACATGCTGTATTTGGCAATCGATCTCGGTTCTCTCACAGGCACAATCGAAGCCATTGCATGCATATTTGACTGGCTATTATCTGGTCACATCTCGTGTCCGCTAAAGAGCCAAGAAGAGCGGCCATACTTGGTGCTTGAGCCCTGTATTGAAGGCACCAGGATGGTTGTCCCTACTCCGGGGCGTGAAAATCTTCTCAACGAAATGACGCTGTATGGCGGCGGCGAAGCCATAGTTATGTGAAGCTCGAATTTTTCATAATACGTTACCAGTTTTAAGCTACTGACGACCTTCAGACAGAAGCGAACTTTATTCCGGTAGCTGGTGCTAGAAGGATGAAGCCATACTGTTGCTCCCTCGTTGCTGCATCGCGAGTCATCAATACGTAATATCATCTCAGCTGTTGAGCTGTGAAGTCGCAAGTTCCCCAGCACATGCCCGTTCCCAACTGACCAGACAATTGACATGCCATGTGCCAGGCCAGAGTGTTCTGACATTGACGAAACAGGTTTCCTTTTTATCAACACCCGGGGCGATTGGTGCCCAAACTGGCATTGCGTCCTGTATGTTTTTTTCCAACGGGACTTTGCCGAAGAAGAGAAATCAGGATTCGGCGTCATTTGTGACTCCCAACGTGATGTATTTGACGGGACAGTGGAGAAATTGAATGCTTCGCGTAGCGGTGATATTCGTCAAGTATGTTTGAGAATCAGGCTGTGCGAATGAACGTTTTATCAGATGAAGTCGAACTTGGAATGAGTTATTCAGGGATCAACCCCGAGTACACCATGGGTCAACAACCCACACTTGCTGATAATATTTGATGGCTCGCGTCTCTTAGTTTCTCTGGGTGTTTCTTTCAAGAGAAATCCAGCCCATAGTCTTTATAAAGCATTCCTGCCTCTGGGCACACATCTCGTAGTACAGCCATTATTCACTTTGTTTCCGAGTTGTTTGCCGCAAGCAAACATGGCTCTTGGTTGGTACAATCATCAATTCCGTTACGCGACATGTCAACTTGGAGAACTCGACTACAAACAGCGCTAACAAACTGAAAGAAATTAGCCTTCTCACAAAGTCATTGGCCGAGAGTGCTGCAGTCCGCATTCCAACAAGATTGTCTGGGCAACTCGTTTGGTCAGGACAAGACTTTCATAACAGCAACATGTACGCCCTTCATCTGACTAGCGAGGACATTACCGAACTTGACCATGCTCTGGAGGCATTCAAAGGTGAGTCGGAGCCACTGTTGTTGGTTTCTGTCGATATTATCGTGAGACTGACCTGTTCCATGCCTAGCTCTCTGCCTCGACGGCGATGAAGTATCGAAAGAGAATTTTCCGCTACCTCGTCTCGGCGAACGCCTCGAGAAATGTTCAGAGGTCCTTCACAAGGGGACAGGATTTTTTGTTATGAAAGGCATAGACATGTCCCGCTACACCGTGGAGGATAGCGTCGTCATATATCTAGGTATGGCGAGCTACATTGCGGACCAGCGAGGCATCCAAGATCGAGAGGGCAACGTTCTAAGTAAGAAGACGTGAATGAAACTGCATCAAAAAAAAAAAAAGAAATAAAAAAAAAGAAGAAGAAGAAAAAGGCAAACACACTCACCGTTTTCCTCGGCCAGGGCATGTTACAAGCTCCAAGACGTGGGACGTACCGCCGGAGAAGCGTCACGGGATTCACTCGAATGCGGCCTTGGTAAGCTGAACCGTCGACTTGCAGCTCCTCGACGCCATAGCGACTGACAACTTTGACTTTTTGCCCTGTAGCCGTTCCACAACGACATGGGCTGCGATATTCTTGGACTCCAGGTGCGCCACTGCGCTCACAGGGGGGGCTCTACCTTTGTCAGTTCCGCGGCAAGCATCTTCAACGAGCTGCTCAGCAAGGAGCCCCAAGTCGTCCGGACGTTGTTTGAGCCCAACTGGCCCGTCCAATGGTGAGTACCAAGCACTCCGCTACTGCCTACTGCCTGCTGCCTGCTGCCTACTGCCTACAGCCTGCTCCCGTTCCGCAGGGAGCAGCGCCGTTCCGTGCTATGACGGAATGCTCAGGGGCTAATCAACACGCCCAGCTCTGGGCGTAATGCTCAACACCATTACTTGGCGCCAGTCATGGCATGGCATGATGGCCGGTTGATGACCTGCATGGACCCCAATAGATTTGGTCCCCATCCGGCGTCCGGTGGATCGTCCATCCCTGTACTGACTCAGGACCAGAAGTATGCCCTTGAGAAATTGGAAGAGGCTGCCTGGGCCACGGAGCTGGAGCTTGATCTGGCGCGTGGGGATGTGTTGTTTTTGAATAACTGGGCGCTCCTCCACCGCCGCGAGGCCTACGAGGACAATGAGTTAACATGTCGCCATCTGATCAGACTTTGGCTACGGAGTACGCAGCATGGATGGCACGTTCCCCCCGAAATGCGGCTTCCTTGGCAGACTGCGTACAACGACAAGATCCAGCCTCGGATTTACGCCTTGCATCCGTCCCCGACGTACTCGACGCCCAAGTACTCGGTGGGATCGGCCGCGTTTCTCCTATACGACGACTAGCACTGAGCAGCGTGTCCGTCCATGACGTTGGCTAACGTTGGACGTGTTCTCACGTGCTTGGGTGGCTTTGTCGTGTTGGCGTCGTCATGAGCGAGGTCGTACGGAGACTGGAGTAAGTTACATGACCAGAGGGAAGGAGTCAGAGGGCGGTTCCTCCCCCTTTTCTTGCCATTTCCGAGGGCAACTTCCCCACCTCAAGACACCGGTTGGGGTCGGGGTCGGGGTGGGGATGAGTTACGGTTAGCGGGTTGGCGTTTGGCTTGGAGCTAGGCGTTAGGGTTAAGGTTAGGAGTTGGAGGGAAAAAGGAGCTGCCCTCGGATTTGCTCTCCTCTCCTTCTCTCTGGTTATGTGTAAGACTCGTCATTAGCTCGTAAGGCGCGTTTTGTCGGAGGGGGGGGTTTTTTTTTTTTTTTCAATAAATTCCGTCTTCATCTAGAGCGCTCTGGGCAAAATCGGGGCCTTCCGAAAATTTGTCTCTTATACACAATTACTCGAATGAGTTTAGCGTCCCGCCTCGTCCAGTGGACTGGCGGGCGAAGGTTGTCACGTCAGACAAGACCTCCTCGTTACTCGGTACGAAAGTTCTTCGTGTCTCGAACTCTGATGTGTCAATTCCCGTCTTGACCGCCGCAGACGAACCGCACGTGAAAACATCAAGGGAGTCAGTGCTCCGTATTCGAATCGTGGCGGCCGCGGGTCGACGTTTGACGGCGCAGAATTCTCTCCTCCACTTTCCTGGCTCGAAATACTCCGTTGGTGATGGTCTACAACTTACCACTGATTTGGAAATTGGCACAAAACGAAGTCCCTGAGCAGCAGCTGGCTTTTCTTCAGAGCCCAACTCTTTGCCGTGCTTGACCTCCCGTCACGGTCGTGGAGGGAATCCGTGGACTCGACACGCTGGCTATGAAAAGGGGGAGTTTGCTCTGCAATGTATCTGAAACCGTCGTCCAAAGTTTCGGACATAATGATGCCAAATTTGTTTCTTGCAGGAATAATCTCACCGTCGGAGGCTTTGTCACATTTTAGACATTCAGCTCGCGCAGGTCCCGCAGCCGTGAGGGTGGCATTTTTCAATTTTTCCCATCACGTCTGCCGCCCCTTGCGGCCGTTGTCAGTATGACGCCCTTGTTGTCCTCGAATACAGTGGTTTCGTAAAAAACCAAGTCTCGTAGGAGTAGTACTCCGTACCGTCGTCATGCATGGGTTCCAGGCCCCATGAAATCACGTGGCACGAGCGAACAAACCCCCTTTTCCAGTCCAAGGCATGCGGGGGGAAATGCCGATTCACAGACAGGAGCACATGATAGCCTTTTGACTGACCGCTTCTGAGACCTGTGGCAGTCTCTATGCACCTTCAGTGTCTGGTGAGAACAGCCCAAAGTCATGGCACATGTTGAGCAGCGAGAATAACTGAGCCGAGCCTCGGCCTCCATACAGAGTAGCACATATGGATTGACGACACGTTTCACAATGATATGCATGTCGGTCACGATATGGGCAAAACAAATTGCTCTGCACAGCGTGATATGGAATGAAGCTATATACTCCAAAGTCCGTACGGAGTACATTCAGCCCTCTTCCTATCCTATCCTGTCACACTCCTCCATCAACCGTCCCTCTGGAGTCGTTGTTAGTTGGAGACGCACAGGCCAGTATATGGCGACCTTTATACGACGTACGCAATCTTAGCATTTGTATAACATTGGCAGACGCATTTGAGCTCGAGGGTTTAATACCATATGCTTTGGCAGAGCCAACAGATCCCAAAGGTGGCGCTTGCAAGTTGGATATCAGGGGGATTCGGCTACTGCTGCATCTTTTTGCCGCACGACTCGGTGGCCAGTCCGACGAACGCTGACATTTTCCAGTAATGCCATCCACAATCCGGTGTGTGAGAAGAGTGGAAAAGTATTTCTGCACGTGCATAGGTTGTGAGCAGCATTATGCTTCCCCTTTTCCCGTAGTCTTCTTGCGATGCGGCTGACCTTGACCTCTGTTCCTGAACATGAATTATCCACCCGGGCAGTCCATGTCCGCTGTTTCTTAGTTTCCAGACGTGTGGGAAGGGAACGTATACAGCTGTGAACTTGATTTTTCTTGTGTAAATATTCTCACTCCCTCCTTCGTAGAGGTTTTTCCACACGATACGAGCCGTCGCCTGTTCGCATTTGTCTCACAATATCAAATATGAGCAGATGGAAGCTACCCTACATGAGAGGCGCTCCTTCCGACTACGCAATGCTTTAATGCGAGATATTCTCTTCCAGTGCTCTAGTTTTGCCTGCAAATATCCTCCCAGTAGCGAAAAATAGGTACGGACTTACATCACATGCATTTACATGTCCAATGAAACGCTCTACAACGAACAGCTTTTTTTGCTCAATCGGCCGGTGGCTTGAGAGTCTGCCGTCGACACCGCTAGGGGTCGAGCATCACTTCAACGTACCAGACCGCGTGCTCTACCAGAGCAGTAGTTACGGACGAAGAAAAGGAAAATCGTCGGCACTCGCGGCTCGTGCGAGACAATCCGTCGCTATTCTTAGGGTTTGTTAAGGTCGATGGGGAACGACCAAACAGTCTTGGTACTCGGTACGCGGTGCGAGCGATGCGTTTGATCGTGAAAGAATCAAAGCGGCAGGAGCCACCGACCGAGTCTCCTCCCCGTGGTACGGCCCCCAAAGCGCGTCATAATCTTTGGCGGCGAAGTGAAGGTCCTCCTCTCTTTCTTGCAAATGCAACAATCCATTCGACTGACGAAAGAGGCGCCGTGGAGGCGAGGTTTCGTCCGGCAACAAGAGCACAGCCAGCCGGCTGCATTTATTGTGAAAAAAAAAAATGAGAGCAGGAGAACCGGAACGTCCCCTTCTGGCGAACAGGAAATAAATCACTCGTCGTCGGTCGACACGAGGTGTCGGACTGAAGCTGTTGGAGGTGGCTCTCGCTCCTCTGCTTCCTTTTCTTCCTCTTCTTTCTGTTCCTTGGCCGTCGTTTTCTTTCTTGCCCTATGTACGACCCGCCTGTTTTTAGAGTGCGAGACTTGTCTGGCCAGGAACTGCAGCACCGGCTTGACCTGATGAGCCGATAAGACCAGAACCAAGAACCGGCCTGCATTTCTGGTGACAACGGACGGCCACTGTTGAAAGGAGGAAACTGATACTGACTATGATTGACCTTGATTGACGCCCTTGAATTTGATGCTGTCCATGTTTTCTTATTCTGAAAGGAGGCCGAGGAATGAGGAAACTCTTGCTGATAACTGACCCTGCTGACGGATGATTGGTTTACTTACGAAGGCACAGCTGCAACTCGACGAAACATGCAGTTAAGGCTACAACTGCACCTGCACCGTATGGAACACGATACTACATTGAATGAACGCCAACCTGCATGGCATGGGGCGCCATGCTACGTAGCAGCAATCTATTCCTTTCCTGCGGAGTGGTAACGTTAGTACCGCCTCCAACCAACCAACAACAAACATGAAGCCATGGGGCAGAAGCTTGGCCAGTAGGGACGAGGCCGTCTGGACTCATCTTTCGGTCACCTGGACTCGTGCCAGGCCAAATCCGGTGACGAAAAAGAAAGGTACTATGGCCTTTTAAGCATGCCGTTGTCATTGTTTAAAGTCAAAGGCATCGATATCTGCAAATGGGCTTCCCCCTTCTCAAAACGAGGACTACGGGGAGGACTGCTGCCTTTTGCGGCTGCCGCGACGGAGACAAAAGGAACATGTCTTGCAAGAGGAGTCTTACTCTGGACTCTCGCCTTCTCAAGAGGTCTGTCACACTGCTGTGTGACACTTCACTTGAAAGGAGTGCAAACACCATCGGGAAGATGGAGCCACACTAGTGCTTGCAATGCCGCCCATGAATTGCTGTCCATCAGGAATAACAAGGCTGTGAGTATGCAACATGCTGCGTAGGCAGACTACGGAGTAGAACAAGGTTATATGGTTATATTAGAAGCTAAGCTAAAACTACCAAAATTAGGTACCCCCAACCCAATGTGGATCCTCTCCAAGGGCTGAGCTCAGTCAACGGCAAGACATAGACATGCACACTATGATACGAGTATACTACCGGCGAGGCGGATGTCATTGATTCAAGGGACGAAGACACTGTTATGTAGATAGACACCGCAGCTGCCAAACAACACAGTGATACATGCGTTACCCGGGACATGCATGGGGCTCGGGACTACAGAGTAGAGAAGCGCAGGTGGTGGACTCCAAGACTAGCATGTGAGATGCGAGAAGTGCTCCATGGATATGTCTTGACTAATCGAGGAGTAGTTTCTCGCGGTCCTGATTCTGGTGTTTCAGATTGGATTGCATCCCCCCCCCCCCCCCCCCCCCCCCCCCCACACAAAAGACAATAG